CCCCCCCCACGCAAGTCGAATGCACTGTTTCGCGTTCGCGAGTCTGGTTCTCAGTATTCAATAGTCGCCGCTTTCGAGTTTCTTGCCACGCACCATCAGTCCACGGCGATCCGCAGAAAGCGTTAATCATTGTTGATTCAAATAGGAGACTGAGCTTCCGTTACATAACGCTGGCGTCATGGTCGTCTGTGACAGCCCCCGCTACGTGTATATCTACAAATCTAGTGTTATGCAGTGAATCAACCTGCACGCCAGTGACACACACCGGGTCTCCACCTTTATGAAACTCCACGTGCAGCCTTCTGTAATTGCGGTCCACTGCCGTCTCTTCCATGCTCGGTGGCTCCAGACCTAATCCCTTGCACTCTGCGCCGCCTATCTGCCATAGCTCTGGGACTGAACATAGGCGAGTGCGCTCCTCCACCGGCTCCAGACACGAGGCGAGGCGGTGGCGACCTCATCAAAAGGCTCAACATCGGCGCGTCCGACACGCATGAGTGTGAAGGGCACCATCCCCGAGCGAGGCCTCTTCTCAACGTCGCTCACCCAGGTGGCTCGCGCGTGGTACCCCGGCACGCTGGCCTGACGAGGAGGCTGACCGCGGGCACAACCATCCCAGCTACATGCTCAACCGCTGCCCTGCTTGGCGCGACTTGCCGGCGGCTGGCAAAAAGCTAACTGTGTTTGCTGGTGCCGCACTTGGCAGTCTGGGGACAGAGACATGCGCAAGCTCGGTGTGCACTATCTCAGACCTTGGAACTCGAAATGTGATAGCTGTGGATGTACATCGAGGCTGGAGGCTGCTCACTGCGAGGCCCTGGCTAGCGGGGGTACACGGTAGACCGTATGTAGATGTAGAATATATATAGATGATGCCCTGGCGTGCAACGGGTGATAAGAACTGGCACAGCTTCAGTACAGCCATGTACTCAAAGCAAGGGACGCAGGACGCAGGACCTGAACACGTATCGAATTGCCCCCTGACCATCACCTGCAATACTCTCCGTCCGAGCGAATGGCCATGCAAGCCTTTGCAACGCGTGCGCATAGTCAGCACATGCATTGCCAGGGCTGGTTCACAGGTGACCTATTTATACAGAAGATCACATTGAATCGCGTAGATTATCCACGTGAGAAGAACATGTTACTCCAGTAGCGTTGGATGCTAGGCCAGGGGCTCCAGATGATCGACGTCATGGAGTGTCGTCTCATCTCTCGAAGAGTTGAAACGAACTCTCTTTGATTCCACAGCGCGGCACTTGCATTCGAGCCTGCCCTGCGGCTCGGAGCTCGCAGCGATGCAAGCAAGGTTCCTTCGCGAACGAGATAAAACGTGAACGACCAAGCGATGAAGCCAAGGACGATGCATGAAGCCCTCCAGAGGATGGAAACTAGAGCTTCGACAGAGTTGAATAGGAGAAGGGTGCCGAGTTGGCCACGCACGTAGCCCTAGCGCTAGCGCTGGTGCTACATCAGTCAGATACATGGGTCGCCGGACGCCGGGGTCTTGATGTGGAGTTAGCAACCCTAATTCATTCAGCTACGACCAACGGCCCATTTAAATTCATGGTTTGCCAAACTCGGCGCGACGCGTCGCGTTGCGGGACTCAAAGCACACCCCACAACTGATACGAATGCACGGCGCAGATCCACGCTTCACCACTCGATTCTCATCTCAATCTCATCGCTCACAGGCCACAGCCGCCAACTATTCGTAGTGTAGAGACAGCTTCGAAGTCTTCACGATCTGCTGGAAGGCATTGGGGAGAAGTGAGGGAGAGAAGCTGGGAAACTGGACTTCTTCGGCGATCACAGTGGCATTTGTTGATGCTCATATGGTCGCATTTCAGCCAAACGTCGCTTCACCAGCTTCGGGCTTCCCATGTCCACCATGGACCGCGGCCCACCAGGCTTACCCGGACTCGCCTCGGAGGACAGTCTCCTGTGCCATAAAGGTAAGCGCTGCGCGACCCCATTTCACGGAACCGGTGCTTTCGCTGACTCCACGTCCCAAAATAAGCTGGTCTTTTGACCCCCCTCGACCTGCTTCTCGCATCACCGATCGACGTTGAAAAGCAAATAGGAGCAGGCGGCAATAATAGCCCAGTCACATCCTCTATTATGATTACTGCTAACGATGTGGTGCGCATGCAGCATGTCGTCCAACTCGCTGTTCACCCCAGATCCTCCCCTTCGCTATGGCAAGAAGTTCGACAAGCTCACCGGTCTCGCGAGAGAAACGTGGTCGATTTCGTGACCGGGTGGACTCAATTCAAAGCTACAGGCCCTGCGCTGTCTTTGTCACAGATTGTCGCCGCCACTCCCGGCCAGGATGAAGTGTCTTTGACCCTCTTTGATTATTCGTCTTTGCCGCCTGGAGCTTATCCAACATGCTCTCTCGCCTCAACCTCAGCCGATGCCTTTCTCGCGGAACCAACCACGGGCAGACAAACATGCAAGAAAAATGCACAGGCAGTCGGATGCCGAAGTGCTGAGGCATCAGGATCTCGCTTCTTCTCAGAGGGTGTCGTACCTACAGGTGTCAAAAGCCTCGACACCATGCTCAATGGCGGCCTTCGGCGAGGCACGATCACTGATCTGGCGGGTGAAAGTGGATCTGGAAAGACCCAGCTAATCATACAAACTATCATGAGTACGCTCTTGGGCATCAAGATGGTGGACGCTCTCGACTCGATAGATCTTTTCGCAGACGACCCGCAGCGCATACCTCCACTTGGGGATAGGCGTTCTCCAGAGCCGCCGCATTGGGAGGCAGCTGGAGGTGTCGCACTGCTCCTGACGGGAGGAAAAGCAGCCGCACATAAAGTGGTCAATCGTCTGGTCGAGATGGTGCAGACCCGGTACGCTTCAAGAACCCAGGAGCGTCATCCGCGGCAAGAGCAGCATCTCTCCTTCTCACAACCTACATCAAGCGGCATCTTCAAAGGTAGTGGACGCAAGCGGTCTCACAAGAGCATGCAGACCGACACCGAAGAAGCTTCACCTGCATCTAGGTCGGGTGCAGAAAGCTGCGTGCACATTCGGCGCATGCTACAGAATCTTCACATTGCGCACGCCCCAAACTTTGAAGCGCTTCATCGGATCCTACACCACACCCTGCCGAGCTTTCAAGACACTCTTTCTCTATCTTCAACACGCGGTGCGCGCCATGCAAATCAAAATTCTGCGCCATTGGACCTGATTGTGATCGATAACCTGGCGACCGTGCTCAATGAAGTCCACGGGAATAACGTCGAAGGCATGATGCAGCGCTCTAGGATGCTGTGTGATCTGTCTGAGCAGCTCAAATACGTAGCTGCAGGATCCAGCGTTGATTCGCTTGACGAGCATCGACCTCACCTCGGATCGGCAGTCCTTGTTGTCAACCATCTAGCAGACGCTTTAGAGTCAACGCGGTTGTTCTCGGAGCGATGCAACAAACTTCGTGACTCCACCACATTCAGCCTATTGGCGGATCCTGCATCGGATCTGAGCAGCGACGCTCCGAGCAACTTTGTCGAGCCGGATGACCTACATGCACCACCAGACTTTGAGCTACAAGCGGCACATTCTAGCGGGCTCATCACTTCTCTCTGTAAGCTGGACTACGCCAGCACCGGCGGTAGCGGCGGTGGAGCAGTGGACACTTTCAGCATTCCCGCTGAGGCAAACTCCAACGTCGCCTCGGGTAAAGTTGCGCAACTTGGTCCTGTCTGGACTAGCTGCGTGAATGCCCGTGTACTCCTCAACAAGACGCGGCAGCGGATTGCGCTGCCACTCTCACTGTCGGCTGCGGACTCTGCAGGCTGCTTCACGCCCTCAACAGGACAAACTGTCCGGCAAAAACACCCCAACAATAGTCAGCTGGTGTGCGTCAGGCAAGCTGCGGTCTCTTTCTCATCTTGGTGTGCTTCAGGGCTCGAGCTCGATGAACCAGCGCACTTTGTTATCACGCAAAAGGGCCTGATCACCGTGCCTCCAGATTCGATCCAATGTTCTCCAGCAATTACTGTTGCTCGAGACCCAATCAGCCAAGGGACCGCCAAGGCAAAGACCGACCCGCGACAGGAGGTGTCCCCTTCGGAAGATGAACTAGGATTTTATGGCAGCGAGCACTGGATAGATGGCTCCACTCTCACCGAAGAAGACCTCCTGCAGGCAGCTCAGGAAGCAGAAGAGGAGGCCATGCTCAGCGGTGTAGTTGCACAGGGAGCGATTTGACATTGGTATGTACTCTATGCTCAGCAATGCCGAGACCATGCGAGCATCATGTGCATGGCGACACGATCGAAGTGCTTTATCAGTTATGCTACAGCGGGCGGGCTGACGCTGGGAACATTCGTGGCTAAGGTAAGTGACGTTGAACTTGCTTTTGACGAGAGAGTGCTGGCTTTAGGATCAAGGGCCATCCCGACGATGTTGCCAAGCCGCGGTGCTGCACCTTTTGTGATGAATTCAGTTGGGACAGGCAGTTTTGCAGCGGCCAATCGGAGTGCTAAAATGCCTTACAAATGTCAGTAAAGAGGCGAACGAACAGCGCTCAATTTACAGGAGAGGCGCCTCACCTTCCTTAGCTACTTCCTGTCGAATTTCAACCGGTCCTCCGACTTCGAAGATCACCTTACCAACGGACGCTCTGTGACATGGGCGAGACGCAAGATCCTTCAGGCTTCAAATCAGCTTGAAGTATACTCGTTACACGCACCTGCATGCCCAGAACTCAAAGGACCCCTTGCCCTTTCCCATCCTTGTCTCATTACCTTTGACACAGACAGGAATATCTGGGAACACCCTCATGAACACCTGTGCTCCTTTGACGACCTTGAGCTTGCGCTTCAGTGCAGTCTCTGCACTCTGAAGCTGCTTCGCTGAGAGCCTTGCAGGAGCTAGTAGGCGGATGCCAAATGCGCCCTCTTGAATTGTAGTCCCGACGATAGAGCCTCCGATCGGAACCGGGACCCTGCCCTTATGGGCCTTGCGGTATTTGGTCCTGCGAGGCGCGAGTTGCGATCGAAAACGCACCGATCCGAGCACATTCAAGCGAAGTGCCGAGTACGCCAAATTTATCGGAGAGGGGGCTGCCGTCGGTCGCCAGGTTGACCGAAACAATGGGCCCGAGTCGGTACGCAGTGTCGAACAGGCGCAGCTAAGCCGAGAGAAAGACTGCCGAAGCCCAAGCATCATGTTGAATGAGTGGGGATGTTTGAAAGTTTGCGCTCTGGAAGGAGCGCTACAGCTGGAGCACAGCTGCGAGGAAAGAAAAACCAACAGCGAATGGATCACGCGATCACAAGAGATCTTCCTGGACGGTCTGATGACTCTTCAACTGAAGCATCCAGCTGCGGTTCTGATTACAGGAAGACTAGTTGACACTGGTCAGTGCCATTTGATGCTCCAGGTATGGAGAAGATTCAGTTGCAACAAGGTCCTGCCGTCCTGTTTTCTTTCTTTTTGAGGAGGGTTCTTTTGAAGCCACCGGCCAGACGCCTTGTGCCGCCAACGAAAGTCAAGGATTGAATCCCAAAAAGAAAGAATTTGAATATACCTTCTATTGGTTCGACAATTTGCTCAGTAGCTCTCTTGCCATAGCGCAGGCTAGCCGCAGCAAGAAATGGTACACATTGAGCTCAATTCGGTCATTCTCTATGCGAGGTGTCGCAAAGAGCAAGCTCGGCTGCGCCAAAATGCCCGTCTGAATCGCTAAAGTGTGTCACTCATACAATGTCTACCAATGCGGATCGGGTGTACGAGCAGCAGAATGATGCCTCCCTCAATCAGCTCTTCTCGAAAGTCCGATCTCTGGTGAGGTAAAATTACACATGATCACGGTGCCACGCTTCGCTTGAGCTGATAGTTGGCGGGTTTCTCCCACGGCTGTAGCGATCTGTGACCATCGATATTCATAATGACTCCGAGAGCCAGCGCGCAGGCCTGCTCTCAGAGACGTCGGATTCTTTCAATTCGTTCGGCTCACGCTTGAACAACACGTCTCAACACTTGACACGGACGATCCGTCAGGGAGCACGGCAACACCGCTTAACTCTGTACATCATTGCGGGTATGGTTGCTCTCTTCTTTGTTTGGAGACTGCTGCGCTGAAAGTGCAGATTAGGGACTTGGCATCATCGACTGAAGCAAGGGAGACGAAACAAGTCCCAGAACAGAACAGCATTACAGCGGTGCTATCCGAGCGCTTCGCGACCACCTATGTAATCTGCCGGATATCTGAGACTGTTTCATTTGCATCGAGGACGAGTGGAAAGACGGGGGGATGGTGAGATGGAAAAGGTAGGAGCTCAACAGCTTGAAAGGTCCAGTCCACGAACAATCAGAAAATGGCGGCGCAGGGCGCAGCGCGTCACACCAACACCACCGGGTCTCTCAGGCTCACACATGTTCACATGTTCACAATGACATACTATGGAGAGCACATGATTGATGAACCAAAGTACGACCGTGAGACAATCAACATTCGGAAATCCTTCCCTTGAGAGTAGGCCGACGGTCGAGCCGCAACTTCACTCGTCCATTATTACACCCAAGGGGGCAGAGCAAAGCTAACCGGCCAAATCTGATCATCGCTATGGCGGGCTCAACAAGTGAGGCAGAGGCAGGTGCCTTCGTTCACTGGCTTCAAGGAGTCCGTGCAATCGACCTCCTGGATAAGGAAGTTCATTCGATCGAGGACATATGCGATGGCACTGTACTGTTTGATGCGCTGAATCACGTGTGAGTCTCAGTCGTGTGTAATGGACCATGAACGAGCGGAGGCTGAGCCATCACAATGTGCAACGCTAGCGACGGTGAACACTTTCGCAATCCTCACGAGGACGAATTGAAAGACAATGTTGTACTGCGCATCGGCACACTCAAACGGCTGTACAAGTTAATGATTCAATAGTGAGCCGGCTAGCGAGCATGACATGATGTTCTTGTCAGCTAACACATCAACGGTCATTCAATGCCAGCATGGCCGAGAACTTGCAGTTCTCGACAGCTAAACTGGAGGAGCCGGATTTCGATGCGCTTGCCCGAATCAATGCCCCATCTGAAGCTTGCAAACTCTGCCGACTGGCGCTGATCATCGCGGTTCAAAGCGATAACAAGATGAGCTACGTTGAGGTCATTCAAGGCCTCGATCAAGGTGACCAACAGCAGCTCATGCAGAGTATCGAAATTACTAGAAAAAGCCTCGAACCAGTCAGCGCGGACGAAGACGGAGATGAATTTCTGGATATTCGAGCTCGGCAGCCTTCAGAAGAATTATCAGATGTTGCGAAGTCGCCATCTAAAGAAAGAAACAACCTCAGTCTCGAGTATCGAAACCTGGTCGCTGAGCATGAGGCCAGAGGAAACACGATTGAAGAATTGGAGGGCGAACTTGCTAAGCTGCAATCCAAGATGGGTGAGATCACCGAACAGCTCGAAGCCGAGAAGAGGAAGAGCCTGCATCAGGACCAGCGCACTGAAGTCACAAGACTGACGGAGGAGTTAAGAAAGTGCGAAGATGCTCTGGCGAGCGCAGAAGGTGAGATCGACAGGTTGCAAGTTGGGCTGCGGGAGCGGACTCGTGCGGTAAGTTTTTTTCTTGCCAGTCAGAAAGAACAAGCGTATTTTTATTCATACTCTCCTTGCCTCCCTGACAGCTTGAGGAAGCGGGACAAAAGGCGAAAGAATTCGACAGGGTGAAAGACCAGTTGGATGAGTTCAAGCATACAGTGGATAAGCTCCAAAAGGCCGAGAGCGTTATCGAAAAATACAAGAAAAAACTTGAGGAGAGCGCAGATCTTCGGCGCAAGCTCAAGGTGAGGCTGTCTTTTTCATCTATGTGCGTTTCGGCTCACTGACACTCCTTGGAACTGCGTGATGTCTATCGTAGGATATTGAGGAACAAAATTCGGAGCTCATTGATCGCAACACGCTTCTACAGGACGAACAGACCAAGATGAACAACTTCAAGCCTCTCATGGACTCGTACAAGAAACAAGTCATGGAGCTTGAGGGTAAAGCCTCAAGCCTCCAAAAAGCTGTTGATACTGCACGCTTCGAGAAGGACCAGCTAACGGAACGATTAAAGAACAGCGAATCAGCTCGTGCTTCGGAGAAAGAAGAGTTGGAGTTGTACCAGGAAAGGGTGAAAGAGCTGGAGCTAGGAATTTCCAAAGCAAGCGATTCCGGGGCGACAGCTAGCACAACAGCTATCACTAACGGTGATTCTTCAGGAGGTGGCATTGATCTACCTGTTCCTGTGCTGGATACAGAGCTCGAGGATGCTTTGACGGGAAGCTCCATGTCTGACCTCAAAATTCAACTTCGGAGGCTGAAGAGGGAGCGTGATGCAGCTGTCGCAAACAAGGCGGATGTCAGCCGCATCATTGTGCTGGAGAACCTTCTGGAGGATGCGCAGCGCATGAAAGACCACTATGAGGCAGATTATCTCAAAGAGCATCAAGCCAAATTGGTGCTGAGCCGGGAGCTTGAGGAGTTTCGAAATGGTCATTCAGCCAGTGGCGATGGGTGAGTGAAGGGGCAACTGAGCCGCGTCGTTGCAAGCGAGTTGACCTTTATTTCCTTTCTTCAGTGCTGAGGCCAACATAGCCTTGCGCAGTAGGCTTACGCAATTGGTTGAGGAGCTTGACAGCACAAAGAAAAGCATGGTTGAATTGCGAGTGCAACATGATGCACAGTCCAAAGCGCTGATCATTGCCAAAAGCGACTGTGAGTGAGGTATTTCAATTCCAATTGGTGACAGTCCTTTCACAATCTCTCCCTATTTTAGTGTCCCTCGTCAATCAAGATCAGGTTGACATCTTGCGTCAGTTGCGCGCGTCAGTCGAGGTCGAGAAACAAGGACTTGATGATGACAATTCTCGCGTTCGTGCGGAGCTCAAAGAGGCACAGGACCGGTGTAACATGCTTACGCAGCAGGTTAATGGTCTACTTATGGATAAGATCGACTTGCAAACTCAGGGTATCGGTCACCGAGATGAAGCGCTCAGACGTGAACGTAACTTGGGAGAATTAAGAGCATCCTTGGCGGGCAAGTCGCTTCCCAAGGAGGCAGAAGAATTAATTTCGGCCCTGCAGACATCGCACGCTAACAGCGAAGCGCATGCAAAGGCACTGCAGGACAAACTGACCAAGGCGCGTGCGGTGAGTCTGGTTCACGTAGCAGGTCGGGCGACGCTTACTCAACAGAACCCGTCCCTACATTTGCCAGTTCATCCGCCAGCAAGACCAGCTTCTCAAGGAAAGGCCGCGCGCGGAAGAAGCGGCGCAGGAGAGCGTAAGTGCCCGTGAATGGAGGATTATGCGAAGCTTGCTGCCTGCTGATCGTGTGACATGTAAATCAGGCACTGGAGCAAGAACTGCGTCTTATGGCTTCAGCATTTCAGGATGTCAGTCTGCGTTTGGCACAAGAACTTCACTCTGTATCACGGGGCCGGCGTACGACGCCATATCGCACGTCTTTTGCGTGGTTGGGTCAGCAGCGACGCGCTGCCGCAGCGAAACTTATCGATCGATAGAGGACGAATGTCAATGTATTCTCACTGCACACATATGATACCCATGCGAACCTAGCAACATCCGCCGCCTTGCTGTTGTTGGACGTTCTGCCCTTGCCCAACCTTGAGCGTTGCCTTTCCAGCTGTGTTGTTGACAGTGGAAGAGCCCATCCTGCAGGCCCCGAAAAGATCGTTGCAGCAATCGTGAGCGCGATGTACAAGCGATATGGGCTTCAAATCTGTAGGAGGGTACGCACCTGTCTTTGATCTGCTTTGCCATGGTCAAGAATGCCTGTTCGACATTTGTGGCACTCTTGGCAGAGGTCTCGAGGAAGGGAATGTTGAGTTGGTCCGCAAATTCCTGTGAATTCCCATGCCATTCAAGTAAACTTCGGGTTCGGAGAAAGGAGGGGTTGTGCGACAGACGAACCTTTGCAACATTATATTCGACAACCTTCTTGTTGGTCAAGTCACTCTTGTTACCAACGAGAAGCTTGTTGACGCCTTCGCAAGCATATCGGTCGATTTCCTGCAGCCATTGCTTGACGTTCGCGAATGTGTCTGCGGGAGAGAAAAGGAAAAGGTTCTTTTGGTGAGACATGCGCAAGGAATACCTGTATTGTCAGCTATTACCTTGGTCCGTCACGTCATAGACGACAATGATGCCGTGTGCACCGCGGTAATATGATGAGGTGATTGTTCGGAAGCGCTCCTGACCAGCAGTATCCCACTGGCGCAAGCGAAGAACAGTCAGTAAAATGGAGACGAGCTGTTAACTATCTGCAAGCGACTTACGATCTGCAGCTTCACTGTCTTTCCCTCCAACTCGATGGTCCTGATCTTGAAGTCAACACCGATCGCTGAAGATGCGGCCATCAAGTCAGCACCCCACTCTCCACCCGGGCCGTCACGAAGTCACACATAGCACGTCTGCGACTCCAAATGCACAGTTGGAGCTTATAGTCTTCAAATGCCGCATGTACTGGGTATCGACTCATTTGCGGCTGGGCTCCATGCCTGCGCTGCACACGTACGTGTCCCAGCAGGAATGGCGGGTGGCTGGCCATGTAAGCTCTTACGACAAGAGCAGCGGACACTCACTCGAGATGTAGCTTTCCGTGTACGTGTCATCGGCGAATCGCAAGAGCAGACACGACTTTCCGACGCCTGAGTCGCCGATTAGCAGGAGCTGAATATCAAGGAGGGTGGCACGTCAATCATTGCGTCCTTGAGAGGCACAATCGAAGGAGGGATACGAGCAGCAGCCGCAGTACTACTACTACTATTATTACTACTAGTAGTAGTAGTAGCAGTAGTAATAGCAACAGGCGGAGCCGAAGTGGAACCTGCTTTCCACTCGGCACCGAAACTCGGAGATGGGGCCCAGCGCGAGATGCTCACCTTGAAGAGATAGTCGTATTCGGGGTTCATGGTGAGCAGAGTCGAGCTTGTTATGCCGACGAGGTGGACTTCCTGTGGTGATCTTCGGTCCGCAATGTCCTTGTTCTCCGTGTCAAGATATGAAGATGCAATGGCACCATTCAGGTGGGAGAGAGGTTTGTCCTTGATGGAGGGGGGATATGTATGTACAAGTAGTCTGTCAGTCGATGACGGGAGTGGCACCAGCCGGTCATTCCATATTGACTGCAGGCGCGCGCAGCACTCCACCTCGCGCCGCGGGCGACATTCAGTACTTGGACTACTCCATAGACCCTGCTGACGTGGTGGAAGGACGGAAAGGATCACGTGACCCTACATTCCGCTCTGTCGTGGCGTAGGCCCCACCATCGGCACATCCACCAGCCCTCATCACTCTTGGTCGACTAAGCTACATGCACTTGTCTAAGAATCTAGCCATCAGCCCTGCCTTCGTAGAAATGCCTCTGCACATCTATATATTGGTCTACTGTAACTATCGATGCTCGCAACAATGGCTGCGACTTCCGCATCTCCTCGGGTAGGATAGGAATTAACGACACTATTATATCGAAACTGACGGTCCCGTCAGTCCTTTGGTATTCGTGACGAGCATTAGGTCGGGCAGGGAGTGACTCTGTAGTCAACTTGATGGTACAAAGGCATTCCATCTCACAAAAAGCTGCTAAACTTTTCGCTTCGAATTACCAAGGCATCTCCCTTCGGTGCAGAGCTTACTGCCACATCGTCTTCGCACCGCCGCAGCGCATCGACCAATCGTGATGCGCGTGATGAGTGCGGACGGCTGCATTTCCCCGCCACGATCTTGTCACGACTTTCAGAATGGTATTTCAGGTAGCATCCAGCCTGTTTGAGTTCCGAGGATTGAACCACGAAAATGAATAGGGAGCCTCATCATCGGTGGATAAAGGGCGCCAATCCAACATGCCATGGCTAACTGTTGCCGAAACAGTCGAGCTCGAGATTTCGAGTTTGTAAGCAGCTACCAGTACCTGTAGGTCAGAGCAGCACGATCTTCGGTCGAATATCGGGCTCGGCGCACGTCATCGCTGATCCGGATGCTTCATGGCATGCGCACCAACGGGCTCCTAAGCTCCTGCGCGCCTCTCGAGACGCGGCTGCGCAACCGTAAAAGCGACACTGTATGCATACGCATACACTATAGACAGCGGAAGAGAGGTAAGAAGGTCAAAGGGAGACTGCGTCTGCCTTGCGAAAGCGATGAGCTGGTCATCGATCAGAGATCAGGTATAGATTATTGACGAGCATGTAACTATCTCGCTGCAGGCGGCTGCATCACGCGTCAGACCATCAGGCTGCACCCCAGCTTTGCCCCTGCGGCGGGCCCCGGATCCCAGAATGTCCGAGACCCTGAGCTGTGCATGCTTGCAGCTGCCATCAGCGCATGTCTTGTCGTGCTTGCAGGCTGTGGCCTGACGTCTGAGTCAGCTTACAGCTGACAACCGTATGTCTTGGACGGCAAACTCGGGTCATGCGCATCTTGCGGGATCAATTCCGTTGATTCGAGTCCCCCTTGGGACTGTGGAGTCTGGACTTTGTGGGCGATGAGCCAGCTGCGTGTTGAGTGAAACGCTGTACGTGTGGGTGTTAAGGCGACGCTCATCACTGTATCTGCCAACTGCGCCGGTTGGAATCTAGACCATTGTCCAAAGAGATCTCGGGCAGCGCTCCGGGGAAGCCGTGCTCTGCTTTCTTTCTTTTTATCTCCCGCTCCGTCCGGCCGGAACCACATTTCAAGTGGACGCAAGGGTAAAGGCGTACAGCCAGTAATTCTTTCTTTTTACTTTGGATTTTCACCTCTGAACGAAATGACTCTGGACCGAAAAAAGATTGTTCAACATCATGATCAACTCCCATCGTATATATACCAATGCGTTCAATGTCGGCTGTGGCGCTTGTAGGTGATATACATCAACGCAAACGCCTCCTACCGCCTCGCCACTGAGCATCTCTCACGCCCCTCTCTACGCACCCCAGTGACAAGACCACCTATAAACGGGTGACCCGCCAGGACACCGTGTTTAGCAACGTTGCCTGGACACAGCTTCCGCATTCGGTCAGTAACGAGCATCATGCCTTCCCAGGTCTCTTATCCGAGGTGGCCAAAGAGGGACGAAGCCGCCGAGTACTATGAGTTCCCACCAGAGCACTTTCTCGCACAGCAAGTAAACCCGGCAAAGCATCGCCTGAGCTTACCGCTGTCAGCCACTGCAGAGAGCTCACAGTCGAACAACACTGACAGCGTGGCAACGACGTCCGGCCCTTCGTTCGACCAGGCGAGTCTTGCCGCCGTCTTCGAGCCATGGAAGTATCCCCAGGAAGGCTTGAACTCAGAAAATGGCATGCCAGACACCAGCACGCTCGCAGCGGCCGACTTTGATATCGACGTACGCACCGGCTTTCTTCCTCCGGAGCCGCCACTGTCTCGCTTAGATTCACCCTACCACATCTGGGAGGATTTGCTCTCTCTTGCTCGGTCATCTCATCTCCGCCTGCTTGGTGGGGGAGCATCAAGTTCTCCAGAAGGCGCTCCGCTGGCGCGTCGGTGGCGCCGTCGTGTCAGGCAGGTGAGCATCCTGAGATCAAAGTCACACACACCGCAGTTGCTGACCATTCCTTTTTGGATCGACTGAATTTGATTCTCAGATGCCTATCATTAGCATCGAGCACGACATGCACTGCGACATCAGGAAAGCTCGCAGAGGTCACCTGGTCCTCTCCTTTCTTGCACACTTCTACCTACACAGCCAACCTCAGAGCAGTCATCAGCCTGAACCCGCAACGTCGTCTTGGAGTGACTTTCGGTGGTTCAAGACGTCTGCTCCGGACAACGAACTCGAGGAAGAAGGTCGAGGCGCTCATCTGGATGACATTCCAGCTCCGATCTCCATCCCACTGGTACAGCTCAGTGAAGTGCTCGGCCTTCCTCCCATCTTGACGTATGCGACGACAGTCTTGTGGAACTGGGAGCTATCGGATCCAGCACGCGGGCTGACTCCGGACAATGTCAAGATCGTCGAAACCTTCACAGACACTGAGTCGGAACGTCACTTTTACCTGACATCTCTCCTCATCGAAATGAGAGGTGTTGAGGCTCTCACGCTCATGCGACAATCACTAGACGAAGCGTTTGTCGGCGACCGACTCGCCTCTAAACGGCTCACGGACTATCTCGAGCGGCTCGCGGGTGTCATCAGCGACTTGACTCGCATCCTTGCTAAAGTCAGAGATCATTGTGTACCCGCCGAGTTCTACTGGGCTATCCGACCATGGTTCAGAGGTAGTGATGCATCATTGGCAGGGCGCGGATGGCACTATTCAGGAATCGATCCGGAGCACGTTCGGCGAAATTTGGGAGGACCGAGCGCGGGCCAATCGTCCCTCATTCATGCTTTGGATGTCTTCCTTGACGTGGACCACTCCAGACGAAAGGAGCGCCTCCGCGACCGCACGCCTCGTTCTGTCGATTTGGGACCATCAGATGCCACATTCATGGAGCGCATGTCTTTCTATATGCCCAGGCACCATCGAGACTTTCTCCATCACCTACGGTCCTTGTCCTTTGAAGATGTGAGCCAGTCTGAGCCACCAACTACTACCTCACACCAAAGCGGAACACCACATCCCGTTCGCGCATTTATAATTGACCGCATAGGCACTGAGCCCACATTGTCCTTCGCCTACGACAAAGCTCTTAAAGCTCTGAAGAGCCTGCGCGACGAGCACATGAAGGTGGCAGCGCTCTACATCATCAGCCAGTCGCGCAAGAGCCCAACAGCAGTGCACGCATCCGATGATCTGCAGGTACCGATCACGGTTGCACCGACAGGAAGGGAAACGACTTTGGTTGGCACTGGCGGCACAGACCTCGTCCAGTTCCTTAAAGATTGTCGCATCAATACTGTCGATGCCATGATTCAACCAACGCATTGATTGCAAGCAATACACCCGTTCGCCTTGATAGAGCTCACCGCATTGCACCCATTTCCAGTTGTATGACAGTACCAAAATAGATCCTTGCATCATCTCATATTCGTTTCTTTCGCGCAAGTCTACTATATGATCTAGTGGACGGTCCTATCACATGATACGCTATATAGAGATGGCCGCGGTGATGCCAACACATGTTATCATTTTTCTCGGCCAGATCTGATGAGTCTGTCAGCAGATTACCCCACTGCTATGATGCGCTCAGAAAATAGTAGGCAGCGAGGCAACGTCGCAGAGCACCACGCCAGCTATTTAAGGGCGCTGGGCTGACTAGTCGCCAGAGCAGCGCTTGGAGGTGTGGCACCCTTACGTATTTGGGAACGTGTTTGGATTGATCTGAACGAGAATTGATGGGGAGCGTGATTTGCCTTTCCGGAAGTGGCATCCTTCGCAACGCCAACATATTGTTCTTTTTGAGTCCTGACCTTTGACAGTGCCTGAAAGTGTAGTCGATTTTTTTGCCGTTGATACTTGGGGATGAGAAGATTTGGACAAGGCGAAATGAAGCCTGGCGACACTGGCGAATGCCAGGTGCACTTGTTCTGCACAGTATAGATCTGCATGTCAACAGATAGGATAGCTGCTCGCCCCCAGCTGTCATTTTGAGAGGTTGCAAAGGCTCGCTCGTAGGTACATTCAGGCTAGATTCTTCTCGTTGAGCGAAAAGCTAACATGATATTGTGATATTCCGAACTTGCGTCCGAAATTGACAGCTACAGTATGTTGATATTTGATACTTTGACAGTTGCATCATTGCTTCACACAACCGTGGAGACGTTACTATGGCGTCCGTTTACAGCTTTCGTGACGGGGCCCGCTGATAACGAATTAATTTTAATCTTTGCAAGCTAGATAATCCTAGTGTACGCTTGGCGACAAAAGTTTCCCAAGTTCCCATGTACGCCACGCGCTCTCATTGACTTTCCCCTTGAGTCTAGTTGAGGTCAGAGCAAATATTGTGGAAATGGCATGTCCGGAAGATATTGTCATTTTGTATGTTTGACCGGCCGATGCCTTTGGTCTGGATGAGCATACCATTATAAAAGTAGAATACAAGGGGTCATAGCTGGATGCACTGTCAATGCTGAGGGTGCCACCTCAATTGTTTCATCTCTTATTGTATAGTACGGAGGGGAACGCATTGAGAACAGGTGAGGATGGTGGATGATGATTAATGTGTCCCGGTTGACCGCACTGCCTCAGTTGGACCAAGCAAGTACAAGCGGCACCACTGTGGTTGCTGCAAGCAATCGATCACCCTTCCTAAAGTTGGCTGATCCCTGCATGCTTATCATTTATGTGGAGTAGCACCTGTATATGCGGATTGAACCAGCATACAAACAAAAGTTGTGCCATGAAGGGCAGGGAAGATCAGTATTAGAGGGATGGCTGATTATGACCAAGATACTTGCTCTGACCACTTGTTGTCCTCTACACTGCACGCGCTCTGAGTGCTGTGTGCAACTCTTAATACATTCACAAGATGCCAGCTTTCACGCGCAGCCTCTGTAGCTTGTTTCTTGCCTTCGAAACTTTCATGAGGTTCGATGGTGTTATATGAGCTGTGCTGCCTTCGCGACAACCAATTGATGCCGCCTGACGAGATGAAACGCAAAGCCTGTCATAGAGTACTTTTTCTTGCCGTTGCGCAATCTGAATCACAGAAGCTGACTAGATTCTTACCGCTGGCGCGCTTGTACTCGATCCCGAGATTGCAAGTCCCTCAAATGAACCGCATGATTCTCTTGGCAGCTCGCCAAGCTGCTGTTGTCGGCTCCGCACTGGCTTGCCCCGCGCTAGCGGCCGAGTAAGCCGTGTCAGGCTGTATCCCAAGTGCGAGATAGAGCAAAGGTCCGATGGCAGCAGGGTAGAAATGCTTAGTCCCGGTTGTCTCGCTAACGTCAACATTCCCCTGCGCGGCAGAGAGGGGAGTTGCGATAGCCTTACAATTTGCTATGTCCAACCTTCAAGGTGTCGGACCCTGCATAGGCCGCCTGATCAATGAAGATACTGCAGGTGTGCGTGTTGCATCGGGTCCATGGGCAGCAGGCCTAGCAGTCGAAGCGTCGTCTCATGATGCTCGGTTGTGATGACGAGGTCGTCGACCTAAGCCGTCAATGTTGTGAAGTTGCCATCGAACATATACGTGGAGAGTCACTAGTCGCCTTTGCCACTGGCAAGGCCGATCTGCGAAAAGTTCGTGTCGAGCTTACTGTGCCCGCTCCGACCTACTTGCCGTACTCCGGAAATGCTCTTGCGCAATCGCAAGTGATTGATGACCAAGCGCTGCACTCAGGCGTGTGGTTCGAGGTAGACTTTTTCCTCACAGTCGCCGCCATGGTAGACAGTCTCGACGTCTACATGTCTAAATGATGGAGATGACAATTGTTCATGGCGGCCAGAGCAATTAAAGTGCCGGTGCGGGTGATCAGCCAGGAGGCAGCCAGATAAGCCTCATGATACCCCCTCCCCCCCGCTCGAACTGCAAGAAATCGCTGGTCACTAGTCTCACTATATACTTCTGTACATTGCTGTTGCTGTTCTGTTTGAACGTAAACCCATTTCGCACTCACGGCTCGTCGGCCCGATTGTAGTTTTGCATCTACCCTTGTTCCTTTCCTCTTGTGACTGTCAAGTTTATAATTGATTGCCTTTGCCCATTTGTCAGTGTCGTCGCTTTCGTATTGGTGTGAGACTCTACTGGATCAGAAGGAATTGTGGTTGATAAGTAGAATGACGCCACGCGTCAGAACCCGCCTGACGACTTGCCAGCACGAGTTGACCGTCTCAAAGTGGCCTCTTGGTACCCATTGTAATGATCGCTCCTCGACTTGTTGCGTTTTCGCCTGCGGCCGCGCCGGCTGCAGTTCCCTCCCATCGTCAGTGTATGCAGGTCTGTTGGGCGTCTCAATGGTCCTGAAGTGACGTGTTGAGACCAGATATGGTGCTTCAGGCTAAGGATCCAGGCATGGTACATCGTGGCCCTGTTATACCCTGCGAGGACGCCCTTGATTGTGTGGACTCGTCCGCTTTGGTGCCTTGAAACTCTCCATCGCACACAACATAGGCCATTGAGCCTATTACACGGAGGTGACCAATCAATATCTTGCGATTATTGTACGCTTCTGGAGGCCGAGTTATTGTGGGGCCATTGTGACACAGGAGGCTTGCGCAGTGGTTGTGTAGGCCGCTGCTGCGACCAACTCACCCAAGAGTGCCTTGTCCAGATTCGACTAACTGCTCCAGGCCCGGACCATGTTGAAGAGTGTCAGATCAAGGCGCTCAGCGGCACCCCTTCTGTGAAGCGTGTATAGGGCTGACCCTTCGTTTCGAGTACCGTTTCGTCAGAGGAATTGCTGCACCGGCATACCGATATACTCGCTACCGTTGTCCACGTGGAGGGCCTTGATCGCCTCCTCTACTTTGCGAATCCAGTTATCGATGACGTCGGTAATATTCTTGCGAGCTGCCAATGTGTGAGCCCAGACCTTGCCCGTCTCGCATCTGTGAAGGTTAGGAAGGAGTGCGTGCCATTTACGCGCTGCATGGGCATAGGTCCAACAATGTCCGTGGCACCTTTCAAACACATCCCGTGCTTGCCTTTCTTCCCTTATGGTGCTGTATGGGGAGTGGTCCGCTGCTCCGAGCGCGCACGCTTCACATGCGTAATCAGCTTCAGCAACAGGTATGCCCTTCGAATTGCAGGTTGCATTGCGCGAGTTACGCCCTGTGTGATTGAGGCGTCCGTGCAACAACTCAACATTCGCATCTGCACAATCTGCGTAGGCCAACATGTTCTGCATTGCATTGGTGGTTCCCTGCATTATAGGCCGAACTAGGATGCCATTGTGCAATCCCCCACCCTTGTAATCACCATACCGTCTCCGCTGCCCAGGGGCGACACGATGAATGCATTGACCAAATGCGACAATGGACTAGTTCGTGTTACGACCGGCACGAACAAGATTGTCAATATCTATCTTAAGAATGCACTTGAGATCCAAGGGCATGCAGCAGGACCTCATCAATGCTAGCGGAGTGAACCTTGCAGAGGTTGGCGGTTGCATTACGCTTAAGAAGGATGGGACTATGCCTACCATGGGCCCATAACCTGTTGAAAAGATGGCTCGTTTCGACCAAGTTAGGATGCGCTGACCACTTGCTGTTCATTATGCTACACGAGCTCTGGGTGCTGTGTGCCTGCGGCCCTTCACTTATCCACAAGGTGCTGGCTTTCACGTACAGCCACTGTAGCTTGCTCCTTGTTCTCGAACCTTCCACGACGTTCGGTGTTCTTTGGTCTGTGTTGCTTCAACGTGCTTAGCCGTGCTTTGCTTCGTTGACTCATGCCCCCAGCGCTGCTGCTCTCTCAACTCGATCTATCGTTATACGGCCTCCATCCGGGTGTATACCAATAGGACAGTTGCCTTCACGCCGTGCTCATTGACCTAGGATGGACTCACAAAATCACGAACAATGGCATCGACCTCAGTGTATCTGGCTCCTGCGCTACTGTTGGCTTTAGCTCGACTTTGTTACTGGGCTCTTGCTTGATGGGGTTGGCATCCAGGAGTGATGGAACGGGCATAAGGACATCGCTTACAGGCAGTAGAATCAAGCTAGATCCTCTCAGGTAAGGACAAATTGCCCGTTAATGTACGAGTGCGTTCTACGTTGAGTGATTTCCACTCTGATGGAGGACATATAGCGATAAATGGAGCTTGCATACGAGATAGTATTAGTGAGAGAAGTGAGGCGGCTGACGCGAGCAGAAATGTTGTGGCAGCAGCGCACCCCAGGTATACCATCTTGGCGTCAATGGCATCCATTGAGCATCCACGAACCGCTTCGATGAGGCCAAAATGTGGACTATCGCCAATTGTGCAACATGCTGTTAGAAAAAATAGTGCCGTTGACGAGGTGATTAAGACACGGATTGAACATAGGGACAGTGGCGACGACAGTGCTAACTGTGAACGCGATCGAAGCTTCTACGGGGAACGCTCTCCCCCTCGCGTTGAATTGCTGCTCCAGCTCAACTCTTGTCAGAGAGCTTTGCTTGAACGCAGAGGGGAGTGTTTTCTAGCCTCAGTTCTTGTTCCTCTGCCTCAGCTGCTTAAAGCCGGTACTGATAATGATTGACAGATGACAAACTACTCGTCTGCAGTAAAGTGTCCAGCAGTTTTTATCGGAACAAGGTTTTTGAAAGGGTTGAACACTGCGACCTTTGATAGGGAGCACACCGCTCCAAGCTTGAGCTGGAGGAGCCAGGGCAAGATTGATAATACTGCTTCATGAACTATGCAATCGATAAAGTGGATAGGCATGTTTATCACATTGCCGATGTGTGTATGAAGTGGAAGGGAGCGTGTCGAACAATCGAGGGAAATTCGGCAACCATGGATGCTATAGGCGACCATATAACTCTTGAGACATTTGTAAATAGTGGACCTTGAAAGGTGAATGCGGTTTAAACGGCTTCATAGTGAGGGTCTGGGCAGGTTGGGGCCAAATCGACTGCAGGTGCCTGCGTGTAACATGCTCAGTCTCGCAAAGTTTTCCGGATAGATGTTGAACATGCAAAGCTGTCGCACTCGCACAATCGAATCGCAGGAACATTAAACACGCTTCGCCCATCACTTCCGACTCAGACCATGGTAAGCCTAGCATCGTGAGCCCGAATGATGATGATACATACAAGCAATGCATGGGATGGAACTTCAGGGGATGTCCAAGACGCCCTTAAGTTTCTTGATTAATTTCTTTTCGTCTGTCGAAATACCATCCCACTGTACGAAGCAGCATGGTGGTAATCAGTGGAATGGATTGTCTTGATGTTGCTAAACTACTCACAAAGTTATCCTTCAAAGCGTCGATACTACTTCTGCTGATGTGACTGAGCAGTTCGTCCTAGAAGATATTCACAATGGGATGAACAAGGTCAGCTGAAGGTCGAACGTGCATTGCCTTCACTTTGCTCACCTTCTCATCAAAGTGCCGGCCGAACAGCTTCGAAGTCTCGTTGAGCGAAGTTTCAATTTTGACAGCAACACCGCCACCGACCTCGCTCTTGAGCACAATATCTTTCGTCCTGTGGTTAATTCTGATATGCGCAGTAAGCTATCAGCAAAAATCTCATATTGCGTGAAGCTTTGGTCCACAGCTTACTCTAGTGACGTGACCCGACCAATATTGATGATGGCCTTTTCAAAAAATATAAGTAGGTGAGCTCGAAGCCGAGATTCTCAAGAAGCGACCATCCTCACCTTCTTCTTCGTCTCTGGGTCCACCTTGACGACGCAAAGAGGAGTACCAACTCGGAGCGACCCCTCAATGATGTCGCAACCGAGAATGATGGGGTCACGCTTCGCAAAGGCTGCGATAGTCTTCAGGCGGCATGGCCAGACCGCAACGGGAGCCGCTTCACGTTTCTTTGCCTCGACCATCTCCGCATTGTACGCAGTAAATGCATCAAAGAGATGGTAGATGATGTCGGCTTTGAAGACACGAATGCCCAGCTCCTCCGCAAGCTTCGCTGCATCCTTGTCTACATCGACATCGAAACAGAGCATGCATGCAAACTCCTTTGCCCTCTCCAACATGGTTGCACAGCGCATGACGTCCCTCTTGTAGACGGGTCCGATGTTGATACCACTGACGGGGATCTTGCTGACCCGCAGGAATTCAAGCAAGGCCTCCAATGAGCCAAGGGTCGAGGCCTGCACGCAAACGCCCTTGCCACTCTTGTCGATGGAATTGAGAAGGCTTGTGAGGTCCGACATGACTTCATCCTTGAGATCCTCTTCATCATCGTCTTCCCCGCACACGAGCAAGCGGGAGCCTGCGATGGCCTTCTCGAGATCCGGCGCAGTAATTTTGACACCCAGGGCGGCTTTGACTTCCTTGTGGTGTACGTACGCACCCTTGACACGCATCTCCTTCAGCGGCTGCGGCGTGAGCAGCGCTCGTACTTGTGTGACGATGGGCCCATTGAGACCGCAGACAACGATCTTGTTCCCCTCGCGCAGGACACCATTGGAGAGTACGACGTCGATCGTCGTACCAAGCCCCTCAATGACCTTGACTTCCAGAACGGTGCACTCAAGTTCAGAAAGATACATGAGACTTTCGCTCATGCGATTCTGCGTCAAGTTGACAATGAGCTGGAGCATGTCTGGGATGCCCTCGCCTGTGTGTGCAGACGTAGGCACGAGCGACACATTGCGACTAAAGTTCTTGTTTTCGTAGTAGAGGACCGCATTCAGACCTTGCTCGGCGAAGGCAACGATAGTCTTGGCGACTCGGTCTTCGAATTCCTGCTGAGTAGATCTGTTCTGTTTCGCAAGACTCGCTCTGAAGCCTCCATTGGGAGTAGCATCCCAACCATAGAGACGATCGATTTTGTTGAGTGCGACGATGAATGGTGTTTTGCGATCGCGTAGCAGACGAATACTCTCGAGGGTCTGTGGCTCGAGACCGTGCATGATGTCTACGACGAGAATGGCGATGTTGCAGAGCGAGGACCCACGAGTACGGAGATTTGTAAATGACTCGTGACCTGGAGTGTCGATGACGAGCAAGCCTGGAATCTTGTAATCGAATTGGCCTTCGGGATCGATGACAGCCGTTTTCTGCTTGATGTTTTCAACAGGGAAATAAGTAGCACCAATCTGCTGCGTGATACCACCGGCTTCGCCCTCCTGTACATTAGTTTGACGAATCTTGTCCAACAGCTTGGTCTTGCCTGTGTCTACGTGACCAAGAATGCAACAAATAGGGGAACGCAGATTGTCTTTGCTTCGTGCTGCCAAAGCCTCCTCTGTACGCGCCTTGCGCCTCTCAGCTGCCTCTTGCTTTTTCTGCGCAGCCTGACGCTGAATCGCCGTCATGCCCTCGTCCTCATCTTCATCGCTGCTGTCATCGTCATCCGAATCGTGCGAGTCCGAATCAGTGGCCTCGCTATCGCTGTCACTCCCTTCGTCCTCGCTTTGCTTTGTAGCTGCAGGAGCTTTGCCCTTGGCACCTGTGGAAGGGTTTGCGTCGGATTGGCGAGCTGAGGCTGATGCAAACGCTTTGCCATTGCTTTGAGCGGAGCATCCAATTGGCTTGGTTGACGCCGCGGCCTGTGCGTCGTCATCGCTTTCCGCAGCCCAATCGTCCTTCACCTCATCGTCCGACTCTGCATCCCATGAATCTTTGACATCCTCCTCTGCCCCCTCCTGTTGCTTCCACTCAGCCTCCGTAGAGCCTGTTGCCTCAATTGCAACCGGCACTACCGGTTCAAGCACTGATTCCGCTTTTTTATCTTGCTCGGGCTGCTCTTTAGCGGCTGTATGAGCATTTTGTTGGGCAGTCTGTTTGGAAGTGTCCGCCGGGCTCTTCTTCTTTTTCCTGTTGTCGTAAACGACCTTGCGCTTGGTCTCAGCGCCACCCTCGGCGTCCTTGAGGCCTTCGACAGTAATTTGACCGCTCTGAATCATAGCCTTCATGCGCGCCTCTGCTGCTTGCTTTTCTGCCTTTTGCTTGGGTGTGAGGAGCTTACCCTCCTTCTTCAACTGCTCTCGCTTGAGGCGCTCTTTCTCCTTTTTGCGCTGTCGCTCTGCCTCCTTGCACTCCTCTTCCTCCCGCTCCTGCCTTTCGATCTCTTCAAGGCGTTTTCTCTCTGCTTCCTCGACAGCTCTAATGCCCCCCAAATATATTAGAAAACAGACACTTACGCACCCACCCGGTCGTATTCGACTCACCTTGCCTCTTCTTCCGCCTTCCTTCTGGCCTCAATCTGCGCTCTCAGTGCCAAGACAGCAGCAGATGGCTTCTTGCCCGAGGCAGGTGCAGGCTGCAGAAAAGTGATGTAGCTTGAATTCAGCCGACTACATGTACAACCTCTGATCTCTTTTGATCGGCAACTCACCTGTGCCTCGGCAGCTTTCTTCTTCTTTTTCTCTATTTGTGAGAACAATGTGTGGGATTAAATGCTGAACGTTCTGCAAAACGACTCGATTACCAGCGTCAAGCTCTCACTCTTCTTCTTCTCCGCGCTCGCGCCGTCCCCCTCTGCCTCATCGTCGTCGTCCTCATCATCGTTTGCTGCAGGCGCGGATGCAGGCTCGGATCCTGATGCGACTCCCGCCTCCTTTGAAGGCGATGAAGCATCGTCAGGTTCTGCAGAATTGCCAGCATTTGCCTTCTTGGCCGCAGCCTGCGCCTTTTTCTTAGCTTTTTCTTTCTCCTTCTTGAGCTTTTCCTTCTCCTTCTTGGTGAGTATCCGTGGCGTATCGCCATCGGTCTCTTCACCTGCCTCGGGCTTGTCATTCGATTCCTTCGCATCTGCCTTTTGACCTTCTTCCTCGGTTTTCTCCCTGGAAAAGGATATTGAAAAGCTCGTGAGCAATCAGTATCAGGCTTTGGGGTCTTGTGGCGGCACTCACTGTGCAATGACCTGATTAGGGGCATCGGGGCCGAGCTGCTCAGCCTCTTCGCCAAGTTCGTCCCAATTTACCTCATTCTGCTTTTTCTTGTTTTTCTTTGACCCCTTTGCTGCGCCCTTCTTGATGGTGGACATGAGACCACCAAAATCCTCGTCATCATCATTTCCGACAGGCGCCGAGTTGCCTGTCAGAGAGGCGCCTTTGCCGTTGGCTTCTACAGCAGCATCACCAGTCTCGGTAGCTCTCCCTGCAGTCGCATCGCCGCTGGGAGCTACTGACTCGCCCAGTTCATTCTCCCTATGGGAAAAGCACGCACAAGCACCAGCATAGCGGGACACTGGACATCAGCAAACATACTTAATGTTGGCTCAGAAATGCTATGATCGCATGCATGACACACCAATCGTCATCCGCCTTCTTCTGCGCCTTTTTCTTGCCCATCTTGGGTGAAGGAATAGAGACTTTCGGTCTCTAAGACGGACAAGTTTTGTAGCTGGTGTTTTCGCTCGGCTGAGCGATATGTCTGGTAGTTGCGCTGAGATGATGGCAGTCGATACTCAGATCGATGGCCTCGCGCGTGCAATCATTTACTGAGATGGATTTGAGTCATGTATAGTTGAGCTCTCTCTCGCTCTACAGGAAAAAATTGCATCTCTGTTTCGGCCGGGAGGATAGCTCGGCCGTTGTCCGTTTTGTAGCACCATTACGTAATTATACAAGCCAATGCGCTTCGCCGGCACACGCGGCACCACCTCAGATAAGGATTTGTTGAGCCGAGCTGCGCGAGCGGACTGACTGAGCACAGCATATTAAGCATGTCACAGTACAAGACAGGTACGACTTTGGCTGCGCAGCAGCTTCCATTCCATTGTCCGACCGACATGGCAACGTCAGCGTCATTTGCAGGCGTTGGACTTTCGTGCTTCGCAGGTATAAATTGCCCCCATCGCACGACGCTCTCGGCGGCGCGCTCCTCACGGAATCTACTCTTGTCCCTGTCCGATCAACACAACATGGCACAAGCAACCAGCAGCACTCTTGGGGCGACCGCCTCCCCATCGCCTCCCCATTTCTTCCTCTGCTCGGTCAGCCTCAAAGGAAATCTCGCAGCGGAATGGCCAACCCTGGCTTCGGGGTTGATTCCGTATGCAATCGGCAAGCTTGACCCGGATGTTCAGACTGATCATGCGACGAGCATCAACGATGGCCACTCACAAGGCACAGCAATGCCTGCAGAACAGCTCAAGCAGCTCGAAGACCAGCTCAAGGATGTGAAGTGGCAAGTAGAGCAGCATCTTCGCAAGTACGCTCTAGCCCAAAACGCCCTCCCTATTCTCCAAGACCGCCAACTACATGTCGAGCTCGCCACTGGCGTTCCAAGGGCGCCGTACTTTGGCATCCTCTCCATCCCTTTTTGCTCTTCCTCCGCCGAGCTGCGCATGAGGCTAGGGCCCACCACCATCCTCGCCGCGCATGTTTGGTTCAAAGATGACCCGCAGAGACCCAGGTTGCACCATGCCGAGATCGGCAACGACCGCCTTGAAATCGACACTGTCCCCAACCTCATTGTCAATGCATGTCTCATGTCGGCTCAACGCATTGCCGTTGGACCACCTAAGCAGTGGAATACGAATGTCAGAACAGACGCTGACATCCGCCACTTTCGTCGCAAGGTCGAGCTGAACGTCAAAAATCTGTTCGGCCTGAACGACACCGTCGAAGTAGTGCTCCTCTTCAGGCGTCCGAGTAGCGAATCTCTCAGAGCTCTATCCAAGCATAGCAGCAAGCGTAGCTTCGAGCTTGCAGTCGCTGAAGCAGTTTCCGACCAGAAGCCCCTCGGTGTCGAAGTGCGACTCAAAGGTCCGCTGCCTGAGAGTTGTAAGCTTTCCCCCAAACCCTCGCTACAGACCCTGGCTGCGGAGCCGCCACAGGCGGAGAGCGCTGCACAGCCCAAAGCCAGCGATGTCGTTGATCTCCCCCAACTTCGCACCTTGCTTGCCGACACAGTCAGCAGCTCCGTGTCTTTCCTGCTCGATGGAGCACACCAAAAGCTGACGAGCACGCTCAACGAGCATCTCGCTCGCTTCGTCGAAATTGTGTCCGAACACTCCGTCTCCATTGAAGAGGCTCGCTTGAGGATCAACGAAGGACAGACGCCGTCCACTATGACTGTTCCGAAGCACGAGGCGGCTTGTGACCTCTGCGACACGATGATCCATGGCGTTCGACGCAAGTGTGCCGTCTGCCCTGACTTTGACTGCTGCGCGACGTGTGCACCTCGCCTGCCCGATGTACACGTGGGTCACGGTTTCTTTGTTTCTAGAGATCCCGCTGCTTTTCCGCAATGCAGCCAGCGATCGCATTATGCATGGTATCACCCGAACGTCATTTGCGACAATTGCGATAGTGGGATCACTGGCACAAGATACAAGTGCATCGCATGCGATTGGGACTTGGTGAGGTGTCTTGTCTCCTTTTCGCAATCATTACATGGATGCAAGTATTTGACGTTAACATCTCCCATTTTTCTGGTGTGCAGTGCCAAGTCTGTGAGGCTGATCCCGCGCAGGACCACGCTTCCCTTCATGGTCTTAATCACTTGTTCCTTAAGATCGACAAGCCGTTGGGTCGGGAAGGCGGGTTTTCCGGTAACAGCGCCACCACTTCAGCCGTTGCAAGAGCCCAAGAGTACGTCCGCGAAAAGCTGAATGCGTTCGATGTGCGGGCCAGCGGCAGCTCATCCTCCCCGCCTTGTGCGGAGGTGCCATCCGTCAGTCTAGACATGCACGAGGTCCGTCCTTTTGCTTCTGCGCCTGTGGTCTCCTCTGCTGCTCAACCCAACCTGGTTGAAGAGAAGAGAGCCCTGACAGCTTCGGCGTGTGTGCCGATGGGCGAGAAGCAGGGTCTCCTGCTTGTCGAGGACGGCGCGCCGTTCAATGGAACCTACTTGCCTATCGGATGCCAATTCACCAAGGCCTGGACGATCAAGAACGTTAGCACACAGGCAATTTCGCACCTTGAGCTGTCCCACGCTGCAGGTGAGACTTTCGGAGCAAAAACGGCATTGGTCAATGAGGGACGCCCGTTGCAGTCGGGCGAAAGCGTCCAGGTTCCTCTCGACCACCTCGTTGCGCCGACGACCAAGGGCCGCTCCCAAGCTCTGTTTAAGCTCAAGGGTTCAAGCCCCCACTACGAGACGTCACTCGGTCTCTGGGTCGACATCAATGTCACAGCCATCGATGAATACGAGGAGTGCAATGGAAGCGGCAGCGGCACCTCCAGCATCCTTGTCCCGCCCGAGCCACCGACAGTGAGCTCGGCTGATGTTTTGATGGCTCTCGGTGGTCACCAAGCCGACGAGACGCAGCAAGTTACTCTGGAGCCCGGATCGGACGCCACACCCACGTCGAGCGTCACGATTGCTGGATCCGAGTTTGACTTTGGAGGTTCGCACACGCCTGAAAGCAGCGCAAGCCAAGAAGACGGCTACATTTTCGTCGACGACTCGGAAGAATCTTTGGAGGATGGAGAACAATGAACAGCTCTCAACGAGCGAATTGTTTTAATCGCCCCATGTTTCATGAGTCAGTTGCAGGAATATAATAAACCCCAATAAACCTTGTTACAGAAGACGATGATGGAAAGAGTGAGCCTCGCCTGCTCTCGACTATTGTAGTGTAGCAAATTGATGTACATCTGTGCGTGAATTTTCCCCTTGCAATGTTCATGATTGCCCTTGCGTTGAATGCCAACCGTCGAGAATCTGTCTGACGACTGAATCGCCGACGACCTGGCGCAGCTCCTGCTCTTCCTGAGCGGTCAACTGCACTTGCGTATCCCCGGTGGCGTGCACCTGTCCTGCTGCTGCTGCTGCTGCTGCATCTTGCCGTACCTGCGCCCGGCTCATGATCTGATGGACCCGCTCCATGGTCTCATCCGCGCGATGGGCCGATAATCGATCCGCGTCTCCGCTGTCGCCACTCGCCGCAAATGCTGCACTGGCGATCGCGGTCGAGTGGTGCTGTTGCTGTTGCTGCTCTTGCTCTTGTTGTTGCAATGCTGCGAATCTCAATTCATCTTCATCCTCCTCTCTCGGTGGGATGGGCGCTCCTGTTACTTCGGAGAGATAGACGGCGAGCCCGTCGTGGTCATTCTCGACCGCCGCGTCGAGAGCCTGCGAGCGGAGCACCGATGGTCGAAAGCAAATGGTGTTCGATGCTGACTTAGTTCGTGTGTACCGTCATGACTGTGAGGCCCACTCACCGTCCTTTCGTCGTGATTCCTGTGCTTTGCGTCTGCACCAAAGTCTTCGATGAGGATGCTGGCGATCTCCGGCTGTTCTGTGACAAAGAGGGGAGTGTCACCGTCCGAGTCGGTGACGTTGACTGCGTCCGGAGGACATTTGGGATGGCTGAGAAGGTATCTTCTGATGACCATGAGAAAGATATGAGAGAAGAGGGAGAAAGGGTTAGCGTCACATTTTGCAATTGCTTGGTGCTGTACGCCTGCACGCACAACACTTCAGCGTGTCCGTAGGAAGCTGCAGCGTGCAATGGCGTGTACGTGAATTGATCGGCGACGCTGGGACTCATACCTGTTGAAAGGGTTGGAAACACGGTCAAACGTTATGCCACGACATGAAGCATACCTTGCGCTATTCCCCCTCACCTTGCTCATCGACAAGGTACTTAACTCGCGCAAGGTCGCCTTCGCCGGCTGCCTCCCATATGTTGCTGCTGCTACTGCTGCTGCTAGCCGCCGCTGCCGTCACGTCATTTCTCAGCGTGGGAACGGACATCTTGCTACTGCTACTGCTGATAAAATGCTGCTACTGTGGGACGTGGATTGAGTGAGCATCGCAGTCTCGAGGGATGGACCTATGCACAAGTGACGTTAGAAGTGATAAGCAAGGGACAAGTGCTTTGAGCAAAACGGATGACGAGTGGCCTGGAACTCGGAACGCGGGATTCGGCATAGAGACTCCACTTATATGGAGATGCGCTCGGGCTAGGTTAGTTGGATCGGCGCTGATCGGCCGAGCAACGCAAAGCCGCTCCGCTAAGTGGTACCGGGCTGATTGACTTGGACTCGGATGCGAATAAGGCCATAGAAGATTCACGAGTTTTCGAGAGCTCAGACACGTGGTTCGTAGCCATCCAGTCGAGTCGATCGGTCCTGGGACTCCTTGTTTGGAATGCCACAGGTCGAGGTAGACTTGCACACGCCCCAGCACGTAGACATTATCCACACAGAACGTCATACAGCTCCGCACCCTTCAATATACACATCTCCCTGCTTGCGCTACGTCCCCCTGTCCATCCGTGCGCCGCCGCCCTGACGTCGACTCGGACGGGTCCACCTCCACCTCCCAGCTTGCTGGCAATCCCCTCTTGCTCATCCAGTTCGGAACTCGCCCATCTTTACTATGGCGCAACGACAACCCCTCAAGTGGGACAAGGTTCACCCAAAGCACAGCGAGCACTTTGCTGCCTTTCCCTCCCGTAGGTCCACTGTCATGGGCTCCAGGGGCATGGTCGCCTGCTCCCAGCCTCTCGCCGCTTCCGCTGGCATAGCCATCCTCGAAAAAGGAGGCAACGCGGCAGACGCCGCCGTCGCAGTCGCGGCAGCGCTCAACGTGACTGAACCTTGCAGCACCGGTATCGGAGGCGACGCTTTCTGCCTCTTCTACGACGCAAAGACCAAGGATATCCGGGCGCTCAACGGCAGCGGCAGAACGCCAAAGGCCATGCCCCTCGAGCGCCTCCGCGAGAGTGGCGTCCAAGGCGAACAGATTCCTCTGACCAGTCCACACGCCGCGACGGTCCCCGGTGCAGCATCCACGTGGGTCGACACGGTCCACCTCCTAGGTAGTGGAAACGTTCAGCTCAAGGACGTGTTGGCACCCGCGATCCAGCTCGCAGAAAACGGGGTCCCAGTCCACGAGATTGTGGCCGAGGCTGTACGTCCTTCAGATTACGCCTGCCTCTGCTTGATGTAAGGCTACAGCTAACGAACTGACCCTGTCCCATTGCTCTGAGAGCAGTGGAAAGTATCGGAAAAGACTATCAAAGAGGCCAGTCCAAATGCTAACGAGATGCTGCTGCACGGCAAGGCTCCTCGTGCTGGCGAAATCATGGCGATGCCCAACCTGGCTCGGACCTTCCGCGAGCTTGCCGAGCACGGAAAAGATGGGTTCTACAAAGGCCGTGTCGCACAGGCCATTGTCGACGTGCTTAAATTGCGAGGAGGCGTGATGGAGCTAGAGGACTTGGCTGCTCACGCCGAGATTGGGACCGAGGAAGTGGAGCCGATTCGATACACCTACCACCACCCCGGTGACAAGGCAGGCACCGAAGGTGTGACAGTCTACGAGTGTCCTCCGAACGGCCAAGGTCTGACTGCCCTCCTCGCCTTGGGAATCCTCGACGAGATGCAGAATTCCGGCCAAGTCATTGATCTGACGGAGGTCGAACACAATTCGGCCGAATATCTTCATGCTCTCATCGAAGCCTTCCGCCTCGCCTTTGCCGACACGCGATGGTACGTCGCTGATCCGGAACACGGTGATGTGCCCGTGCAAGACCTCCTCAGCAAGCAATATCTCCAAAAGCGCGCAGCGCTCTTTGAGCCTTCCAAAGCAACAGTCGATGTGCGAAAAGGCAGTCCTGTAAAGACCAGCGACACGGTCTACTTTAGCGTCGTCGATGAGGACGGCAACGCTTGCTCTTTCATCAATTCAAACTGTGAGTTCGAGAGCTTTCTCCCACATCTTCTCTCGCTTCTTCATACGCTAAATCCACCCTGTATGCGCTGGCAGATGTGGGGTTCGGGACAGCGATCATTCCGAAAGGCTGCGGCTTTACTCTACAGAACCGCGGCGCAGGCTTTGTGCTGCAAGAAGGTCACCCCAACTGTTTCGCTCCGTCGAAACGGCCCTATCACACTATCATTCCAGCTTTGGCGCTACGAGGTGACCAGCTTTTCCTCAGCTATGGAGTAATGGGTGAGTTGAGGGTAAAGTTACTGCTCGTTCTCCAAGTCGTGTCTCATCTTCTGAATTATCGACCTTCAGGCGGATTCATGCAGCCACAAGGACACGTGCAAGTCTTGCTCAACATTCTGCATCGGGGCTTCACGCCGCAGGCTGCACTTGATGCGCCGCGCTTCTGCATCGGCGCCGGCATGCCGGACCAAACGGGCTCGATCGACTCGCACGTTTATCTGGAAGAAGGTATCAAACCGGAAGTGGTGGAGAAGTTGCGGCAGATGGGCCACAACGTCAAGCTCATCCAGGGCTGGGGGCGAGACATATTCGGCCGTGGACAGGTCATTCAGAAGCTAGACGACCCAACAGGCAAACTGGTCTGGGCAGGCGGTAGTGATATGCGAGCGGACGGCCAGGTCATTGCTCAGCTGTGATCAATAACATCGTCAAATGGAAACCATAGTGTAACTTATTCCGGCTGCCGCTAATCGAGCGCGATCAAAGTGGTTTCGCACTTGATCGTCCCGTCGACGGATTGTGCATCGCGGATGATAACCTCCACATGCCGCTTCTCTCGCCAAGCTTTGCCTATCACGACGACGACGGGGAAGCCGATGAGATTCGCGTCTTTCAATCGTCTGGAAATGGACAGCTCCTCGCGGTCATCGATCGCGACATCGTTCGCGACGACGGGATGGTCGCTACTGCAACCAGTCACCTTGCCCGGTCTGTGGAATAATGCTTGCAAGACTTGAGCCAGGCCATCCGCGTTCGAGCCGTTGGCGATGATGCAGACCTGGAAAGGTGCCATGCTCCGCGGCCAGACGAATCCGTGCTGGCCTCCCAGTGTCGCAGAGCGTTGTGCGATGGCTCCCAGCAGGCGTGAGATGCCCAAGCCGTAGCATCCCATTTGAAAGGGGACGCGGCGCTGAGAACTTGAAGCAGGCGAGTTTGCCGCATCAGCGGCTGCCGGTGTAAATCCGACTTGCAGCGCATCAGAGTATTTGGCGCCTAGCAGGAACGTATGTCCGACCTCAATGGCCTTGCTTGCGACCAGTGTACCCGCGCGGCCTTGCGCTGCGCAGGAGGAACAAGCGTCGCCGTCTGCCGCTTCGCGATAGTTGCCGTAGCTGAGTTCGATCGAGCTCTCGGTCATGAACGGTACGTCCACTAATGCAGAAGCCTGAAGCGACTGGACGGGCGGGAAGAAGTCTTCGAGCGAAGGTGCGGCGCCGGCGGATGTCCCGTGGTCCTCGTTGAGGAGAGCAGATATTCCTGCTGCAACAGCATCGCACACCTCTTGTGCCTCAACAGCAGAGCACTCGGCGTCCGTCAGTACTGTTACCTTGTCAAAGGACGCGGAGAACTGGCCCGGCTGCGTGCAATGGCTTGACTTGTGCAGCGGCTGTAGGTCCTGTGCCGCAGCTTTCCGCAATTGCACGGGCGATATTGATCGGTCCCTAGGCACGACAACAGCCCATAGGCGAGCGGGAGAGCGCTCAGCAGCAATCTGGAAAGCAGCATCTGAATCTGCTGCGTTGAGCCCCGCAGGATCATTGGCCAGCTCGTACAGCTCTACCCGCAAGTCTTGCGCAGAGATAGGCAGAACAGAGGGGTCATGTCTGGGGCTGCTCTGTGCAAGTTCTTGATTGGCTGCATGCGCACAAGTGCTGCATTTGAGAATGGTGTCCTCCCCCACTGGCAGTAGCTCAATCGAGGCTCAGCCCTCATTTACAAGCTCCGGTCGACCAACCGACGATACTCACATTCATCCTCGATTTGATATTCGTGAGATAGGTCGCCTCCGATCGCACCCGTATCAGCGGCTGCCTGCACGACAGTCCATGCATCAGCGTAGATCCGGAACCATCAGCACAAGTACACATCGACTCACTGCCAGCCACGCGCCGTGATTCGCGCCAAGAAGGCGATCGAGGATGCGGCTGTATGCGCCTCTGACTTGCTCATAAGATTCTCTCGCACGTGCTTCATCTGCATCGAATGTGTAAAGATCCTTCATATAGAACTCTCGTGTCCGCATCAGACCGGATCGCGGTCTCGGCTCGTCGCGGTACTTCCGTGCTGCGGGAAGGCGAGTTGAAGAACATGAATTGCGTGGGCAACGAAGCAGTAATAGAGATAGTCATGGTACTCACTTATTTGGTACACCTTTACAGGCAGCTGGCGGTGTGACTGTACCTCGTCAGCTACCAATCGTGTCACTTCTTCCTCGTGTGTCGGGGCTAGCAGGTATTCAGAGCCCCCACGGCCCTTGAGCCTGAAAAGCTGCATAGCAGAATCAGCAATGTAATGGCCTTATCCAGGGGCAACGGACGCTCATCTCACTTCCGAGCCCATGCTTTTCCACCGTCCAGATTTGTACCACAGCGCGCTGGACAAAAGGGTGGGCATCTCTAACCGTGAAGCGCCAATCCCGTTCATCTCGTCCTCGATAATGGCCGATATTTTTTGGACCACTCGGAGGCCCATGGGTAGCAGAGTGTAGATTCCTGCTGAAGACTGCCGCGCGAAGCCTCCTCGTAACAGCAAGCCGAGGGATGGCAAAGCAGCTTTAGAGGTAGACAGCGACTCGGCGTTGAATGTTGGAAGGAAGAGGCGGGACAAGCGCACGACTTGTTCATGCGGCTGCGAGAAAGGCACGGCCAACTGATATCAATCCAAGCTTCCATCCACTACGATTTCTTTCTTTACGCACAGGTCGTTCTATGAGAGCAGCAGCTTTAGAATCCGCGCTCGCGAACCGGATGGTAGAATGAGGTACTCGCGACGGTCGGCGGCAGGTCACGCATCGTGGGAGGTCCACCAAGTGAGCGCTGTCCCCGAGCGGCTTTGTCCGGGTGGAATGCAGCAGAAACATGGCGAAGATCTCTGTGCTAGCTGCTCTCCTAGCTTGACGTTGCAGCGTCAAAACTCGTGCTGTGGGTCGTGGAGAAGAGACCAGTGCCCATCCCGTGTCGAAATTGCAAGCATGAGGAAGAAGGTGCCGAAGTCTGGCAACAAAGTAGCTTATCTCTCTCACTACGCGTCGGGACTACGTATTGAGTCCACTCCCTCTTCTCTGAGGCTAGCGCGCGCCTTTGCGAGGTGCGAGGTACTGGTACAATACAACGCTCCTAATCTTGGTTCAATCCTCCGTGCCAAATACAGCTCAGAGCTCGCATTTCAGGGAGTAAAGGAGCCTCAGAGGCCAGTAGATCCTCAATCGCGGCTCGCAAGTCAAGACGCAGGCGGGTTGGAGTACGAGGCTGCCCGATTTCGGTATCCCTTGTCGCGTCACAGTCACCCCCAATCACCATGCCTGTCTGACCGACTGGAGCATCTGGAACATCGCACCCTCGTCCCAACTATTTAGAGTAACACGGCAGCTTCTCTGATACCTGTGTGGAAACGGTCAGAAAATCAATCACGATGGCGGACTCAGGCAACATAAAGGTCGTCGTGCGATGCCGGCCGCTCAACTCCAGAGAAAGGAACCGCGGGGCATCGCATCTGGTTGATGTCGTCGACTCCCACCAACTCGTGCTCAACCCTCCAAATGAGACCGACACTCGCGAGAATGCAAAAGCAACCAAGAAGAAGCCTATGCCTTTCTCTTTTGACCGGTCATTTGACGAGAACACGGAGCAGCATGAAGTCTTTGACTATGTCGGCATCGAGCTTCTCGAACACGCTTTCAATGGGTTCAACACCTGCGTCTTTGCCTATGGCCAGACCGGGTCAGGCAAGTCGCACTCCATGGTCGGCTACGCAGAGCAGAAAGGGCTCATCCCTCTCACATGTCAGAGACTGTTCGACGACATTACTTCCAAGACAGCACAGGATCCTCATCTCAAGTTCTCTGTCGAGGTATCGTACATCGAGATCTACAACGAGAAAGTGCGAGATCTGCTCAATCCCAAGAACAAGGGCAATCTGAAGGTCCGTGAACATCCGAGTTTGGGACCATATGTGGAGGATTTGAGCAAGCTCGTCGTCTCCAGTTTTGGGGGGATCGAGAGCTTGATGGACGAAGGCAACAAGGTTAGTCTTACTTCTCTTCACTGTCAACCTCGGCGTGTTCTCTAATTCGTCGCTTTCCTGCCCTCTTCAGGCTCGTACTGTTGCTGCAACCAACATGAATGAAACGTCTTCCCGCTCGCATGCTGTCATCACACTTGTGCTCACACAGAAAAGGTTCGATCCGGACACGAAGCTGGAAGCCGAAAAGGTGTCTCGTATCAGGTGCGAAAACTGCTTCATTTCTACCACGAGTGTCGCGGGAGTTGAATCAGCTAACATCGCGAAACGCTATTCTCCATAGTCTCGTCGATCTTGCTGGATCAGAGCGTGCCAATTCTACCGGTGCTACCGGTGCACGCCTTAAAGAAGGTGCCAATATCAACAAGTCATTGACAACGCTTGGTAAAGTTATCGCAGCCCTCGCAACAGCAAGCATGGATCCTCCAAAAGGAGCTCCAAAGAAGAAGGCAGCTGCGCTGGACAATTTCGTCCCTTATCGTGACTCAGTCCTAACCTGGCTTCTAAAGGATAGTCTCGGAGGAAACTCTAAGACCGCAATGATTGCCGCTATCTCGCCGGCAGACTATGAAGAGACTCTTAGTACGCTTAGATATGCAGACCAAGCCAAGAAGATCAAGAACAAGGCTGTCGTCAACGAGGATCCGAATGCGAGACTCATCCGGGAACTCAAAGAGGAACTAGAGATGCTTCGAAGTCGGGTCTCTGTCGGAGGTGGTGGAGACGAGAGCTCTTGGGATCCAAATGTGCCGCCAGAAAAACAAGTGGTCCGCTATCAGACAAAGTCAGGAGAGATTAGAACTGTCACTAAGGCAGAGCTGCAGGAGCAGATGGAGCAAAGCGAGAAGCTCATGAGCAGTCTCAACGAGAGTTGGGAAGAGAAACTGCTGAAGACACAGGAGATTCAGAAGGAGCGCGAGCAAGCATTAGAGGAGCTCGGCATCTCTGTCGACAAGGGCAATGTTGGCGTACACACGCCCAAAACACTCCCGCATCTGGTCAATCTCAATGAGGACCCGCTAATGAGCGAGTGCTTGATTTACCAGATCAAGGCTGGGAAGACGTTGGTTGGTAATCTGGACACGAACAGCGATGCGCAGATCCGTCTAAGCGGGGCCAAGATCTTGCCGGAGCACTGCATCTTCGAGAACGAAGAGGGCAAGGTCAGCATTCGCGCCATGCCGAACAGCATGACGATGGTCAATGGAAAGCGCGTCTCGTCGGATGAGCCCAGGCGCCTTCGGTCCGGCTACAGAGTCATTCTGGGTGACTTTCACGTGTTTCGCTTCAATCACCCAGAGGAGGTCAGAAGAGCTCGAGATAAGGTCAAATCAGCGCTGGCCGTTTCCACTGGGGAGGAATCCAGCCAAACGCTCATATCCCGCCCGGACTCACCTGCTTCGGATCAGGACAATACCGATGTCGATTGGACGTACGCTCGGAGAGAAGCTGTTATGGCCAAGCTCAAAGGAGAAAATGTCGACTTTGAAAAGCTCAATGAAGAGGAGTTGGAAAAGCTCTTTGAAGACGTTCAGCGGGCACGCTTCAGCAAGCGAGGCGGCCGGCCAGAGAGTCGGATGAGCTTCGTCGACGATGCGATGAGCGAAAGTGCCAGCTCTAACACGCGGCCTGGCTACCAGTATAGCGTCTTCACTGATGACACATCGGTGGACCAGTGGGCAAGCGAGTGGGACAACGTTCCTTCGAACGGATTGCCACCAAACCTCGCGCCGAGGTCACCTGGTGAGATCGGCACCCCTTCGTCAGTCGAACTCGCGAAAGAGACGGAGATTCTGAAGATCAAAGTCAAGGAGTACGAGGAGAAGCTGGCCAAGCAGACTCGACAGCAAGCCAAAATCAAATTTGGAGATGGCAACATCGAGTACACTGAAGCAGAGAAACAGCTTCTCAAGAATGCGCTGGGTAAATGGCGTAACCACAAGATCGTTCATATGGCCGAAGCTATCCTTGCGCATTCCGCCCTTGTAAAGGAGGCAAATGTCATCAGCAAAGAGCTTGGAAAGAACACCGTCTATCAGGTCACTGTCGTCGACGATGAACCTTTGTCTTCGCTCTCTACCGGGGAAGTCATCGCTGGCTTGGATGACTTTGACGATGTCTCGGACCCAGCGCTGGCTTCCAGTCCCAAACCTTGTGTCGCAGTCAAGGTCCTCGACTTTGCACACTCGACCGCCTACACTTGGTCGATCGCAAAGCTGGAAGACAGGCTTCAGAAGATGCGTAACCTCTACATGTTCCTTGACAGGCCAGAATACTCGCGGCATTTCAACTGGGCGGATCCGTTCTACGAGGCGGTGCCTCCTGGTTTCATCTTCATCGGTCAAGCCCTCGTTCCTCTCGCACCCCTTGCTCGGCGCGTGACATCTTCGTACCGAATACCGCTCCTAAATCAGCACTTTCACGAATTCAAAGGCACGTGCTCTGTTCAGCTCAAGTTCATCAGCATCTCAGCCAATTCGAAGCAAGCCAAGAATGGAGCGTCTTCGCCACCATCCGACTCGTCCATCGCTGATGCGTCCGACCTCGACCTGCCGTTGGGGCACAAACTTGGTCTGTCCGCCACCGTCGACGCTCTTGAGGGTCTCAATTCTCGATACTTTGAATCAGTGCATCTTCAGATCCGGCAAAAGAGCTTTACTGGAGACGCGGATCCCGGAAGCGAGGTGTACGCTGCCGTCCCCACGGAAATTCGCGGAGACGCTTCATGGAGGGACGTGCGACTGCGCAAGACCTTCACCATCTCCATCTCGGCGGCAGCGCGTGAGCACTTGCGTGCCGGGTTCGCTGCCGTAGAGTTGCATGCAAAGGTCACTCCTGCGTATCTTCGCGACGTCGAGCGCCACGATGCCCGCACAAGTCGCTCTCCATCCACAATCACTGGTCAAATCGACAAGACGAGGAACGGACATTCTGACATTGTGCAGCAAAGTCGGCGGCCCGAGGCGGAGATGCGTCATGAAGAGCGACACGATGTGCTCGCAAAAGTTCAGATCTGCGAACTGGGCCATTCGGGCGAATACGAACCTGTGGCCGTCAGGTGTTCCTCCTCGCTCGATCCAGGCGCTTTTTTCCTGCGACAGGGATCCCAACGTCGCATCCAGATTAAGCTACGATCGGATAGTGGAAAGCAATTTCCGTGGAGCCAAGTTCGGCAACTGTCGGTCGGCAACGTGCGGTTACTAGACTCAAAGGGGCGCTTGCATGCTTCGAATGCGGAAGAGCTGAAACCCTTGACGACGACGGCAAAACAGCAAGGCATCATTTTCAAAGAAGACGGCACCGGAGAGCTCACTCTTTGGGCTTGGTGGGATTCTGGCATGCACGATACTCTCTTCCTGACGCGAGTCAGCCCAGCTGGCCAAAGAACTTTGTTGCAGCTCTCAATGAAAGTTGATGTTGACACTTGTTTAGAGTCGGTTCAATTCGACATGGACATCGCGGTGACAATCAATGCCCGAGACGCAAAGCCTCCCGGGCGGTTCGCGAGCTTTATTGAGGCAGCAGCCACTGGGGCGCGCTCGACGGTCGCCTGCACAGCTATCTTCTCCATCAAACTACGGCCGCTTCTCACGAAGCACTCCAAGGAGATCTGGCGAGTCGACACCTCTGACAAGTACGTTCGGGGGCAAGAAGCGCTCAGGCACTGGCGACCCCGCAGTCTCTCGCTTTTGCGAGACTATGCTGCGACCACCAGGAAACAACACCTTCGTGCCGAAGTGGACGCAGTACGCAGCATGCTCATCGCACACCCTCCACTTTCGCTTTCAGACGGCTTTGCGGCCAGCTCAGAGCAGCAAGAGGCTGTGCAAATGCATGTGGCACAGCAAGTTGTAAACTATTGGAAGACCAGGGTACGCAACACGAAATTAGTGAGTATCGTCTGGATCGAACGCTGAAGCTGCGCTCACTGATGCACTATGCTTTCTCAGCCTTTCGCTGCGGAGTCCAGCGGAGATGCGGCGCCTGGCGACCCGGAAATCTCTCCACCAGCGGGGGGGAAGCCGCCTGTACCCGGGCCTCCATCAGATAAAGGGAAAAAACTCACCGCCACTGTTCAATTGGTGCCACGCACCGACATGTCAGCAAGAAGAGGGTGGCTGTTCATCGTAAGCAATCCGATGAATCCAGACCTATGGGTCAAACAGTGGTGTGTCCTCAAGAGGTAAGTGTCATCCACCTGTGTTCCAGAAAGAAAAACACGGAACTGACTTTTGCAATGGAACAGGCCGTATCTATTCATTTATGACGATGCGAATGAGACGGAAGAAACCCAGGTCATGAATCTCACCTCGATCCGCGTCGAGCACAGCACTGACGTGGAAAGGATGCTAGAGGTAAGTGCAGGGTTGCGGGACGCCATCAGCAAGTCCAAAACCTGGATGCTTACATCATTAAAACAGCGGCAAAATGTGTTTTGCCTCTACACTGCAGCCAATTCCTGGTTCCTGCAAGCATCGACAAGCACCGACTTGGAGCAATGGATGTGAGTAAAGCTTGGCGCATGTTTTGGAGAAAGGCGGCTCAACCCCCTGTCGGGCGTCACAGACACGCTCTCGACACATTTGCAGGTGTTCGCTAATGTGGCAAACACGTGATACCCAACATACGAATACCAGCGCGAGGCACAACATATATAGATGGCAGCTACACTAGGTGTCCACAATTGTGATGTAACTTTAGACTACGTGAGCAACCAGCTTGCATTAGCATACCACGTCAACATCGGGTTGGAACCGTCCTTGAGGCGGACGAGGTCATTCCGTGCGTAGTGCGACAGAAACTCCGCGTGAGAGAGAATCTGAGCAGTCTCGCGGCGCTGCAGAATTGAATCGGGAACATCGGATGCACTGCCTAGCGCAGGAGCACGGCTCCGTGTAAAGTAGTCTGGCCGAAGCGCAGACGTGGTAGCCATGGGTGACGGTCGTGGTGGGATGCGAATGGCGGCCCCGGACGAAGAAGAGCCCTTTACTAACTGTTGACTCTGGCTTGACATAACCTTGCCGTAAATCCTGCGCAGCTCTTCGAAATTGGTCGGAAAGAAGATATCAAAAAATCCTTGTAGGACTCGATATGTCGTGACGGGGACCATGGTGCCCTTGTATCTGGTCTGCACGACCGGAGCATTGACGCCTTCCGAGGCGTCAGGCAAGCTGGAAAAATCGGAGAGGACAAGGCGGTGCAGCGGGAAGTAATCGCGAAGGATGTGCAAAAGGCGCAGAGAAGCTGTAGGGAGATAATGCGGGCGGGTGAGATTTGGGTAAATAGGGAAGTGGTCGCTAAGGACCTTGCGGATGGGGCGAGGAATGTAGCGCAAGGCTGAGGGAATGGCTGCATTGGCCTGTTCGTCGTGGCTGCGACCATCGCCATTAGGTCGCAGCAAGGACAGATACTGCTTGATGCCTTCGTCACGTACTGGCTCCCACAGCTCGTGCATATCACCTGTTTCGTCGATGGAGACGAGGGCTTGGTATGGTTCGAGTGTTCCGGTGTGGTAGCGCACGACATCATGTGTCAAATTGTCCTGCCAGGAATAAAAGGCGAAACGACGGTATCAGCACGGCCAGATCCCATAAACAGCTGTAGTTTTATTCTCGTAGGGTCCCATCTCACCAGAACTTCTAGCGCAACGATGAAGCACGGATCTGTGACCGGCTTGTTCCAGTCGAGCATGCTCTGCTGGTACAGTTGCACCTTTCCTGCTTGCTTATGTGACTGCAGACGATGAGTCTGCTGCTGAGCCAGCCGAGCGCTGATCTCGACGATCCGGTAGCTGGTCCGTTGGTACACCTCTGGCTCATGGTCTCGAATGTAGTTGAGGATACCTTCGGCCAATGTGCCGGATCCTGCGCCAACCTCGTAAATGACGAGATCGTCGTAAGGGAAGAGGTTGAGCTTGTATTCGCTGATCAAATACCGCGCTACGGCCTCAGCATAGTGTGGCTGCACCAATTCCACGGCCAGTATCAATATCCACTCTCCATCACCGTGATCGCCTGGTCCCAATTTATCTTCTCACCTTGAAAAGCTCGGTTGGAGTATGCCAGACTTGTCTGGCGGCCATGGCCATGACATCTGGCTCCTGCACATTATCTTGCTGGTCCCTCTCTTTCATCAAGCGGCCCCAGCGCTGCGCCTCCTCCAGGCCATCAGCGGAAGACTTTCTTACCGACCTCTTCTTGGCTTCCTGCTGTTCTATCGTGCTCGCGGTGATCTTCTCTGCTTCTCGGGCTTCAACATCCCGCTCGAAAGAATCATAGCGCAGCTGGACCGCACGCATAAAGTGTGCTTCATTTTTTATCTGGCGAAAATCAAAGCTGCCTGTCGCGTCGACCGGGCCGAAGGCGGTGAGAAAGTGCGGTTCGTCTTGCACTTTGTTCTCCATGCTCTCCTGCAGGTGAGGGAGCAGTACAGCTGCCAGAAAGGGAAGCGTTGCGGTGCATATCAGCTATCTGGATCAGGGGCAGAGGGAAGGAGAGAAATGTGGCCGCCAGTACCTTGCCGTGAGAAATAGCCATAGTGCTTATTGTAGAGGCTGTCGTGGATGAAATCGGAAGCGAGCATACGAACGTTTCGTGGCCGTATGCTTGAATTTTCCAAGTCCTTTGCCGTCACGAGCGGGAAATGGTAGTGTTGCTCAGAAGGTGTGAGAGTGAAGGGGTCGTAATTGTACTGTGTCCGATGCTCCAACTTCCCCTTTTTGTCCTTTGTTGCAGACGAATGGTCGGGATGAGGAACAGAGGGGAGTTGCCGATGCGTCGGCTGAGAGAAAGGTCCTGCATCCTTCCATCGAGCTGATCGGGACAGGAACCGTCGAGCTTGGTAGGCTACAGTTGTGCTCGTTGATGAAACGTTCTGAGCAGTTGCCAATAGCAGCAGGATCGAAGAGGCGCCGCGTGAGCATGCCCAGCAGGCGTTTTGCATCACCATGATTCCGTTGCCTCCGAGCAGAATGCTTAGGTCCGTGCGACGGCCTCTTTTGCCCCTGCAATGCTCGTCCGTCTGCTGATTTTTACGTTCGACCGGAGATCACACTTCAAGCATCGGGTCCCGAGCAGCACTGCGCAACCACAAGCCGAGGTATCTAACACCTTGCTACACAGCATAGGTCACAGCCATCTGCCATTACATTGTGCAATGGAGATGGGTGACAGGCACGAGACTGTCTAAATGAATGTAGATGGCGGAACCCGGGACTCGAGATTCGGGACTTGGGACAAGTCAGTATCATTATTGACTGGGAGCAGCTCGTCTCCTCCCGAGGGGTTGCCACCACACCTCGTCGGTTCTAGAGCCATCTGCCCCATCGCGGACCGCAGTCGGGCTGCCCTTTTCCGATTGCAGAAGAACCCGTGCCGGTGTTGCGGCGGATATCAGAGAGCATGCTTACACAGTCTCCTGGCCCGCTCTCTGGCGGCGAGCATGATGGCTAACACCAACCCTGCCGCCTCGTCGTCGACCTCCCCCTACCCTGCACCGTCCGCCTCCGCCCCTTCTCCCGTCGAGGACACGCCCAACACGGCCAAGAGGAGGCGGGTTTCGAAAGAAATTATCGTGTCTGCTGCCCCTAGTTCCAAGTCTGGGCTCACGGAGTTCACTCGGGCAAGGCATCAGCCTTCCATCTTTAATTTCTTTGGGAGCGCAGCCCAGCATGGACGCTCGCCGTCCCCTACCAACCCCAGCCGTACGCAACATGCTCCTCCATCCAAGTCGCAGGAGGAGCTCGACGTGGAGGCTGCGATTTCAGCTAGTATCAAAGATCACGAAGCATGGCTCGCTGCGAACATGGCAGCTGCTGGGGTGCAAGGCGATGCCTCTGGCACCTCCGAATCGAGCAATGTTCGCAAGAGGTCCGCCTCTCCCCCATTACCGCGTCTCTCATTGAAAGACGTTACCGCTGAAGACTGTACATCAGTATACAATATCAAGCGCAATGTCAGCACTACAGGGCAACTCTGCCGAGCCTTGGGAGATGCACCAGACCTGGTCGAGTCCAAGTTACCGGCGACACGCTCGCAAACAGGTCAAGAGGTAGCGGCTGAAGCTCATCCCAAAATTCTGAACCGGTCCATCACAGCCGCATTTCAGCAGACGCTGTCAGCGCCAAAAGAAACACTGAAAGTTGCTTCATTGGGGTGCAAGGCCAAAGCGATATCTACGGTGGACAAAGCCGGTGACGCGTTCTCGATGCTCATGAAGTCACACACCGAACAAAAGGAGTGGGCCAGAGCTGATGAGGTGACAGCGGCCAACTACCGTGGAAAAGCCCGCTCATGTGTCGATGCGCGTACCGCACCATTCTACAAGATCCTGCAGGGTATGCCGCTCAGCGTCGACGCCTTTTGCTACGGCCGCATCGACGGCTGCAAAGGGTACTTTCTCACCCACTGGCACAGCGACCATTACACGAATCTGTCATCAAATTGGAACTGTGGACCCATCTACTGCACCAGGACCACCGCTAACATGATGCGACTGCGTGTCGGAGTGGCGGAGCAGTACATCAAGGTGTTGGATCTGGAGACGCCGACGCTGATTCCGGACACAGGAGGCATTACCGTGACTTGCATCGATGCCAACCACTGTCCGGGTTCTTGTCTTTTTCTCTTCGAAGGACCACAGACAGCCGACATTCTGCCTTCCTCATACAAGCCATCGTCCCCCAATCCATCGAGGGTGTATCGTTATCTCCACTGCGGAGATTTTCGCGCCAGTCCAGTCCACGCGCATCATCCGATGATCAAGGGCAAGAAGCTGGACATTATCTACCTCGACACGACGTATCTCAATCCGCGCTACTGTTTTCCAGCCCAAGAACAAGTCGTCGAAGCGTGTGCGGAGCTAGTGCGTGTACAATTGCCGGATGCGCAACGGAAGCAGGCCGACTCACATCACAAGCAAGGGAATGCCCCAGGCGTGCCGCCCACTAAGTTCAACCCGGACTTTCTGCGGAAGGAGACAGGAGTCACAGTGCTCTCTCCACAGGATCAATTGTCTGCGTCAGCGATGAGGCAGTGGCTTACCGGCGGCAATGCGACCAGCAGTAACGGTGGTAACATTACGTCAAGGGGTGCCTCTGCTGCCAGATTAGATGTGGAGGAAGATGTGAACATGGAACCCCAGCTTGGTTTTGATGCCGACAAGAAAGAAGCTTGGGCGGAGCTCAACGACATGGACGAGACCTTTGCACAGGGTGGTTTCGTGGCGCCCGACAAGCGGGAGCGAGACCAATGTTGGTCTGCGCAGCCCTCACTTAGGCCGGAAGCAGTACAACATGGATCTTGCATCGAGATTAAGATAAACCCACTGATTGAGGGCGGGCAGGAAGAGCAGATGCCGCCGAAAGCTCAAGATGCCGCGGGACAGTCGAAGATTGAGCCTGTAAGCGATGCAGCAGACAAACAAATGGAGGCGGCCAATTCGGGCATGCAGTGGCTGCAGCAAGCGGCCAAACCAGCAGAGAACAAGCGCAAATCCGGCAGACTCCTCGTCGTCATCGGCACATACACGATCGGCAAGGAGAAGATCGTCAAGGCCGTCGCGCGGGTGATGAACAGCCAGATCTTCTGCGCCGATTCTCGCAAGTATCAAGTATACGCGCAAATTGAAGATCCAGAACTGCACGCTATGCTGACGCGCGATCCGGGCGCGAGTGTGCATGTGACGAATCTGCAAGCGATCAGCGGCGATGGCTTGCGAGATACAGTCTCTGCACTGCGAGCGAGAGGTTATGGTTTTACGCACGCCATCGCTTTCCGACCGACGGGATGGACGTACAGACCTCCTGCGGGCGTGGACACGACCGCTCCGAGTTTGGAGCGGCTCATGGCGTGGAATCAGTCCCGTTCCTTCTCTGCCGCTGGCCTCTACCCCACGCGCGACAGCACACCCGAGTACATGATTTACGGAGTTCCATATAGCGAACATTCGAGCTTCGTGAGTGCACAGGGAGCGAGCGCTGCGCTGCCTTTGCTCACCCTTCCCCTATTCTTTCCCACTAGTTCGAACTGACAGCTTTTGCGCTGTCACTCAAGTATGACCGCATCATCGCAACGGTCAATGTCGGCAATCCGACCAGTCGCAACAAGCAAGCTGGATGGTTCGACAAGTGGCTGCAGGAGAAACGCCGGAGGCAGAAGCTCGGTTTGCCGGAGATTATTCCTTCGCGTCATGAACTTTATTGGTAGTGCTAGCACATGTAAGTCGTTGTGCGGGCAGAGTATTTAACGTATACTAGAATGTATCATAATCACATTGTGCATCTACAAATGCATATACATATATAGATTGCGGAATCTCTTGCTCCTTTGGATCGCACAAGGAGCCAACCTTCGACCGCTCAGAAGTGACGTCTGATTTGGGGATGACACGGGCAGGAGAAAGGCATTATTCGCGTGTATGATGGTAGTAGCGGAAGAATGACAATGGTGGTGAGGTACACGTGGGGGTTGACGAAAAATGCGGCGCGGTAAGTGAATTACTGAGGAGCGTGAGGCTGATGTGACAATAATGCAGGGAAACTATGCGAGCGACATATGTAGTGGTGCGTGTGAGCAGGTGATATGTCGACCTGCGACAGAGGTATTGGTGCTTGCGATGCGAGTACTAATGCGAATGCGAATGTGACGGACGGGCATGGGGTGGAGATGCAGGAGCAGGAGCAGGTGGAGGTAGAGGTAGAGGCAGGGTTTGATACGAAATACTTGATGAGGTCACTCGAATTGTCTAGAGGGTCTCCTTGAGATGGGCCGCGAAAAGTTAAAGCCGGGACTTGGGAGCGGTGAAGCGCTCATGTCCTTGCATTCATTCTTAGCGATGTAAGCAGACTGAGAGACCAATGTATCAGGTGACGCACGGATGGGGATTTTACTACGCCATTCGTGGCACTTCGTATCAGTGCTGTGCAGGTCCTGCGACGCCTGCATGAGGACGTCGCCCCAGCTGAGGTCTGGCAGCGTGTCTGCGGACAGCGACGTGTCCGCGGCATCCAGGACAGCGGGGCTGAGGGCCACAAAGCTCTCAAGGCTGCCTAGCGAGCCGGTCGGACTGGCAGAGCGCGATTTACCGCCAGATGCGGTGCGCTTTGCGAATTCGCGCATGGCAGAGAGCGAAGCCGTGCTGCGCAGCAGATGACACGATGTGCTCCCGTTTGCTGGTTTCGTGTCCATCTCTGCCGACGGGGGCGGCGGAAAGAAGCCGCCTTGCGTTTCCACGACTGCTCGTTCACCATCCGTTGTCGGAAGGCAAAGCGGAGGTGGCCGTACATCATCCCGTTCCCACCGTGGGCTAAGCTTACGAGCGGCTTTAGCTAGCGACGGTGTGCTCTTGCTGCGGCGGATTCCGCCCAGGAAGGTCTTCTTGCTAATTTGAAAAGACGGCGCGACGCTCTCTGCGTCAGAGTCGCGGCGGACGGGCTGGAAGCGGATGGGCTGGAAAGCAGAGGCGAGACCACAGCCGCCCTGGACCATGCATGCCATCTCGGGTGGGTGGGCGCAGCGAGGGGCCGAAGAAGGCAGCCGAGGAACATGCGCAAGGGCATCGGTCATCTGTGTGATGTCTTGGAGTGCGCGAGCTGGCCCTGCGATCGCATCACTAGCAAAGTGCGCCGTCTGGGGAAAAGTGGTGGGGCTGTTGGCAGAGCGATAGCCCTTGTTGCCCGTCTTGTCTGCCCAGCCAGCCATGGAAGCAGAGATTCTGTTTAAAGCTGCGGCCGAAGGCGAGCGGGTGCCAGTTGATATGTGTAAGGGCTTCCCATTGCGCAAGTAGCGCAGCGATAACCGAGTGCCACTCTGCTGCTCCGTGAAGGACGGCGTGGAGCGGTAGCCCATCGAAGACGGCACTGAGCCTTTGGTTGCAGAACGTTTGGGCTCCTTCGGCGAAGACAAGAGCCAGCTCGGGCTCTTCTGCCGTTTGGCAGTAGCGTCCGCTTCAGAGTCGGCAAAGGAGTAAGCCGCAAGGCCGATTCGCAGCTGCTCAAAGGGGGACAAGATGCCGTTCGCTGCTGCTGCCGCTGAGGGAGCACCAGAGCCTGCCACAAGGCAGTTCGCGCGATCAAATTTTCCCTGAGCCTGCGTAGGCGTGGCCTCGGCGGCGGCGGACGCAGTATCATCTTGATCAGAAGTCGGCAGGCTGGCTTTCCGCCTGGAAGCGATGGTGCTAGCCTCCGAAATTTCGGCAAGATGAAAGGTGTGCACCTTTTGGCATTCATAGCCTTTGCGGTTGAAGGCCTCGCGGTAGGCATGATGGATCTGCATCTGCGCTTCCTCCACCTGCTGCATCTGGGCATGTGCTTGCGTTTGTGTCCGGCACACATGCTCGTACTGTGCCTGCAATGGCAGCGTGTCCATACCATCCCTTGAATTTGCAAGTTCACAAGCAGCACCTGCACTTGCGGTTGCACCTGCACTTGCAACAGCAGCGACGTTGTGGATGAGCGCATTGACCGCCATGCACGCGCGATCGGGCGGGCTGGGGAAGTCTGCGCGCATGCGAGCAAGAGACATGCTGCTCATGCTCACTATGCTGCTGCTGCATACTCCTCCTTGTCCACCATCTGCACCCGTCGTCGACGCGACTGTGGAGCCTGCAAAGGGCGAAGAGGACGATGTGGTCACGATGCTGCATTCGCTGAACTTGCTATCGTGTTGCTGGTAGCGGTGCGAATGAGAGCGGGAACGGGAGCGCGTGTGCGCCCGAGCCCCCGCTGCTTCTCCTGCGGTAACGCACGAGTCAGCCGAAGGCTGAGAAGGGGTGACGTGCGGTTCCAGCCCTTGGAGCATGGCTTGTGGTTCTGACGCATTGAAAGGCAGTTCTAACGGCAAGGTGTGCTGCTCTCCGGCTTTGCGTTCTCGCCGAGTAAGGGCAGCATCGATGATCGGCTCTGCGTGCAGCTGAAGGCCGAGTCCATGGATGCGGCTTGGTGAGAGGCAGGCATCTTCTGGTCCTGCACGGAGCGTCTCGCCATGCACCAACGCGATTGCCGAGTCGTCCATGGCGGTCTCGCTGGCGCTGTCGCACACGGGAGGGAGCGGGAGACAGCCGCCATCGTGGGGCGTGCGGGCCTCGTGCTCTGTCTCATCGGAGTCGCGCCTCTCCAGCGTGCGTCGTCCCTGCTCTTGATGATGCGGATGTGGATGGCACTGCGAGTGAGAATGGGTATGGACATAGGAAGAGTAGCTGAGATCCGGGCTGAGCGGTGGAGTGGAGTGCGTGATCCACGCGACCGCCTGGTCATCGCGCTCCACGACTGTTACTTGCGGCGGTGCGAACACATGGGAGGGCGTAGCAGCTTCGTCCCCGTCGCCGACGTCGATCGGTGGTGCGCAGTGGGGCAAGTCTCCGGGTGACTCGCCCTGAGCGACACGGCTGCCGGCAGCGCGATGAGGGGAGCAGGCAGCTGCGTCGTCTGCGTCAAGCAAGGCGTGCTTCGCAGTGAAGGTGACGGGGACAATGAAGCTACTTTCATTGCTGGTAGCACTGCCGCTGCTGTCGTACTGCGCCTCGTCGAGTGCTCGCACGTGCTCTGCAAGCGGCGAGCAGACCGGCGGGGACGGGCAGATGGCGATGGACGGGATGGAACTGTCATTGTCGCTGTCGTGCAGCGAAGCGACTTGGCTGGCGATATTTTGCTGAACCATCGGCGCGGCATGCAGCAAAGGGGATCGCTGTGCCGGGCTGGCTTTGGCCGCAGCACCCGACTTGTCCTTGCCATGCTTCTTGAACACCATGTTCTGCCTGCTCAAACGGCGCATGAGTCTTTTTGCGCTGCCGTCCCTTAGCGAGAACGATGGCGCGTCATCGGTCAGCGTGATAATGGCCATCTGCGGCGTCCGAGGCGCGACTTTTGCTGTTGCTGCTGCACATTGCTGGCGTGGAGCAGGTGTGCTGGTGGGCTGTACCTGTGCGCCGACCAGGCGCGACGCCTGCACTTGTGCTACCGCCGCCCGGACTTTTGTGCCCGTGCCTGCGACAGCACTGGGCGCACTCTCCTCATCGACGCAACCCGGCTGCTGGGCTGCGGCTGGACGCTGCGACGGCATCAACCGATCCGAGGACACGATATCTGTTTCTGCATCACGGCCGATGTGATAGATCTGGCCACCGCCGTGCACGTTTGCGTGAGCGTGAGCTTGGATCTGAACTTGGGTTGCGGCCGCGGCCACGTTCTTGACACTGGACTTAGACGCTTTCTTTTTGAGTGACTTGAACCCTAGCATCTTGGCCTTACCGTGCGGAATCCCCTTCTCGAGGAGGCAAGGAGGCTAAGGTAGGCTCGGACGGCAGCAGCTGGTACGGGCAACTCTATTCGTACATGTCGAAGCTCAGGGCGATCCAGGAGCCTGACGGCAGCACCGAGCAACGGAGCCGATGGTCAGTCTGGGCTCTGGCCGGAAGCATCTTGCTACAGGCACTTACCTCTCTCGCTCAGCCAAAGGTGTATCAGGATATCTTGCAGAAGAAGCAGCGCAGACCCGTCAAGCAGTGCCGATCGAACGAGGGGCAGGACGGGGCGCGCGGGGGAAGATTGCTACAAAGGTGGCCGGCGCAAAGCTTTTGCTAGCAAAGGACGGGCTATCAGAGATGGGAGCAAGATGTTGTATCCAGTCGATAAATAAGGTGAGGCTGGTGCTGAGACATTCGTACATGATATACCCGAAACAGAGCTCCACAAGAGAGCAAGAAGTGGACGAGACGTTTAGAATTGAAGCTGACATCAGCAGACGCTGCATATCCCGTCGAAGAACATAGCACCACTGAACGGGTCCATGGTGGGTGCTGAAAGGGGGAGGAGGGGGGTATGCCAGTCCTCGATACTACTGCAGTGGCCATCGAGCTTCCAACATCGCGCCACAACAGCTCGTGTGGGAGCAACGGCGGAGAGGCTGGCCCGGTGCCGGAACGGAGCCTGCCTGAGGCGGAGCCAGGTGCGACTATGAAATTTGAAGAGAGCCAGGCGCTGCTCGTCTGTGCGTGCGCCGAGGTAGACGTAGAGGAAGGCAATGAGACAGGGAAAGGCTGACGATTGCAACAGACCAGCGCGAGAGGTGTGGGGACATGCTGGATGTTGCAAAGGAGGTATGGCACAGTACACAGATGGGCAGATCCCGTCCTATCGGCAGCCCCTGGCACTTGTCACTTCTACATGCTGCAGCCGACGCTCTCTTGCCTTGCGCCTGGCGGGTGACATTTCCGAAGATTATTCTCTCGGACGGGCAGGCAGCACGCAACGTGGGGGCGGGCCACGAGCACTGAGCTGCTTGTGACAACCATTCCCCGGGGGGGCGTGTGCGGCGTGGAGAGGACGACCGAACCGTGTGGGTTGGTTGGTTGTGACTGCAGAGCGTGTCCGCATGTGCAGGAGAGCACGGGTGCAGTGTCTGTCGTTCACGGCGGCGCGGCGCGGCGCTGGGCCCGATGCATTGGCTGACTTTTCTTCCCCTGTCTTGCAGTGACCAATAGAATCCACAAGAGCACTCACGGGCGATGTCTATCTACATGGGCATGGAATGCATGCAAAGTGTACGGAATACAGGTGGTGGAGACGAGACGTGACGTTGTGAACATTCCTCTTTCCCAACTGCCCGCTGCTCCCCTCTCCCGCTGCGGCGAGTGGCTGCTCGCGCGCCAACGGCTATAGATGATGTGCACAACCATGCAAGTAAAGAGTAGAGATAAAAAGAGAGAGAGAGAGCGCGCGCAGGAGGCAGGCGCTAGGCAGGCGATGGAGGGTGCACTATGCTACTAACCATAACCCTCCCCCACCACTACACGATTAAGATGGTCAATGGCGCACGTGGCGCAGAGTGGAGTGTCGCGCTTGGTGTTGATCTCTCTCGGCCGTTTGGCGCTCTGCACGCTGTAAGGGGGTGTTTATAGTCGAGCAATAGAACACGTGTGCTGACCGCGCGCACGTAGTCATGTCCGTCTCCTCGTCACCAAGTGGACCCGTGTCGCGCGGGGGGGGGGGGCAGAAGGAAGGGGGACTCCCCTTTCAAGACTAATTCCTCCTGCAAGACTGGCTCCCCCCCTTTCCCCCAAGAAAGCAATGGGCAACCCTGCAATACTCATCGTGTGTAGTCGCGTCGCACACAACTCGCAATCGTGGCACGCAGGTGCACCTCGAGCGCTGTACATATGTATTATGTCGTGCAACAGCCGCATGCCTACATACAGGCTGCTATCGATCGTCCGACTGGACCGCATCGTCGCCTGCCTCTTGGGCGCCACAGAGCCCGAGCGCGCCGTCGAGCTGGGAGAGGAGAACGTCCAGCTTGCTCTCCAGTCCGTCCGCGGCGAGGTCGGCCGCCTCGAGCCTGGCGAGCAGCTCGGCCATCGCGTGCGCATCTTCGTCCCCCGTAGCAGAAGAGCCCAGACCAGAACCAGAGCCGGAGCCGCGGGGGCCGTCAAGCTCTTTTAGCACCGGCGCTAGGATTGCGCGGTCCGAGGGCGAGAGCGACGCGAGCAGCCCGTCCAGCGAGTCCGCCTCCTCATCCTCGTCGCCCTCCCCGGCCTCCGCGCCCGTGTCGTCCCCGCTTGTGCCAGCTGAAAAGTGCTCGCGCTTTAACGGGATCCGCGGCAGCGCCGGCGCGACAGCGACGCCCGTTCCTGCTCCTGCCCCGGCTCCAATGCTCCCATTCAGGGGCTGCTCCGCCGCCGCATCATGCCCGTTCCGCATGCTGTGGTGCTGCGGCTTGCTGGTGTCCGGTATCCGAGATGCGGGGGGTGCGGGTGCTGCTGCTGCTTCATGTTCTGTCGCTGTGGATGTCGAGGTGGGTGAGGGCGAAGATACTTGAGACGCAGCGATGGGTCCCAGTGCTTCGGCCAGCAAGCTAGGCAGACTGTGCCCTCCAAGTGACTGACCCTCAAAGTCGGAAAGCGGAGGAGAGACGAGCGGCGCGGAGACGGTATCGGTGAGCACCGTCACAGGCAGCGTCGATGGCGGCACACGTGCCGCCCTTGAAGCACAGGCTGAGGACTGGGCATCGGCGGCGGCCCCAGATGCGATGGCAGTCGCGCTGCGGCCGGGCTCGTACCCAGCGGCTGCAGGTACGGCGGCGACGGCCGGAGGCTGCTGCAGCAGCGGTGGGTCGGCAATGGAGATGTGTTTGATCCACGCTCCAACAGCGCCGAGATAGCCTTCGTGCCGCAAGAAGAAGGCTCGCTTGGTCCCCTTGCTCCAGAAGCGAATGGCGTACGAGAGCGTCGAGATCGTCGACCGGTGTCCTCGGATGAAGCAGCCGCCAAAGTAGATCCGGTCAAGATCGTACTTTTCTGCGTTCATGTATCTGCAGGCGCGTCGTGAGGAACATGGTCAGCGTTCGTCGGTCATCTGCGCGTCTCTAGAGCGCCCAAGCACGCACGCAATCTGTCCAATGTTGTTGCTGATGGCATACAGCAGACTGCGGCAGATATCTTCGGCCTTGAAGCGCCGCTTCCTCCCCTCGGCGCCTTCACGCTGGCTGCCATCTTTCCGGAAGACCTTACCGAAGGACGAAGCGATGGTAGACGATTTGAGCCCGAAAGAGTTGAGCGCATTCCCGCCTACGCCCGAACCGTAGATGTCACCGACGAGCATGTCCACACTTGCATTGTCGCCCTTTTCAGATAACTCGAGCATCTCTGGGGAGGCGTAGTCAATGCGACAAGAGCGCACAAAGTGTAACACCATCAGCAATCTGCGCAGCTCTGTTGAAGAGGTTGCTGCGGAAGCTCACCATCAAAACTTCCAGCATCCGTCAAGAGACTCAGCAGGCCCCAGAGCGTTCCGCCACCCAAGCTGGTCCCGCTTACACGCTCGTACTTGCCATAGTCGTCTACCTTGATGATGGACACGCCCGAGCCAATGTTGACCAGCAGACACGGTAGTTTGGGAGAGGGATGGGAGTCAAAAACCGGTTCGTACAGCGGAGGATTCGGAGATGGTCGGGGTAGTGGTTGCGGGCCCGCTGCTGCTTGCTGGCCCGGTGCGCCGTTGGTTCTTACTGCTGCATGTGGAGATGCTTTTGCCGCTGACGCCACCTCCTTGCCCTCTTCAATCGCAGCCCGTCGTTCCATCGGAAGTGGCTGATGAAGGGCAGAGACGAGCTCGTCCGAGTACCAGAACACCTCATCGGGGATGAGTGTGATGAAGTTTAGACCGGTGATCAAGCAGCCCATCTCGTCTTCCTTCCGAACCTCGACGCCTAATTCTCGCTCGAACAGGTCGTAGAACATGTGCGCACCGCCACCGGTAGCCATGACTTGCACACCTTTGCGCATCTGCTCGCTGTCGACGCCGTGCGCTTGCGCACTGCGATCGATCAGCTCGTTGAGGAAGGCGACACAGTCGTGGATATGCTCCGTCTCGAACTTGATAAAGTTCAGCCGGCCGCCTGGCAATGCTGCAGGTAGAGAGCGCCGCTTGAGAAAAGAGGAGTGCATGGCGGGAACGTAGCCTATCGACGTTGCGGACGGGGCGCGTTCGCGCAGGACGGCAGTCGGCGTCAGCGTCCCACTCCGCCCGCCGCCGTGTAGGAAGCTTGAGCTGGATGGCGAGCGGGGCATCGCTGTGCTTGCGCCCGATGCGCCGCCAGCTCCGAATGTGCCATGGTGAGCTGAAGAAGTAGGTGAGGAGGCAGGGTGCGATGCAAGGCCGCCTGTGCTGCTTTCGCGAGAGTGCTCAGGGAAAGCGCCTCGTCGGGGAGACTCTGCGCCTGCGCTGACGCCAGACGACTGCAGCTCGGCCAGGCGGTTGTGGAAGGGCTCCGGCTCGAGCGTTTGCGTACCGATGACAGGCGAGGCATTGGTACTTGTCGCTGCGAGGGAGCGCGTAAAGTAGACGACCTTGGCCAGCGACCCGCCGATCTACGTGAGCACATGGAGGAGAGAGGAGGTGGGAAAGCAGGTCCGTTAGTCCGACGACTTGCACGAACCAGGCAATCGCGCTGTTAAAATGCATCACCCACGTCTACTGCAATGTGCGAAACACTTTCGACATGGTTCGGCAGGTAGATGTCTCTACTGTCCCTCTGGTCCGGCCCGCCTTCTTCGTCGATGATCAGCGCTCCCCTAGTAGAAGTACGTTCCGTGTGAGCTAGGCTGCCATGCGCCCTCCTTTGTTACCTGAAGGGACGATTGCATTACGCACCTGGTGTCGACAAAGATCTCTACTGGTTTGGCAACAGGTGTTGCCAACATTTTGTCAGCCATAGTCTTTTCCCTCGTGCTGCTCAAGTCACTTTTGATCCCCTGCCGGCTTATATGCAGCGAGCATGTACCGGGGATCGAACCGACTTTTAGATGAGCGCGAGCGAAGGAGGATGTTCAGCCGTCAGTTGTGAGTGTTGAGCTGTGTCGAATTACGAGGTTATCTCTACACGCAAGGACCCGACAAGTGGATCGGATATCGAACCACCCAAAGTCGGAAGTCGGGCTCGGAAATTAGGGTCAGGGAAGGACGATCAGTAGCACCGACTGCTCGGATGACGGGTCGCGACGTCGAGCGATGGCTGAAAAAGGCTGGGGAGGGCCGTCACTCTGCCTTCCATTTTTCAAGTAGCCAGCCGTCGGGGCCGCTTGCTTTTAGTCACTATCCGTGGTGATACCGTCCTGAGTATGTTTTGCGACCAGTCGGAACCGGTATACGCCATCGAATGGCTCGTATCATCATATCCATCGATAGAAAGTCTGAGCCAAGCAACTCGCAAGCAGGACGGCCCACCCCAACATCAAAAGCCCACCAAAAATCATTTGTGAAAAGAAAGAATGCTCCTGGGTGAGAGTCGAGTGGCGAGATGCCGGCGTTCTGCAAGACCTGCCCACAGGCAAGGCCGCAGCGGGCTGCTTCAAAAAAAAAGATAAACGCACCTAGCCCCGGCAAAAAGCGGAAGCGGAATGGATGTGCTGAGGGCTCGATGGGGTTAGCACGTGTACAATCGACCATTAGGGTTGCATTCATCATCATCCATTGGCCTTCGTCGTTTGTTTCATTGGTCATTGTGGATCCCCAAATCTCGAATGTCACACCGTTGCATGCCCTTCCATGTGGATTGTGGTACTCGCTCCGTGCTACAGAAACGGATCGCAGCGATCCCACAACCAGAACTCTGTAGTCCGACCTTCTCCATCGAACAGGATCCAGGTGCCCATTGTGCGCGCATCTACGCACTTCTCCTGACATCCGTGCCGTGTCCTTTTCGCGGAGAGAGAGCCCGGGTTGACAGAGTCCAAGTCCATTCAAGATGGTTGTCAAGCGCATGAGCGCAGAGGAGAAGATGGACGAGATGGTGTGTATGCTCAACGATCCGTGGAACTACTAGGTTGACCCTCCAAACGTCGTGTATGCGAGTCCTTTGCGCGGTGCAGTCGGAGCTACCGGACAAGTGCGGCCGTATTGACTGCATCGCCGTGACACTGTCCCTACCCCTCACGGTCTTCCTTTGTGCTTTCGACGCGTTGAAGAACTCACATTTCTCCGCTCTCTGAACTGTTAACATTTCATCGTGCGCTCTGCAGTTCGACCTCATGATCCAGTCTGTACGTGCGCTTCACAATGCCGACCTCCGCACACGCCATGGACGCTGGCTGTATGCATCGCTTGCTGACGTCTGCATCCTTTCCCCCAGAACGAATTCTTCACCTTGAAGGCAAGCAGTCACTCTCACCGTCTGACCGTCTCTGCATGCGCGTTATTCCAGGCTGTCTGACGTGCTCGTCGCCCCCGTATCGACCTCTCCTTGGGGTATGACAGGAACTTGAGAAGCTGGGTCCCAAGAAGGGAATCAGTGCGCGTTCCCGCTCACATCTGTCCTTTCAATAGATGAGTTCTAACTCGTTATCTCGGTCCTTTGGTTCCGACGTTTCTATGCTGCCACCGCCACTTTCAACCGTCATGCTGCCCTTCTAAGACGCTCAAAATGTGAGGTCCAAGACCGCTGCGTTCAACGGTAATATTCCTGCTGTAGATCTGGCTGACCTTCTGCTCCTTCCGGCGTCATATTCTCTGCTATCGCACACCGGATGATCACACTACATGCAACAGGTGAAAGAGGTGGTCGATGCGCTTGTTGATGAGGACAGAATCTGCCGCGAGAAGGTTCATATCGCTTTGCACCCAGCCCTCGCATATCCGATATTGAGGTCAATCCCTTGACAATGGTCTGATCCACATCTTCTTCCCTCTATGCGCCACGTCAGATTGGAAGCGCAAACTGTCAGTCTGCAACAGACTCCCTGGTTCAACCTTTGAAAGAAGCTATCGTACCTGACTCCCTTATTTGCAGATTACTGGGTCTTCGCTTCGCAAGCCGCCGTCGTGGTAAGCATCCATTACTTTCAGATCGCAGTGGATCTCGTTCTTTCGGCCTCTCGACACTGATCTGTCCGATATGGCTCTCGAACACTGTGCTTGCTTCCCTCGCTGTTGCCTTCTTCCAGGCCCGCAATCTGTCTGAACGCATCGACACGGAACTTAGCGCGACGCGCGTGAAGCTCCAGATGGCCGAAAAGAGTCTGCAGACGGCGCTGGCGCAAGGCCGTGATCCCACGGCGATGCGCCAGCAGATGCTCGCCTCGCTCGCGGAGGCGCGGCGGCGGAACAGGGCATTGCAAGACCAGCTCAAGCTCTATGGCGATCACAGTGATCCGGCTGCACTGCAAGCGAGAGTGCAAAGAATCGAGAATGCCAAGAAGATGGCTGTTGGACATACCGGTGAGGAGAGTCTAAAGTAGCTGTGCAGGTTTGCAACGGAACTGAAGTTGGCTGGGACGCTCCCTGTTCCACGTCTCAGAAAATCTCGCCGCTGTCATATCCGTAAGTGTGCACGACCGGCCGCTGCGGATGCCAGCAATGCATTCTGATTTCAACACCTGTTGACCTTTCTCGCAGTATGCGCGCACCAAGTTTCAGACCGACGCGTCGCAATTGGTGAGGTTTGTTGCAGCGCGAGGATAGCTTGGCACCATGTTCACTGACGACAATTCATCATGCTCCTTCCACCCGCCTTTCGCTTGATCATTACACCACTCATTGTGCGTTTCCTCGCGGACATGCCGCAGCGCGCACAAGTCGACCTGAAAGAAGACTTCGAAGAGCTGGAGGACACGCCGGTGCTGATTCCTATCCCGGTCAAGACACCCGATGCGGTCGCAAAGATTTGATGGTTGCAGCACGCGGCAACTCGCCCGGGGCTTGCCAACGCGCACCATCCGAACCACCGCCAGCATTCTTGCCATAGGCCACACGGAGACAATTGTAGAACTTTACGATTCAAATGTCATTACATGATCGCCCCTGTTCTCTCCACGTGCTTCGTGATGATGAATGCCCGCGTCAATCCCGATTTGCGAGCGAATCGAGGATGGCGTTGATCTCTTCCTCCTCAAGCGTCTTGAACCTGCCAACATGTTCGCCCTTGTACCGGTCTCCAAACTCCTCGCTGCTGACGATGCCGATCTCGATCTCGCTTGCCTTGAGATCCTGCGCAAGCACCGTGGAGAGCGTCTGCACGGCGAGCTCGAGGACGGCCTGTCTGCTCAAGCTGCGCGAGATCTCCTCCGCTTCCATCGCTGCGGCATCTGGTGCGGAGGATGCAGCGGCGGATGCGGCAGCGCTCGTGGCGCCTTCGCTTACGCAGGCTCCAGCCCCACCGACGGCGCCTAATGCGCTACCGGCTGTGTTGGTGTTGCTCCTCTTGAATTGCTTTTCGAAGAAATTGGTCGCCTCTGTCTGCTTGGTCCCCGATGCGGTTGCGCGGAAGCCAGTAAAGTAGCCTGCTGGGTCGATCTTGAAGATCTGCGGGCCGAGTGCCGGGTCTTCGTCGATGCCGACAAGGATCATGGAGATGCCGAGCGGGCGCATGGCCGCGCGCTGTGTGTACACCTGGTTGATGTTGGCCATGCGCTTGGCGAGCTGCGCAGGCGGGATGTTGTAGCCGTATTGGTACTTGAACTGCGCGGCTTCCGAGCGCGCGCGTTGCACCTGCGAGCGCGCATCGGCGGTTCGCCCCGTCATGATGCAGCCGATCTCCGAGGTGATGGAGAAGATGTGCGTGATGGTCGATGCGTCGAAGAGTTTATCCTGCAAGTATATGCATCATCGGTGCATACAGTAGGTACCACATATCTGAAGTCAGCCCTTGTTCACTGCGAACCCCAGGCCGAAGAGTTGTATTGACCTGCACGTAGGCAGCTGCGAATTGCTACTCACCGGAACTTTTCGTTGACCGCAGACGACAGCACAGTCCTTTCCCTTGACAGCAATGGAGGTGAGTCCGGCGGAGGTGATGGCCTTGAATGCATATTCGACCTGGTAAAGGCGGCCATCGGGCGAGAAGACGGTGAGGTAACGGTCAAAGGCCGAGCGCGACATGCTGGCTGGGCTTCGATTGGACTTGGGACGGCGGCGTCGGTCGTAAGATACGCCCAGGTCTACGTCGATCAAATTATTAGCACAGGAGGCCACTGGCAGATCGGTCTTGCGTGCACGCTGTCGAGGAAGTCCAGCAATGAAAGCAAGGCGAAGGCGTCCCCCTAACCCTTGTAGGCAGCGCTGTCTGCTATGCTATGCGACACGGCGTAGCTACACGCACACGCAACTCAATAATGGAACGGAATGAAATGGACAAGGGTGACGTGGGTGCATCACGTGACCATTCCTTTCGAGCGGAACAGGGAAGTGGAAGTAGGGTTACATCCTTCCACTCGGCCCAGGCAAAAAGATTTTTTCCACTCGCAAGAGACAGCTTCTCAGCTAGAGGTAAGGCAGGGATTCATCCAATTCTTCGCATGGACCCCTATGGTCACCAAGAGCATACATTGCTACCACCATCATCAACAACAGCAGCATTGGCCGCAGGCGCAGACACAACCCAGCGCATTCTTGACGGTCAGCAGCTTCTGGAGAGAACGACCCGGCTCGTTCGCAGAAGAAACTCCAGGTCCAAGTCGAGATTAGTTTCGCCGTGGCTTGAACGGACGCTTCACCATGGCGCTCACTCCTTCCCACATCCTCTTCGAGTCGGCCACCGGCTGCGCCATCTTCAAATGCGTACAGGTGGAGGAGATCGGGAACAAGACGCCCGCTGTGCAGGAGTCGATCAAAGACCTGAACAAGTTTGGAAAGATGGTCCAACTCGTCTCGTTCAGCCCATTCAAGAGTGCGGTAGACGCATTGCAGACCTGTCTCGACATCTCAGAGGGTGAGAGGAAGAGGATTTTATGCAGATGCAAGCTCCACATGTCGAAGTAGTGGAGCTGACCGAGATCTTTTTGACTTCTGCTCTTGATCACTTTCTTGCGAATCACTAGGCGTGATGAATGACCACCTGAAGCAGCTCATCACACTCAATCTGCAAAAGTCCAAGAGTATCCTGCTTGGCGTGTCAGAGAGGGGCCTTGCAGGCTCCATCATGTCCGAGACGGGCATAACCTGCGACACGGGAGAGCGGACGCTAGAGCTGATTCGCGGCATCCGGCTACACTCTGAAAAGCTACTCAAGGGCCTTTCAGAGGGCGACATGGCGAAGGCACAGCTCGGGTTGGGGCACTCCTACTCGCGGAGCAAGGTCAAGTTCAACGTCAACCGATCCGACAACATGATCATCCAGGCCATCGCCCTCGTCGACACGCTCGATAAGGACGTCAACACATTCGCCATGCGCGTGCGCGAGTGGTACGGCTGGCACTTCCCGGAGCTCGTCAAGCTTGCGCCGGACAACATCACCTACGCCAAGCTCGCGCGCTTCATCAAGGCCAAGGAGAACCTTTCCGAGGAGCACATTGAGGAGCTAACTGAGCTCCTTGCGGGCGACGAGACGATCGCTAGGAACATCCTCGATGCCAGCAGGGCTAGCATGGGTACGCAGATCGGAGAGATGGACATGATCAACATTGAAAACTTTGCCGATCGCGTTGTCAACCTTGGCGAGTACCGTAAGAACATGCACAAGTATCTCATCGAGAAGATGCACCTCGTTGCACCAAATGTGAGGCGTCGACGTTCTGGTACACAATCGATGCATTTCCTGACTTTCTGTGTTGCCTTTGGTTTTTGATAGGTTTCCGCTCTTATCGGAGAGGTCATTGGCGCAAGGCTCATCTCGCACGCCGGCTCTTTGACCAACCTGGCAAAGTATCCCGCGTCGACGGTGCAGATCCTTGGCGCGGAGAAGGCACTGTTCCGCGCGCTCAAGACGAAGGGCAATACGCCAAAGTACGGTCTGATTTACCACGCGTCTGCGATCCAGCGCGCCGCGCCAAAGAACAAGGGCCGCATGTCACGCTTTCTGGCCAACAAGATCAGCATCGCCGCGCGGATAGATTGCTTCAGCGACAACACCGTCACCGCCGGCGGGCAGCCGAATAACAAGTTTGGCGAGGTCATGGCCGTGCAGGTCGAGGAGCGCCTTGCGTTCTACGAGACGGGGAAGCCGCCGGGGAAGAACATCGATGCGATGAAGAAGGCACTTGCGGCGATTGAAGAGCAGGCGGGCGATCAGATGGATGTGGACGCTGAGGAAAGCGGCGAGGACGACGAGGATTCTGACGAAGATGACGCCGAAGGTGGCAAAGCGCCCATGCCCAACGTACTCGGCGCCTCGGATCTGGCCGACAAAAAGTCTAAGAAAGAGGGTAAGAAGGACAAGAAGGAAAAGAAGGAAAAGAAAGAGAAGAAGGAAAAGAAGGAAAAGAAGAGCAAGCATAGCGACGGCAAGGAGAAGAAGACCAAGGAGGACAAGGTTGCCAAGGACGCCGAGAAGGCACGACGAAAAGCCGAAAAGAAGGCAAAGAAGGCAGGCAAGGCCTGAGAGGCGGGTTCACCAGCTCGCTCCTTTTCTTTCTCATTTCTCATTTCCCTCTTCTCCTTGGCTCTCTTATCCGCGCTGTTATGTACCATAGTCTGGCTTGCATTTGTACCATTCATAAGACTCTTCCGATTTGATATGCTACATTCGCTTCGCCTTATATTTCCACCGATGCACTCATGATACATTGACCCCACAGCTCTTGAGAGCTTTCAAGCATTCAAGGCTGAAGTTGGCGATCTCCATCTGCATCCTTGCGAGTTCTTGCAGTTCTCGTTTTTGCGACAGCGCAGGCAAGGCCATTCGTGCACGCGCACTCGACAGCGCTACTTGTCTGGCAGCTGCGGCAAGGCCGCTACGCACAAGCGACGACTTGGCCTGTTCGATCGCTGCTGACCGATCGCCCTCACCATTGGGTGCGGCGCCAGGCGAGATGGCAGCAGACGACGACGAAGAGACGATCCAGGCAAGGTATTGCGATAAGCAATGCAGGATCGTGATGCCGCGTATGGCCAGTGATGCGCGCGCGTGCTCGGCCCCTTGGGGGCTTGAAGAGAGGTCGACCAGTTCGGCAGCAGCTTCGGCTTCCTCGTCGATCCCCTCTCCGTTCTCTTCCTCTTCCTCTTGCAAATTGCGCCAGCTTTGTGCTTCCGCAAGGGTGTTGTCGTCATCCTCGCCATCAGTGACATCCAAGAAGCGAGACGCGTCGTCGATGGTAGCAGCAGTGGAAGATGAAGCGCACCGCTCGAATGGCGTACCAGGGTGAATGAGGCGGGCGAGAATATTGATCGTACTTGGTTTGAGCGACAGGAGCAAGGCACACATAGTTGGTGTCGACACAAGTGAGGCAAGGCTACCAGCCGCAGCTAGACGTGTCGCCAAACTCGTTTCGCCTTTCTTCGCGTCGGTGCCTCCCGCTTGAGTGCAAGTTCCAGCCCCAGCACTGAGCGGCGCACAGAGAGCAACGAGTAGGTGTATTCGGCGTTTTGCCTTCTCCATGCGCGCTCCAACGCTGCCTGCGCCGGATGCGCTTCCCGATGCGCCACATCGCGCTGCTTGCTGTGGCGCCGGCTCACCAGCCCAGTATGCGAAAGTTTGCTCGTCAACCAGCAGGTTGCACAGCATTTCGACATAGGCGCGCTGAAGCATCTTGTTGTCCTCGAGCATGATCCGGCCGTCCAACTCCTCTCGAAGCGTCAAGTCTTCTCCAACAGCCTCAGCTTTCTGATTGCCCCCGCCCTTCTTCGTCAAAATAGAGACGCGAAGCTTTGAGCCGGCAATCGCCTTCGCATACTCTGGCCCAGCACTCGCGATATTCGTAAGCGCCAAGCTGGCCTCGAAGCGCTGAAGGTTCGTCGAGCTGGGGCTTAGCCAGAGCTGCCTGCACAGTGCTACAGAGACGGATTGCAGCTGTGCCGGCGTGAAGAGCAGGACTGGATTTGCCGTGATCAACAGCTTCGCAAGCGCTTGGGTCGCGCGCTTGCTCGCGGCCTGAGCCGTGGACTCTTCATCTGCGCCATTCGCCGTCTCACTATCAGCATGAGCATGGCTGCTGCTAAGAGCGAGAATAGCCCGATTGCCACCTTGTTGCGCCAGCTTGCCGCGCAGCAACTTGTCCTGTGGCGTCACTAGTGCGTGAAAAACATCCACGAGCTGTTCACGCACGGCAGGCGACGGGTTGAGCGAGCCTCCTCCCTCTTCAGTCCCTCCTGCGCCTTTGCTTACACCGATAGATGAAGTAGGCGATCCCGCGAATGTGATTGCCACAAGCAGCGCTGTGACACCAGCTTCGACTACGCATCTGCACCTCTTGTCGACCTCCGAGGATGGTTCCTCTTCCTCTTCTTCGAGTGCAGATGCACCGTTCGCTGTTCCATTGCCATTAGTAGCATCGCTGCCAGCACTAGCAGCACGCTGTTTTGCTTCAGCTAGCTTTTTCAGTCGCTGCATCTGTTTTTGCTCGGCGGACAAGAGCGGCGGGTACCGCGTGATGGACTGCAAGATGGAGAGGATGAGAAATTGCAGCGACGTATCGAATCGGGCGACTGATGCACTATGCACAGTAAATCCCAAAAAGAGTCTCGCATCGATTTCGTACATTGAAGAAGCATTGGAGGAGGAAGCTGCACGGTTGGGGAAAAGGGCAGCTCGTGACTTGGCGATCAACGGCGTGAGACTTGCGAGAAAGGAGAGTAGTGGCGCCGATTTTGCGCTAGCTAGCTCACTCTTGCGCTTTCCACTTGGTGAGAGCAGCAGAAGGCTGAGTAATTCAAGCAAGGGTAGTAGGAGGATCTGTGGAGATCTCAGTGCATCTTCGTTGGAAGCCGCGTTATCGCCGATGGAAGGGAAAAGTGCCGTGCAAAACTTCACAGCTTGATCATCCTCTGTCGCATTCCTTGCCACATCAGCAGTAGAAGAGTCAGAGACGGCTGCAACATCTATGAGCTGTTGAACCGCTCCATTCTTGAGTCCGATATTTCTGCTGAGCTTGAGCCTTATGAGAAGAGCGTACAGCGTGGCCCGGGCCTTGTGCAGGAACGCACTGCTTTCCTCCAGCCTTCCTACTTTCCCGGCTTTTTCTCCCATCATGAGCTCTCCTTCATCTATGAGGTCTTCAAGCAATTGGCTGAGAAAGCCTCGTGCTGCGCCTGATTTGGAACTTTCCAAGAGCAAGGAGCGAAATCCACCTTTCCCTGCCGAAAGGCCAGTTGAGAGCATTTCAACCCAGTCTGCTTCTGCTTCTGCGCCGCCAAGATCAGTATCGATATATGGTGGTTGGAGCAGTATCCTTTCCCCTGGGTCCTCCTCGACTGCATCTTGCAAATGCGCAATGATCTGAATTGCGAGTGGCGACGAGAGGGCGAAGAGTGCTGAGAGAAAGCGGTAGACAGTCCGTAAATTTGTCAAATTGGCGGCACCCTCTGAAGTTTGTTGGTGCAACAAGGGCGAAAGCACTAGATAAAATAGTCTTGAAGTAATTGATATTGATTCATCCTGATTCGACTGTGTCTTGCTGCTGCTGTTGCTAGCTGCTTCAGCGCTTGAATCCTGAAGCAGGAACAGGTGGCGCGCAATGGTGATCATGCTCATCGCTTTCGTCATGGAAGCGTTCTTCCCTGTTTCTTTCGAGCCCCCATCTTCTGCGCCCGGCGCAAAGGCTTGCACGCATTTTCTAGCGCCGTCCTCGTCTAAAGTAGGTATTGCTGAAGACTGGCCGATGGATAGCCCAGAGGTGGGAGAGGTGAGACGTGCGACGTCGAAATCGACAGCGGTATTTTTCTTAGCGCTGGCGCTTGCACAAGCTCTGCGGTCAGTCATACTGCTGAACTGTGCCACGATGTGCTCCGCAGTGTTCTCATGTCCGCTGCAGCGAGTCCTGTTCCACCGTGGACGGCCGTCTGGATCATGGAGGAGACTCAACCCTCGAGAAACAAAATGAAACTCAAGTGATGGGCAAACAGACTGTTGGTGGTGGTTGGAGCTATGTTGTTTACGTAATGGCCATGGCCAATAGCCTCTCCTGCTGGGACATTTTTTTCGAACAACTCATCGTGGTATTCGGCACACAGACTCTCCTTCGCCTGAGGTTCAAGCCGCAAGCGCCTCTGGAACGATAGCTCGGAGGTTTCAGGGTACTTCTGAGGCTGCGTAAATTAGCTTGCATAGGGGCCAAAGTCGGCGAAGACGGTGGGAGGTCCACCTAGCTGAGCGGAAGCTTGCGTTGGAGCAAAGATGAAGGAGCTCGTTGCGTCGGACGCGCCCAAGCGCATCAAGGGCATTCAGTTCGGCGTGTTGTCTCAGCAGGAGATCGTCGAGATGTCGCAGATGGAGGTCATCGATCGCAGTTTGTACCAGCAAGGGACTACTGAGAGGAAGCCGATGGTGGGAGGGCCAAATGACCAAAGACTAGTGAGTGATTCCCTAGGGCATTTTCGTGTGCTCGATGGGGCAAAGCAACCCGTTTGCCTGACACCAAGGCGCAATCGCTCGTTATGCTGCCTCCTAGGGTATCTGGGACAAATCTGCCACTTGTCAGACATGTGGACATCACATGTCCGAATGCATTGGCCACTTTGGCTACATCAAGCTTGTCCTCCCCGTCTACCACGTTGGGTTCTTCAAGCACATTGTCCAGATCCTACAGATCATTTGCAAGGTGAGTAGCTTAGAGGCATCATGTATCTTCGCGCAAAGAAGCTGACGCATGAAACATCTGCCAATCTTTATGACATCCCGCTCATAGAGTTGCTCGGCCGTTCTCCTGGACGAAGAAGACAGGCGCAAATATCTCAAAGCTTTTCGCAGACCTCAACTTGAGAATCTGGCCCGCACACAAACCTTCAAGAAGGTCAACCAAGCAGCGCGCAAAGTGCTATATTGTCCGTACTGCGGTGCTCTGAATGGGACCGTCAAGAAGGTCACGAACTTGCGCATCGTTCACGAGAGATTTCGAAACAAAAAGGCTGCCGATGAGCAGCGGCATTTCCACAAGTCCTTTGACCACATGATCAGCACCGGTGGCTCAGGGCCAGGCAGCGGCGGTGAAATCAAACAACATCTCAGCAAGGCGCATGAGGATCTGAATGCTCTCAAAGTCATGGAGCTCTTCAAGCGTATCAGCGACGAGGACTGCGAGCTGCTCGGCTTGCGACCCGAACACGGCCGGCCAGAGGAGTATATCTGGCAATACGTCTGCGTTCCTCCCGTTTGTATCCGCCCCGCCGTTGCACAAGAGGCGAATACGAATGAGGACGATCTGACTATCAAGATCGCTGAGATCGTCTTTGCCAATGCCCTTGTAAAGACGAGCATTGCGCGAGGCGCACCAATTTCGCAGCTGATGGAGCAATGGGACTTTGTGCAGACGACGGTGGCGCTCTACATCAATTCTGAGCAACCGGGTCTGAATCTCGGGCCCAACCCTGGCAAACCCATTCGCGGTTTTTGTCAAAGGCTGAAGGGCAAGACGGGCAGGTTCCGAGGGAACCTGAGTGGCAAGCGAGTAGACTTTTCGGGTAGAACGGTTATCTCTCCTGATCCAAATCTCAAGATCGACGAGGTTGCCGTGCCGGAACGGGTGGCCAAAGTGCTCACGTATCCGGAAAAGGTGTTTGAGCACAATATGGGGCACATGCGCCAGGCAGTACTGAATGGTGCAAATGTACATCCTGGCGCCAACTTCATTGTGGACGGCCGCACTGGATTCAAGCGCATGATTAAGTTCATGGCCAATCGTGAGGACGCGGCAAAAAATCTGAAGTATGGCGACATTGTCGAGCGGCATATCCGAGATGGCGACATTGTTCTCTTCAACCGTCAGCCTTCACTGCACAAGCTGTCCATCATGAGCCACCGCGTCAAGGTCAGACCGTGGCGCACGTTTCGCCTCAACGAGTGTGCTTGCAACCCTTATAATGCCGATTTTGACGGCGACGAGATGAACATGCACGTTCCGCAGACGGAGGAGGCGCGCACAGAAGCGACGATTCTTATGGGCGTCAAGCACAACCTTGTCACACCGCGTAATGGTGAACCGCTCATTGCCGCCATCCAAGATTTCATCACTGCGTCTTTCCTCATTTCTAACCGCGATCGCTTCTTCGATCGCAAACAATTTGCGCAAGTCTGCAGCACGTTCGGCGATGCGACGATGCACATCGACATTCCTCAGCCGGCGATCTTGAAGCCTGTGCGCCTATGGACAGGAAAGCAGGTTTTCAGCTGCCTCATCCGCCCGAACAAGAAAGAGAGAAATGGCAAGCAGGTATTGGTTAATCTCGAAGCCAAGTGTAGGACTTTCGAGAAGCCGAACGAGGGCTACATCGACGATATGAGCCCAAACGACGGGTATCTCGTCATCCAGAACTCCGAAGTCATGTGCGGCGTGATGGACAAGGCGACAGTTGGCGATGGCAAGAAGAACAGTGTTTTCGGTGTCATGCTTCGCGATTATGGCACAGATGTTGCGATTGAAGCGATGAATCGACTTGCAAAGATGTGCGCTCGCTGGCTTGCCAACCAAGGCTTCTCGCTCGGTATCAATGATGTTATGCCGGGTCACCGCCTGCGGACCACCAAGGACGCAAAAGTTGAGACAGCGTACACAAAGTGTTTGGATCTCATCGAGAAGGCCAAGGTGGGGAAATTAACCAATTTACCCGGATGCGACCAAGAGCAGACGCTCGAGTCGGAGATCTCCGGTGTCCTGAGTGACGTTCGTGGTGATGTTGGCAAGATCTGCATGACCGAGTTGAGCAGGCACAATGCGCCACTGGTCATGGCTGTCTGCGGTAGCAAAGGCTCGCAGATCAATGTCGCACAGATGGTCGCATGTGTTGGTCAACAAATTATCGCAGGCAGTCGTGTACCAAACGGGTTCCAGGATCGCTCTCTACCCCACTTCGCTAAGAAATCCAAGGATCCACCTAGCAAGGGATTTGTGCGCAACAGCTTCTTTAGCGGTCTCACTCCCACCGAATTCCTCTTCCACGCTATCTCGGGTCGCGAAGGTCTGGTCGACACGGCTGTCAAGACGGCTGAGACGGGGTACATGGCGCGTCGACTGATGAAGGCGCTCGAGGACCTCAGCACCCATTATGACACGAGCGTGCGCAACTCCGTCGGCGGTGTTGTTCAGTTCATCTACGGAGACGACGGCCTAGATCCCGCCGAGCTGGAAGGCGACGCTTTGCCGGTCGAGTATCAGCGCTCATGGAAGCATGCCAAGGCCATCACCATGCATATGCCCGGGCGTGGGCTCATGCCATACGAGATCAAGGAGTTTGTCGACCGCGAGCTGGCGAGCTCGCGTTTCACGAAGGAGACGACTGAGATGTACAGGCAGCAGATCAGGGGCTTCATCAGCGAGCACGTTGTGAAAAAAGCTGCTGCGATTAGAGAGGCGCATGGGCTTTATCCTGCAGAGGATAGAGAGGAGGAATGGGACGAGGACACAGATTTGACCATGGGCGCAGATTGTGAGATTCAAAGCATCCCCGCTCGCAGCTCCCAGCTCGCCTTATACTGACTCTCCTGCTCGTGTACTCAGACGAATCTCGCGTCGTGGTCGACAACAAGACAAAGATCAAGGAAGTCAGCGTGAAAGAGTTCCTCGACTTGTGCTGGGTCAAGTATATGCGCGCCAAAGTGGAGCCAGGTGAATGCTTCTCTGCGGTTGAACTCACAAGAAGGAACACTCACAATTCTTGTCAACAGGAACTGCTGTGGGGGCTGTTGGCGCCCAGTCAATCGGAGAGCCAGGAACTCAAATGACGCTCAAAACTTTCCATTTTGCTGGTGTTGCATCGATGAACGTTACCCTTGGTGTACCGCGCATTAAGGAAATCATCAATGCGGCCAAGGTTATCAACACACCCATCATTGAAACAAAACTGGTATCCGAGAGCAGTGAAGCAGCTGCGCGCATCGTCAAAGGTCGAATCGAAAAGACATACTTAGCGGACGTCACATCCGTCTTCGAGGAAGTATGGGACAAAGATTACGCTTTCATCGGTGTCCACATCGATATGGATACCATCCGCAAGCTGCAACTGGAGATCAGCCCGTGGCAAATCGCTCGAGCCATCCGACGCGCGCCACGACTGCGCCTCACCGAGGAGCGCGTGCAGTTGATCGAGAGCCGCAATCGCATACGCATCTACGTGGACCGGAACGACGAGAACTCGTACAACTCCCTCAAAACACTCAAACGTGAGCTCGGCAAGATCGTCATCTCGGGTATCACGGAGTGCAACAGGGCGGTCGTGTCGAACGACAAGGGCGTTTTCAAGATCCTTGTCGAGGGCTACGGCTTTAAGCAGGTCATGACAACACTTGGGGTCGTCGGCACACATACGCAGACCAATCACGTCATGGATATGCGCAGCATTCTCGGTATTGAAGCAGCCCGCACATCTGTCTTTAACGAAATTCAGACGACAATGAAGTCCCACGGCATGAGCATCGATCCTCGTCACGTCATGCTCCTTGCTGACATCATGACGTACAAGGGCGAGGTGCTCGGCATCACCCGTTTCGGTGTAGCCAAGATGAAGGACAGCGTGCTGATGTTGGCCTCGTTCGAGAAGACCACCGATCATCTCTTCGACGCCGCTCTGTTCGGTAAGACCGACTACATCGAGGGCGTCAGCGAGAGCATCATTATGGGCAATCCAGCCAAAGGATTGGGCACAGGTCTTCCTGCGCTTGTGAGCGCCCAGCCTTCCATTCCACCACCCCGCAAGCTTCTCTTCGACCGGTAAATGCTGAGAAGCATGCCGTACTGTACCATATCGCAATTTGCAATTAAGGTTGCAATAATCATTAGGTTGCAACAGTAGTAGCGTACTGGAATATGCGGGCATGTTAGCACTGCGTGAACACAGTGCTTGAGATGCACAATACCATGGATAATTAATAAAAGGCGGCTGCCGAAGAAGATCAACAGCGTTTCTTCTTGCGTTCGGCCCGCCACCGCTCAAGCTCTTTGAGCGCCGATTTCTCTTCTGCCTCCTCCTCTTCTTGCTGTTTTTGCTCCTCTTCCTTCTGGATCTCCTGGAAGCGACTCTGAGCTTTGGGATTCTGCATCGGGTTCTCAACCTTCACGACGCCGGTCTTGTTCATGCGGTCAAAGAGCGAGAAGAGCTTCTCCGCCTCAGCCTCTTTCTCCTCGTCCGTCATCTGATTGATCGGGTCGCGTGCCTTTTCGGCCGCAGTGGGCTCGTACGAGCCCGTGATGGGATTCACAGGCCGCGATTGCCCGAACGCTGATCCTGATCTGGCCTCCGGGGGCTTGGGCACGGACCCAGCCAGATTGACGCTCAACAAGAAGCCGATGCTCGGACCGTAGCCGATCTGCGAGCTAAGCTCTTGAGCTGCGGAAGCGTAAGGGAAACAGTCACAGAATGAGCTTTTTGATAGCTCTGCTGAATCACGCACTCTTGAGCACTCACGGTTACCGTTGTAGAGAGAAAGAAAGAGCTCGCCTGCAGCGCGCATCAGACGCGGGAACAACGCAGAGCCCATGAATCGAACGAGCCTTCCCGTCAAGTCTGTGCGCTTGTCCAGGCCGATGCTCCGGTCGCTGCGAAGAATGCAAGTCAAGCGAACAAAGGACAGTCTTTAGCATCCATGCGAAGCGCTCCTGGAACTGCGTGCACTGTGACCGTGCGCACAGACTCACATCTCTGGTGGAGCGAGTATATTGCGAAGGTGCGCTCTAGCGCCAGCGTCCTCAGCAGCGAGCTTGCGAACGAGCAAGAGCAGCGGTTGCAGCAGGTCTTCCACCTTTACTGAATCCTTGGCAGCCTGCTTATTGACCAAGGCGGAATCGACGTCGGGTGCGCTAAAGTAGCGCTTGGTCGTGCGGTCGAGTATACCGACAAGAGCGGTAAGCAGCGGCGGGATCTGCGTGCCTGTTGACTTGGATTGCTTTGAGTTGCTGTTGCTTTTCTGTCGGTTGCCCTTGGGAGAGAAAAGATTAACTGCGAAGCGCCGAGCGCTCGCAAGGCCTGTCATCGATGAGGGAAGTGACCCCGTAGAAGTCTCCTCAGACACCTGAAACCAAACGTCGCGGTAGTCCTTGACGGGGAAGTTCAGCAGCACAGCAATGGCGTTCGTGAGCGGGGTCGCAAGCGGCGGGGTGGACTCGGGGCTGATGAGGACGAGACGGATGGTCGGACCCAACATTCTGAGGACCCCCGGGAGGTCATTAAGGGAGGCCAAGTGAGCACATCAGAACGACAATGGCAGCGCAGCGCTTGTCAGATGGCCGCCTTGAACTTACTTGGCGAGAACAGGGTGGAACGCTTCTCCGAGCATGGCTGACCCATCTCTCTGTCGAGCGCTTTCGTCCGCAAAGCGAGGATAGTACAGCGAGATGTTGAAAAAAGCCTTGAGTACCTCGCCTAGGGCCGCGTTGAGTTGTTTCGGGTATTCTGCAGATGCCCTTTTGCGCGGAGAGTCTTCCTCGAGCGACGAGTTAGCAAGGTGTTCCTCGAGCGCGTCCAGAAGCGCAGTCATCGACTTTGACCGAGCGAGGAAAGCGAATATGAGCACAGTGTGCAGATAGCGAGCGTGATAGACAGAGGGGGGCCGGCCTCAATAGGAACTCACCAGTGTAAGTTTATCGATCGCGCCGAGCTCCTCCACAGCGACCTTATTGAACGGGGCCTCGAACAGCGTGCAGTAAAAGATGAGTCTCGCCGCGAGAAAGGGTACGTCGCCGGCGCACCCATCTACGAGCTGCAGCAGCTCCAGCGCGATGGCGCCACCACCGACGCCGACGTTCGTGTCATCCTTGTTGTCGCTGTCGTTGTTGGCGAAGAGCGCGCGGGACTGCTCATGCAGGAAGAGCGTATTGTTGAGGCATCGTAGGGCGATATCGTTGATGCTCCACGTAAGGCTGTCCAGGGCTTTCACTGACGGCGACCCGCGATCCTGCTGCTGCTGTCTCTGTTGTGCTGCAGTTGGCACCGCCGCCTCCAATACGGCTCGTGCTGATGCTGACGCTGACAGCGGCGAGGAGGCGGAATGGAAAGCCGCGGGTACGAGCACCGGCATCGGCGGGAGCAGTATCGACTCGAACGCGCGATGTCCTTCGGCGCTGCTGATGCTGCCGTGCGCACTGACGGGTCTGCGCGCGAGACCGCTTTTGCTCTTGCCGCCACTGCCCGCTGCGGCCGGCGTGATGCCGCCAGCGATGCTGCTCAAGTTGCTGTGGCTGCTGCAGGCCCTGCGCACTTGGTAGAGATCGCTGCCCCTCTGTCTGCCAGTTCCATGCGACCTCTCCTTGTCTCTCGCACCAGAGAGCGACGTCGGACCGCGCGACCACATGCCGGCGATCTTGCCCAGTTTTCGGCCGGGCGTCCCTGCTGCGACCGCTTTGACTGGCGAGCTCACAGGCGGCGATGCCGAGCTAGCGCCGCCTTTGCTCTGCCTGTAGTCGCTTCCTTGGGAGCCAGTGCGCAGGCGCGCCAAGCCGCTGCTGCTTCCACCGCCACCCCCGCTCGAGGCCGACGATAGCTGAGATGAGGGCGAACCGCGCACCTGCGTTTCGTCCAGCATCTCCTCTTCTACCTCTCCTTGTGCCTGCTCCTCACCGCAGGCAGCAGTAACAGGAGCAGAAGATAATGATGACGACGATGACGGCAATGATGATAATGGTGTTTGGGCGATGCCACCTCCCTCTTGCCCTTTCAGCTCCAGCTCGGCGACCGCCTCCGCGCCCGCCTCGCCGGGAAGCGTGAGCTGCTCGAGCAGCATGGCAAGACCCTCGGCTGAAGCGAGTGGCGCCGAACCACCGGGAAGGCGGCTGAGTTCTTTGAGCACCATGAGGGCCAAGAGGCGCACTTTAGATAGCACACACATGCGGTGGTAAAGTCAGAAAGCCTTCACGACGGCGCTCGGTTGCACTCACGTTGTTTCGGCCAGGGCCACGCCTGTGCGTCGTCCACCTCTTCAATTTTGGCGCCTGGATCAGCGTTTTCGCTCGCTTGTCCTAGCTGCTGCTGTTTCCCCTCCTCCTGCTCCGCCTCCTTATCTCCTTCCTTGACCAGCTCCGCTCTGTCGCTCCGCCGCCAGCGCCTGCGACGCCGTGCCAGCACCTGCCGGCGGTCGCGCTCGGCCATGCGCGTGGCGCGCAGGTCGGCGGCGATCGCCTCGGCGAAGAGCTGGCGCATGCGCGTGTTGAGCGCCGCTGCACTGCCGACGGTGTTAACAAAGGCGTCAAGCAGGGCGTACACGGGTGCTTGCTTGCACCATGCCGACGCCGCAGTTTGGAGTGATGCGGCGGAGGACGAAGGAGCCTCAGAAGCAATTCCAGACGCGGCCTGCCCGCGCTCGCTGTCGCGTTGCAACCGCCGTCGCGAAGCGTCAGGCAGGCTAATGTACGCCTTTGCTATGCGCAACGCTGCACCGGACGCGGCAGGATCGCTGGAGGCTTGCGCCTTCGCCTGCACCTGCGCCTGCGCAGCGGCTGCAGCGAGAGCGGCCAGCATATTTTTCTCTCTTGCTTTTCCGTGTGTCAAGCTCGACTCGAAACGGAGTCGTTGCAGAGTGAGTGTGAGCTTGCAATCTATTGTGTGTGTGTGCTGTTATCGTTGAGGTGGCCCCTGTCATTCGTCTTGAAGTTGAAACGCATATCACCGGCACGATCGCACATTCATTGTTTGCTTGAATCTGCTGGCTCCAAAGTGTAAGGATTCGCGACGAGCCAAATTGAGAGGCGAGGAGAAGCTGCGTCTGGAAACAGTAATGGGAGGTAAGGCAAGCCCGCTCGTCAGTGCCTTGCACCCCTGATTCATGAAGTGCAGCGCTCCAGTAAGGACCCAGCAGTTAGAAAAGAGGGGAGAGGATCTGCTCTCCCTCTCTCTCAACAGAGCATGGGGTCGATATGGACATAGGCTGCGCTTGCGCCAGTGTCCCCGGGGGCTTCTGGAACCATCCTTTTTCGCGTGTCTTTCTTCTACGAAGAACGATCGACCTCCCAGCGAGAGTGAAAGGCGAAAAGCAGCATGCCACTCACCAAGCGACCACATATGATGCATGTGCATGCATACACGCTTGTATAGATGGACAGCTGCCGCTGTGCAGAACCGAAGGAGATTGGAGAGCCGCCGCACTTTGCAATGAAGCACGTCCTGCCGAATGGGTTGGAGCTTTAGGAAGACTTGCTTTTGTGCTTTTTTTATTCCCTTCGTTTGCCACGGTCCGTTGCTCAGCAGACGAGAAGCGACGCATGCAAGTGGGGTACCTGCGATCTGAGTTGCTGACGAGCGCCGAAGCGGAGAGTCAATGGCGACCAGTCGAGGTGATGGAGGAGCTGCTCATCAGGACGTCACAACGAGTATGTACGAACATCCATGTTATTATGGATGGGCGCCACGTGAGGCGCATGTGAACAATGAGCAGTCGTCGACGACGAGATGGAGTATTTCCAATGCTGGCGTGCTCTCTCACGTGCATCGCCTGCTTCTTTGATTCGTGAGCAACCACTACCGCCTCCTCGAAACGCCATCCAGTGACCAGGGTCTCTGCGGCAGATCCACCAACCCACAGCAAGCACCGTCGGACCGACATTGAGATCCGAGACATTCGTACCGCGTACATATGCCCGCGGCCAGCGGCTCAGCGGGAGCCGCAATGCCCCGAATTCTGACATGTCCGCATGTCTACGCACACTTGTCATTTTTCAGTCATTGATTCATAATGTCTCTCGCCCTTCCCTCACGCTCTCTGCAGAGGCACAGGTCTTTGTACTAGTACACATGTGCTCTCGCATGGCATGTGCGACGGCGATACGATACACACGCTGCTCGCTGCGTCGACGGCAAGACGATGAGCCGTGTGTGTGTGCTTTTGATTGTCTCATAATGCAAAAGAGGAGCTCCTCCCTTCTCCACAACGTGTCGACTCTTGCTGGATGCACTTCTCCGCGGGCCTTTGTGGTTTGATCCTCCTCTTCCTTTTCCGCTTGGCCAGCACTCCGCATTAGGACACAAATGAGTGAAGAGAGAAAGTGGAGCAAAGAAGGTTAGGGTGGAACCAGGCGTTGCGCAAGGTTGGCAGACGATTCGGGACTCGGGACTCGCGAAATAAGGGGAGTCCCCGCTGTAGATCCAACACTCTACCAAGCACACCCATGTCAATGCCACCCCCCCTCCCAGCAACCACCTCGCGGCGAGGGTCCGTATATCCACATCCAGGTACATAACAAGCAACGCTCAATCGGATTGATACGGAGGGCCTTGCACATTGAATACATATGTGGTGTTAGGCCTGGGGCCTTGGCCACTGCGCCTGCCTGGCAGCGAAGCCATCATTTCCAACTTTCCCGGGTACAATCCGACGCGACCAAAAATTGGAGCTCTCTGATGATGACCGACCCTTCTTCCCTCCCTAAAATGTGCAAACCTCCAGAGATGCAGCTGGCGCCGATGTAGACGATTTCTCTCGGTCCCTTTCTGCTGCCTCTGCTAAAATAATGATGCCAATGATGATGATCCCTTTTGCTCTTGCTCTTGCGCCCGTTCTCATTCTTGCACCTGCCCTTGTGTCTCCTCTACGTCTTCGTCGCCGATCCACCCTATGTAGCTCTCAGGAACGAGCCCGCGCTTGACCTCTTCTTCCGACTCCTCTTGCGCACCCGGGGAGACACGCTCGACGACCGCCCAGCCGCCCTCGAGGTTCCCGACGACGCGCACGCGATCGCCAGGCTTGCACGTCAACTCGTGCTCGCTCTCTGCCTCGAACGCGTACAGCACCTCGTACACGCCGAGCGCCAGCCCATCGCCGTTGTCCCCCTCAGCGTCGACTTCCGCGTCGTTCGCATCGACGCCCCAGTCTTCCTCCTCTTCATTGTGGTTGTTGTTGTTGTTTTTGTTGTTGCCGTCCTCGCCATCGCCATCGGCCGACGTCCCAGTCAACGCACTGGTACCGCCGCCCTGCGGCGCGCTGACGTCTCTCGCACCAACATGCCGCGGATCCGTCTCGGGGAACGCAAAGTCGCGCACACGCAGCTGCGCATATAGCGCCGCCACCTCTTCGCGCCACTTGGCCGCCGCGACTGGGTCCATCGCCTCCGCCTCCTGATCCGTCTGCGACTGGCTGTTGCTGCTCCGAGAGGAGTACCTGGACGGCGCGAGCGAGTCCTCCGCTGATAGGCCACCGCTACCGACATGGGCCGAGGAGGGAAAGGGCCGCGTAGAGGATGATGCAGGCTGTTGCGCGTTGCTTGCCAATGTGGCAGCGGGGGCGCCACCTTCATGCGGGCCAGTTGGATACGGCGAAAGCGACGAAGACCCGGATGAGGACAGTCCATCGGAAAAGGCAGGCGAAGAGCCTATCGGCAAGCTTGTAGCCGTACCACTAGCTCTGCCTTTCGCCTTTGCAGCCGCGCGCATCAATGTATCCTGGTCGAGTGCGGCAAATGCGCTGCGCGTTCCCGTCGGGCTGGGCGACGCATTGGCACGGGCCCCAACTCCGTCATCGATGCCATTCACACCTTTCGCGACCAGCGCGTACTGCTCCTGCGGCACGTCCGGCAGCTGCGAGTGCCGCAGCTGCATACGCCAGCTTGAGTCACTACGCTCCGAGCCGGGGCGCGAAGCGGGTGTCGAGGACGGAGCGGAGGAGGAAGAAGCAACGGCACCGGCACCGGCAGCGGAGATAATGCTGACATTGGCGTTGGTTGCCGAGCCGCATCGTGATCCAAGATGCGAGCCAGGTGCGGTGAAGCTCGATGAGGAAGTGGATTGGGATGCTCCGGCGATCAACTGGGCTGTCTCCTGTGACGACGGAATCGACTGCGGTCGTTTGGGCACCCCTGCTGTCCCTGTCATGGCCGGCCCGAAGCTGTCCCGGCTTGGCGACGGCCGTGCGGCTGCGGCTGTGGCGGCTCCCGTTCCCGCTCCTGCATCGCTACTGCTGCTTGCAATAGGGGCAGACAAAGACAACGGTCCATCATACTCGCTGTCTCGTCGCCGCGCTCTACTCGGGGGCGGCATCGACTGTCTCTCCGCTGGCGCACTCGGAGGCAAGACGGCCATCAAGCCCGCATCACTATTGTCGTCTCTGCTACCATCGCCAGACAAGTCCACACAACTAGCGAGATCATCGCCTGCTGCCAACGCTTGCCATCCTTCGCCAGACTTGCGCCTGCTGCTGCCTGACGGCGCGGGCTTCAGCTTCCACGCCTGCCCCTCCTCATCGGTCGGGGGCGGCACAAAGCCGCCAGAAGGGCTGGGGTACGCGATCTCCGCGCTGCCGGCCGTCGGCGGCGCGCTCGATGGCGGTTCGGCCATGAGCGGGTGCCACGCATCTTCGCTCATCGCCGCTTCCGCCGAGGAGTTTGTGTTCACCGCGCTCGGCGAGGGCAGACCGCCGTAGCTCTGCCGGTGCGCAATCGGCGAAAGAGCTTGTTTTGTGCACGGGTTTGATGTTACTCCTGTTCGCTTTGGGATTTCATCAATAGACAATGAACCTTTTAGAAGTTGTGAGATGGAGGCCGTGCTGTCTAATGCGGCAGATAGACCGGCTGAGGATGTGGCATCCTTGAATACGGAGGAAGAGGTGGCTGTTCGAGGAAAGCAGAGGGGAGAGAAAAGTGTGAAAAAGGTGGCAGTTAAGAGAAGCAATAGCATCCATTCAGCCACTTACAAGCAGAATCATGTAAGCCATTGATGCTTGGCGGCGCATCCACCGTGCGAAATGAAGCGGACGATGGTGCATCTGTGGATAAGTCGGCCCCATGTTGTTTTATAGCTGCTTCTACTTCAGCCTCTGACTGGGACAGAGGCAACGCCTGCGTCATGGCGCCCTTTCAGTCTGAAGCGATGCAGTCGTCGCAGTTGGATGCAATCACGCTGGCTCGCTCTCCCCGGCCCGATGCGTCCTCTAGGCCATATGTTATGAGGGATACTGCCGGGGAATCGTCTGAGCGCAGACTCCACCGCCAATGATGAGGTGGAAAGCCCTGCTCTGGTCCCACGTTTTGACGCGTAAACAACACTGAGTCTACCCTGGTACAAATGTGCCGAGCAGAGATGATGAGCGGCAAGGTCGTGTGAGCCGAAGTCAACAATCGAGTGGTGCGCTGGATGCTGTGGGCACGCAACGCTTGTTTTGCCGGAGCCGGTCTACGATTTCGGCCGGGTGTGGTCGTCTGCTTGAAAACAAGTAGGGCGAGTCCCGTGATATTATTGCAGCTCAGCGTGCACACCGTACTCCCTTGTCGACAGACGGAGAGTATGATGGCGAGATGGTGGATGTGCACAAAGCGCTACGGATGCAAAGGTGTGGAGGGAGGGAGATCCAAGCAAGGATGAGTCAAAAAGGTTTTCGCGTGTTTGCTCCGCACTGACCCGCTCTCATATCTCTGCTGTTGCACGGGTTCATATTACACTGCTTGCCGAGTCCCGAGACCGACGACAAAGCAGGTCAAAGTTTCAGCGACCATTTCAGGGAGGAGAATGGAGACTGCAGACGATCCTGTGCCAGAGTCCAAGTCTTGCCTGTGCTATGTATTTTATGTGCGCTGTGTGCGCCTACTTAATGGAGTCGGGCGAGGGGAGCGAGCTCTGGTTGCGAAGACTGAGGGCCTGATCTATTTCCGCCTGACCCGCTCATGGAATGGATGATGACCGCAGATGGTACTGATCCATGGAGCAATCCTCTGTAACCTCCCGCTCTTCTGCCTCAGCCCGCACACCACTGGATGGGATCGTGCCTTTGGCTCGTTTCCTCCCTAATGCGATGAACTCCAAGAAAGACTCTTTGATTTACTAGCCCGCGCGTTGTGTGTTTTTGGGGGGGAGTGTTCCGAGGTACAATGGTACACCACCGAGAACCGATTACTCCATCACCGCGCATTCTATATTTCAACAACTGTACTGAGTATTGAGGCTTGTCTCGCACGCTATACTAGAAACGTCTGGGTGGATTGGAAGGAAAACACGTTTGACACGGTTGAGTTGGTCATATATGCATCTGCCAGACAATCCTTCCCGTAAGGATCAAAAGGCAAGAAAGCCGCCACGCGAGGGATGAATTGCAACGATGAAGTCACGACGGTCGACGTGGCCGCACGTCGCCCGGGCGGCAGCAATGGTGACCACAGTGGTGGCGGTAGCGGGAGCGAAGACGATTTGAATCTGTACACTTTCATCGACCGCGATCAGGTCCATGGGCTCAACCTGGCCGACCCGCCAGAGCAGACAGCGAAGGCGCCCATCAAGCCGTGGGATCGGCGCGACGACACATCCGCGTATGCCGAGAGCGGCGTCGATGACACGTTCATCCTCACCGTGCCGTTCACCTGTGCAGTCAGGCTCAAGAGTGTCTTGCTCAATCCTGGCATCGGAGATTTCGCACCACGGGTGAGCGGGGAGATGCTGGTGCGGCAGCCGCTCGGTCAACTTGAGCTGACGGTGCGCGCTTACTGGCAGCGGGTACGAGCATATGTCAACCGACCAGATGGCGTCGACTTTGACGACGTAACAATCTCTTATTCTTTTTCTTCTTCCTCCTTGTCGACTAGAGCCGCAGGACCAGCGGCAGGGCCAGCGGCTTTACCGGCACCATCAATAGAAACAGGCATGGCAGGCGTATTTGTAGCGCCGATGGCACGCGCGCCCGCTTCTGCAGTTGGCAACGTCGGCAGCGGGAAGCCACAGGCGGATTTCGCGCTGCTTGAGGGGACGCCAGGCGTCGTCGAGTATCCGCTGCCTATTGCTCGATTTGCAAACACAAACAGCGTTAGCATAGTTTTTGTGCGTCTGAGCTTGCATGTCTCCCCCTCCCGCCGATGTGATGCAACTCGCACGACGCTGACGTCACTGCTCCTTCCCATCCCATTCCATTCGGCAAACCTCGTATCTGGCGAGGGCAGTCCCATTCACAAGCAGGCGACCTCTCGCGGCTCTACTACCTCGGCTTCCGCGGGACGGCGCTGCAGCTCAAGCAAGAGCCGGGCGAGAAGCTGGACATCGGCGCTGCCAACGCTGCGGACGCGCCCGTGAACAGCGTGCGGGAGCGGTACGGCGCTGCGCAGAACACCAATGTACGATAATAAACATGAAAATCAAACGCAGGTGCGATCGGCAAAAATGCGCTCCGACAACCCGGCCTTGGACGAATGATTACTACTGCTCTGCGTCGGCTCCTACGTGATGCCGCGAGACACCAGCTTCGCGCGAGCCCCCCCCCCACACCCAACGATCACGCACTCCCTGCAAGACAGAGGCATTTGGCATGCGCGCGATGTGAACTGCTTGTATGCGTTGTCCCAGGACGGCGCCTTTTGACTGTTTGCATGCGTTGTATCGTGCTACGTCGGCTGCCGATTGATATGCAGATCATTAAGAGGCTCACCGCCTAGCATAGCACCTGCTCTTCATGTGCCGCCCGCAAGGATGATCAAGGCACGTAAGACACAGCCATAAGGAAACGACAGTGAAGCAGGGAGAAAAGAGTCCATTGCTACGAGCTCTCTGTCTGTAAAAATGAGTGTGGAATATTCTGACAGCCATCTGATGTGATCAATAGTGATGTGTAGGGTGGAACTTGTGTGACAAAGGGGTCGGTAGAAAAGGTGCAGTAGTAAAGCAAGCGTGTGAAGAACAGCCGTAGAGGGTGGCCCAGCTGCGGTACAGAGAGGACCTGGAATGGCTGTCCGTCGGTATACTTGTAATATTGTGTGGCGAAAAGTGACTTCAAAAACTCGCAGCGAAAGCCAACCAACGCGTGAGCGACGGCTGTCAGAGGACGAGCGAGTCGAAGGGAATGAAAGCAGAGTTGCGTGGGAGAGGGTGATCGGGTGGCTCACTGTCCGACAGGGAAGTGGGGGGTGCGACGTCCGTTTGCGTGTATGTCGGATATGCAGATCAGTGAGTGATAGATGCGAAAGAGCCCGTACAACGATTTGCGGACGGGGGATGCCGGCGGCGGCCTTGCAGAATTAGGGTGTAGAGAAAAAAGCGTGCCGGAATGTACTCATGGGTGTTGTTAGGGGGCGGGTGCAGTGACGACGATAAACCTCTTATCTGACCATTGCTGGCCAATTGCCATGTGAGACTACGATAGCGAGGGCGGGGTGTGCACCGTCGAAACGTAGATGAGACGTCGGGGTGCGAGTCGAGTAATGCAACCGCTAGAAGAGTGCACGGCCAGCGCGGGCATACATGAAACGGGTGCGCGCATGTGCAAAAGCGACAATTTTCGCCTAGAACATGAGCGCGGCCGAGAAGAGGCCAATCGCAGCAACAAACGAAGCGGCAACTGTGGCGCGCGACGCGCCTGAGTTGAACGAGCTGCTGCTGCTTGAACCGCCGCTGCTGTTGTTGTTGCTGCTGCCAGAGCTGCTGCTGGTCGAGCTGCTGACGGCGGTGGACATGGTCGTCGTGGGCATAATCGCCTTGATGCCGTTCGAGATCGACGAGGTGGTGACGCAGTTCGACGTGGATGGCAGAGAGTAGGCGGATTGCGGAGTCGTCTGGGTAGGCGAACCGTTGGTGTATGAAATGACGCTGCCGCCGGCACCGACGTATGTGCCGGTGAAGAACTGCTGGAAGGTCGAGGTCGAGCCGTCCGGCTGAGGGTAGAGACCGGGCGGGTACGCCGCATCACCGTCGCAAGTGTCAAACGAGTTGTCGGCGTAGTTGCCTGCATGTTACGGACAAAGCAGCAAAGAGTCAGCACGCGGTCTAAGGTGTGTCCTCTTCTTCCTTCCAACCTGTGCTCACCTGGCATGACCCAGTTGCCTATGAGTTGGCAAGATTAAAGAGGATGAAAAAGATGTCAGCCATGTTCGTTATGCTCACGAGGTGCCGAGCAAGATCACTCACAGCCCATGGTGTCGAGCTGATGTTGGCATTCGAGCGGCGTGGGGGCAATGTCGGTACCAGCAATGCAGACGCGGAAGCAGACTTGGCTGGACGAAATGTAGTTCATCCACTCCTGGTAGAAGACGTCTGTCTTGCCGTCTGCTACATTCGAAGTGACATTTCCGCCGACTGGGTTGCCCATGTTGGTGGCGCCGTGCGGGTCAAGCTCTCCGCCCAGATCCCCAGGTGCCATGTTGATCTTGGTGAAGTCACCGAGCGCCATGACCTGGACGTACAGCGGTGTCTTGACAAAGTGTACGGCGGTTAGGGTGCCGTCCGGCTGTGCAGGGGATCACGTGGGTCCGTGTCAGAGAACGAAGGCAGCTACAGAGACTCGGTAATGCGCGCTGCATAAAACTCACAATGACACGGGCGTTGTTGCGCGCCTTGGTGCAGTACGCGACGGTAGTCTGCTCGATGTCGCCCATTTGCTGCGTGTTGGGTACCGGCTCCGGGCCAAAGGTGCACCAGTCGTCGATCGAGTTGATAGAGGCCAGTCGGGAGACCGAGGTCTGGTTGATGGGGGTGTTGAGCTGCGCGCTCTTTGGATTTGTCGCGCCATTCTTGTTACGGCTTTTCACACCAGGTGCGTTGGGGTTCGGGGTCCCGTACACGAAGCGAGGCACTGACTGGGCTTCTACAAGGCCAGCGAGAGCGATGAGGCCTACGGCGATCTTGGAGGCGGAGGCGATCATGATTGCAGGCAGGGTAAGGGGGGCGGGTTGGACGCAGGCGTGGGGCGAACAAACAAGATGAAAATGCAGGACAGGGTAGATGCGAAGAACAACGACAGAACCTTGACGTTGACGATGTATCGGAAGGTGAGAGCTGCGTTACTCAGAAAGTCTCTTGGCAATATAAAGGGGAGGTTGGTCGGAGGGTGATTGGTGGTCGTGAAGGAGCAAGTAAATGGAGCAAAGGGAAGTTGGACGGGGTTCATTGGTAGGGATGGGGTCAGTAGAGGAGGAAGCGAGCACGGCGGGCGGCTGCTAGGCGGAAAGGTGCATGCACCTAACTCACAACTGGTGACAATCGCGCAAGGCGGCTGGACGGCTCCCGTTTCATTCAATTCTCAGACCATGTGGACGCGCGGCGGGCAGCTCTCTTCCAGTGCCCCGGTAACCCCCATCGGCCAGACATGAAGTGGCAGTAGAGCGGAGCAACGAAAAGCAGCAGAAGTGGGAGATTACGTTGATGAGAATGTAGTAACCTGCACACTGCCAGCCTGCCGGTCGCACACGAGCCTCCACGCGCCAACTGCAAGTATCTCGCCACTGCATGCACGCATACATGTGTGCGAACGGACACAGTCCACCAGAAACTTCCATCACATCGCCGAAATGGGGCTGGCGCTGCGGCGCACTTCGCGGCATCCTCAGCACCCGCCGTCTGGTCTGGTCCGCTCCGCGCCAGCCGCAGTGTGACACTCCAGCAGCCAGCTGTGCGCCACGTCCTTGCCGAAAACTTTCATCACATTCGTTTTCCTCCCACAACCGACGACAGGGGCACACCGACCGGGTTTGCGCAAAGTTTTGCATCAATGTCCTCCTCTCTGCAACTTCCATGCAACGCATCGAGCCGGTGGGCCTGGTCAATGTCACAAGCGCGCCAAACCGTGCCCCTTGCCCTGCCGTGCCAGTGCCGTTGCCCCACGACTCGACGCGGGACAGCCCGACGAACAGACGCTCCACAAAAGAGCGGCGGCCCAACTACGGCACAGCATTGCATCTGCCAGTCTCGCGTTCCGCTCATGCCTTCTAGCGTTCTCTGAACCGCCGGCTAGCCGTCTAGGCGTGTGGACATTCAACTGGATTGTGCACCCTCTCTGCTCGAGCTGGAATCATGCAGAGCTGGCAGAGTGTAAGCCTCCTCCCATTCGACCGCTCATGGAACTGCCAAGATCATTGCATGGTCATTTAGTTCGCTCTCACCAGTCGCCAGGCTTCGCTTCGCCTCCCCACTGTCCTCGCTGTCGGGGCGCCAGCGTTGCCAGTTGAGCCTGTTGCCACTGCCGGCCAGCTTCAACCCTTCCCCCTTCTAACCACACTACCTCACGAATAAAATCACATAACAGCAAACCCCATAACCGTAGCATCAGCCCATGGTCCATTGTTCATCCGTCGTCCTTGGCGCATGGAGCTGAACGGAGCACGGATAATAGTTTAGGTGCCTACATTCGTATGCAATTTTGATAAAACAGCTTGACACGATGGGCCACACCTGGCAGAAGTCATTGAACTGCAGTTGACAAACGTCGCAAGACACAGGGTCATGCTTGTCGGCGACTGCAGGACTGCTGCGGGCTGCTGCTGCACTGGTGCTCCGCCCTCCGCCTCCTGGATCTCCATCTTCTGATCTTCCAGCTTCCAGCAGTCCTGCTTCATCCTCGCCACTTGTATCAATTCTCGAACACTGGCCTTCGCAGATCGCACATGAATCTCGCCTTTGCGCTTCCTGACCCGTGCAGCGTTCGTGGGGCAAAGAGGCTGAGCGACAGATGGACCGGAAGAGCTTCAGTGATAGTGATCATCTGCCGGCTTTGTAGTTACTGCTGCAGGGCCTGCAGGCTCCTGCTTCATGAACGATGCACAACGAATACACAAGTCTGCATCCTTTCGGTCTACCACATGTCACTGGAGGTCACGGAACTGCCACAGATCCCTGCAGCATTCTCCTCTGGGCTGCTCATTCGGATATGGATGATGATTGATGATAGAGAGAGCAGAGAAAAGCAATCAGTTTGCACACCCCATCCCGGATCCTCATAGGCTTGTTGACGGGATTCCTCGGGCCTCGGGATGGACCATTTAAATATAGGGGTTTTGGCAAAGGTGTGCCGAGAATGAAGACCGCGAAAAGGGTTGCTGAAGTTGATGGTCATAAGGGTTCGATCTCGTCAGTATTTGTTAGCTTATCGCTCGCCACTCATCGCGCTCACCGTCCAGCCGTCATTGTTCAGTTCTTAGGTTCAGCGTTCAGATGTCAGGGTTCAGCGATCGGCGCTATCGGCTTTCAGCGCATCAGCTCTTAGGTCTGTATCAGACGTCAGATGTCGGAACTCAGGAGCAGAAATCGTTGATGCCCGCTGAAAACCAAGCCGCGGTAACCGCGGCAAATAGCTTCGGGAGGGAACATGACTGCAGGGCTTGATCACCTATGACAGCTTTCCCCTATGCAGGCGCTAGGTACATGGGAATCCGGGTGAGAAAGAAGAGACACGTTACTGCGCATGCGGCGAACGAGGAGCCACAACGCTCGAGGACAACTTCCAAGTGGTTTCGCATTGGAAATTGCACCCATCCCAGAAGTAGTGAGGAAAGAACGGCGAGCGAAGGGTCTACAAGAGGACTTTATGCGCCCTCGATTTGTCTGTTATCAGCATATCAGCTATCTACTCGTCAGCTGTCCTCGTACAGCTGCAAGCCAGTCGTGCCTGGGCAGTTTCTATTCTGACAAGAACCGACCAAGAATTGTACTCATCTCTCATGTCATGCTCGATTGCTCGTCTACACGCGTTTCAAACCTTGCCAACGACTGACTAATGACCACCACGGTCACGTGGCGTTAGTAAAAGGGAAATCGAATACCTCTGCCCCCGCGTATCCCATCCAAATATGTATATAAAAGAAAAGAAAGCAACGAGAAGTCGAAAACATACTCGGATAACCTCGCAAGTCGTGATTGTCGATGATGAGTTTACTCGATTCTGTAGCTTACAGGAACGAGGATTTGCGGCTTCCGATCATGAAGAAAGTATTGCGTTGGAAAATGGAAGGACAGATATCTTCGGGTCCATGCCAAATGTGATGGCCCGCCGGCATTGTCCTCGTTGCTTAGCTCGCTACATCTCGGTGGTGCTCTCGACACATATGTTGGCATGGAGCACATAGAGAAGCCGATGAATTGGTGGTCTTATAAACCAAAAACGTCCTGTCTATATGCCATTGCGCGCGAAAAGCGCATCGAGCAAGGTCGTGAAGCAGGTGATCGGTATACCAGTTACAATCGAGGACGAGGGAGAGGCCGAGGTGGCTTGAGTAACCTTGGTTCAGGAAGCAGTCAGCACAACAGCCCAAACAGCGGGCTTGCCTTCCGCCTCAGTCCCTCGACTTCCCGCAGGTCTCAACAATCTCAGCGTGGAGGAACCAACAAGAAGCAAGTTAGTAAATCCAACTTCTGGGGCATGACTGTAGTCCCCCTGCATCACTTTGAATTTATCGACCTTTCGACATCATATCTGACGTTTACTTCCGTCGCGTCGCTGCCCTCACTGAATTTTCTTGTTCGTGAAGATGAAAGACACACACCTGCTCACGACTGAGGCTGAAAATGGTGCAACAATTGATACTCATTTCGCGACTATTGCGTAACAGCTTTCCGGGCTCGACATCGATCACTTGATGCCCCCTGCGTACCTGCCTTCCACGAAGTTGCAGGTCCAGGCCCATATAAGCGATCGCCGCCAGTGTGGTCTGCTTGGTCTCCGGTTTCTCTTTTGCATTCAGTCTTGATATACCTCCGCACGCAGCTTTCAACAACCGATATAAAAGCATTGTGTATTTAAACGTATTCGCTTGTGCACTGCGATATTGCATTCTACAATGCGCAACACAGATGGCTCTGAACTTCTGAAGGGATGAAACGGCTGTGGACACGGCGTAGGTAGACCTTGCAACCGTAGAGTGATCGCGCAACATGGTGCTGCGGCTGATAGTGTGTGTGCAGCCTGGGCCGGTGGCCATCCGCGACCCGAGTTAGTTTGTTCTGAGCGAAAGTGCCTTGGTGGCTTTCTTGATGCAACCAACTGAGGTTGACCAGCAGCAATAGCAGAGAGATGCAGGCAGATGCGGCTTGTTAGATATCGGATAACCTTATATGTTTGGTTTCGAAGTTGAACGCCCCCCAGCTCGATATGTAGGTAGAGGCTAGATCAACTCGAGTTGACCGAGTGTTGTGTTGGTTTGATTAGACTTCGAATGAGCCAAGTCTCTGTCTATTGCTGCTGAGCCTCTTCTTGGACGAAAACAGATGTTTTACAAGCTTATAGCGTGAACCTTGAAACAACGACACATCTCGAGAGATGATGTCAGTGTCGAGTGCTTCCAAACTTGCGGGTCACGATCTTCCATTTTGAGAGTGTCTTCCTTCCGGTGCCCCGTTGGCGAGTGCTATCTGATGAGTCGCCGGCGCCTTGATCGTATCTGTTGCATGCCGCTCGACGGTCCAGCGCCATTCTTTGAGACCTTACCTGAGCAAGGACCATGTGGGTCCATTCTTTTGGGCCGTCCAAACGCCGATTGCCTTTGCTACACTTCTGGTCAGGAGATGCGCATGTCCCACTCGGCCCCTATGGGTTAGGCTTGTACTTCAGCCATCATCCATTTGAACAGATTGGCTGATATCACTGGCGTTCATAGTTCGCAGAGGCTGAGCCGTACTTGAGTTTCTGGCATCTCCTATCGGCCGTCGAATGCGAATTGATTCAACTCCTGGCGATGTATATATAACCACGGAACATTGGGGCCGCAGACGATCAGCTCGTCTCTCTTGAGTCTCTATAAGCTGAGGAAGTAGTTCGTTGTGCATCAACCAGTCCGGGTGAGAATGACCAGGGTCGTGTGCGTGAGTCACACGCAGGTACGGGATGCGGACAACTGGGCTTGCGCAGCAGCGAAACGATCAGTGGTGGCTATGTATGTAGTCTGCGGCACAGCGCCTTCAACGTCTTGGTGAGGCCAGCGTGGCAGCCAAGGGTCAAACTGCAAACAAATGGCATCAATCATTACCACAGCTGCCCACGCAATGAATGACCTGGAAACCTTGATGAGCATGTAGGGCTACGTAATGGGGCGGGTGGGCGCTATGGGCCCGCTCATGTGTGTCTACTGCTACACTGCAGTGCGTTGCAGCACCCACTGGGGCGCCACTCATCAAGCTGCGCACGCAGTGCAGGGCGCTGCTCGTTCAGGCTTCGGCGTGGCGGCGCCAACCACCTATACGGAATGGCGTTGCAAAATGTCCCAAGTTTTCTAGCATTCGGACAATATTTGCCCGGCCGTGCTGGCAAGAGCACTGCACCAGCTTGCAGCGGCTCGCCTGCGTTGCACCCTCCACGAGATGCAACAGTCCTAAATGAAGGAGAAAGAAAAAGAGAGTCCGATGGCGCTGTGCCTTCGCCTGCCCGCCAACTCCATGTGATGGCTTTTGTTTCTTGCCCGCGCCTCCTTCGCGGACACAACCGCAAATGGTGAACTAAAAACGGTCCCTTTCCCCTCATTTTCCATAGGATTCGTAAAATTGGCGCTTTCCCGGCGCGGGGTCGGAGCAAAATTGGTGCAATTCATTCGGCCTGGTTGTCGCCCCCATTTGCATTTCCAAGTGTGACCTCTTCGAATCGAAAAGAGGCACTGGGGGAAACCTCAAGGCACAAGCAAAAAGAAGAGACCGGGACGCCGTTCCTTTGCGAGATGGCAGTCATGATACGTACGGCTGTGTAGGCAACGGCCCGGGCATCTTTCCAGCAGCAACGCAGCTTGTCGATCGTGATTCACTGTGCCGGCGGGTTGCGGAGCGAAAGCGACTCACTGTTCTCTGCGGTGAAGCAGGGCGAAGCTAGCAGCAGTAAAAGCCAAGCCTAATTGCCGTCGCATCCAGACTCTATCCGACTCTGTACAGCCTTATTGCTGGCCTGGTGCGGCTTGCCGGCTGGACCCGTTTCATCCGCCTCGGATCTCATCAGCATCCGATCATATCAAAGGCCGGACCCGTCCCTGGGATCTTCTTCTCACGTAGGTTAGGCCGCCTGACTCTTGCGGCGGCAAGAAGAGTCGGCACGGCTGCTTCTGTCGACGTGGTGGCTGCTGCCGGTCCCAGCTAGATACATCATCGCATCCTCCCACATAGATGTTGCACGCGGATGACTTGCTAGGACAATGAGCACCCCACTGGTCACGTCTCACGTCGTCCTCAACGGCATCGGCGAAAGCGGCGACGACAATCCCAGCATCGCTGGCGGCGCCACACCGAATGCATTGTCTTCATCAGCTGCATCTACATCCGGGTCCGTGGCCCAGGCCATCACGACTTCTTCGCCAGCGACGGCTGCTTCGACCCTCACTGTGCCGCCTCTGTCGGCATCGATCGCGGACGGAGGGGCCAATGATGGCAGAGAGCAAGATGCTCTCGCGCCGCTTGCGGCGGACTCGCAGGTTCAAGATGGACCTGTGCCACCTGCACATGTAACGGCTGACGAAGGCAACTCGGAGGACACGACGGCAGCTTCTGTGGATCCCCTCGATGGGGAAGCCAGTCCGTCGCAAAGCGACCTGTTCTCACCTTCATCTTCTGCCGAGATGGCTGCACAAAGCCCTGTACCACCCCAGCCACCAGAGCCTTCTCGGACGGAGTTAGTAGAAGACAAGGCAATAGCTACAGGGCGGCCTTCTTCATCTGACGGTGTCAAGAAAGCAGAAGAGGCAGACAAGAAGCACAACAGTGCCGTAGCGACGCATGAGCATGAACCTTCCGGCCGCATACCCGACTTTCCAGATCCATTGGCATCGGCCTCCTGGACCCTCCCACGGACCGATGTCGATGATATCACATTGGATGGAGTGATAGCAGAGATTGCACAAGGGGAGTTGTCACAAGGCACAGAGCAGGATGATAAGGCTACGGATGAGGTAGGCAATACCCCCACCTCGCTGGATCCTTCCAACAATTCGTCCGCGAATCAACTGCCGGTCAATGAATCCTCCAAGGCAGAAGAAATCGTGGACGAAGCACCGCAGAGCGCGGTTGGGCAATCGGCAATCCAACTTCCAACAGCGTCAGAAGCAGGTCCCATCACGTACTCGCCAGAGTACCAAGCTGTGGAGATTACTCCGACCCCGCAGAGCAGCGCGGTACCAGAAGCGGAAGGGCCAATTAAGACATCGCCTGTGGTTGCGTCGCAGGTATCACCGATAGCGAATGCTGCTTCCACCTCTGAAGGTGCGCCGTCAGCAACCCAGTCTGGCGATAGCGACGTCTCAGCAGCACCAGTGTTTGAATCTGCTGCCGTGAAATTAACCCTTGGCCCGCCTACGACAACAGCACCTGCGTCAGTTGCAGCGTCCACCTCGACATCGACAACGGTGTCTGCATTTGCACATGGGCCCGCTTCTTCTCCAGCTTCCACACCTGCTTCTGCTTCCGTTTCTGCCCCTACCACCGCATCAACAGCTGCAGCCACCGAACCTACTGCCATTGCCCCGCCAACATTAGCTTCAAAGGCGCCGTCCTTGCCGTCATCGTCGGCAACGTCACATGCAGCGGTACCACACCCGGCGACAATTGTGACCAGCACGCACGATTTGACAACCTCAGCAGCGCCGGCAGCGTCTGTATCGGCATCTGGCTCCGTCCGCGGTGCACCGACGCCTACGGACTTGAGCACCAGCGTTTCTGCTGTGCCATCCGCCGCCGGTGCATCTGCCGCAGCGGAAGGCAACACGAATGCCACTGTGAATCAAGCCCCTGTGGCAACAACAGCTAGAGGGGCGTCGTCAGTAGTGGAGGAGGGGAGGGCCCTAGAACCATCCCCCGAGGAGGCCAAACTACAGTCTCAGGTCGCCGTGTTGCTCAAGATTAACAAAGAAATCCTGAGAGCGTGCGTGGCCATGCAAAACACGGGGAGAATATCGATTCCACTTAATATGGAGTAAGTATGGGGTATGATATCTTGCTTGCTGACGAGCCAAGGTCTGACACTCTTGCACTCGCCCTTCAGTTTGACCCACCGCTTGCAGTCGAATTTATCATTTCTTGCGTTTTGCGCCGAGAAGAGCATGCAAGGTCAAAACCCAGCAGCCCTTGCCAAGCCTGTCTTGCCTCGGCTCGACCTCATTCAAGATAGCTCGCTGCCGCCCGAGAGCGAGTTGCCATTGCTATACAAGCAGCTTCAAGCGCTCTTCCGAATTGAATTCCTTGCGCTTCAGCAGTCTGAAGTGGCAAAGGGCAAGAAGCGGGCCGCTCCCGAAGCACAGAATGAATCGCAAGCCCTGGAAGCGAACAAGCGGCAAGCCACTCTTGCCAATGGGTACGCAAGTCAGATGGGTGTCGCTTCTGGTCCTAGTGCAACTGCTCCAAACTACCCAGGTCAAATGCAGCATGCTATGCAAGGAGGTGCGATAACAAACACACATATGCCAGGTCAACAGCAGATGCCACCAGACGTCGGTGCCAGACTGCAGCAACAAGCGCTGCAGCCACATCAGCCTGGTACGTCTGACCAGAGGATATGGCGAGGACAACATCAATATCTTGGCAACCCCCCTTCTTCTCCAGGGACGATAGTGCACACCAGGTCCTTAAGTCAGTCGCAGGAAGTAGTACCCGGCGCTAGCACAGCTGGCAGCCAGGTGACACAGCAACTGCAAGCGCAGGCACAAGGATTGCCGTTGTACCCCGCGCCCGCTCAGGCTCAAAGCCCCACACAAGTCTTTAGCCCGAATGCAGCCAACAACTACGCGATGCTCCAGACGCATCTGCGTGGACAGCCACAAGCACTTGTGTCGTACTTGGAACAGAACGTGCCAAACTTTCGCAACTTGCCGCTGCAAAGTCAGCTGAGTCAAATGGCGGTGAATGTCGTTGCCCGGGGCCACTGTCACAAGCGGTTATTTGCTCACTTCCACTTGCTTCTCCTCACTCTTTCAGGCTATGCAAAATAGTGCAGCACAGCGTCACCGCCAGGCCCAGCTTATGCAGGCTCAGAAAAGGGCGTCAGCAGAGTCGCCACCTCCAGCTCAGTCGCCATACGGCACGCCTCCAGCGAGCAGCGCAATGCAACAGCCATACCCTGGCGTCAGTGGCAGCCCTTCCAATATGCCAGCGAAGGCTATTGCTCAGAGATCGTTCACCCCAAGTCCACGCATGGCCCCTGCGCATGCAAGTGTGGTAGGAATGGCCGCCCTGGCGTCTGATGGCTCGCGGCCTTCCACCCCGAGACAAGCGATGTCGAACATGCCGAGCGCTCTCCCGGGGAGCGCTACGAATGTTCCAGGTGCACGCGCACGCGGCCCTAGTTCTGCTAGCGTGCATAGCGACTTTAGTGGTGCCCATGTGGCAACGAACTCACCCCTGAGACAGACAGTCTCGCCCGCTCCGATTTCGCAGAGCCCCGTACTTTACCCGATGGCGGCGCCTGTCGGAGGCATGTCGTCAACCTCGCAGCCTTTCAACATACCAGCTACGGCAAGTGCGATGCAGCAAATGTTCGCTCAGCAAGGTCACCTAGTTCCGGCAAATCAACAAGGCCAAGCCCAAGGGCAAAGCCAAGCTGGCTATGTGCAGTCTCCAGCTTCTATAGCTGCTATGCTGCAACAACAGCAGCAGCAACGAGTCATGTCTTCGCAGCAGCCTCTCGGTGCTGGGGGCATGATGCCCGGAAACTTTGCGCAGGGAACCATGAATCCAGGCATGCTGAGCGGCGGCTACCCGTCCGCCTTCCAGTCTGCTGGGCAACAGCCTCAGCAGGCGCAGGGGGTTCCATTCGGTGGCCTGAATCCTCAGCAGTTACAGCAACAGCAGCAGAACATGATGCCAGGCACGCAATTTGCGAATCCTTTCGCAGCAATTGGCTCGCCAGCCAGAGCAAGTTCATTGCTGCAAGGCGATCCGAACGGATGGCAGCAGAACTGAGCTGTTCGGCTATATTTCGTCGAGCCGGCTCGTTATGCCCTGAAAAGGACGGCTTCAATCACTCCGTATACCTGTTCATACACAAGGATAACACTGTACTCCAGCTGTGCAAAATTACCTACGCGCTTGGTGGCATGTATCTTCGGTCGGTATGCCTGCTCCTACACAACGCGAACGCTACCATTTGCGACCGAACTGATCGTGCATCCAGTCAGCCCAAGCACTTGAGGCAGGAATCACTGGAGGCAGAACCTACCTTGGTCTGGACACACTGCTTGAAAGCAGCAAACTCCTTGGCACACATGTCTTTCTCAATGTTCTCGTAGGACCGAAACATGCAGGCGCCGTATGCCTTGGCCTGAGGTGAAGCGATTCATCAGCAGTCAGCGTCACACATACGAACCAGTAAGACAGAAAAGGAGAGGAAAGTATACATGTATACCACCCCACGGGCCGGCCCTTCGGACTCACCTGTATGTCACACTGAGCGGCGGCCTTACCCAACCGCATGACCGGCTGCAGGTCACGCTGGACCTTGGTTGACGACCGCATGTCGCTACTGCTCGTCCATCCCTTTCCAGTGCGTCCTGGCTAACACACTTGCTTCGGCGCTGCAGATGCGCGAGGTAGAGGTGACTGCAAGCTTGCAAGTTCAGATGAATGAAGCGCTACTCATGAGGCATAGTCCAAAGTGAGCGATGAGGCGTTGAGGTGCGAGATGACCCACCTCGCACCTCATCGGTGCAGCAGCATCTTCTCTGTGTTAGCCTTTGAGCAAGGGTGTGAAGCTTGAGAGACTTGGGGGCGGAAAGGTGGAACGGTGTCTCACGATTTTCTCCCCTGCGAGTTAACAGGACTCGCTGCTCACTGCTCGCATGCAGCAACCCTTTTTCTTCTCAGACAACTTGAACGTCCTTGCCTCCAAATAGATCAACCAAACAGGACCAAAAGAGCAACATCGCCGTGTGCCATCGCGCAGTTGACGTTAAAAGGAGGTCTGCAGGCGGAAAAGGAAGAACGAACCCAGGATGCGGTATTACGAGAAGGTCCTGCCGGACCCGGATGAGGTGGTTATGTGCCAGGTGCGGCAAATTGCCGAAATGGGAGCCTACGTGAAGCTGCTCGAATATGACAACGCAGAGGGGATGATTTTGCTCTCCGAGTTGAGTCGGAGACGTATCAGGAGTATCCAAAAGCTCATTCGGGTCGGGAGGAACGAGGTGGTCGTTGTCATGAGGGTGGACAAGGAGAAGGGTAAGTGCAAATGCTTGTCTCCAAAATGCGCTCTTCTGCCGTGCTGCCCGGCGCTCTCGATTTTTCTTTTCAGGATACATTGACTTGTCGAAGCGACGAGTATCGCCAGACGACGTGATCACTTGCGAGGAGCGGTACACCAAGTCGAAGACTGTGGCAAACATCATGTCTCAGGTCGCAGCGCGAATGCAGTTTCCGATCGAGCAGCTCTATGAGCAGATCTGCTGGCCGCTTGACAAGAAGTACGGGCATTGCTACGATGCATTCAAGATCTCCATCTCGTGAGTCTCACTCGCCGAGGTGCTTGTAGCGCTTTTGTTGCAGCAAAATGGACGCTCGTCCTGACTCCCTTTGTTCGTTCCCGAAACGCAGTGAGAAGGAGAAGGTCTTCGAAGACACTTTAGGTCTGCCAGAGAACGTTTTCAACGAAGTGTACGCGAACATTGCACGCAAACTGACACCGCAGCCGGTCAAGATCCGTGCCGACGTGGAAGTCACATGCTTTGGATACGCGGGCATCGACGCTATCAAGAAGGCGCTCAAGGCTGGCGAGGCTGTCGAGACAGAGAGCATCCCAATCACAGTCAAGCTTGTCGCACCGCCGCTGTACGTCGTCATCACCAACACAACCGACAAGACAGGTGGACTGGAGTTGCTAGAGAAGTCGCTTGAAAAGATCGGCGAGTCGATTAAGGCATCCGGGGGACAGATGAACATCAAGATGCAGCCAAAGGCGGTCTCCGAGGTTGAGGACCAGGAGCTCGCACAGCTCATGGCTAGGGTCGAGAAGGAGAACGCAGAAGTCGAGGGTGACGAGGACTCGGAGGATGAGGATTAAGCTGAGCCATTGTCGACACGCAGGCTCCGCCTCTTTGTATTATAGTACAGGTGCCAGCGTCAAAAGGGCTGCCTCTTCCTGGCTGCACGGCGCTATCTCATTGCAAAGTTTTGCGCGCTGCGTCTGCGGCAACACTGAACATCTGTAGCAGCTCCTGTTCATTCTCCAGCCCCACACTGACTCTGACCAAGCTCTTTTCGACGCCGAACTGCGCTGCCCAGTCTAATTCAGTATAGTGTGCTAGAATGGCGTACGGACTTGCTAGCGTGAAGTTGGTTCCGAGCGAGGGCCCTTTTGCACATGAGAGCGCGTCATAGAAGACGCTCGCTGCCGCATCACTTGTAAAGAAAATAGAAAAGAGGCCGCCGTATCCGCCGCCGTTGCCCCCGCTTGACGCTGAACCTGGAATGAGAGGTGTCTTGCGCCTGCATCGATCGTAGTGCTCCCTCGTCTCATACTTTGGATATTGCACCTTCTTGATGACCCGCTCGGCTTCCGGTCGCTGGCTCTCGTGCAGCAACATCTCGCAGAGCAATTCGGCGTTGATGTTGATTCGAACGATACGCGCGATAAAATCACGCGAGTTGCGCTCCATAAATAGCGCATCTTCATCCCAGTACGAGTCTTGAAAGTCTTGCTGCAAGGCCATGCGAAGCGATGCAGCGTGAGGCCCGCGGGGATTGAGCACCAGACTGCCACCCATGACGTTCGTATCGCCGCTGAACACCTTTGTGAGAGAGGAAACGACCATGTCGGCAAATGGGAGGACTTCGACGTTGACGAAATTTCCAATTGTTTCATCGACCACTATCAAGAATGAATGCTTGTCCGCCAAGCTGCGCAGGCGTGGTAGATCGGGGCAGCGTAGGAGAGGATTGGAAGGGAACTCGCAGAAGAGGGCAAGGATGGGGGGCGATCCACTTGATACTTGTGCGTTCAAAACCTTCTCGAGCTCGTCAATCTCTTCATCAGTCCCGTTGCCGAAATGATGGCAGCCTGGTCCCCACTTTTGCAGAATCTTGAGCGTGTCGGTGTATGGGAATCTGCGGGGCCAAGTTTGTGTACATGAAAACATGGATCAAGAATAATTTGTCCTGGAACTCACCCGAAGCAAACACTCTTCCCAACCGCTTCTTCACCAGACTCGGTCCGTTTTTCCAGCATCGCAATCTGATGTGCATGAAATATCGCGCTCATGCCGGTTGGAAACAAGTAGACATCATCCCCGGTGACGCCAGTCCCTGATCGAGTTGTTTCTCCAGCTTCGGGATCAGCTGTCTCCTCGTAGTCTGCACTGCACCCGCCATCAGTATGGCCAATAAAGGACGCCCGGTCCGCAAGCAGGGTTCCTGCAATCCGTCGCCGAAGCGCCCTCTTTGCACGCGTAGCGGATGTAAGCGTCAAATTTCTTCCATAGCGCTCTTCCACGTAGACAGACTGATCTGGACTCATGCTCTCATCTGGGAGACTGAGGTCTAAGTCTCTGAGAGATGCCGTGCTGTTGGCCAGCGAGGGCGGGTCGATATTGTCAGACGGAATGGTCGACTTTCCTCGAGCGTAATGGCGGTTGCGAAAGTGAGGTCGGGGGTAAGTCGGAGATATCGGTTGGGCGTTGCCTGCACCTGTATTAGCATTTGCTTGTCCTGGCTTGCGGGATTCTTGGATAAGGTAGAGACAGCGCTCTGCCATTCGACTCGAAATGCCATCACCAGTGTGTTGCCAGTATGCTTTGGCCAGAGGAAAGAATTCCTTCGGGAACAGGATGATGTAGATCTTAACAGTATTCAGCGCTGAGCAGGGGTCAGCCTGTGCATTCTCTCTTTCTTCGGCTACCTGATCTTCGAACGCTCCGCTTGCTAGTGGCGGAGAATCGGTCGGTGGCAGAAGGCAGAAGCGGACGATGCGAACAGGAAGGGAAGGTGGAGTGGTGCCCGAAAACATTTTGGCGTGATGTGACTGCATAAAGTCGCGACAGCTATCTGCAATCTTCGCGGTGGGGACAAGGAGGGAAGATTCGTCCGGCTTAGCGAATTTGGATTCGAGGTGAGCCGCAAGCTGCAAAGTGAGCATCCGCATGTTGAGTACCCCCATACCGCTCTTCCGGAAGCGAAGTTTAAGCCTGCAAGTGATGGAGAGTCTCACCTTCTGTATGCTGCGATGAATAAAGAATCTGGGATAACCTGTCTCCATGACGTCGGTCAGACGGCCTTCCTCGTAGTCGATGTTATCCTGCCATGTCGGTAGCGACACTGATACAGCGTGTGGAATGTCAGCAGGGATGCCTTTGCCGACCGCCACCGCAACGTGCTGCGAGGTGACCGTGGGCCCGTTTGCTGCGGTCATATTTCATACCCGTCCTCTTCGCAATCAAGGAATGTTGTCAACTAATGCCAGCCCTTACGTTCATTCACTTCGCCTGTGGTGTCTTTGGAAATCGAGAGGACAGCTTACGCCGAAAATGTAGGTCACTCGGTGCTTAACAGGGCATGATCGCACAACCCAACCAATAACGAAACGTTAGTCAGACCACGCAAGACTTTAGTTCAGCACAATACGGCGGAAATATAGGGCCCACACAATTTGCGGCCGAGAAACTACGAGTGGAGTCAAAGCCCAGAATTTGGGACACAATAGACTCTAATGGGCAGATTTTCTATCTCATTTCGCTCAATTACATATCGGGCCTCGCTATTTCAATCGGCAGAATTTGAGACTCTTAAAGTCCTCCCAAGGGTAGTGCTTCAGGAGATTGATCTCACGGTTGTGGGTTCGAGTCCCACGTGGGGCGGCCTCCTTTTTTCCCCGTCATGGTGATTTTTTGCTGTTGTAGGTGCGTGTTCATATAGGATTCAGTTTGTAAGATTTCATCAGCCTGTGGGAGGTCTTTTTTTGTAATGAGCCCGCTAGTGACATCAATAAATGGTATGAGAAGGCCAAAAGCAGCTCAAGAGTTGTTGTACCCAACGGCGGCAGCCTAACATCAAAAAATGGTATTTCAAAACTGCGTTATGTTTGAGGTCGCATCTTTCTACGGTCATCGCAATTCTTGGACATATGCGCTCGGTACGATCCCCTCTCTCCGTTTCCCGTCCATGCTTCTTCCCCTCCACCAATCATCTGATATCCGCTCGAGAAGCACCAAACGTTCGCCCTTGGCCAGCTCCAGATCATCCGCTTCGTTTTTAGGATACCTGCAGTTACACAATGGAAAGCTCTTTCAGCCAGTGTTTTGTACCACGGAAAACATTGGACGTTGTGTTTTATCACGCACGCATATATCGCCTCTGCATACATTACGGCGTCCGGATCCCCCTCTTCTGCTGGCCTTGCCTCTTCGGTGGACACAACAGGGTTTCGCCCCGTAGGTGGTGGTGGCGCTTGTGAGTTTACATTTACAGCTCCAGATGTCGATTTCGAAGTGGGATCATCAGGACTCGCTCCAGCGCGGAGCTCTGCCATTTCCTCGGCAATCGCGATGGGATCCAATTGCGGTCGCTGAGAAAAGTATCTAAACCATGTTTCAAGTAAATAGAAAAATATGTCAGCATGGAGCAACAGCAGCGTCAGAGCAGGTGTTGAACGTACTCATCCATGATGTTAAAGAACGCGTCGCATTCATGATCAGGCAGATTAGAAAACATGTTGCTGAACGGTTGGAAAGTGGCGCAGCCTGTTCGATCGTTCAGAATATGCGTGGGTCAGTTGATGACAGAACACGAAGCAAGTGTGCGCTGAAGGTGTGTCGGGGGTAGCCCACGCTTGAGGATGGGGCGACTTAACAGACTTGCTTAATGATCGATCCGAAGCGAAAATATCGTTGTTGATCTATATACCTGTATGGACGAGCTGTGGGGAACAGTGGACCAGAATTAGGGACTCTCTGTCTCGTCTCTCCGTCTGCCTTGACTCTTTCCCTTGGCCCTCGGGGAAATCGGAAGAGCCGGGATTGAAGAGACGTGGACTGTGGGCCTCGGGGACTTTTCTTGTGGCCCGTGGGCCGCCTGCGGCGTGGGAGGACACCTTATGAATTGCGCGGTGCGAATCATGAGATTCCATGTGTAAGAATTACGATGAAGGATATGATATTGGGCGGCAATCAACCGTGCGCTACCACAAGTGTGGTCTGAGGAGTGTTGATGAGGTCGCAGGCGGAAACAGGGCATATATATCCAGAGGGTTACCCCGTACACTGATGTCTGCTACAGGGCAAGATGGAAGCACACGACGAGGTACGGAGCTCAACTTCAGGCTCACTCAACAACGAGGACGGAGACGCATTCACCCTGACTTTGGAGCCTCTCGATGAGGCCAGAGCCATGAAATTTGTTCGTAGCCCGTCGGCTGGTGCGACTTGCATGTTCGTCGGCACGACGCGGGACACATTTCAAGGTGAGGGCCGCGCCACACGGGCTTTGTCTGCCTGCCCACCGCTGATTGTACACGATGACTACAGAAAGGACAGTCAACAGACTAGAGTACGAGGCATACTCCAAGCTGGCGCTCAAAACGATGCGATCAATTGTGCAAAAGGCGCGCAGCGGCCAGTTGCAACCCACTGTCGAAGGCAGAGACCTCCCATCTTCTGATCGCCTTCTTCATGGGCAAACGGTGACTCGAATATACATGAGTCATAGACTAGGTGTAGTGCCCGTGGGCGAGAGCAGCATTGTCATTGCCGTATCAAGTCCACATCGGCGAGAATCGTTCGAAGTTGCTGAGTGGCTGTTGGAACAGGTCAAGCGCGAAGTCCCTATTTGGAAACGCGAGGTGTATGCAGAAGGGCAGCGTGATCTAGCAAGTGGCAGCCAGTCGACATGGAAGGCTAATTTCCCTACAGCCGCTTAGCCTTCTTGACTCGGATGTGTAGAAAGCGCAATGTCATCTGATATAGAAGCGTCAGCATCAGGTTTCGACCCTTCGGAACGATTTCAGGCTTGCCACAACCGTCCGTAGCACGCTCCACCTTGACACTCGCAGCCGACGGCCGTTTTCGATCTTTGCAAAATATCACCGCCTCACCAACTGTCCCTCTCGTTGCAGTTTCGCACCACCCATAGAAAGACAGCATACATCAACTTGAAGGCTGGACCCAGGCGGCGTGGTAACTTCTTCTCGCCGCCACTCCATCTCACCTTCGAGGCGTTTTCTATACCATGGATCCGCTCGTGGGGGGCGCAGGAAATCTAGGTGCAAGTGCCAATCATGTTCTGAATACCAAGGCTTCTGACGACGACGAGCGTGCAGCTATAAGTTCTTTCACATTCAGAAAACGAGGGCCACCAGGACCCCTACCATTCTCAGCGCGCTCACATCATTTTGCAGAAGATCACTTGGAAACCAATAAAAGCGCGAAATCGACCAGCTTGCCACTGGCGCATATCTCTCCCAAGCATAACTCGCAAGCGGTGTCCATCGCCCCATTTGAGCCAAAGATAGGAGCCAACATGTTTCGTGGCTTCGGGCACGCGTCGAGACCTGACTCCCATGAGAAGCATAGCCTTGAATCGCCAGGCAATGATCTCTCTCAAAACGCTCTACTTACGCGTACGGAGATATCATCAACCGCGCAGGCAGAACAAACGACTGTGCGCGCAAATGATGCCACGCAACCGGATGTCTTCGTCTTGGACTTTGGCGAGGCGCGCTGTCCATTTCGGTCCCTGGGCCCAGTGTATACACCCGGAACAGCTTCGATAGTCTTCAAAGACACAGAGTCAAATGACAAGATGAAAATTAAACCACCCACAGTTTCTACAGAGAGCATACAATCGGCTTGGAAAGGCATTGCGTCAGGAAGCGAATGTCCAAGGCCATTTGCAGACCGCTCCACAAACCAGAACGTGCCGAAAACATCCGCAATCAGCCTAGACCCACTCACAAATCTTTGCCCCATTTCACCTCTCAACGCCTTGAGATCCTCGAAGGCAGATGAAGCTGTGCCTCCGGCCGGCAGACGTGTGGCACCCCATCTTCAACAATCTGAGGTTGCGGCATCATCGAAGCGAACGCGGGAGGTGGTTAAGCCAAACGTCCCAGACGAGGCGGATGCCGAAACGACTGTTTTGAAGCGACCTCGCTTGCCCGTCACTTCGAACGAGGTGTCCAATGGTCGGGCGGATGGAGACGGCATAAGGTTGACTCGTGTTCCAGCATCTGTTGCTGATAAAGCCAAATCCCATGGTCTGGAAGTAATTGCGTCCATCGTTGACCAGCATCGAGAGCAGTACATCTCGCTAGAGGTCAAGAACGAGGCATTGGTAGGCGTCAAGCAGGCTGTATGCATGCTTGTATCGCTTTAGTTCAACTGACAAAGACCTCATAAGCAGATGTCAGAGGTCGGAGAGCTGAAGAAAGCCCTGAAGGCCAGAGATGCATATGCTACTGCGCTCAAGGAGAAAGCCAAATCGCTCGTGGCTCGTGCGCAGACAGCAATGCAGGGGTCAGTGGACATAAATGATTATCTTTGAGCTAACGGAGCGCTGAATATTCGTGCACGCGCTCAGAGCTCTTGATGTCAAGGAACTTTGGACGGATCACCGTGCGCGTATGCAGGAGCTGCTCAAGACTTGCAGCGTCAAGGTCGTTGATGTCGAAGGGATGCGAGAACAGTTTGCGAAGTTGACGAGGAGTAAGTCGCCCAGATATTGATCGTCCGTACCAATTACAGCTCCCACTCATCCAAGTCCCCCGTGACCGGTGCTATCGCAATTAAGACGAGGTCGCCGAGGCGCTGCAGACGATCGCCTCTCTTCGTGGTGAAGCGAAAGACATCCGTGGCTTGTATCAGACATCTGAAGAGAAATGTGAGCGATGCTCAGCGATGAAATGAAGTCGAGAAGAAAGAATAATTACTTTTTCTCCCACAGCGAAAGAGGTACTCCGAGTGCAGAGGGAATATTTGGAACAGATCAAATTCGACCATGCTGAGGTACGTGCAAGAATGCCTCTTTGGTGCCATCCGGGCTAATATGAGTCTTTAAGTCCTTCTCAGCATGCAGCCAAGGTCAAGGAGACGGATGCCGAAGTCAAGAAGCTCACCACTGAAAAGCACTTGCTCGTTAACGAGCTGGTGCAGAAGGACTCCGACATTACCCATCTCCGAGAGGCTCGTGACTCATTGGAGGCCACTATTGTCGAAAAAGAGAGCGATAGCCAGAAGACGCGGGAACAGTGAGAGCGACTTCCCGCCTGGTGCAGTCTTGACACCGTTGTCACGCTCATTGCACCCTTGTTCTTGCTTAAGAGTGTTACAACTTAAGAAGGAGCTCGAACAGACGCACGAAGAGAAGTTGAGCTTGCAGAAGCGTCTCGCCTCGACCGGTGCACAGCTTCATGGAGCTCAGAATAACCTTTGCGCGCATGAAAAAAAGTATCAGTTGCATACTCTTGAGGAAAAGAGCAGGGGGCTGTACCTGACTCACCACTTGCACCTCGCAGAGTCCAAGAGACCCTCAAGAAGCTGGCAGAACTGGAGATCAAGGTAGATGCCCTTACAAGTGCGCACGAAGCAGATCTCACACAGCTCAGCGAGGCCCAGTCACACATTCAAGAGCTCGAAACAGCTCGAGACGATGCGCTGAGGGCCGGCGAATCTCTTCGCGCGGCCAATGACGATATACAAGAACGCTTCGAAGCACTTGCTCGTTCCTCGGATGAGCATCGCAACAAATGTGCTACCTTACTTGCAAGTAATGAAGCCTTGGAAGAGAAGCTTCAATCCGCAAACAAGAGCTATAGCGAGCTCGAATATCTACCTACAGCTCTCTCTGAAGCACAGTGCGAGATCAAGCTGTATGGCTCGCGTCTTCAATCTGCGCTCGAGGACCATCGCTTGTTGCAAGAGAGATTCTATGCGTTACAAAAGAAGCTCAGCCAAACCGAAGCTGAGAAGGCGCTTCAGGTCGAGCAAAGTTACACGCTGCGCAAGGACCTGGCCGAGAAAGAAGATCAATCTATTGAAGCGCAAGAGTCTCACAGCAAGGCATTGCAAGATACAAAGCAAGCGTGGCAGAAGGAGAGCGCGAGCCTGAAGCTAGATCTGGAAATACACAGAGTTCAGCATGCACACGAAGTGCAGAGCTTGGAGCAAAGGATCGAAGACATGCAACAAAGCATGACCGAGAAGCAGAGTCTGCTCAGAGCCGCAGAAACAGGGAGAGTTGCAGCCGAAACGCATTTGGAGCGTGTCACCGCCGAATTGGCGACAATATCGCGTACTGCCAATGGCGAGTCCGATATTTGTGCTGGTCTCAAAGCAGAACTTGCAAACGCGCGAAATGCGAAAGCGGATGCCAAAGAAAAGATGGCAGAGCTTCAAGAACGGTGCGACGTCCAAAACACGGGCATGAGTCAACTCAAAGACCAAGCGGTAATCCTGCAAACGAAAATTGTGCATATGGAAGGCGTCTTACGACAAACCGAAGAGAAGGCTTCGGCCCGTCAAGCGGAGTACGACAAAAGAGTGATGACTCTGGAACAGGAAATCAATCGTCTTCGCGAGCAGCTTGTGCAGGCAGAGCAGGATGCAGAGCTGGGCTCGACTGTTGACGGAGGTGTCATGGAGCGCTTCAAAAGTGGGAACCTGGTGAGTATCGCTTATACGTGGTCGAATTGAGGGAATGCACCTTGCATCAAGGGCCCAATCCAACCTTTTTCTCGCTTTGAAGCTGAAAGCTGACACCGATCGGTTTGCAGACCGCGTCCGAAGGCGCGCTCGTCCGAGAAATTTCTGTAAGGTCTTATTGGGCCATTCGATGGTGACGCCTCTGACACAGAGTATTGCAGGATGCGAATCACCGCGAGATGACTCGCTTGGCCAACGAATTGAAGAAGGCACAAGCAGAATTCAGGAAAGTGCGCTCCAGCTTCGGGAATTGTTTTCTCCACATCGTTGCTCACGAGTTCTCTCCAGGCTGATGCCCAGAACAAGACCCTGCTCAAGAAGATCAATGTGAGCTTATTCGTGTGCTTGAGATGGTCTTAACGTGCTCATCTGACTAATGTCTGTAAAGGCCCAGCAGCATATCGACGCTAAAGGAGTGAATGAAGGACCTATCAGACACGCCACGTCAACCAAACGCCAAATCTTACTTCCATCGTCTGACGAGCAATCGGTTTCCTCCAACTTTGAGCACATCCTTGTGTGTAGCAATGGACCTCGGTCCATGTCCAACGATATATTGAGCTGTTCCACCTTCGTTGCATGTTCTACAGGACCAAGAGCGGGATGCTGAACCTGCCAGCATTGTTGCGGTAAGAGCATGCGCGGGGTTTGTTCCAGGCCTAGGCCCACTGATATTCTTCGGACCAACAGACGTCGATGACATTGTCCCGAGGCGGACAAAGGTCCTTGATGAAGCGAAGTGAGTGCAGCCTCGGCTCGGCAATGTACGGCCAGGCTGATGTGTGCGGTCACCAACAGTGACTAGAGGCGTGCGGCCGGAGCACACAGGGCACTCGGCGCCGATCGCAAAGTCTCGTGGTACTGATGCAGCGCAGACGGACTCGAACGCGTTCAGCGAGGTAGAGCCGGACAATGCGGTGACTGTCGGACCAAGTGTCAGGCGCACCGCTCGAAGATCGTAATACGCTTCTGGCAGACGGCAACGACGGCGATGAAATCACTCGAGTCCTTCGCGCGAGAGGAAGTATACTGTGCAGCGTCAGCAACAATGGTAATTGAGGCAAAGGAAGTACAACTAAGATATCTGCAAATGGTACGGCACATTTTGATCAATGCAAATGTCAACGAGCTCGGCCAATGGGGGTATGAGTGAGCAGAAGGGGGTACGAAGTAACTGCTAGCAGGAGAGACTTCGAGCCACACAGAAGCACAGCGGTGTCACCCTTGCATTGGATACACGGAGCCTACGTTGGCATGGTATCCATCTGATTGCGCGTGTTGCACGCTGGACGTTGCACCTGGCGGGCCCGAGTCGCCTGCGGCGGGATGCTGAAGGCTCGAAGCGTAGCTTGCGGCGGACCCGTGGCTGGAGTGGTGCGGGTCGGACGATGATGCCGTGTGGTGGTTCGTTGCTGCGTTCGTGTCGCCCCCGCCGCCCACACCTTGCCCACTACCGCTGTTGCTGGCCGAAGCTGAAATCGAAGTATTTTGTTTGCGCGAGTCTGCAACTTGCGATTGCAGTGATTCGATCTCTTTGAGCAAATCGTCTCGCTCGGTGCGCAAGTTGTTGATGTGTTCGACAGCTATGTGGGTGCAAAGCATGTTAGCGGCGCAGGTGTGGCACGGGGGTACTGGACATTGCATGTGCTCACCTTTACTCAAGATCTCCCATTTGCTTGTCTTGGGGCCCCTGTCGACGGGAAGCTGCTCGCGCAAGTCATCAAACAGATCCTTCATCTCTCTCCTCCGCTTCCTCTCCGCAATCTTGTGGCTGTTCCTCAGCTCTGGGCTTCGACTGTACGGCGTGTCCCTACGATCGGGCAGTAAGATCGCTTTGCCGCTCGATGCCGTCCGAGAACCCTCTGCAGCGTTGCCGGTACCATCTCCGATGCTATTCGAAGAGGAGGAGGATCCGGCAAACGACTCGCGCCTGGCCGAGTCTCTTTCCTCGTCTGGGGTAGATATGCCTGGCGGGGGTAGCCGCGCAGGCCGCTGGACTGCATTCGAGTAGAGCTGCCTAGAATCATGTGGCTGCCCTGTTGGCGCTGACATGTGGGGCTGCTCCGCCGGATGGGAAGGATGAGAGGGATGTGGACTTGGATGTGAGTGGGGGTGCGAATGTGGATAGAAAGGTGCTTGGTTCAATGCATCGGCCTGAGTAGGGCCAGGGGGAAAGGACGAGAAAGATGGACGACGTTCTTCCATACCTGACCAAAAATTGAGGAAAGTTGAAGGTAAAGCGAAAGAAATGAAGGAAAAATCAGATCAACTCAGCGTGCTTAATGATGGAGGAGATAGAAAGCTGCGCACCATTTGTCAAAGGGGGTAGGTTCACGTGCGGCCTCCCTGAGGCTCCCAGGCCCGCATGCGACCCCATCGGTCTGCCCAAGCCTTTTCTGGCCGTCGAGTTGCTTCCACTGAGCGCAGGGCTGGAGTGCGGCCCTGCGCCTGCTGGATGAGCATTGCTTGGAGCAGACAGGTTGCTGCTGGGGAGGTCATTGAACTGGATCGAGGAACGACCTCGACCCGCGCCGAACAGGGCGGCGGATTCGCCACCCGAGTTATTCCAGGTTGGGCCTATGCCCGCATTGGAGCCTCCATATCCATTCCCACCCAGCCCCAATGATGACCCGAGGCCTGATGCAGAGACACCGGTCCCCGATCCATGCAGCCCGCTGCCGCCTGAACTCGCGTTGGCGGAGCCGTTGAAGTGCGCTGAGGCGCTTGCTGCCATGCTTGCATGCAGCACCGGGTCCGTCGAGCCTCTGCGCCCGCTCACAGCGCCATAGAACGAGTTCAGATGGGCATACGGGGCATGGGCTGGCGCATGGACGACGGATAGATGGTGGCTGCTGCCGCCGCCGGGTGCAGAGTGGTGAAGAAAGGGACCGGTGGAGCTGGAGCTGTGTTGTTGGCGTGCCATGGCGAGCAACCTTTGTCGTCGCTTCCGCTGCTGCTGCTGTAGCGCTACTTCCTTCGCTTCCCAAGGACAGAATATGGGATGCAGCTGAAGATGCGACCTACGAAGTGAATGATGGTTACGGAGAACCAGTCGAAGGCAATGTATAGACGGACTGATGGACTGCTCTTTTGGAGTTGGAACAGTGATCCTGGGCTGGGTGGTTGTTCGCTAGCGTGATCCTGCGGCGTGGCGGTAGGCGGCGCAGTCTCCGATGGCAGCTGAGATGGCAGCCCAAGCAAAGAAGGAAAAAGAAAGAAAGAAGAGGCGATCGCCGCAGGCGCTGGCGCGGCCACTTGAACTTTAATCGGAGCTGCTCACGTGGGCTCAGCGAGCGCTGCATTAATTAATGCGCTTGTTGCGCTGTAGTACCCGCGGCCGTAAGGATTTAACCACATGCTCGTATGTACCAGTCACGAACATGCATAGTAAATACCGCCATGCTGCGCACGGCATGGAGTCTGGTGAGTTGAGCCAGTAGAAGAGAGACTGCCCACATGGATGCTGCGCACGGGTGTTGGGCTGAGTGTCTCTGAAGAAATGTGTGCTGTGCATTTTGAAACTCTTCGAGCAGATCGCACACCAAATTGTGGGTTCTGCGGCTGCCTCTGAGTTGCTCGCCACTTGGCATTTTGCCGGCTCTCTCGCTCGCTCTCTTTCTCGGGTCATTTGCATGGCAGGCACGTGGTTGGCAGAGTCGCGAGTAATAACCCCATCCCCGCCACACACTCCACGCGGGAACAATTCCATCTCATGGGTAGCTGCCCACGTGTTCGCAGATATTTTGACTTTCGAGCCTTCGAGCCAACGAATGGACCTAAGAAGAGCCATCTACTCATCCTAGAGAAGTCATCGGGCATCTTCCATCGACAAGCTTGTAACGAAAATAAATTCTTTGTGAGAGACCACTTTGACGACTCCCTTGAAGCCAGAGGATGTGGTGCCACGCGAACCACTCACGTCCCAACCGTGGCGAAAGGCGAGGATTCAGGCCATCACCCACTGGGTGGCATTCGTGCTCCGCAAACCTCAAAAGCGGCTTGAATGCAACGAAACAGCGTCAATTCCCGCCGAGTAGAACGTATAGAAGGCAAAAAGCGTTCGTGAAAACTCTGCGTCCATCTTCGTTCGCTGCCGCTCCTGCTCTGCGGGCCGAAGGCTTGTGGCCTTGGCGGCCTGTTGGCAAGCATGCGTCAGAATGCTCTTCCATTCCACTTGCTATTGCGCAGGCATTGCTAAGCAAACAGGGAAATGGGGAAAAGGAGGCCAGACATGCGCCGATGGCACCAAACCGAGAATGAATGCCACAGGCTTTTCTAGAAAGGGGCTCCAGCAGGCTGTCAATTCAATGAGACTTCGGTCGCCTGAGCAACATTCCCAGAGCCCAGACTGCACAGCAACAAACATAGCATTCGCTTACACTGTAATTGCTGTTCTTTTAACAACTACACCTGCGCGTACCCTCGTGCTTGTGCACGTGGGTCGCAGTCCACTGCTGCTTTGTATCGTGATATCAGACTCCCGTGCACCCAACAATGCCATTGCCACTCAGTTACAGCAGGCGCGCGGGTTGTGGAGTCCTTTTACCCGTCGAATGCATGGCGTTGTTGCCTCCGATGGCTTGGGGTTCTCCCTGGACAGGGAGGAAGGACATGTGCTGCCAACGTTAGAAGTAGGGAAAGCACCCTGAACTCTATTGTGCGCTTGGCGCCCATGAAGCGCAACCTTCCAAAAGGGTGACATCGTGACTTGAGAAAGTCACGTGTGACAAACACTGTCGACTTTGGGGAGAAGCTGTGGATGTGGACGCATGAGCGGGGGCGTGCCTCGTGGGGAGGCTTCCGCAGTCTTATTGACTTAAGTTATACTAAGTAAAAATAGCACTCATGTCAGCTCTGCTATTTCAATGGCCAGAATTCGGGACTTTTATTCACCTCTTGAAGAGGGAAGTCGCGATCCCGCGGTTGTGGGTTCGAGTCCCACGTGGAGCGAGCATTTCTTTTTGCCGTTCCGTACTTTGGCCGCTCTGCAAGGTTTGCTCCCCTTCAACTCTCGACATTTCGCGAGTGAATGACTCGATCTGAAATATCGTATTGTGGGGTAATTTCAAGGTGTAATGGAGCCTACTGGTGCGGTGTTGTTGGGACGACGAGGCTAGCGGTTATCATTTCGACACGAGATATTAATACCAAGGAAACTCTTTATCAACCTGGGCGTCAAACCTCCTCACTTCAGCTCATTGCGGATTCCACTTGAGCATTTCATCGTGGACTGTTATTAGCTTGAAAGTCTCCTCGCTCTGGATTGCTACTTACGGTATTAAGCACATTCTCTCTTATCGCTCAACCGAAGAAATGTCGAGCGGCTCGCTTGGAGCAGCGCTTCCTGTCCTGCCGACACCACAGCTTGCAACGGCTCTTCTGCACACGGATGATGTGAGTGCAGAGTGTTGCATGAGGGCGCAACGTGTCATTTCACGCCTGCTGATTGTGCGGGACCGATTGCTTGTTGTCCCACGATCGGACAGCCTGACCACAAGACCCATGCAAACCATTCAGTTGCTCCGTCCATTCAAACGTCGACGACTTTCCGGTGTGTCATTTGGCGCCACTTACAAGCTATGCGACATGATTGATGTGTGACTTACTCAATTTCGCCCATTCCAGGTCCGCTCCGTTCGACTCACAGATTGCGACGGATATCAGAAATGGCGCACCGCTCAATTGGCAAGATCCCGGCATCGAAATCTACAGCCGATACAATCAGGATACGCGAGGTCGCACGGAGAAAGTCCTCAGCAAGTTAATGGTACGTTGTCGTCGCTTCAAGTTGGCGCAGGTCAAGGTTGAAGAGTGATCCCAACCAGGCAATTCCATTGACCACTTACATGTTGCTGCTCTGGCCGCCGCATGCAGGGAGCCGAGGCGATCACTTTTGGATCGGGTGTTGCCGCGGGTCATGCTTGCATGCAGCATTATGCACCATCTGTCATCGCTATTCGCAAGGGCTACATGGGCATTCACGCGGCCATAGCCGTCTACCGTCGCGGTCGCACGGATCTTGTAAGTGCCCTGCTGTTTGCTGGACCTGGGTGTCGTCAGTACATTCTCAGAAAAGCGTTCTGAAGGCTTCCTTTATTCAATATAACCCCTGCAGAAAATCATTGATCTAGACGATGAGTACCCAACACTGTCAAAGACGGAAGCCGAAAAAGACGGCGTCCGTCGTGGCGGCTTGCTTGTCTGGGTCGAGACCCCATTGAATCCTACGGGTGAAGTGCGTGATTTGAAGCGTTACGTGCAGAAGGTATGTACACATCCAGAGGAGTTCTTCAATGCTTCCTCGCGAGTCATTGACAGGACGAGACCCATTCCCCGAAATCAGGCCCACGCTGCCGGAGGCTACATCGGCGTCGACGCAACCCTTGCCCCGCCACCGTTGCAGGACCCGTTCAAGCAGGGAGCCGATTTTGTCATGCACTCTGGTGGGTCTTTTCTGGTTTGACTGGCGTTGTGGAAGGGCAAGCACTGATGGAACACCCTGAATATAGCCACAAAGTACATGGGAGGTCACTCTGACTTACTTGTCGGCGTTGTAGCAGTTAAGAGCAAAGTCGAGTGGGAGTCGGTGAGCAAGGGCTTTGAGAAATGCGTGTTGATTTCACCATGTGCTGAGAAAGCCCCTCCCACAGCTCTTCTGGTACCGTGTCGCGACAGGAGCTGTTCCCGGCAACCTCGAGTCGTACCTGCTGCTGCGCTCCCTCCGCACGATAACCCTGCGCGTGCAGCGCCAGTCCGAGACGGCGCACAAGCTTGCTCAGTGGCTGTACAGCTTAACAGTGGATGCTGCGCATCCAAGCGAGGACGTGGAGGACAAGGAACTCGTCGGTGGCAAAGTCGTTGAATGGGTCTGGCATGGCAGCTTACAACCTCGCAATGACAAGGACCCCAGTGCAAGGCCGACCGAGGGTGCGGATTTCGACCCGCGCGACCAGATGCCGGGCGGCTTCTCCGCCTGCTTTTCTATCAGGGTGAGAAATGCGACCCTTGCCTCCTCCCTCTTTGCCTGGATCTGTCCTGCTGACCAGACGTCAACACGCATGTGCTACAGTTTGCAAGCGCCGGCCAAGCCGCAAAGGTCCCTCACAGCACAGAGTACTTCACGGTAAGCTTTCCTGGGAGCCTGCTCACGCCGCTTTTCCACAGCATGCTGACCGCATTTCTTCCATGCTGCACAGCCCGCGACTTCACTCGGAGGGGTCGAGTCCTTGCTTGAGCACCGGATCCTCTCCCAGGCTTCGGAAGACCCTCGCTTGGTCCGCATCTCGGTCGGTCTCGAAGACTTTGCAGACTTGCAGGCCGACTTACGCCGTGCCTTCCAAGCGAACCTCTCTGCATGAATGCCCAGATGGATGGGTATGAGTGGTGCCTGCATGGAATTATTGCGTAGGTTCAGAAATACAACAAGTAGAAATGATTTACGGTCAGAATGCTTAGCAATGGCACGTTCAGTACTGCAATTGAAGCGTTCAGTCAGCATCAAGTGGTTTCATAAGAGCGCTGTTGAGGCGGACTCACCACGTAGATGAATTCGTCATTCTCCAGATCTGTAAGGTCATCAAAGGCGTGCGCGCCGTGCAGCGGCGCCGAGCTCGGTGCGAAGCCGAGCTCTGCGGTCCCCTCGTTGGCCTTTTTGCCATCTTGCAAGGCGATGATCTGAAGATGCGCTGCTGCTGTGGACGAAGGAGCCTGCTTGTCGCTATCGATGGGTGGGATGGCATCGAGGGAAGCACCTTGCGGCTGCTGCTGCCGCTGCTGCCGCTGTTTCTCTTCCTCCTTCTCTTTGTGCTTCTGCACCTCTTTAGGATTGAGCATCGAATAATCGGTCAGCTTGGCGCTCATGCCGCGCGCGGCGCGTCGGCGCTCGTTGCGCTTGTTGAGGTAGAAGAGCCAACCGGCCATGAAGCTGATCTCGAGCACCAGGGCGCAGAGGATGATTAGGACAGCGCGCAGGCCGGGCTTGTAGTACGGCGCATCGGAGCTCTTGAATAGGAAGGGCCCGACGAGGTTCCCCCCCGCTTGGCCCGCGACAAAGAAGGCGGTCGTCAGCGCCTTCTTCGTGCGCCCGGCGACGTTGCTTGAATGCCAGTTAAACAGGAGCGGTGTGACCGCGACGTAGCAGACAGTCAGGTCTGGTAGCATAGTAGTCACGCGTCCTGAATTGGTCAGCAGGGTCCAGGATACCTTCCGGCCTCAGGATGGCCAGTGCCTGATGAGAATCATATCGGAAGAACTCACAGTACGCGACGAGGAGCGCTGGACGGTCCTTTGGCTCACGGCCCAGGCCATAGAGCATGCCGCCGCCGATAAGGGTGGGCACCATGACGCCGAGGAGGACACCGGTTTTATTCTTGAAGTACGATGAGGCCCAAAAGGCTGCAAAGATAGAGATGATCTGCATGGCGCCGACGGGCATGGAGAGCAGCATGACCTGGTACTTGTCGAAGCCGAAACCTTGGAGGATGAGAGCTTGGAAGTTGGAGAAGCCGCCCGAGGGGATGGAGATGAGGAAGGCGAGAGACATCCAGACCCACGACTTGAGGTCGAGGAACGTCTCCAGGCACTGGGGCCAGCTGAACTTGCGCTCGTCAGTGCCCGCCTGGTTGAAGCGGACGCGCTCACGCGCGATGCGTCTGTCGTCGCCGTTTTTAAGAAAGTACGCATGGTCAATGCTGTCCGGCACAGTGAAGAACGTCGTCATGCCGTAGGCGACAGTGAGTAGGCCGAGTGTGAGGAAAATGACTTGGTACGAGTAGAGCTTGTCCGAATGTACGTGCCCGAGGCCATAGGCGATGGCACTGCCGATGATGGTGCTGACGCCATTCATGGCGTACCACGTGCTCGTGCGGAAGCCCTGCTCTGAGCGACGGTAGAATGCTTGGGTCAGCGCGACGTTGCATGGCGCGATGGACGACTCGAGCCTGTGGAGAAAGGGTCAGAAGGGAGCAGACGTCAGTCATACTCTGTGTCTGGAAGCGGAGGCATTGCTCTCCCGCACCCTCCGAGGAAGAAGCGCATGGCGAAGAGCCCGCTAAAGTTGTACGCGGCCGCTCCAGAAGCGAGTGTGATGCCCCAGAGGGTAATCAGGGCGCCGACCCAGAGAGAGAGGCGGAGCTTGATGATGGCCAAGGCGCTGATCGGTTGGAAGACGAGCTGGGCGATGTATACGACCGAGGAAAGCAGCGAGTACTGGTTTCCGACCAGCTTGGCGTCGTGCTGGATTCCAAAGACGGACGTGTACGACAGGCTGGCCTTGTCGAGCGTGACGAGAAAGTAGATTACCATGATGACCGGCTGCATGTGCCAGTCGATCCGGCGCAGGACACGCTTGTCATCCTCGGCCGAGACGAGCTCGAGGGGTTGACCGGCGTCGGCGTCGGCCGAAGTGGCGTCGCCTTCGACATCCTTGGTGGAGGCGACGAGTGGGTCGAGTGGCTTGACGTCCTGCTTGCTCATGATGGAGGCGGACGAGGGGATGCTGCTCTCTCTGGCCACGTTTACATTGATGCCTGGGGTGGTTCTGGTCTCAAAGGATGCAAGCTGCGGTTATATACACGCATGTGTCGGCATGTTGGTGTTGCTGGCGATGCTTCTGCGCGGAGGAAAAGGTCTCATCGTCTGTGTGGCTCAGCAGCAGTACTTCAAGATCCCCGCCCCGCCAGCCGATTGGTTATGGATAGAGAAACACCCGAGCCTCCAACACGGAAATGGTGGGGAATGGCTGGCTTCTCAGGCACGCACGCGAGCGGCAATGTCACAGCCGTATCCCAAAGAAACAGCGACACAGCGACTGGGTGCCTCGCAAGTCCGGTCCGGTTACCCGAAACCCGGTCCCCCGGCTCCAGTTCCCATTCCGGCTCCCGGGGGAAAGGTACGAGTTCTGCCATGTTCTACCTTCTTTGGTTTCATGCACAGCCAGCGACTGCCGCATCGCACCCATGTGACCACTCGACCCGATGACCTTGCATCTGCTTATGAGGAGAAAGGGGGGTGTGGGCTCTGGCCTGCATATAGGTGGCAAGAGTCATCCGAAGGAAAGCGTCAGATCCCCTGCCACGTCACAGGCCTGCCATCTGTCTCCACCAGCTACAGGAACGCGAAGCAGAGCGTGGCAACCGGTAAGCACACATCCACATGTTATGAGTTTGAGCGCCGCAGGGTACACAAAACATAAGTGTACATATGTCTCCTTGGCAAAGCAAAGAAGCCTGGTGGCCTTTTCCCACGCTCCGGTGCTCGCCCAGTCGGCAGTGGGAGGCGACGTTTGTTGTTGCCAAGTCGCAGATTTCTACACTCCATATCTACGGCGGTGAAGGCATCCATTGAGCAGGTCACTATGGGGATAGACAAATATGTACAGTGTATTAAATACATTTGTACGCTACTTTCGCCCTCCGGGCGAGATCGAGCAGCGCAGCGAACGCGTACCGCCCCCTATGTATTTGCAAGGAGCCGAAGCAGCAAGTCCATCGCTTCATCACAGTCCTGCAGAGAGCCGCGAGGCGCAAATGCTGAAATACCTGTGTCCAGTCTCGCAAAGAAAGAGTTGACTGGAATTGGTCGGTTCGGCTTGGGCTTGTGCTTGCACGTGCGTCAACCCTGCGCCACAAAACGTCCCCAGGGCATATGTGCTTTCCAGCATTGTGCAGCCTGGGAATACTTGCCCCGTCGACATGATTGGTCCCTATGGGGAAGGGAGTGTTGAAGAAACTTGACCAAATGGTGACGGGCGAATAGTGAGAATGGTTCGGCAAGTCGGTCCGAAACTCCGAATGCACTCATCAGTTGTTCATCGCTCGCCAGTGCTGTGCCGTCACTCTCTCGGAGAAGCTGGGGCGTGTTCCAAAGAAGTCACTCTGTGTAGAAATGTACTATGTCAGTGTATAGCTACCACTCAATTACGTGCAAATGAAGTCGCGCGTCGTGACGAGGACCAGCGCACCTCTCTCGACCGACTCAAAAGAACATACTGCGCTACTATGCTGGTCATGTATGACGCGACGCGCGTCCACCACGCCTCTGCGTGGGCACCAGACCCGACGCCGGACTGTTCATACATACCAGCCACACCGCGGCTGCCACCCTGCTCCTATTCCAACGGGCACTGCAGCGACTCCGACGCCGCAGGCTGCGAGTGCAAAGAGATGGCCCCGCCCGTCGCCTCCTTCGTTGCCGGATAAGCCGCAGACGATCAGATCACAAGTGTTTGAGGACGACCATACCCCACATGCGCAACGAACGGCCCACCGTGCCCGCGCGCGAAAAGGCTTACTATATGTAGAGGACTGCGTCTTTATCGAAACGCGCTGGAACCAATCTGTGGGCACTAGAGCAACTTGCGATACCTCCCCTGGGCGACGGCGTTGATTCCTCTGTCATCGCGGATATGCCGAGCGCCATCGCTTTCGCAAAGCCTAGAGATGTTACATACCGGGACACAGGGAGAGCTTCTTTTGCACCCGGCAAAGACCGTCGGATCCACTTTTACAAAGGTCGTTTGAGATGATGCAACACCAGTGGCCAGCTCGTTCGCCTTTCTGGTGGACATCAATCGCGATCGTACCCTTCAAATTAATATTTGGAAGGTGTAAAAAGATGGCAAGGTTTGTTGCCTGCCGGACTCGTCTATCTGTTCCTTCCGGATGGCTTGGATGATGGGATGGCGATGACCCGTGGGGGTGATATCGAAACACCGTACGTGTTAACCAGAAATACCGTGCCCAATTATCCGCAGTGAACACACACGGTCGAGGACAGCAGAGGGACAGGTTGTGCCAACGCTGCTGACAGCCAGGTAGGTTGCAAATTCCAGTCATGTAACCATAAGATCAGAGGGCCCCCAAGTGAAAGCCCTCCCACACATCGACCACAATCTGAAGAATAGTTTTGGAAGATGTACCCACGACAGAGGCAGAACTAAGCGATCGGTGCTAAGCCAGCAGCAGCGTCCACTGGACAACACATCCCGAGCCTTCAACACAGTGCTGTAATATGTGTTTCGAGGACATGTCGAAGTGACTATCTAGCCGAGAGGCGCTGGATAGCTGTTGCACTCCGCGTACTTTCTTGATCGATGTGAGCATTAACTGATTGACTTGAAAGCGTGCCCCCAGGCGCAGGAACAGGCCAGTACGATGAATCGCAATCAATTTCAACAATTACTTCACTGAAAAGCCTGATGACGACCAGGTCTGCCCCGCAGGTATTGGCGTCGCATTTGGTATCTTGTTATTTGTCGCGAAGTCAAAAACTTGAACAAAAAACATCCCTTCATGGACGTAGCGCGCCTGGAAAAAAGCATTGCTGGGCATCCAGCAAAATGGATGGAAAAAATAGGACCATGCCAGGATCGAACCGGCGACCTCAGGATATTTAGTGTACTTAACACGTTGCAATCCCGCGCAACTACCACTGTGCTAATGGTCCCATGTTCTTCTTGCGAAGAACCAACATAATGGATTAGTAGTTTGACAAGCTCTTCAAAACTCGAAGAATCTTTTTTTTCCATCTTTAAGCTGTCCACAATGGGAAGCTGGGAGATGGCAAACAGGCGACTTAAGATGTCCTGTCATATCTCCAGTCTTATTGCTACTTACAGGCCACAGCATACACATGCCAGTGACGTCTGCAACCCTTTGATATACGCTGAATACCCTATTGTTCGGAAGAGCAGGGAAAGCGCTGATTTTCCGTGACCTACGCTGACTGACCGATTACTCGAACATCGGCAATTTCAACGCTTTGTGACAAACATCACTCTCAGCTTGGCATTGACGCTGACGAGCTTCAGACACTTGATTACTTCGCAACAACCAAAATGAGCGGTTCGAACAAGCGCAAGGCAGGAGCTGGCGAAGGCGATGCCTCAGACTCTGGCAGCGATGTTGTGCGTTTGCTCATATTTCGTGCTGTGGGCTCACGTTTGTACTGAAACGCTCGGCGTGCCGCCATTTACAGGACATGATCTCTGTCGACTTTGTCTTCAACGCCCCGGCTGAGATCGACTACCAAGCACTGAAGCGGCTCTTTGTGCAGCTCTTCTATACGCACGCACCGAAGCTCGACGCCGGGCTGATCGCAGACTACATCATCAATACCTCGAAAGATCGCGGTGTCGGGACTGTTATCAAGGTTCAGGATGACGAAGACAACGACCCTTTTGCGGTAGTCAGTGCCGGGCGGATAGCAGTGAGTTATATCCAAGTAAGAGCACATCCGGGTGCAAGACCTAACGAGCGAGCAAAACACAGGCAGACTCTCCAGAGTCAATCTCACAAATCACCAAGCTCTTCTTGGAATGCGTGCCCAAGACAGCGCCTCTTCACGACTTGCTTTCGAAGGCGTGCTCATGTACAGCTGAAGGCGCCACTCTCATTCTTCATGAACGAATGATCAACATGCCGGCAGCCGTTGCTTCTCCTCTATATCGATTACTGAACGAAGAGCTTGATCAGCTTTACGCCAAGGGCGAGGTGCGTATGTGCGCACATGTATTAGCGGTAAAGGTAGTGATTTGAAAACTAAACACGTTCTCTCTGCCCTCTGGACAGCCGAAACCATCACATTATCTGCTCTTCTCCCGAGTGTTTGCAGCTGCTGCCCTTTCCTCGGACGAGGAAATGGAAGATGAGGCTGCAACGGCGGGCAAGGCCGGCAAGCGGAGACGAAAGGCAGGTGCGAAAGCAACAGGCACAGCCTCCATGGCCAAAGCTTCCTCTTTGCCAGATGGCGACGATATGGGCATGTTCCACCCGGAAGACGCCATTATATCCAAGGTGAACAGAGAGAAAGTGAACCAGCGTGACGGCCGAATGATTGATGTGTCTTCTCCGTTGTTCGCTCTGCAGCACGCCTCTCACACATGCACGTTCCGCTTCCCACCACCGCGAGACGCAGCCGACTCTTTCGAAACGCCATTGTTCGGCAGACTCGTTGCGGTGCCGCGTGAGAAATGGCCAGCGGCAGTAAAGGAGATGGAGGAAGCCTTTGCTGGTGGAGCGTAGCAAGATGTTTGAATCATGTGTAGCTCGTATGCAACCTGGTCTGTTTTGACCCGTTCAAGGCCTATACCAGTAATGCTGGCCGCGCAGACGATCGAAAGGGAGCACACCAATGCCTGAGCCATCATCATTTACCGAGTTCAGTAGATGAAGCGGATGAAGCTTGTTATGACACTTAGCTATGATACATTCTCACTGCGCGATGGTGTGGTACTGAATACGGTTCCGTGCTTGGGGAATGAGTGGTGTAATTATGGTAGCGATATATGATCGGTCCATGAAGGTGAAATGGCGCTGCAGAAGAACTGCTCCTTCTCTCGACGCTCACAGGCTGATATACTCGGACTCACTTCCTGAGTGGCAAGATCTCGCCCTCGATGACATCTGGCCCGATGTCTTCAGCAACGGCCGACGCACACGTCGTGTCTGCGTTCGCCGCCGCGGTTGTTTGCTCGTGCCGGATACCGCTGATGACGATTGCTTCCTCGTCCGGCTTGGCGTCCTTCTTGAGGCCCATGAAGACCGTGTCGCCATCGCGGACGCTGCCCTCAATCAGCACCTTTGCCAGCGGTGTCAGCAGCGCCTTCTGTATGAGCCGATTGAGCGGGCGCGCGCCGTAGATGTCGCTGTAACCGTTCGTTGCGAGCCACTGTTTGGCGCCATCGTCGACGGCGAGCTCGATGCGTCGGTCCGTCAAGCGCGCCTGGATCTCCTTTAGCCGAATGTCGACGATCCCGCGCAGCGAGTCGCGCGATAGACGATTATAGTGCAGGATCTCGTCGAAACGGTTCAAGAGCTCAGGCGGCAACGCGTGCTGCACAGCGCTCGAGACGCTTTCTTTTGCTCTGCACGTCAGCTTACCGTCGGGCGTCGTGGCCCCGCTTTCGCTAAGCACCTCTGCACCGAGGTTGGACGTGCAGACAACGATTGTCTGGCGGAAGTCTACCTGTCGTCCTTGAGCATCAGTGAGCTTACCCTCGTCGAGAATCTGCAAGAGGACCATCTGAACGCTCCGCGCCGCCTTTTCAATCTCATCGAACAAGATGATGGAGTACGGCTTGCGGCGCACTCGCTCCGTCAAGCCGCCGGCCTGATCATAGCCAATGTATCCGGGCGGCGCTCCGACAAGCTTCGATATGCTGTGCTGCTCGCTGAGCTCCGAGCAGTCCAGCATAATGAGCGCGTCCTTGCTGTCGAACAGGAAATCGGCGACAGCCTTGCAAGTCTCCGTCTTGCCTGTGCCCGTCTGGCCGAGCATGAGGAATGACGCCAATGGTTTTGTCTGCGACTGCAGGCCCGCGCGCGACAGGCGGATCGCTTCGGCCATGGTGGTCAGCGCCTCATCTTGCCCGACGATGCGCTGCCGCAGCGAATCTTCAATGTGCAGCAGTCGCTCGCGGTCACCGCGCAAGAGGTTGCTAACCGGGATGCCCGTAGTGCGCGCGACGACGGCCGCAATGTCCTCCGAAGTGACACGGTCGTGTAAAAAAGAACCTTGGTCTTTGTCGTCCTGCCCTTGCTGTCCTTCTTGGCTGCTGCCGTCTTCATCTTCCTGTGGCAGGCGCTTCTTCAGCTCCGGAATGACAGCGTACTGCAGCTCTGCAACGCGCTGCAGATTTCCCTCGCGGGTCATACGTTCCAATTCCACTTGCGCGTCCTCCAGCTTCTCCTTGATGTCCCGCACATCATCCAACTTCCGCTTCTCTTCATTCCAAACCGCTGTCAAACGCTCCATTTCCTCCTTCTTGTCTCGCAGTTCGATCTCGAGCGTATCGCGCCGCGACTTGGAAGCGATGTCTGTTTCGTGGCGCAAGCTCTCGAGTTCAATCTGCATCGTAATGACGTTGCGCTCGAGGCTCTCGATCGCTTCTGGTTTACTCTCCTGCTGCAGCCTCAGCGCTGACGCAGCTTCGTCGAGCAGATCGATAGCTGCATCAGGGTTCTTCCGCTCCGAGAGGTAGCGCTCAGCGTACTGAGCAGCGGTGACCAATGCGCTGTCGGAAATTCCAATGCCATGGAAGGCTTCGTAACGGCCTCGAAGACCACGAAGGATCGAAATGGTCGCAGAGAGTGAGGGTTCCTTGACCATGACGGGCTGGAACCGGCGGGCGAGTGCTGCATCTTTTTCGATCGTGTTGCGGTACTCTTCGAAAGTTGTGGCCCCGCATAGACGTAGAACACCGCGTGCGAGGAGCGGCTTCATCCTGAATGGTAATGACAGTTGCAAAGGGACAGTCAGTGCCTTGAACTTACAGGCACGTGCATGGCGAGCACACTCACATGTTGGCAGCGTCCAAGGCACCTTCTGCTTTGCCGAGGCCAAAGAGCATATGAATCTCGTCAATGAATAGAATGATCTTTCCTTCCTGTTTCTCGATTTCTTGCAACAGCGCCTTGATGCGCTCTTCGAACATGCCCCTGACTCCGGCGCCAGCCAGCAGTCCAGCGAGGTCCAGCGACTTCACGCTCTTGTCCAGCAGGCTCTCCGGCACTTCGCGGTTGGCAATACGCTGCGCCAGACCTTCCATAATTGCCGTCTTTCCCACGCCGGCAGGGCCGAGTAGGACAGGGTTGCTCTTAGTTCGCCGCGCGAGGACTTGCAGTGTGCGGCGTACCTCGGCATCACGTCCGATGACCGGGTCTAGCTTGCCGTCTGCGGCTAGCTGCGTCAAGTCCGTCGTATATTTCTCCAATGGCGACTGGCTCGATTGATCATTGCCGCCCATCACGTTCATTCCGCGCCGTGGTGGAGGGCCAGAGATTGGGTAAGCGCGGGAGGGAGTGGTGCTGAAGGGACGCGACATCAGCGTGCAGCTTGAGCGAGGCGGGGTGCGCAGCAGTTGGCCTGCCGACGAGGTTAAAACTGAGGATGAGCCGGAGACTCTGGTACTGCCAGTGAGGCGTCTGTTCCCTTTGCCGAGTTCCACTGCTGTCGGTCTCCTGACAAGAGACTGTGAAGCGGGTGCGGGGGGCGTGATTCCCATAGCCGGGGCCAAACTCGAACTGTCGGTTTGTGACAAAGTTGAGAATGAATGCGGATATCGCGTGTGCGCCGGGGAGATACTATGCGGCTGAAAAGAAGACGTACTCGTAGCCAAGTTACTGCTGGTGCTGCTAGTAGTGGTGGCAGCGGCGGAGGCGGTGGCAGCTGCACGCGCAGCAGCTGCCCGCGACGTCTCGGCCAGTACGTGTGCTAGGATGGTCATGCTGATGCTTTGTAGACGGTTCGACCCATCGATGCGAAGAACAACTATTGCTAGGACGTCGTTGTCATGCACAACTAAATACAAGGCATACGCCGTATCTCACCACGTCTGAAACGAAGGCATCAAATATCAGTGGCAACTCACATGTTGGGTGCTGCTATCGATGGTGGGCCTCGTGGCTGACGTGATCATAGCTTCGAGAAGACGATCGAACCAAAATCGTGAACTTACGTAAGTGCTATGAAGGTATCATCTACCCATTCTGCCGCAGTTTTCAACAAATACTGTGCCAGTACATAGGGTTGTTCCAAAACTCCGACTAGAGTTGCACCGAAACAATCCAATAGCCCCAAGCTAATTCCAAATTTTTCCAATCAACGATGTTGCTTAGACATTGGATCTCTGACCTCTGACATAGGGTGTTGTGCATTGAGGGGGTTGACCGCTCAAATCTGTCCATTCTTTTTGAACCTGCTGGACGGACTTCAGGGTATAAGGGAGACAAGTTTCGTCGCTGAAGCAAAGTTATTAGTGCCGTTCTGTTCAGGGGCCAGATCGCCCAACATGGCGGACAGCGAACAAGTCCACCGTTCGCATCACGCTTCCAAGGTCAAGGAGCGTGCGCAAAAGAAGGCCAACGCCAAAGCCAAGGGCAAAGGCAATGATCCGCGGGCATTCATCTCGGCCAATCCACGCACGGCGCACAAGCAGATTCTGCGCAACGCAGAGAAGGATCAAAAGCGCTTGCATGTGCCGCTCGTTAGTCGCGGTCCTAGTTTGAACCCTTTCCCGCAGCAGGCCAAGGCCAGCAAGACACAAGGCGCTAGTGATGCAGACACAGAGTCTGGGGCTGTCGTGGAGCCGCCACCTCCGCCACCACCGGTCATTGTGGCCGTTGTAGGGCCGCAAGGGGTGGGGAAGTCGACACTGGTGCGCTCACTCGTCAGGAGGTACACCAAGCATACTGTTGCCAATATTCAAGGGCCTGTCACCGTTGTCAGCGGCAAGCATCGCAGGATCACAATCATTGAGTGCCCGAATACAATCGAAGCGATGATCGATATCTCCAAGGTCGCAGATTTGGTTCTTCTCATGATTGATGGCAGCTTTGGGTTTGAGATGGTACGCTTCTCGAGCCCTGCGTTTCTGAATGAAGACTGTGTCGGACTGATGCACGTTTTCCACTCATACTCATTTAAGGAAACTATGGAATTCCTGAATCTGCTGCAATCACACGGCTTTCCAAAGATCATCGGCGTTCTTACGCATTTGGATCTTATCCGCAAACCAGCTGCGCTGCGCGCAACAAAGAAGCGACTAAAGCAGCGATTCTGGACCGAGATCTACGATGGCGCCAAGCTCTTCTATCTGTCTGGTGTAATCAACGGGCGTTATCCGGACAACGAAATTCAAAATTTGAGCCGCTTCATATCCGTTATGAAGTTCCGGCCGCTTGTATGGCGGAACATGCACTCGTACCTCCTCGCAGACCGCATCACCGACCTCACCCCGCGGCAAGTCGTGCGCGAAAACCCAAAGGTCGATCGCAAGGTGACGCTGTACGGCTACCTGCGCGGCACCAACCTGCGCGCACCAAGTTCGGCGAATCAGCCTGTGCGCGTGCACATTCCTGGCGTCGGCGACGTATCGATCAGCAGCATCGAGAAGCTCGTCGACCCATGCCCTCTACCGACCAGCGAAAGTGAGAAGAGACGCAGGCTCGCGGATAAGCAGCGCCTGATTCATGCTCCAATGAGCGACGTGGGCGGTGTCATGTTCGACAAGGATGCTGTGTACATCAACGTGCCTGGCACTTTTTCGGCGCGCCGCAAGCGTGATGCTGCTGGAGAAGATGGTGGTAACTTCGCGGGAGGGCGCGGTGCGGATGACGCCAGTGATGATGAAGCCGAGGGCGAGGGAGAGCGGATGGTCATGGACCTGCAGGATGCAACGACTACGCTGGATGAGCGGGTGCGCGCTGCGGATTTTAGGCTCTTTGACGACGTCGGCGCAGACAATCGCGGCGAAGGCCCGAGCGGAGGAAGGCGTCGAACAGCGGCATTCAGCGATGATGTCGTCAGTGATGATGACATCGTTGATGAGGACAGTGGTGAGGAGGATGAGGAGGATGAGGAGGGCGACGAGGACGAGGGTGACGACAATCTCGACAGTGGCGAGGTCGCTCTTGTCTCAGCTGCGAAGCGAAGCAACCGAATTGCAGCTCCCACCGAGGATGCCTCGGCGATGCTAAACAAGCGTGCGGCATCCAACAACATAGCCAACGCCGAAGACTTGGCGCTTGCGTATGCTGAAAGCGACTCGGACCTCGGTCTACTCTCTTCCGACCGCGAAGGCGATATGGACGATCACGACTCGGACCAGGACAGCGAGGGAGAAGACGGGATCGGTATGGATACCGGGACGGGTGCCTTGCGATCTGCGGCAGCGAAACGCGCCGAGGCGACGCTGCAGGCCAACAGGAGACGTGTGCGGCCAAACCTCATGCATCTTATCTATGAGACGAATATGGACGCGGAACGAATCGCGCGAGGCGAGAACGGTTTCGTCGACAGAGAAGAGGAGTCAGAGGCGGATCAGGAAGACGAAATGGAAGAGGATGACGAGGATACCTTCTTCAAGCCTGTGAAAGCAAGCGCAAATGGCAGTGCGAAAGGAAAAGGGAAGGCGCTGGATGAGGAACAGGACGTTGACGCTGTGCTCGATGCAAACAAGTTGCGCTACGATCCACAGGACTTCCAACAGTGGCAGTCGGACGATCGCCTCGACTCTATCCGACACTTGTTCATTACCGGCGACACCGAGGGCGATGAGGACTGTGATGGAACAGCCGCAGCCGCAAGCGGCGACAATGATGGCGATTCCGATGCGGGTTCGGTTGCGGACTCAGATGGCTCGGACTCTGAGGAAAAGAAGGCGCGCGAGCTGAGTGAGAAGAAAGCGGCACTCAAACGCAAATTCGACGAGCAGTACGACGACGATTCAGACGGCGAGGGCGGCAAGGACTGGTACGAGGAGCAGAAAGCCGAGCTGGCGCGTCAAGCCGAGAGTAATCGACTGGAGTTGGCCGGCGAGGACGAGGAGACACGCCAAGCAGTCGAAGGATTCATTCCTGGCTGCTACTTGCGCCTGGAGCTTGAACACGTTCCCTGCGAGCTGGTCGAGTATTTTGATCCGAAGCAGCCATTGCTCATCGGTGGCCTGCTCGCGTCGGAAGAGACGTTCGGCTTCATGCAAGTCCGCATCAAGAAACATCGGTGGCACCCGAAGATCCTCAAGACGAATGACCCGCTTATATTCAGCATCGGCTGGCGCCGGTTCCAGAGCCTGCCGATCTACAGCCTGGACGATGGCACGCGCAACCGGATGCTCAAGTACACGCCGGAGCACATGCACTGTCTCGCGACGTTCTGGGCGCCGGCGGCTCGGCCGAACACGGGCTTTGCGGCTTTCAACGCGCTGGAGAAAGACACACCGCGCTTCCGTATCAGTGCGACGGGCGTTGTGTTGGACAACGACACAGGTGCCGCAGGTGTCGGTGCGCACCCGATCGTCAAGAAGCTTAAGCTGACAGGCGTACCGAGCAAGGTCTTTAAGAACACCGCGTTCATCAAGGGCATGTTCAACTCCCCGCTTGAGGTAGCCAAATTTGAGGGCGCGCACCTCAAGACGGTCAGTGGAATCCGCGGCCAGGTGAAGAAGGCGCTTGCAGCAAATGACGGGCAGTTCCGCGCCGCTTTTGAAGACAAGATTCTGATGAGTGGTGAGTGCGGATCGCGAAAGGTTCTCTAGGCCAGTTCCAGATCACTTGAATATTCACCTCTTCTCTTTCTCTGCGCTGCAGACATTGTCTTCCTGCGTGCGTGGATAAATATACATCCGCGCAAGCTGTACAACCCGGTGACGACGCTGCTGCTGTCGCCGGAACACCGCTCGACGATTGGATGGAAGGGCATGCGACTGACAGGCACGGTGCGGCGGGAGGAGTCAATCAAGACGCCAAACAAAGTGGACTCGATCTACGCAGGAACGGTTACGGAGCGGCCTGCGAAGCGCACGTTCAATGCGCTCAAGGTGCCGCGAAAGCTAGAGGCTGCTCTGCCGTTTGCGTCCAAGACGAAGAACGCGCTAGCGCAGAAAGCGGGCCGCGCGACGTACCTGCAGAAGCGCGCAGTGGTGATGGAGAAGGAGGAGAGGCAAGCGGTGAGCCTGCTGCAGCAAATGCAGGCGGTGCAGAAGGTCAAGCTGGACAAGCGCCGCGCAAAGCAGGCCGAGAAGCGCCTGGAGAAGCAGAAGGACGCGCAGAAGGATGCCGAGAAGAAGAGCGATCGGCTCAAAGAGCTCAAGAAGATCGGCAGCAGGAAGCAGGGCCAGCAGGAAGCTAAGCGGCAGAAGATGAATGCGTGAGCCGTTGCCGTTGTCACCGCAGCAGCAAGTATGTGTATATAGCTTTTGCGAAGGATTTCCATGCTTATATTCCCTACTTGGGTAAGCGTCGAGCTCATCGGGGAGTACGTGGGAAAGAGTTGAAGGTGAGGGATAATCACCCTCGCGCAGGTACACTACATAGAAGGCTCGAATTTTTAAAAAAAGCTGCTCGCCACGCATACAATTAGCTGTTTCGAGGCTCCAGTGCCGTCATGGATGGGAGCATCCAGACTTGAATCCATCACTACGTACACGGTCCGGTGTGATGTGTGCTCTTCTCTCGCTAACCATGCAGGCTGCAGCGGATTGCTGCGACCGTCGGCGCTGAGAGGAGATCAATCCCCAGGGATACAGAGGCACTCTGCGAAGGAATGGATAATGGCTAGATTCATTCAAGTCTGTGGAGCATACACGTTCGTAATACCTTAGTCGACCATAAACGATCAAGGTGGTGGTGCCATAGGTGAGCGACCTATGCCGCGAGAGCTGAATGCATAGTCACGTGATCCACTTCGCCCATCACAAATGGATGACGACGAAAAATGATTGAATGCAGCACTGAACCGCTCAAACGCCTCTATTTTATTTTTCAAAGAAAAAGATGGGTAAAAAGAAAATTGTTGCGCACGCGATCCCGGATTCCCGCCATCCGGGACTGGGGTCGCTCTTTGAGCAGTCTGCTTTCCAAAGCAAGCATGCGTCGCAGTAGTCAATATGCCCTTTTGGAGGCACATACTTGCTATGTTGTAGAGCACGGGCCGTACAGTGACCCCATCGTGTTCGCTTCCTTCTGCTTCGATGTAATGGGAATTGGAGAGTGGAATGAGCTCTGTTGAGTCGAGAGAACCAAAAGAGAGAAGAGGAACGATTAAAAGGCGTGCGCGTCTCTCTGTGCGAACGCCCCAGCTTACTGGGGCTCTCTCGCCCGATACCTGGAGACGAGAATTCCTTTATGCAGGCACTGGAGCAGTGTTGTAGGCGGCTGAGATGAAGTTTTTGCACGCCAGTTGAGAGTGAGACAGATACGGCGGCATCGCACCTCCATCAGTCCAAGCAGAGAGAGCATTCATTCGTAGATGCTACCTGCCCGCTTTGCCTAGCATCCACCAACCCCAAACCCTGGACGAGCTGTTGGCAAGGACAACTTACTTGCCCCTCGGCTTGCTGGATACCAAGAGTACAGAGAGTTCCATCCTTGTGCACAGCTGCACACTGTTGCGTCCCCGCGTTGGTCGCTGCTCGACGCACACTTTATCTCCCTCCTGGTCACCACTGCCCCGACGAGTCGCCTCGTTCATCCTAGTCTCTCTCTCTCATTTTTTGGCCAGCCCCTTCTCACCACGCCACCATCTTCGTCGTCTTTTGGTTGATCATTCGATCAACATATACCCTGTTGATAGCGAAGGCAAGCATTGGCTCGGATCGACCACAGAAGACGTTGGTTGGGGATTGTTGGCAGTAAAAGGTTGGATCGTTCATCTCGTTCGGCTCGACTTTTTCACATCACGTCCACTTCTCACTTGAGGCTCGATCAGCCCTCACAGCTCTCCAAGTATTCGGCCTGCACTCACACACTGTGCGCAAAACAGCAGCCATTATCTGATCGGACACAGCACTAGCGATTCTGTCAAGGCTGGCTGCTAGTCAGAACAAGTCTCCAAAAATCATTTTAGGGGCTTCTGCTACCTAGGTCTATAGACTTTGGATCTTCGTGCGGTCCTCAGCTTGCTCCTTACCCAAAGCGCTCTCACCTCCAACACCTTACACATCCCTCGTCCCTACTCCACGCATACGCAAAGATGGGTCAAACACTCTCAGAGCCAGTCACGGAGAAGCACACGATCGATGGCGAAGATGACTCACTGCTGTACGCCTGCTCTGAGATGCAAGGGTGGCGCATCAGCATGGAGGACGCACACGCCACCATCCTCAACCTTGATGGAAAGACGGACGACGAGAAGGCGAGCTTCTTTGCTGTGTACGACGGCCATGGCGGCTCCACTGTCGCCGAGTTCTCTGGGCAGACCGTGCACACGCGCCTAGCGGCGACAGACGAGTACAAGCAGGGCAACTACGAAGCGGCACTCAAGCGCGCCTTTCTTGGCACCGATGAGGATCTGCGCGCCTCGCCCGAGTACGCATCGGACCCGTCCGGCTGCACCGCCGTCGCAGCGCTGCTTGTCGCCGGCCCTCCACCCGTGCCTGCTGCCGCCACCGCTGACGTAGACAAGGCGCAAGGGCAGCAGCAAAAGGTCGCGAGAAGGATCATCGTCGCTAACGCGGGCGATTCGAGGAGCGTTCTGAGCGTTAAGGGAGAGGCAAAACCGATGAGCTTCGATCACAAGCCAGGTAATAAAGGTGTGTCGTAGGCGTGCCGTGCGGTTCTCGCAGATTGTCGCTTTGGCACCGACGCTAACAGGGTAAACCTGACCTCTAACTTGTTTCGCAGACGAAAACGCACGCATCGTCGGCGCAGGCGGCTTTGTCGAGTTCGGACGGGTGAACGGCAACCTTGCGTTGTCACGCGCGATCGGCGACTTTGAGTTTAAGCAGAATACGTCGCTTAGCGCCGAGGCGCAGATCGTCACAGCCGACCCAGAAATCATCAGCCACGACGTGACGGGCGAGGAGGAGTTCCTCGTGCTCGCGTGCGACGGCATCTGGGACTGTCTCAGCAACCAGCAGGTCGTCGACTTTGTCCGCCGCGGCATCGCACAGGGCAAGGCGATGACGGAGATCTGCGAGAGCATCATGGATAAGTGCCTCGCGCCTGATTCAGAGATTGGCGGTGTAGGATGTGATAATGTGAGCAGCCAATTAGCTAACCAGCTAACCTTGTCTTCGCTTTCTTCTGCGCTGCGCCGTGGTATGTGCTGACAACAATTTCTCCCGCCGGCGGCCCCTCCTGACGGCTCGTGTGTAGATGACCTTCTGTGTCGTCGGGCTACTCGGCGGCCGGACCAAGCAGGAATGGTACGACTGGGTAAAGCAGCGCGTCGACGGCAAGATCGGCTGGGACACGCCCGAGGAGATCGCGCCGGTCTTCGCATCGCAAGGCGGTACCGGGCAAGGCGCTGAGGGGCCCGCCGTTGGCGGCGCGAGCGGTGCCGGCGGCGGAATGCGTCTTGGCGGCCTCGGTGGCGGTAGCGTCCTGTCCGCCATCGCAGGCGGTTTGCAGCAAGGCGGGCACGACGAACAGCAGTCGCAGGGAATCCGTCTTTCGGGCGCTTTGGCTGGGGCGTGAGTTGGTGTTTGATGGAGCTACCTTGTTCCTTGATAAACCATACTGATCCATCCGAACCCTTCCGGCTGCCTTCCCTTTCTCTTTTGTGCAGTCTTAGCGGTGCAGGCATCGTCTTTCGGCCGGGCAACCAGCTGTCGCAGGACGGCGAGCAACTGTATGAGGCGCACATTGTCAACGACGACGAGTCTGGCTCAGAAGGCGAAGCGCAGGAGGCGGAAGCCGATGCAGATGCAGATGTAGATGCGACAACAGCGGCCGTGCAGGAACACAACGAGGGCGGCGCAGCGGAGGGCGACCAGCCGGAGATCGTCGAATCCCCAAAGCATGTCGACTCGGCTGCGTCATCGGCCACAGAGGGCGAGGGTCAGGCAGAGGCGGGTGCTAGCGCTAGTGGCAGCAACTCTTCCCGCACCGTTCAGCCGTCCTCGGAAGGCGGCGCAGAGGGAGGCAGGGCGTCGCGGGAGGGAAACTCAAGAATGGACGTGGACGTGCAAATGTCTGATAATCAGAAGTGAAACGTGATTGAATTGATGGGCTTTCGCATTCGTTCCTCGCCTCTCCTTCACTCAAAAGACAAAGCCAAACAAAAACAACCCTGGACGCATGTGTCCCCCTTCCTCCTCGCCATACCAATGTTGCCGTCCGGTCCCGTCGGCGGCGCGTGCGATGAACCCGCCTCTCGCTGGGATCGCGGAAATGTAAAGCATGCAAGGGCCTTTGAACCTAGAATACTATTCTCTCGCTCCCTCTTTCCCTCTCGCTCGACAACTAAGGAGATCCAATTCCACGTGTCGCAAGTAGGGCTGACGTGGCGCATCCTTGAGACAAGAGACATGCCGAATATGCGTGTGCGTGTTTGATAGGGCAGTCCCGTGTGTACCCGTGCATGAATGTGTGCAGAGGGAGAGGAAAGGAGGAATAGGTCGATGCAGAATCTTGATGCTGGCTGGATGGGGAGGGGTATCTCATGCCTTGTTGGGATCATTGCCTCACGCACGGTACGATGCGGCCTGCCTGCAGCCGCAGAGATGGAGTCGATGCAATTGACGGAAAGCTGTGTGTGTATGTGTGTGTATGCCGAGTCGGGAGACGAGCCTTGGCGCAGCTGGCTGGCAGAGGACTTTGTACAACCAAAGGAGCGTGGCGAGGTGGGAGAAAGACATGCTCTTTAGTCACGGGCGAGTCGCCTTTGCCATCGTGTGTCGGAACGGAACGAATGAAAGGAAAAAAGGATCAGGGAGTGTGTTGCTAGTTGAAAGATGGAAGGTAAAAAAAACTCGAAATCTTTGCATGTATGCGGACGAACGACAAGGTGGTGCTATCCTTTCTGGATCACAGACCCGCGTCGAGCACCGCTCGAACGTCGTGTACGTCGCTGAGATCGCTCAGGAACGGGCACAAATCGGTCAATTCCGTGTCTGCGGGGAGCGCAAACATGGTCATCAGCCTCGGAGAGGAGATCATTCACTTAGGATGCAGCACATGGAGGGAAAGCGGGCGACACGCACCGTGAATATCGTTGAACCACGAGGATATCGGGACAGCGTTGTTAGGGTGGAAGATGTACGACGCGGGCGAGTTATCGATGATGATCGTCTCTGCAATTTCGCGGCCGAGCTGCGAGAGGTCCTTGACGTAGTTGCCCTTGTGGTTGTAGCACGACTCGCGGAAGAGCCGATGACGCACGACTTGGTGGATGTCCAGGATGTCCAGGACCGGGTCGGCGTACTGAAGGAACAGGGAAGAGGGCAGTCGTCAGGTTTCCTCTCTCTCTCTCTCTCCCACTCTATCCTTGAACCAGTCCTGCTGCTCGCCGCTGCGTGCAAGAAGCTCACCTTGCTTAGGGAAGCAGTGAAGACAACGACCTCGAAGATCTGGCCCATCTGGCGCATGAACTCGTCCACGCCGGGACGCTTGATGACGTATACATTGTGCACGGTCCCCTCGATCTCGACAGGGACAATAAAGTCGGCATTCTGGATCATCTTGAAGCTGCTGTGCACCAGGGTCTCGTCCAGGTCTAGCACGAGACACTTGCGCCCCGTGTCCGGCGCGCCAATCGGCGCGAGCAGCGGGCATGGATTCCCGTCCTTTAGGGAATTGGGAAGAAAACAAGCAGCAAACCGCAAAAGATAGCGAGCGAGACGACCGCGCAAACCCGTGTGCCGTGTCAGCAAGCTTTGCGCCTGGTTGGCATTTTCAGCATACCCGAACTCACCGCGTCCTTGGGAATGCCGACGCCGCCCTGCATGATGAGCCGCTGCTCCTCGCTGTGCTCGTTGTCGAGGTAGTCATCATCCATGACCTCGTCGTCCTCCTCGTCGTCATCGTCATCGTCCTCCTCGTCGTCATCGTCACCTTCGCCATCATCCCAATCCTCGACGCCGTCGGTGCCGGCGCCGCCACCGCCAGCGGACGACGCCCCGTCGGCTGCATCGCGCAGGTAGCTCGAGCGGCGACTGCCACCGCCAAGTTGACGATGGCTGCGCGGGCGCGCCGGCGTCTCAGCGCCCGCACCCGTGCTGTCAACGAGAAAGAACGCGCCGGGCGGCATGACGGCGCCGCTCAGCACATCGCCTGTCTCCTCGCGCGGGAGTATCGTCCCGCCGGATGCGGACGGCGTGGTGGTCAGTCCAGTGGCAGCAGAGCAGTCAGCGGCCGCGGACGCGTGCGGCATGCGCGGCGCGTACGGCCCGGGTACGCTGAGGTTCGCGCATGCACCTGCTTTGGCGTCGCCGTTGGGCCCGCTCGCGGTCGATTTGGCGCCAGCAGCAGCAGAGGACTTGTGGCTCGGTCCCAGTGCGCCAGGGTCACGTTTCCGGCGCGCCGGCGCCGCCGGCGCCGCAGATGCAGTGACAGGAGGCTCACGCGCGCGCGCTGCTGCACATGCGCCGTCGTCGGCTGCCATGGCCCTCGTCGAGGCCGAGTGGCTGCACGTTAGGAAGGCAAGGAGCGCCGCGAGCGGGCCGCCACTTGCGCCCGTGCCGGTCAGTGCGGCCTTCTTCGGGGCGGCGGGAGTGGAGGCGGAGGAGGACGCAGGCGACTTTTCGTTCAGCACGGACACCGTTGCCCCGCTTCCCACTCCTGCTGCCTCAGCGTCGTGCTTGCTCCTTTTCTCCATGCTTTCTATTAGAGCAGCAGAAGGAGCAGCGGCAGTAGCATTGGAGGACGTAGCTGTGCGCGCCTTGCTCGTCGTCCGGGGCGAAGTGGGCGGCGTGCGCGGAACATCTGCGGCTGCGGCTGGTGCTGTTGGCGCGCCGTCTTTGTAAGCCAAGGCTACAGCTGCTGCTGCGCCTGATCTTCCTGTGTTGGCAGTTGTGGCGCTGGTGGAGTATGTGCCAACAGGCGTGGCTGTCGCGCTCGTCGTCGTTGTCGTTGGCGCTGTTGGCGCCTGTGCTTGCTCTACAGTAGGTACAGCTGCAGCGCCGCCCCCGGACGTCTGCGCGAGCAGATCGGCTTCTGCTTGTTGCGCGGCTGCTGCGATTGGATCGACTGTGCTGTCTGCTACTGGCGCTGGCGCCGCCACCGCTGCTGTGGTTACCGACGCGGGTGCTGGAGCAGGTGAAGATGAAGCTCCCGCATCGACTCCTGGCCCTGATGGTCTTGATGCTGCTGCCGCGGGCTTGCCCTGTGCCCTATCTCCTACTGCCGCAGACGGAGCTGTGCCCGCTACGAGCGGCGTCCCGGAGGCAGAGTCCTTCTTCTTCTTCTTCTTTCTGCGCTGCTTCGTTTCCCCTTCCTCGGCGCCAGCAGCAGCAGCATCCCTTGTCGATGCGGCAGCGCCGCTCTTCGCTGCCTTGAATACCCGGGCTGGGCGTGTGGCGCCGGGCTGGACCTGTGTGATGATGCTAGCGAGTGCTGCTTCTGCTTCTGCTGCGGCTGCACTTGCTAGCGTCGTCGACGGTGACGCCGAGGATGGCAGGGCGGCGTCCGGATCGGTACTCGGCGGGGCCTTTGGATCCGCCCGGGCGTTGGTATCGGGGGACTGAGTAGCCATGACGTCGGCCGTGCTGAGCTATGGGGAACGAAAGGGTCGTTGCGCCTGCCGCGTGGCCGAGGGTCGGAACGGTAGCAGCGGCAGCGGCGGCGGCAGCAGCAGCCGCCTCCTCCTCCTCGCCTCCAGAGTGTGTGAGGGGAGGAAGATGTACTCGGTCGGTCAGCCGGTCGGTAGCGTGAGTAGAGAGAAGCTGTTCTGACGGGTGCGTAGGCGTGCGAGTCTGTGACCAGATGGTGGGGATGGGAAAGAAAGCAGCAGGGAAGAGGAGAGGGTGGAGAGGAGGAGGATGAGCGGAGTATTCATTCAGTTCGTGTTCTCTCAACCGTCAGCCGCGCGGGTGTATGTATATATGAATGCATATATATAGTGTAAGATCAGTGTGCCATTGTACATTGTATTCGATGCATATGCACCCACCCACTCATTCTCTTCCCGCTGCTGAAAGTCGAATCTACACGCGTCCAGTGTTAAAGCGGGGAGAGGGGCAGGCACGAGAGCAGAGTACACCAACGCACGCGCTCCACATACACCCTCTGGTCGGGCGCATCGACACTGGACTCGCGCAGGCCGCATGCAGAACCCTACTTTGTGCCAGACTGCGTCACACACCCCTTTCCTTTTGGGTATGGGAAGGAAGGGCTTCAGCAGGACCAGGGCAATGACGAGCTAGTTGCATCCCAGTCCATCCATCGCGCTTGCACAGCTACACAGTCCTCTGCACAAGATACAATACGTTTCGCATGCACGCATCCCGCGGAAAGCATCCCCCCTCCCCCTTCCCTCGTTGTCATAGTCGTCTGCAATCTGCTCGCGCTCAGCTCGGCGCGTCTTTCCGCTTCCCAAGCGCTAGCCGGAACTTGGACGTAGCAGCCAAAGGCAGCGGCGAAGGCAAGGGCATCGAGCCGGCGGACGCCGCCGAGGGTCCTTGCTGCTGTGCCAGCTGCTCCTGCTGCTGGTGATCTGCCCCTCCCCGTCCGCCTGCTTCTTCCCAAGAGGAGGACGCGGACGTGGCTGCGGCTGTGCGAATCGGCGCGAACGCTGCGCGCATCGTGCGCGGCGCGAACCCAGGCCCACCCGCACCCTGAGCACCGCTGTTGCTGTGGCCCGCACTTGCAGGACTTTCCATGCCGCTGGGCGAGCCGGTGCGCACCATCGCCTTGGACGACTCTGCTCCTAGTAGCGGAACCAGCTGCGCTTTCCCTTTCCCCTGTTCCATATCCTTGTCCTTTTCCTTGTTCCTGCCTTTGCCCTTGCCCCCAGCACTCGCGCCGCTTTGTGTGTTGGGCCCGAGCAGCGCGACGTCCTGCGGCGCATTGCCGCGGTTGCCGACGCTGAGCACCATGTGCGCCTGCCCGCTCTTCTCGGCGCGGTCCGCAAACGCGTGCGTCATCCCGCTTGGCGTGTCCCCCGCCGCCATGCGCTCTCGCTGCCGTTCCAGCTCAATCCTCCGCTGCTTCTTCTCCTGTGCCCGGTACCCTGGGTCTCGCCCGTGGAACCGGTGTGATAGGTCCTTCCATGCCTCTTTTGCACCGAGCTCGCGGCCGTGCTACAGAAGAGAAAAGAAGAAAAAGAAGACACGTCAGTCAGCATACATGCACCTAGCCAGCCTCCCATTAGAAGGCCTCAAGAGAGAGAAGCGCAGACGCACCGAATCGTGGTATTTGATGTCGACATCCGGCTTGTAGTCCTTGAACCGCTCGGCGGCCATGAGCGCCTCGTCGACCTCACGCGCGCGGTTCTCGTACTCGCGCGTCGCTTGGTCCTTGGCGCTGCCGACGGCCTTGCTCGCCGCACGCTGTTCTTCGCGCGCCCGCTCGTCTGTGCGCCGCTGCGTGAGCCACCGATCGTAGCGCTTCTGCTCCTTCTCCCGCGCTTTCACCTCCTCCGGCACGGGCTCTAACGTGCCCGTGTTGCGCAGCAGCGCAAGCGTCGCCGCCATCCCGCCCGAAACCAGTGGCTCCGCCGCCGTCGTCGGCTCCACGTTCGCTCCCGCACCGGGTGCCTGCGCCTGTGCGGCGATCTCTTCCTCAATCTCGCCCATCTCTGCGTCCTCATCCTCAGCAACCTCAATCTTGACTCTCGCTCGGCCATTCACAGGCGCCGCGACAGCCTCCATCCGCTCGTCCTTGATCGCCACAGCCTCCTCCTCCAGCAACCCCTCCGCATTGGCCGCTATGGTGCTGCGCGCACGGCGTCTCCGCTCCTCGCTCGCATCTCGGGCGGACGCTGCACCACGCAGGCTAATGTTGCGGACAAATTCGCTGGTGCTGTCAAAGGTGAGGCCACCATTGCTCTCGCCAGTCCCATTCGTGTCGGCTTGCCCTTTTGATAACGAGCCGTTCGCAGCCTGCGCCCGCGCCTTGGCCTCTTCCTCCGCTTTTTTCTGCGCGGCGAGGTTCTTTGCGATTTCTTCGGGTGTCATCTTGTTGAACACCTTCTTCGCCTTTTGTCGGCGTGATCGAGCGAGTGCGGCCGCTAGCTCGTCATCGTCGACAAAGTTTTCTATCTGCACGCTGCCTGGACGACGGTCCCTCGGTGGCGCAACAGCAGGCATTGCCGCGTCTTCTCCTTTCTCCTCTTCCTCCTCCTTCTTGACCGCCACACTAGACGTAAACGTGGAAGGCCCGGCCGCTTCGTCTTCGTTCTCGATATCGAGCTGTACCTTGGTTGCCCTCTTTTTCTTCTTCGTCTGTGCGTGCAAGGAAAATGTATTTCAGCACTGCCTATGCCTCGACAAGTGGTGCTCAGCGTTCAGGGTGAATGCTATACGGCAAGTGCATGCTCACCTTGGGCTTTTTGAAGCCAACATCTCCTTCCTGCAGGTAATCTGACACTTCTTGGTTCTCTGAAGGGTGCAGCGATAGCGAAAACATTAGCACAACGAGTGCAGCGCACAGGCAGAAAAGACACACTTACTCGTGTAGGATAAATCGAGCATGGAACGGTTCAGCATACGCGCACTCTCCTCCTGCTTTCTTCTCTTGATCTCATCCTTGCTTTCCACTTGCGCCCCGAGCACGAAACCAGTCTTTCCATCCTCCCGCTTAGCGAACCCTTCCTTGTCGAGGTCCCCGTCGTACTTTGACAGGATACCCCTCCTTTGGCCAGGCATCCGGCCAGAAGGTGCCGAAGTCCCATCGTCAAATTCCTCGTCATCCAAGCCGGTGTATTCTTTCGCGCCGCGCTTTCGCTCTTCATTCAGTTGGTCTTTCTCCTGCTGCGCCAGAGATGCCTCCATGAGCTCATCGTCTTCGTCGTCAAGGATTCTGCTGTCCTTCAGAGTCAGGACACGCTCCTCGCCTTCTTCCATATCGAGATCATCCATATCATGGGCAACCTTGAGGCCCTTCAAATCCCGCTCCGAGTAGGCGTCCTGTGACTCTCTGAGCTGCTTGAGGGCCAGAGCCTCTGCTTCCTCCTGCTCCCTGGCTATTCGCTCCGCATTCTCTTTCGCCCTCTTCCTTTGCTGCTGCAGCCACTTCAGCGTCGACTTGCCCTTCCCTGCCTCTCTCGATGGTGCTGAGTCTGCAGTATCTTCCTCGCCAAGCGTAGGGCCATGAAGTTTGCGGGCCAAGTTACGCTTGTTCTGTATCTTGGCAATGCGTTCACGAGCTTCCTTCTCCTCCCGCTCACGCCGATCCTCCTCCCGCTTGCGCTTGTAGTTATCTTCGGCCAGCGCATCTTTGTCGACTGGCGGCGTTTCGCCGGGTGCCTGGTCATTCTTTTTTGCACTACTCGTGGATGGCCCATCGTCTGTAAGTGGCTTAAGCCCAATGGAAATACGAAGCTTGCTGTGTAAAGACAAGTATGGTCAGCTGGTGCGCAGCAAGACGGCGGCTCAAACATCCAAAAATATAACTGACTTAGTCTCTTCCAGCGACAGCGAATCCTTTTGAAAGTCGGACGACATCTTGAGCGGGACTCCTTGCGTAGCTGTACACAGCAAGTACAACGTTTGGCACTCGCTCGAAAGTGCTATTCATGCAAGACGTGGATCTTGTCATTGCATCGCAACGTAATATGGAGATACCGCACAAAGTTGTACTGAATGGACTTGCGATTTTACCGCGGAACATCTCTTAGCCAAAAATTGAATGAGCGGTGCTCTCTCAGACTCTCGCCAGTTGACTGTCGACCTCCGAGCGTCGATTGACCCACTTGTGTCCAATCCAGGTCGTTCGTCCGTCGGCTTGGCTGACCCTGCTTCGATGCTTCAACACAGCGTGAACGTTATCTCTCGCGGCTGTCAGCATCTGGCGGACGCAGCCTGCACGTACGGTGTCAGCGCCTGCGCGTGCAGACGCCTAAACAAGACCAGATCGAAAGGGTTCTGATTTCTCGCGATCAAGGCGGGTTGCAACTGCAAGGCATAATCGTTTCGCAAGCTCAACCTCAGCAGAGACATGCTAAGGCTCGATTCATTATGCTAGTTCCACCGCCCAATTTTGGTATGGTCGAGGAGAACCTCTACCGAAGTGGGCAGCCGGACCAGATTAACTTTCCATTTCTGGAGAAGCTGTCTCTGAAGAGCGTCATCTTTCTGGCTCCTGAAGAGCCTGATCCCGCATTGTGAGCCTTGCAGGACCTGATGGTCCTTCTGCAGCAAGTGTACTAACAAGCGATTGTATTCAATTGATTTCAGCGCCGACTTTTGCTTGCAACAGGGCATCACACTGCATCATCTCGGCGTCCTGTACGCAACCAACGCGTGGGACCCGATCACCGAAGAGGTTGTGCTGCAAGCTTTGAACTTGCTAGTTCAACCTTCAACCTATCCCGTGGTGGTCATGTGCAATTTGGGTCGACATCGAACGGGGACGGTCATCGGTTGCCTGCGCAAGTTGCAGAGATGGAACCTTAGCGCCATTTTGGAAGAGTACAGGCGTTACGCCGGCCCGAAGGTCAGGGTCATGAACGAGCAGGTGAGCCACATTGTCATGCTAAAAGAAGGGTGCCAAATCTGACGACATTTGTGCTCCAGTTCATCGAGCTCTTTGATGAGGAACTGGTCTTTGGTTAGTCGAAGGCCACTCACGTCTCAGAACTGGCCCCACACTGGCCCGCATTGAGTATATGCCTCATTGAGGTGCCGCGCTACTCACGCGAGAGTCGACAGGCGCAACTAGCGCACATGCACGACTCGCGTGCTGCGCTAGCAAGGCACTATGCGATTGTTCTTTTAAAGCTAAATTTCCAAAGCAACGCCCATCAGTCTTGAATGCCGCCTTACTGCGGGCTGGACTGCGTCGCTCAGCTGCACGTGACGGCTATGGACACGGGTTCAAGCAACCAACGTACGTGAACGGCAGTTCGCCTCGTTCGAACCAAATTCAGGCCTGCGAGTTCAGCCGCCCATCTGGCAAGGCCGAGGTGCAGAGGAGAACAAACTGGATGGACGAGATTGCGACAAGCATTGCCGTTTCAAATATTCAGCGCCCGCCGCGGCTTCGGCATGTCAAGGCTATACTACACCCATGCTCCAAAGATTTGCTGGGGAATGGAAGCTTATGTTCAAGATCCGTAGCGCTTTGCTCCCGGCCCTCATAGTCACGCTCTGGTCGGCCATGAAAGCTCCTAGAGAAAGGGGGCCGCGTTTGGACCAAGACAACGGGGCAGCCCAAGTTAGTCTGAGTGAATCTAAATCGCATATGCAGCCTTGTAACACTTGCTTGCTAGAGATAGGGATCAAAATTTGCAATGCGAGACCAATCAAAACTAGTTCGCTGTATCTGATCAGACTCTGAAATTGCAGAAGCGAGGAAAAGCGCTTCGAGCAATGGATCTTCAAGTCTGACCAGTGGAATAAGACTGGAAGCTCGCGCCCACTTGAGAGCTAATCAGATGGAATATGGATGAACCTCTGACTGGCTACGTCACGCATCCAGACTCAGCCCAGCTCGCCGGGGCTGGAGGGTCTCCTTCTCACATCCAACATAACTTTCTCTCCCCTGCTTTGGATCCACACAGTTGTTGTGTGCTTCACGCTCCTAGCCCATGAGCCACCCTTTGTGAACACCTTGGCATACCTTCGAGCAGCCGCTCATTATATCCGCAGCTGGAGTATCCGTTTTGCTGCTCAAACGACAGTGCGACCGGCGTGATACTGGCGTAAAAAGGTGTCTCCAAGCTCGTGATCCAATTGCAGCAGTGCTGCTGAAGAAGATGCCTTTCCTGAGCGCGCCGCTCAGATGGCCTGAAGCACTCACGCATCACTGGGACAACCCCCTTTTCGACCTCATAGAGAGGTATCGGGATGAAATCCCAAGCGAACATCTGCGCTCCCTTCCAGCACCAGTGCTACTGATCCTCCCAGTGCTCTTCGCGATCCTTCTGGCGGCCGTTTTGAGTGCCGCCTTCCGCCCAACGTCATATAAGGTTCGCATCGCCGTTGAGGCACGGAAAGGTCGCAAGGAGAAACGCACGACCGGTGCGCGGACTGTCCTTTTACTCGGATCGACTGAGTCAGGAAAGACCAGCATCTTTAGCGCATTTGTGTATGGCTCCGTGCCCAAGACGCACACGTCACAGCATGAAAGCGAAGGTCACACCATCCTTGGTCCGCCCCCGCCACTCGACGGCGAGAAAGGGACTTTGGCCGCGCCTCCTTCGCAGAGCGTTCCAATTCATCTCATCGACCTGCCTGGTCACCCTCGTCTACGTGTTCGCGCAAACGAATTTTTACCTGCTGCGGATGCTATCGTCTACTGCGTCGATGCGACGCTCGCAGCAAGAGCAGCAACAGCTTCCGCGTCGCAAGCGGCAGTAGAGGGCCTCTCGGATGCGATTGAGTGAGCGGATCAGGCATGGCAGTCAGCATCTAGCAAAACTGTTTGCTGACCTGTATCCGCTTGAAATTTTCGCAGCTTTTTTCACGCAACGTTATGTGCGCTCGCCGCCCATCGGCTGAAGAGCACGGCGAGCAAAAGTGCCCCGCCCTCCTTGCAAATTCTCTTCACACGATCCGACCTCTCGCCGTTGCTGGCTGGTGCAACCTCGACAGATGCCGCACAGCTCGCAAAGCGCAAAGCGCAGCTCCTGCAACGTGCGAAAGCCGGATTCGAAGCGGAGCTCGCCCGGCGCCGTGCAGCACTACAGATCGGCAGACGCGGTGCAGGCGGTGCACCGCGCGTGACCAAGATCGGCGGCATTGGCGAGGTGCAAGGCGATGGTAGCGTCGGTTCCAGCGGGGCGGGCGGCCTGCTTGCGAGGCTGATGGCGCTGCTCGGCCTCCGCTCCGGGGTATCTTCGAGGGGAGAAAAGAGCGGGCTCGGAGATGACGAAGAGCACGAGGAAGAGGAGTTTGATTATGTCGATTGGGCGATGCTGCAGCGGCAGAGCCAAGGGAGCACGTCCCTAAGCGCAGTGGGCAGCTTCAGCCTGGACAAGCTCGACGAGGAGGTGGTTGAAGGCGGCAAAGCGCAGTGGGGCCTCAATAGTCTGGGCAAGGAACGTGATTGGCTTGGAGGCAGCGGCATGATCAAGGAAGGCAAGGATGACCGCGACCTGCGCGCGTTCCTTACCAGCTTGTAAAATCAAAGAAAGGCGCCCAAGCCATGCAGCATTTATTGAAGAGTCATCTAGGTTACAAGCATATGATTGAGCATGAAGAGTCTGTGCATTCTCAGAACTCAAATGCGCGATCGAGGTCGCTCTTGATGAGTTCCCGCATGCCTGGCGGCATCAATGGCCGCTTGTCCTTTACGCCTGCATCCTCAGCCATGTATCGGAAAGGCATTTCTACCGACGCGCCGCCTCCAAATTTGATTTCAGGATGGTCGACCCAGACGAGGCCGCCATTCCCGCGTCCTCCTTCTTCCGATGCACCTTGCTCTGACCGTGGCAAGTTGAGATGCATTCCGTCCTCAACGACACGCTTCGTCACTCCAAGCGCTGTGTCCGTCGTCATCTGAATCTTGCCGAGGTGGCGGCCGGGAAAGCCCATGGTGCGCAGGGAAGCCGTTCTGTCGCGCGGCGGGTCGTCACCGAGGATGCCGCCGAAGAGGAAGTAGTCGAATGGCCCGTCGCGCGTGTCGCACTCAGCCTGTTTTGCTGGCGCTGGGTACTTGCCAGCATCGCTTACATCGATCGCACGAGGCGCCTTTGGGTCCAGTAGGCAGACCTTCTCTAGTGAGACACCCCACTCTTGCATAAGATTGCTGATCGATTGCGTGTGCAGCTTGAACTCTGCTCGTCCAGATGATGGACCGGGCTCGCTCTCTTGGATCTTTGTGAGTTCCTTCTGGAGGTCCTCAATGGAGGCTTTAGAAAGACTAGTAAAGTGGACTGTCGACGAGTCTGACGGAGATGACGCGGAGGAGGATCCGACGAGCGTGAGCATATGCCGGTACTCGAGAAGCGCCCACTGAGGGAAGGTGGAAGGCGCATCCGGGTCGTCCTCTTCCATGTGCTCGATAATGTACTGTGGGCGCGGCATCTTGACGCGTGGGCTCTCCGCAAACGCAGATGTAAAAGTGAGAAGATGCTGGTTGATGCAAAGAAAATGATATTGAGTGCCTTACTCTCTGAAGTCGAAGGTTGTATTGAAGGAGAGAATTGTTCGATTTGATCCCCCGGCAAGCATCAAAGGTGCTTTCAATATCCAGCTGGGAGGTCTGCCTGGAAAGCCGTGAAATCAGCAAATGTAATAAATAAATCCCAGATTTCTGGTGGTGACAATTTTTCTCCAAGGCGGAACCGAAAGACTGTTCGGGGCATTCACATTTTTTATCTCTTTTTTTAGGAAGGGGACCCCATCTACACTGATCAACCATTGCAAACTGCAATTACGCGTACGACGATTATTGATATTCGACTCACTCTATTCTCGCTCGAATGTTGCGATCGTATTAAATGTACAGGTAGCTTCGAAGCATTTGGGGGCTGCAACGTCTGCTTCGTGCTTCATTCCTTCCTGGACCATCAAGATGCCTCACAAGCGACGAAAGTTTTCAGACCGTCAGGCAACGCGGGAGTTTGCGTGAGTGTACCTCCATACTTAGCGTGACGCTGTACTGACTGAATTATCCGACAACTGGTAGCGGTAATGACTTTGCTCCCTCAAGTGGATTTGACATCAGCAAGGAGGCTCTACCGAAGGGGAAAATGAACATTCTCAATGCAGGCAAGATCCAGGCTGCTTACCGTGAGCGGCGAAAGCAATCAGAGCAAGGTGCTAGTCAGAAGAAAGGCGAAGCCTCATCTGATCCACAGCCATCAAATCGATTGAGCGCTTCAGGAAAATCCAAGGGAAAAGCAGCTGCCGTCGCTGACGAAAAAGAGGACCCGACCAGGATGCGTATCCGCGAAGGAGAAAGGTTGCGCGACTTTAATGCACGTGTGGAACAAGCCTTTGCATCAACCATCAGCGCAGCAGCACGCAGCGCCTCGAAGCATGCCCAAAATCAGAAGAAGCGCAAGCGGCGAAAAGAAGGTGGGGACGGAGGCAGTGACGAGGACAGCAATGCCGGCGATACCGATGGTGCGCGGCAGAAGCGGAAGGAGAATGCACAGCAGGCCGAGGCGCGAGAGAAGCGTGAACGCGACGAGCTCCGCGCTCAAAGAGAGTCAATACGCCATGACGGTGAAGACCGTGAGTTTGCGACATTATCGCAGCGCAAGAGCGTCCGGGACGTCGTTATGGCGCCGCCGACTCTCAAAGCCGGCAAATTCAGCAAGGCCTCTGCTGGCGCCTCCGCAGACCGACCCGGGAAGAGGATTGGCGCGGATATGAAACAGGAGCAGTCCAAGAGAGCTCAGGAGCGCATGCTTGCAGAGGAGCGGGAACGTGTTATTCAGACGTACCGCAAGAAGAAGGACGACGAGCAAAAGCAACGGCTCGGCATGAAGCCATAAGCCTTTACCGGGTTTTTTTTTGTTTTGCTTTGGATTTGTTTTTCGTTGAATACCATTGAGGCTCCCTCCCACCGTACAAAGCAGCAAAGCTTGACCTTTATCTTGTCATGAGTGTCTCCAGCCCACGCGATACGTCGCACACTCGGGCTTCGCGCCATGGAAAACTGACTTGCGAAGCGTCCATGTTGCTTTTTGCGAGACGAAAGCGCTCTATGGGAAAGACTTTATAGGGTTAGGCCTCACGTTTAGCGCATTCCTGTGGGCGGAGTACCCAACTTAGCGGATTACGGAACCCTCATTGAATAAACGAAGAGCGAAGAGACTTGAGCTGGTTCCACATGTGCGCTACACTACGCCTCGCCAGAGTTCAGTTCTTCTCACCTTGGGCATGGGAATGTCCATCTGGTGTCGCTGATGCGACTCTCCACGACGGCCGCCAGGTTGGGACATTCGATCTCGGCGAGGAGAGAAACAAAGATGACTTCGGAAGACCGTACTTATGCGCTGCGCTCGCGCACGAACGAGATTCGCAAACGCTCCGAGGAGGCCGCCGCTGCGAATGGCAACTCGAACGACTCGTCGACCTTCGACGCACACAAGGAGGTTGCGGACAACAAGCACTACAATCACCGTTATGGCCATGTCGACATGCGCGACGAGCAGATTGTGGGAGGCGGAAAAGAACGTGCTCTGACACACCATGTTCCTGGGATCAACATCACCGAGACCGGGCGCGCGAGGGACAAGAAGCTCGATGAGCACTTTGAATATGAGTTTGGCGGTCCCATTGGCGTCACCGCCATGATGACGCTGTTCCCGATGCTCATGTATTACCTGTGGATCTGCCTTTGGTTTTACAATGGCAAAATCGTTATTCCAAGTAGCCTCGACGACGTTGGCCCGTTTTTCCAGCGCATGGGCGCGCACATTTACAATGTAAGCTGCCGAAGCGAGTCCAAATGTGACTGTCAACACTGGCTCATCTGAAGTGCTTCGCTTTCGCAGGACGCGTTCCCTACTTCGCGTGCACTGATCGGATACGGCGGACTGATGGTCTTCCAATTCGCCCTGGCGGTCGTCATGCCGGGCTTTTGGCAGGAGGGCCTTCCGGTGCCGTCCCTCAACTACAAGACGCTCATGTACAAGTGCAACGCTCTCTCTTCTTTTTACGCAACGCTCGTCGTCTGTGCCGGCCTGCACCTAAGCGGAGTTTTCCGGCTGACGGAGATCATCGAGCACTTTGGCGAGTACATGACCGTCGCGATGATCATGGGCTTCGCCGTCAGCTTTGCCACCTACTTCCACGCCGTCCTGACTCGCACTCAACACCGTATGAGCGGCAACTTTGCATACGATCTGTTCATGGGCGCTTCCTTGAACCCGCGCATTGGCAACGTCGACCTCAAAATGTGGGCAGAGGTTCGCATTCCGTGGGTCCTACTTTTCCTCATCAGCGTCAGCGGCGCCTGCAAGCAATACGAGATGTACGGTTACGTCACCCCGAACATGGCCTTCATGGTCTTGGCCACCGGCCTCTACATTAATGCCTGTGCCAAGGGTGAAGAATGCATCCCACAGACCTGGGACATGTTCCACGAGAAGGTGCCTACCATCTATATCTTTTTGACCCTATCGTTTCCGCTGACCTTTCTCCTTGATTCCAGTGGGGCTTTATGGTCATCTTTTGGAACTTCGCTGGCGTTCCCTTTACTGTGAGTGGTCAAATGTGCGAGGAAAATTGCTTCACTGCTGATCCATCTTTCCCCTGACCAGTACTGTTATTCTATTGTGTATATGGCGGCCCACTCACCACACGTGTACAAGTTCAGCACGCCGACGTACATCTTCATGTACTCGCTGCTGATTTTTGTGCACTGGGTCTTCGACTCATCGATGGCGCAAAAGTCTCGTTTCCGCATGCAACTTCAAGGCACGCTCAAAGTTCGTTGGTCCTTCCCCCAGTGGCCCTGGTCAACGCTGAAGGACCCTCGCTACTTGCAAACGGAGCACGGCAATGCACTGCTCATTGACGGATGGTGGCAGTTTCTGCGCAAGCCCAACTACACGGCCGACTGGACACAGTCCTTCCTCTGGGGCGCCTGCGCCGGCCTCGGCTCGGTCATCCCATACTTTTACTGCCTCTTCTTCCTCGCCGTCCTAACGCATCGCTGCGGGCGCGACTTTGACCGCTGCGAGAGAAAGTACGGCAAGGATTGGGTCAAGTACTGCAAGATCGTCCCATACAGGTGCGTCCGCGAGCAGTGTCCTAGGCTGAGGTGCCCTCCGCATTGTTTAACCTTCCACACGCCTTGGCTGCTTTGCAGGTTTATTCCATTCGTCTACTAAGCTCGCTCTTGTATGCGCGCGTGGATTACCTGCCCGTCATATGTCTTCTCTATGATCATTGTGATGCAGTCAAAGATGCTATTGGCATGCACTACTTGCAAATGCACAAAGACATGCTCGGGTCACCCTTCCTCTAGCTTGTGTAGTTGCTGCATGATTATTTCGTAGCTGCAGCGAAATGGAAAAAAGTCGAGTCAGCTCTCGCGTGCGCGCAAATTACCACAGCCGACAAGGTCGACACTTACGTGAGGATCGTCAATGCCGAACTGGGCAATGTCCGCATGAGGTTGACGCCCATGCCCTTGTAGAAGCCTCTGATTCCTTCCTCCTGTGCAATCCGCGTGCAAACTTCAACGATGCCCGCGCTCTTGGCAGCGCGTCCGTAATGCGCACTCCTCCACGCGTTTATCCACCAGCTTGCCCGACTGCTCGAACCTGCGACCACACTGCCCCATGCTGGCCGCCGCCGTACAAATGTATGTAGTCCGCGAGAGGAGCTGCCGTAGGAGGATGAGGGGGTAGACGCGTTTGTTGCGGACCGCTGCTCCTCTTGGATGAGTCGTGGCTGCATCTGCAGCCTTGTTCGCAGCACTTCGTGCGGGTAGGTCGTGATGGAAGCGATCATCTTGCTCGCGGCGCTGCAGACGAGGATGCTGCTCGGATCCAAATCTGCGCCTACACCACCTCGATTTGCTTCTCGCGCCCATTTCTTGAAGGTCTCGTAGAGAGGAAATTGGACAGCTACGTGTGAGACGCCAAAGAGGGATGGTATGAGGCCTTTGTAGAACCCTCGCATGCCTTCTGTGCGATAGATTTGCACAAAAGCGTCAAATGTATGTCGATATGGACGTGTGCTTGGATCACGGACCGATTGAAGCTGTCAATTGGAACCAAGGTGAGCAAAGAGCGGAGGGCATAAGGCACCAAGCGACGCACCATGAACCGCGTCTTAACAACCCAAAGTGGGCTGGTGCATATTGTGCTCGCAACGCCGGCCGTCATTGCCGCCACGATATGGCTGACAAAATTGACCTCCGCGCCGGATCTAGAGTCGTGGACCAAGTTCCTCTTGGCGGAGTCGTAGACGGTAAAGTAGATCGCCCACGTTGGCAGGTAGCCGTAGACTGTCGGGCCGAGCCCTCGGTAAAAGCCGCGCACGCCGTCCTGCTCCCAGATCTGCCGCACCGTCGCGCGCAGCCCTCGGCCATACCTGCGCCTCTCCAGCCGTCGCTGCTCTTCCGTCGATATCGAGCGCTGCTCCTTGTTTGAAGTAGACCACTCGATGCCCATCCCTGCATGGGACGCATGTGCGCCCGTCGCGCTTGCGCCTCCAGATGCGCCGACGACCGCTCCGGAGCTGGCCGGGTAGAGGAGCTGATTGAGGCCGCCACCGACGCCGCCGGATATCCCACCTGCGGATCCTTTGAACCCCTGTGACAGAGCAGTACCCGGCTGAAAATCCGGCCCACCCTGGGCTTGCAGCTTAGTCTTGACGACATCGAGCGGGCAGGTAACGATGGATGACACGAGGCCGGCGCAGGCGCCTGCGATGGCAGAGTTGTGCATGGCTCTCGCAGCCAGGGCTGTGGCCTTGCCTGTGGCCGTGTTTTGTTCTGTACGTTCCAGCCCAGGTCGCACAGCCCGTTTCCCTGCTCCAGGTTTGCGTGGCGGAGGAGCGAGAACGAGAACACTACTCAACGACGAATGAGTCTTATCGAAGATGGCAATCAGCATCAGCAGAGCATTTGGGTTGTGGCCTTTGACCCACGAGCGTGCCGCGCGTCACCGTCGCTGCAGCGCTACTGTGGGGAACGGCAGAAAGTTGTCAAATGCGCACGTAAAGCCCGTCAACTGCCAAGGAATCCTGGCAAAAAGAATACTGTGAAAATACCCAGTGTGCGGTGACTTTTCATCAATGACACAGATTGAATGATGAAAGCGAGCGAACCATCTGCCGGACTGACGACTTGAAAGTCCATGCTCGTCGGTTGCTGGGACCGAAAAGGGACCGTCGCAGCTCACAGCATCTACAGCGCTCCTCCACTGAGCTCTCGGGTGAACACCATGATATCTGCTGTTGTGCCTCTCCCGTCACCTCCACCAGTAAAGCTAAAAGGGAAAAGTTGAAGAAATAAGCAGTGGATCATATTAAATTATAAATTGTCAACATCACGGCGTCGTGCCTGAGTGGTCATAGGGTTCGCCTCGAATCAGTTTCGAAGTAGCTCTACTGTAAGCGAATGGGCTTTGCCCGCACAGGTTCGAATCCTGTCGGCGTCGTTTCTTTTTTGCAACTTGTTCAAGTCTTCCAGACTCACTCGGCGGTCGGCATTATGCAATGCCGGCATGTCCCACACGCCACATCCTGCATTCACCATCGTGAATACAACATACCTGGACGTGGTACCTGCAACGTCGTGTGCAAGCAGGTTTTCGAGCGCAAGTGCCTTGTCTGTGCTTTCTTTTTTGCATTGCCTTTGCCGTCTCTTGCTAATGCCTCTGGATCTTTAGCCTTATCCCGCTGTAGATCCACACAATCCCCGCCACCACGGACCACGATGTCGCTTGCCGCGCTCCCCGCCTACTCGCACGTCATCCTCTCCCGCTTCGCGCGATGTCCCACATTCATCAGCTTGGAGCTCAACGACGTTGCCACATTCAACTCCTTGACGCCCGATATGTTTCAATGCATGGCACGCGCGTTGCAGTGGTGCGCAAAAGAGAAGACCGTGCATGCCGTCGTCTTTAGCGGACGCGGGCGTGGGGCTGACAAGTCCAAGCATGTGTTCTGCTCCGGCATGGGCATGTCCAAGGAGACAGCCGAGAACGCGTTTGCGAACCCGAAAGGTGTCAGTCTGAGAGAGGTGCGGGCTCGCGTCGTCAAAGGCCCACTCGACTTTATTGACACGATCATCGACTTTCCCAAGCTTCTGTGCGATTCTATTTTACTTCTACAATACGATGCATGAAGACTGATTCCCTCTTCGTTTTCCAGGGTTGCCGCCTGCAATGGACATGCATTTGGAATGGCTGTAACTGTGAGGTGTCTCAGATAAGCAGCATGCACGGCTGGCACTTGCCCTAACCAGCCTTCATGCTTCGCAGATGCTACCACTCTTCGACTTTGTCTACGCCTTACCGGGCCTGACGTTCCGCACACCCTTCTCTGAGCTAGGCGTGTGCGCCGAGGGTTGTTCAAGCGCGACTTTTCCCGCAATCCTCGGACCTGGCTTGGCCTCCAAGATGCTCTACTATGCTGAGCCACAGACATCCGAGAAACTGTTGCCCTCAGGATTCATCAGCGAAATCGTACCTGACAAAGACTCGACGACGCTTCCTGAGTGGGTCCTCAACCACCTCTGCGACAGACTAGGCGTGGATGATGTAAACATCACTGGTGCCAGCACCGGCCTCCCTACTTCCGGGCCTCGAGCTGCTTCCGCATCAGCAGCAGGCTCTGGCGCACCAAGCCAACTGCCCAACCCACTCGACTGGCGCAATCTCTCCTTGCAGTCGATCCTATACTCCAAGTCGCTCGTCATGCACAAGGACCGCCGACGTTTCTTGCATGAAGTCAATGCGAAAGAGATGGAAGCTGTCGCAGGCATGGTGGCCAGCCCGGAATTTGCGGTCGGCATCGGGCGCTTCATGGCAAAGCAAGCGGCCAAGAAGGCCAAGCTGTAGCCATTCCAGGCATGTTCAACGCTGGCCAAGCGAATGTCGTTCTACATGCTACAAGATGTATGTTACAGTATACCATAGACTCAGAGCCTACTTTCGCTTTTTCGTTTCTTTGTTGTTGTCCTTGTGACTTTCGCCCCGGTCGCCCGCAATGGCAGCCTTGATCAACGCCTCCTCGCCCTCCCACAGCCGCCGCTGCCCTTCATCGTCACGCACCGACGCAGGCAGCACGACCGGCCGCGGCGACCCTTCGCGGTGGAGCTCGACAGGTCGTACATGCGTACCCTTCGCGCCGGCTTGCCCTCGTGCACTTGCACTCGCGTTGCCCGAGGGGCTTATGCCGCGGTCGAGCGGCGCCACGAGCGCCCACGTAATTCCGCTTGCCGCCTTGCCTGGCGATTTGCAAAAGAGCCAGATCAACGGCCAGAGCAGCACCGCAAGGGTATAGCGCAGAGCGACTGAGGCCATCGAATAGCGTGGCCGAAAATAGTCGCGGTGTGAGACTTGTTGTTGCGGCTTTGTGCCCTGGCGTTGGCGCGGATCGACAGAGGCCCTTAGCTGCCGAGCGAGCAGCTCAGCTGTCTCAGGCCCAGCGTCCTTTGGCCCGTCACCTTCCTCTGCAGCGGAAAACCCGGCATAGACCGGAGTCAGCTCGGGGGGCGGCAGCAGCAAGGATAGCACATCTCGATTCCGCTCAAAGCCCAGACAAACATTCAGCACAGTAATATTTGCTTTGGGGCGTATGCGCTCTCTTTCCTGCGCGAGAGAGACGGATGCAAGGTGGCTATCGACTGCGGGCAGCGGGCCACGCGGCCGTTTGTCCGCCTCGGCCAGCAGCTGGATGCGCCGCTGCAGCTCGACAGAGAGTGCAAGCCAGCGGAGCGCCGCGGCACCCGATGCACACCAGGGCTGCCAGCGCGGAAAGTGGTGCTCAACAGTCATTCTCTCAAGCAAATAGTCAGGGTCTTCCGCGGAGAATGAAGCAATGCCCGACGGGTGCCATGGTGAGATGGCGCTGACGATGCGAATGTCGCGGTCAGGCGGGAGGAGCAGTAGGGAAGAAAGCATGGACTGTACGAAGTGATACCGTGCGGCGACCTCGGCATGTGCCAGTTCAAACCCGTTGATGCGCTGCAGTCCTTCTCCCGCACTGTATGCTGTCTCATCCAGAGGCAGAAAGATGATCGCATCCAGGCGCAACCCGACTTGCTCTGCAGGTCCAGCGCCGCTGCCACTCGAGCCCAGCGGGTTGGTCTTGCGTGCATCTGTGAGGCCTTTGTTCCACGTCTCGGCAAAGTAGGTGACCGAGTGTGGATCCAACACATCGCACTGTTCTGCGTAGATGAGTTCGTTGCGTGTGCTGTCGCGCAGCAGCTGCACGAGCTGCAGCGTCCGTGGTGAGGCGAGCGAGGGGGTCAGTGCAATGATTTGCGCTCCCCGCGCCGCGAGCTGCGTTTGTACAACGAGGCCCAGTGGCGTAAACCCTCCCTGCACAGGGGGAATATTCTCGGAAATCAGCTCCTCTTTCATCGAAGGGGGGCTGCACTGATGCTTGCAGACACTGCACTCACGACAATCAGGACGACACGCCCATGCAGGTCGCGCTCGCCAGGGCCGCCACGCTCCGGCTCGAGGTTGGCGAGCCAGTCAATACCACCTGCCCAGCCTTTGACCGTCGCCAGGGCCGCCAGCGCGGCCGCCGCCGGTGCGATTCTGTCCGACGGCAGCCATTTGGACACGGCGCTCGCGACAAGGTGAACCGGCATGCCGCTCTATGCTCTGGGGCTATTCGAGGCAGCTGAAAAGGGGGCGAGTGAGGAGCGACCTGGGACCACGCACTGCACTCGGACGAACATGTGCAAATGTCTTCAGCAGTACGTACCTGAAGCCCTGAAGCCTGGGCGCCTACAAGCAGCGCTGGACGCTCGATTCAAACTCACAAATCGCCAGGTTCATCAACCGACCTTGAGGGACTAGCGGCTGGCTGCATTCGACCCTAGTACCGAAATGCCTACACATACCGGAGCTGGAGCGCTCTCAAACCCCGATTCGGTGCAAATTGTCACTCGAAGTGTGCGTCATGTTAGCAAAAGTCAACAACACTTTTTGCTGCCGCATGCCTTCAACTCCCTCTGATCGCTTAATGAGCCTCCCTCGCTACCGTTCACCACCTAAGATTCCAACTCAATCGGGACCTGGAAACCGATCAGACCGGTTGGACATAGAGCCAGTGAGCCGTAAGACAGAAGTGAACATCATGGCGCAAGGTTTCAAACCAGCGAAAAAGCCCGCAGGGCTGCCAAGCTCGTCCAAAGTCACGGGCAAAGCAAGGGCATCCTCTTCCGCACAGGGACCGAAGCGAGGTAGTGAGTACGCGCAATGTCCCTGATGAAGTTGGTGCATCTTCGAATCATACGTGCTGAACAAGGCTGTTGCTCTATAATTGCCACTTCGATTGCCATCGCAGAAAGAGTTATCGCAGCCAAAAAGACAGCCGCCGTAAAAGATGCACAGGCGAAACGGGTATGTAATCTTAGCACCCTCTTCTCTCACTCTCGCTTTGCCAGCCTTTCGTAAGGGGTGTGACTAATACCTTCTACATCTTCCCTTCTTCTGCTTCATTTTTTGCAGAAACAAACTGCCTCGCTCACTTCACGCGTCGAGCAAGAAATGGCAGGGAGAGCGGCGAGTGGCGGACCACTGACGATAATGAAGAAAGCAGCAGACGGCGCTGCGTCCGAGGCGGCCAAGAAGCGAGAAAAGGAGGCCAAGAAAAAGTAATCTCGGAGAATTTCAGCCGATGATCTATATACCACAGATACTCTGTCCCACAGTACATCATGTGCACAGTCTCGCACGTGAACTGCGCATGCCACCTCCGATTCAGGGACCTGTGCGCGTCATCCGCGTTTGCTTGGCGGCGGCGGTAGGAGTGACCCATTACTGCCTAGACCAAAGCCTGTCCCAGAAACCTTGGCAATCTTCCTTCCTCCACCTCCCGGCAACTTGATGCTGAACGTCTCGCCCTCTTTCAGCGAGTAGTCCTTGTTGGGACCTGTAGGAATGTGCGGAGATAGCGTGTTGGCCTCGGCCTCGGCTGCAGCATTTGGGTTTTCAGCTGCGGCCTTGGCGGCCTTTGTTCGCCTACCGAGGGTGGCACAATGCGGATCAGTAGCGAGAAAAGAAGTCAGCTCATCTGCAAATTACGACTATTTCAAACCACCTGGGACGCACTTGGTCCAATCTTGTAATGCGACGTTAAAGTCGAAACTCTCGCTGCGGTCTTGAAATCCCATACCAATATATGCGCGGCGCTTATTGCCAGATGGGTCTGGCGACTCGATGCGCAGGACAAAGTAACGCGAAGAGTCGAGCACCGGCTCCACGGATGTCCCCGACAGATCGTAAGGGCAAAGTGCAAAGAGCTCTCCTGTTGAGAGTTGGGGTCAGAACCGGAGAGCAGGTTGTCGTTCTCGTTCTTGTGCTATTTCCGAATTCTTCAGGAATGCATAGAGACTAGCGTGACAGGTGTGCCTTTGGGACACTTACCCGTAGACCCATCCTCTAGCCTGATCTGGCAGTTACCTCCTTTTTCAATAATTCGTAATCGTCCTTTCCACAGGAAAGCCTGCAGGCGGCAGATTGGAGTCATGCATCAGCATTTTTTCATACCGTTTATCCACAAGGACTCAGCTGGGCCCAGGCCGGTAGGGCGCTGCGCAGCAGGTCCGAGTTTTGGGTATAGTTGAACGAGTAGACACACACCCCCATGTCCCCCCATTCGCCAGCCTTGTATCCCGCCGCACTGGCTCGCGGAGGGACTTTGTAAACAAAGCACTCCCTTGCTAGGAACAGGACGGACTCGTATGCGTGACTGTCGTCCATTTTGTCTATCGGGCGTGTATGCCGAATGGCCTTCACTATTGGAGCGCGACCTTTGCGAGCCAACGCCGAGTGTGCGGCGATCTGCGGCAACGGCGCTCGTGGCACTTGACTGTCGAACTATCCCTGCACTGAGCAAAGTCCAAAGAGCAGCAAGGGTTGAAAGTAATAGAAAGGGTGAACGATGACCGGCGAACGGCTCCGAAGGCGGACCACGGATCACGATCAAGCTTGTGCCAAATGGACCAAGCGATTGGTCAGGAGTTGATGGAGATGGTGCGCACCACTATGCGGCGAGTGCACTGTTCAGGCACATTCTAATACGTAGTTCCTACCATGCCACACAAGCTTCGGGTCGTCATGGTGCTCTGGCCAGTCCACCAGTGGCCAGAGCACAGGCCATTTCAATCAAAATGCAAACTGCAAGATATGCAGATATGCTTGTATATTTACAAATTGAGTCTCCCGCCTCAAGATCTTCGACAGCCTGAACTAATGGCGAGCCGATCATGCGAGCCGTCTTGCTCGCAATCTCATCTGCATGCGTTCTCTCGCGAAACGGCGCGTTCACTGTTACGGCTTGACTGGAAAGCACATCGAAGCCTCGGGTATAATAAGAAAGATGCACAGTTTCGGCGCGGACGTAGAGAGGCGCTCAGGGACATCGCCCTGTTGTGTTCACTTTCTCTCGTGATTTTTCCAGGTGATGGGAGTCTTCGAACTGAAGAGTTCATCCGTGCCTTTATCGGAGAACAGTTGCATTTGTACGGTTCGTATCAACAACAGACAACAAGTAATTGCGAGGGATTTGCACAACGCGGCTCAGGCTCGGTGATAGCCAGAATCGCAGCAATGAATCCCAATCATGGATGACATATGAGCTTTCTATCAAATACGCAAGGTGCTGCATGATTGGACCATGAATGCAGAGGTACAGAGTGTCTACACGCGCCGCTCCCCAACCACACAGCCCGCTTGTACTCCTTTAAGTGCGGTGTTGACGTCCTTCTCTGCATGTGAGAAGATGTTCAAATTCGAGTGAAATTGTCAATGCTGCACGCGACCGATCATGCTATATGGTACGGCTCAATCGCTCACCAACTCCCCACAGCCGATTCTTGACACTGAACAATTCCTCGTGTAGACCGTTATATACCTTGAGCAGCTCGCCTTTGCTCTTGCTTGCGTCCTCCTTGGTCGATGTGCTTCTCGAAAGGGCTTGCAGATCTGCCTCGAGCTTTTTCACCCTGGCTAGCTGCGACGATATCTGTAACAGCAAGTCAGTGCAAACGAGCAGGCATTAAGTTTCAGTCGAAGAACCAGCCCTCAATAGATCGCAGCCACGCACCTTTTGTGTACTGCTCTGCAGCTCCTCCACCGTTGTCAGCATCAGATTAGACGCCGCATGGTACTCTTGCAAGAGATAGTAGTATCCGTAAGTGCCAGCAGCACCAAATCCAAGCGCAAAGCCAGCTAGGCCGCCTCGGAATCCGCCCTGCAGGTCACAAAGGATGTTTGAGTGGACGTTTCGTACCACTGCCAACGAGGTCTATTGGTACGTCCCATAGCAACTCACTACTGGTCGTCGAACTGCAGGCGTGCCGATCACAGCAGCAGTCGCTGTTGTCGCGGGTGCGCTCGCGTAGCTGCGTGCCAGTACCGCTCGTGTTCTTGCTGACGCCTGTCGCGTCACCGCTCGACCGGTGGCGGCCATCTTGTTCCTTACGGACTTTACGTTGCAGACTGGCGAGCTCTCCTTGTGATGTCGCTCTCCGCGTTGTGCACTGCTCCGGAATGTACGTACGGCCAGAGTAATTGTGCGCAATCAGTTGAGGTCGCAAAATGGTGAACCACCGTCACCAGCATGTTGCCCGTCTTGTTTGAATGTCGAGAGATGAGATTGAGCCTGGTCTCGTAATGGAGAATCACGTTCCGCCGCGCCTCGCGAGGGAGAGCTTCAGGTTCAATAATATGTCACCGACTTCCAAGACGCCTATATGCCTCAGTCATTTACTGCGATGCTACGTCTTCGACCGCAGAATGGCATAGAATCCGTATCAGAGCCGGCGTGATTCCAACCGTGTGTCCGCTGAGCACGCCTAGCCCGCTGAACGGCACGATGAAAGCAGCTGATCGAACTGTCTAGCATGCCCCTCTGCGTGCACTGCGGCACGATCGCTACTTCACTGCATGCGACGTACGGTCCTTCGAATATCGTCTGCACGGCGTGCTCCGAGTGTCAGCGCTCTGCAGACCCTTACCTCGAGCACGACTTTATTCTTGTAATTCTTGATCTGGTAAGAGTTTTTGTGTTTCTGTTCGAAACAGTGACATTGCATTGAGATTTTGATTCGCTGGTCTAAGATACTCGTCAAGCCCCGCGCGTATCGGCACCTGCTCTTCAATGGCAAAGCGCAAGATGATGCCCAAAACTCGTCGCATCCTCTTCGTCGTCATGGAATATCTCACTGGTCCGCCCTTGCAAGGCGGCTCGCAGCCGTGCTACTGATAGACGCTTGTGCGTATGTCAAACATGTAAAGACTGGAGAGAAGTAGACCGCTGACCTCCTACCTACGCTCACTCGACAGATATACGGTGGTTTGCACTGTGCGCACAACCTGCGGCCGAAGGTACAGGTGCTCTGTCATCTCAGCGTGGCACAACACCGCTGCTTGCCGTCGCTCGGACCTTTCTTCCACACAGCCCATGGCTTTCCCTATCCGATTCGGTATCCCTCTCGGACGTACGACCCATCGTGGGCTCGTACTTGCTCGTTTTGTGTGCCACTGCAATAGATGTGTTGACTCTCCACAGCGTCACCTTCATGCTTGTCATTCTATACCGCGGTGCTACAAGCTGCCTCAAGCGCCTAAGGTTTCGATACGCATCTCCAAGTCGCCTGCTTTCGATGCCCAGCACACCGCCCATCGAAGGACCCCCGCAAACGCCCATCACGCCTACGAGCACGTCTTTTGCCTCTAGAATGGATAATTTTATCGTTGGAGACGGAGCAGATGCACTCTTCGAGTGAGGACCATGTCCAAGAGCCGCCGATTTTTCTCGCTCCCCACGTGGTTCTTACATCTTGGTCTCTCTCTCACTTGCCAGATCGCATCTTGTTCCCTCTGCGCTCCTCCTCTCCAGCTTGACGCCACTCTTCCTCCTGCTACTCAACCTCTTGTGGGAGTCGAAAATGCCACGTGCCGACAAGGCTGCCGCAACAGCCGAAAATGCTTTGAGCGCCACACGGCACACAATCCCACACCTATCTGCGCCGACCTGGCGCGACTTTTCGTTCAGTGCGAATGGTTCATTCGCCTCTCACATGGCCGTGATACTAGAGCTGGGGGTGCATTTGTATCAGTCTATGGTAGTAGAGATTGAGCAGACGCTGCAGTTTTTCACGATGGAATGGGCCATTCGGAACCTGATCGGCGGTGTCAGCTCTGGCGTTGCGTTAGCTGGTGAGATCCTGCCCCTTGTTCAAACACATGCGGCCTCACAACCTGACATAGTGATCTTATTACCACTGTCAGTGCTCATGCCCACGCAACCTCTTGCGACAGTGCTGTTTCTTAGCGCAGGTTGGTATGCGCAAATGCTCGTGCGGTTTCACTTGCAGTTCCCGCTAGCTGGAGCGGCGAGCGACAATCGGCACGCGTGGTGCCCCGTATGACAATCAAAGTACGGCAATCGTAATGCAAACTGAAAGGTAGATGCATGACCTCAAGCAACGTACGAATACAAGTCTTTCTGGCCTTCGGCCCTCTCTAGATATTCCTTGTCAATCAGATTGTCAATCTCCTACAATTTGTAAGAAGGGAGAAAGGTCAGAATGGGAAGAGCTTGCTCAGATCCGCTGCCACGCACCTTTTTGATGACCGGGATCTTGGGCTGGAAACGCGAAGAGACTTGCTGAACGACTTCTTGCATGAGGTTTGCGTGTTTGAGCTGCTTTCGGGCCTTCATGATGCGCACGATGGTGGCTTGAATCACCAGTTTGCGGTCCTCGTCAACCGTCTTGAGAACCTCGGTTGACTCGGCCTTTTGCTCAGCTTTGATGGGTACGTTGAGGTTGATGCGCAGCTTCTTGTTCCTGAAGTCCTTGTTGACCTTGTATGCACCCCCTTCTTCTAGTAGAACCTTCGACTTGGTGAGAATGACCAGGTTGGATTTGATGATCGAGTCATCCAGCTGCGTAGCTGCAGCCAGTTCCTGGAATGTGAGCCTCTCTGCCGCATTGAACTCGGTTAGAATAGACATCTGATACGCGCTGGTCATGAAGGTGTACTTTTGCGAGAGGTGGTTCGTTTTGATCTCGCTCTTGCATAGATGCCAAAGGTAAACCAATTTCCTGCCCTGGAACTTTTTGCTGCAGTAGAACCGTTTGAACTCCTCTTGATACCAATGCAACTCAGTGGGCAGGGCAATCTTAGTCGTCGGCGGCTGCATTGGCCAAGAGCCGCTGGTGAGTACCATGACGGAAAAGTCGATCGGATTGGCAGGAGCGTCCTCTTGTCGATGGCCGAGTAGATCCTTGAACTCTTCGTTGAGCTCCTTGCTGATGTTCACATCTTGGAACATGCGCTGCAGCCCGCTCGTGTATTCATAGCCACACGCGTCCTTCAGCTTCGTGATCATGTTCAGCTCTGCATCGTCTGATGCCGATTGCTGGTGGACCAATCGGCGTGCCAGATTCTTTGTGTAGAATTTCTGGAATACGTCGCGATCGGAAAGGTATTTGAACAGGGTCATCTGCAGAAAAGGAAGAAGTTCAATCAAGTCCGCCCAGCAAGTCTAGAACAGCAATACGTACCAGCTGATCGAGCTCGATTTCCAGCTCGCCCTCCTCAAATGTCTTCTGCCCCTTTTTGAGCAGATTGTCGGCATGCTTGGCGAGCAATTCAGGTGACTTGGTCGACGACGTGCCAGTGGCCTTGTTCTTGTTGACGAAGTTCTGGCAAGCTCTGTCGAGCACAGCCTTGAATTTGGCTTCATCCGCAAAGCACTCTTTGACAAGACCTAAGTTGTTAGAATGAACACCGAGAAGAGCATTGAAGTAGGCCGTCGGATCAACATCTTTGCCGTCTGCAGCAATCTTTTCTACCGCCTGGTGGCCCACCCGCTGAACATGCGCCTCGAAAGTATCTCGCAAGGGCTGCAGCAATGCGGGCACCCTGCTGAGCAATGTGTACATCCGCATCAAATGTTCCCTCTGCTCATTGTCGAGCAATGTCTGGAAAGTTTCATGAAGTAATGCCTTGTGCGCTTCGATCAGTACGGTATCGCAGCGCTTCAGGAGCTTATCGCCAGTAGAAGGGTGGAGGTAGACTTCCACACGTTGCACTTCCTCCTTGAGCCGTGCCTCGACCTTCTTCATGTAGTCAGTCACGCTGTTCTCCGCTAGGAAGGCCGCCGACTCGTTTGTGTAGTAGGTCGAAGCCGCCTGCAGGAATGGCCGCTCGAGGTGTTCGTCGTACACAGACAGGTCCACGGCGCGAGAATCACTCTCGCGCAAGCCGAGCAGGACGAAGCTATCTGCGACCTTCTTTAGCAGTGAGGTGTCGACGATCTCTCCATTTCTCTGTTTTTCGGCCTGCTTCAGAACTGCATTGCACAGTGATCCTTTGCTCTGCACTGGCTTGAACATAAACTCCTTCCATTGCACCAGAGCCAGCTTGAGTTGCCAAAATGCAAGCCGTCAGCGATCGCACCAAAGAGTGTGTGTCTCATGTACGCACAGTGTAAACAGTGTGGACGTCCCTCTTGCCATCGTCCTTTTCCCGTCTGACCCAATACCGATTGAGGTACATGAACAGGTGATGCACATACTGGGCGCCCAAGGTGTACCGGTCCCACTCGGTCGCATAATACCTGAGTAGCGTATCGTCGCTAAGGCTTTCTGCCCCTTTGTGAATCTCCTTTGCCCGTCGCTCAAAGTAGCCGATGACTCCCACGTATAGGTCCCCGCCTACCATGTTTGTACCTCCCATATCTATAAAGGCAAGTGTCAGTGGGTTTGGACTTGGACTACTTGGCTCTTCAGCCCGCACTCACTCGCTCGGCCCATCCTAGAAGCGCTGCTTGGGGCAGTGCAGTAATTGTAGACGCAAGTGTAAAGAAGCATCCAGCGCTGACTTGACATGCCCTCTACAAGGTTTAGCATCTGTGTAACACAGCGAGAAACGTCAGCGGGGCGTAGGCACTGCGCGCAAAACTGTATTTGCCGCACTATAGTATTAATGCCTTCTTCCAGGAAGGCCCAAGTGGCAGCAAAACTGCGCACGATCGGAGCATGGGGTCAGCAATGTGAGAAACCGCCTAGTATGCGCCTTTTCCCCTCTGCTCACTCATTTGAAGGAGGCATCTGGATTGCCCCAGGTCGGGCGGCAGCTATCGAAGCCATCTTAGCCTGGACGCTTTGGGGAGCGTATTGCTGCCGGCTTCCAGAAGATGCTTGGCTCAACCCAGACAGCAGCTATATTCGCTGCTCTCCCCCCGAAGTAACAATCTCTTCAATCCAGAAACTGTATTTTTCGCCGCTATCCACTTGAAAGAGCTAGACACCACAGATAGATGTGGCGCGGACTGGGAGGAACCAGAATGCTGGCAGCTTTGGGCGAACAACTGCTCCAAAGCGTCTGAAGCGCAAAAAGAGGACGTATCGAGGTATCAGGCGCACCCTTGGTGCAACTTCCCTTGTAAGCGAGGGCTCGGCTTTCTGGAACTGGGAACGATAATTGTGTGATTGTCAAGGGAGTACTGTACGAACGTGGTGTGCGAACGCAACCATCATAGATCAGCTTGTTTCTCATTGGGCGTCATCCGCGCTCGTCATTTCCACCTTCTCCCTCCGCTCCACACACCCGCGTCGCGTGGGCGAGCATCAGCAGCCATCGCTTCCCACCAGCGCAGGCTTAGCCTGCCTGGCACATTGGCAAAAAGCCTGATTGACTCACGAGCTCACCCAACTGCTTTTGACATTTGAAAATACTGAGCTGACGTTCGTGGGAGAAGCGTCTCTCTTTTCACTTCCATGCGACACCATGTCAGACCCGACGACAGAAGAAGAGTTGCTCGAGGCACTGCACCAACGCATGGTTATCACGGGGACATGGGACCGGTGAGTTCAGGCGATGCGGTGTTTAATCGGGGTCTAGCTCATATCCATCCCCGACAGGCTGCTGCATAGAATGCGATCGCTGCTGAAAGGGACTACTTACGAAGAAGAGCTCTCCGCGTATGCACTAGGTGGGTATTGGATTGGCGAGAGGAGGGCGTCGTTCAGAAGTTCTGACCGGCATCTATCGTTCTCAGAGCGAGCCAAGTGTCAAGAGCAACCAGATGTCACGGCGCTAATACAAGTGCTGACTCCCAGGGCAAGAAGTACATCTGATCTATGATTTATGGCGCGTAGCTATTACTGACCCTACCCGTCCTCAATGTCTGCAGAAGCCATTCCACCAGCTGTCAAGGAAGCGATCATGGCTCAGATCATGACATTTCTGCACGAGAACCTCGAGGTGGACGCATGAACAATGTTTACTCGGTCTTGTGCCGACCCTTCAGAGCAGCTTGTTGTTGTCTCGCAGGGACGTGAAGCAGGCCACCGGTGATCTCAACAAGTTCGACACTTCCACCGGCTTCGATTCTCCATCTGAAGCAGCCTTTTCTACCGGAGCATCCCTGCTTCTTCACTGGCGGGCTAACTGTTCCCGCCCTGCATATGTTGCGCTGGGTAATCAGAATATCGCAGACGTGGACTCGATTCTCGACACATGATACGGTTCGAACGCCAAGTGGCCCTCTTCTCCCAACGGAGCTTGCCAGACGATCTGCAATCGCGGTAATCAGACACTTGTATTTTACATTCACGTTTATCATATACGTTCACCCTTCGTGCTCTTACTCCATGTGTCTTCAGAAGACTGACCAAGTCGACCCGCTGCCAAAGCCTTGACTCCTTTGACGTCAGACTGTTCGAGGATGATTTCAAGCGACGAGGACGAACTGGCGAACGACTAACAAAATGCGAGATTGCGGGACTCCCTCGATCAACCCCCTGCTTCCACTATATGTTGATGGTCGAGTGGCGACGTGACGCGAACCATGACAAACGGAACGCAATCGACATTGAACAACAAGATACGAGGTTATGCGCGCCAATCGTCACCTCTCTCATGTGCACCAATACAATTTTAGGAACTTGCCGGTAAGGCATGAATCTCCCGCTTGCTCCACGGACGGCATGAGATGACAGTCTGAGCGCGCCTATCGAACATGCGGCCCACGCGCTGCTGCCTTGGCATCAAAGGCCTGCTGCCACTGATTCGGGCACAATGTCCAGAAGCGATCACCTATCCTGCCCGCTACAATGGACTTCGCGGTATGCGTCTCGCCGTAGATGCTACTCTGCTAGTGCAGCGCCTGCACTTTGCGCCGGACCCTCACGAGAAGCGGCATCTGATCGGCATGTACCGCCTCGTGCAGACGCTCAAAGCGCATGATATTAAACCAATCATGGTGTTTGATCATTTGCAGGCGCGCATCCCTCAAAAGGAGCGAGAGCGGTCCAGGCGAAAAATGGCGAGGTCGCTGCTTCGAACGCGCGCCGCCATGGAAAGCAGGCGCAGTGCTCGACTAAAAGAGCTGAGCATAATCCTCAATCGCATAAAGTTGATGGAGGCGGTAGACCGAGAGCGTGTGAGCCAACTCTTTACCAATCGAGCGGCAACTGCGCCCATCGATCTCGAAGACCTGGAAGGCGCCATGCAGGACGAAATAGATGAAGAAGATTCGGACCAGATCGGCTTTATTGACGATTTAGATGATGGTGTCTACTTGGCCCGCCTGAAGGAGAGCGAGGAGTTATTAGAACGGCTGGCAAACATTGCTTTCACTGCATCACATCGCCTCGCGGCGAATCCTTGGACTGATATTCTGGAAGCTGAAGCCTCACCTACCGAGTCAATTGCCACCCGTTTGGCAGTCCTCAAACACGCCTTTGACGCAGAGAAGCTTCGCTCAGCATTTCAGTCACGCGACCTGCAGGCGGGTACGAGTCCACATGCAAGCGAAACGAGCACGCAAGCGGCATTAACCGCGATAGAAGGTGGCATCTACGAAGCGCTGCAACATCCTGGCTCTGAAGATGCTGCAAGTGAGGCGATCGCACCGAGCTTGCAAATGTCTGAGTCGATCATTGCAAGCGCTCTGCATCAATCTCATGTCGAAGCGCTGGACCAAGCTGCGCAACGCAATGACAGCCTTGTACGGCACTACCAGCGAGCCTCGACGACTCTCTCAGCAGAGATCTTCGACTCAACAGCTCACCTTTGCACCTTACTCGATGTTCCGGTGCTATGGACGAGTAGCGGGGAGCGCAGCGGCCCGCTAGCCGGCAGAGCGCATGAAGCAGAAGCGGTTGCCAGCACCCTCGTGCAGCAAGGCTGGGCAGATGCAGTCGCTAGCGAGGACAGCGACGTGATTATCTATGAAGTGCCGCTGTTACGCGGGCTGATGGGCGTCAAGAATCGCTTGGAGCTTGTAGACGGCAGGCAAGTACGTCGCTCGCTGTTTCCGCCCAAGCATGCAGCACCAATGGTCGATCAGGGCAGCTCCCAGGAAGATTTATCGGCCCACTTAGCTCTCTCGCCCGAGGAAGAAGAGTCTCGTACCAGAATGCTGGAATTTGCACTGCTGGCCGGTACCGACTACAACCGCACGCTTCCGGGTATCGCCGCCCGTACAGCAGTCAAGCTGGTGAACGAGCATGGAAGCATTGTCAACATCCTGCGACACTTTCCGACGAAGTACCGCCCACCAGACGGTCTGACGTGGCAAGCGTACAAGAGCGAGCTGAATGCCGCGCGCGAAGTGTTCCGCAAGCTTCCTAGCGTGCGCAGGTATCTTCCGCTACTGCGAGATTACGCGAGGCGAGGCGTGGAGCAATCAGCAGAAGGCGAGCCTGGACGGCAGCGAGAAGGGGCAAGTCCAGCCGAAGCTGGAGCTGGTGGCCGTCGCCGAAGGCGACCAAGCGCCAGCGAGGGCGTCAAGCAGGAGCTGACGATTGAAGAGTTCATGAAGCGCGCGGGCGTCTTGAGGAGCGACTGGTTTTCGAGGCAGCATTCCCTTGGAGATGGGCACGGCGCCGGTATAGTCGCCCTTGACTCGAGCGCTTCGTCTACACTTGACGCACCCGGTTCTTCCTTTGGAGCCGACTTTTTTGGTGAACGCGAGCAGCTTGCAGCCCCTTCATCAAAGTTGACATGATCTGTCCACATTTGGTCGTATCGAAATGCCGCATATGCTGTATTGGAATTCGGATTGGCATTTCAGAGCATGCAAGGTCTTGGCGAGCTCTGCATGTCCATATCGCTTGGGATATGAAGTATGAAGTGATGTCATGATCGGATGTTCCTTTCTTTTTACTATGGAGAAAAGAAAAGATAAAGAAATAATTTATTCATTCGGTGCAATGTGGCCCTCGCTGGCGGAAGTCGAAGAACGGAGCTCACAACGAAATTTTTTTGGCTGCCGTGGTTTACCATCGCTTTATGTATGTATGTGTGCGAAGATAGACTGCTCAAGGAGCTCGGTCCTCATCGATGGGATGCCTTGTTGATTGGACGTCGTTCTACTTCGCGAACAAGTGGCGAAGTGGACCTTGCTTGTAAGGAGCGGTAAGCTTGCATCTTTTCTATTTTGCAGGCGGGTGGCAAACATACCGCCAGGGAGATCAGGGCGGGCACTATCGCCATGGCTACCGCCCTCTCTTCGCAGCTGTCCTCACTGCGGTCGCTCAATGCGCAGCGCCTCACCACCTCCGCGGCGGTGCGCCATGCACATGCACCAACCTCGTACCTCTTCAGCAGCCGGGATGCCTCACGCCAAGACCTGCGCACGGTACATGCCATTGCGGTCAATGGCTGGGATGAGCTGTGCCGCTCTCACCCTCATGTAGCCGGCAGCTGGGCCGGCGGAGCAGAAGGCAGTGCTCAGGGGAGCAAAGACGCAGAAAGCGCGTCGGCTGTGGAGCTTCTCTTTGGACAAAGTAGCATTACTAGAGACCGGACCGTGCTGGGGAAGGAGGAGAATGCGCAGATCGACGCTGCGCTCGCTGCTTGGTTTCATCAGTTCGGTGCGCTTCTGCTTGAAAAGAGTGCCAGCAAGTGTATCGAATGGCTTGTAAGGCGCTTCAGGTGGGTTTCACAATATTTCGCGACGGTTTCTTCTGCTCGGACGGCGCTGACCTCTAGCACATACTACCCACAGGGTACACGACTTCAACACCCATCTCTTCATATCGGCTTTTCTCCCGTACCACGCGACACCGCAATTTGCCCGAGTAGTCCAGATCGCAGACTTGAGCAAGGCTCCGCTCCTCGCCTCTTTTCTTGCCCCATACCAACAACATCTCAAGAAAGCCTCTGCAGATGGTGACCGAGAGGCTGACGATTTGGTTGGGCCAGGGTTACCCATCAGCACACTCCTCACCGCGCTTACACGGGATATACGCTCCACTAACGCTCTTGCGCTTTTGCGATGGGTCGCATCGCTCATTTCTTCGTCAACCTCGTCAGCAGGCGCTTCATCATCGACATCGATATCTGCATCTAAACAGCCACCGCATCGTGCGCTGCTGGCATTTTGGACGAGCGTGCTCGTGCATCTTTGCGTTCTTACGACCAATCAGCAGTCGCAGTGCGGCTCAACGTCCTCTGGATTCAGCACGAATCAAGCTCAGGGAAAGGCGAAAAAATCGACAAACAACAACGCAGTCGGTCGTGCCGACGAGCACCAGGCAATTCTAGCCGTGATCTTACCGGCGGCGACGGGGCTTGCTGCGCGCAGCGCGCGCTCACTCGCTACGATTAATGGTTCCACCGATCTGAACTCGCACATCGGCAAGGCAAAGAAGAGCCGAAAGTCGCATGCTCTCACCAAGGCTACTCAAACCGAGTCCGTCCATGTTCACGCATGGAGTGAGGCGCACAAGGCCGCTTGCATGCTGCTCTGCGCCGTCGCAAGCTGCTTCGAGCTCAGTACACAGGCCGTCAGTGCCTGCTTGCGAGAAATTCTGCCCCCATCAAAGCCCAATGCGGAAGCCCGTCTAGTCGCGTCGGAGCCGGAGACGCGGGCAACCCTGGCAGCTTGCTATGCTCTCAGCTCCCGTGTTCCGCTGCCAGGTGGTGCAGGACAAGAAGAATCAGACGGAGAACTTTCAGCGTGCCTTCTCAGCAAAGCGCATCTTCGTGCATTGCTCGCACTTCCTCGAGTTCAAGCAATATTGGATCAGGATCTGCAGAGCGCAGCTTTTCAGGTAGACCAGTTCCTTGCGCATCTCACCCACGCACTTCTTGCGTGCCTCCACGAAGGTGGCACTGAAGGTGAAGATCTGCAAGCACAAGCGGACATTCTCAAAAGCGTTGCACTGGCAGAGCAAACGCCGCAGGAATTGCGGGTTACCATCGGAAAGGCGCTCATCGCCCTGCCTTTGCAGTCGTCAAGTGCTGCTGGGCAAGGCAAGAGTACAGGGACTCATTGTCAATCGGCGCACGCAGTAAGAGTACGCATCCTCGCGGAGATGCGACAGCGCTCACCCGAGTTCTTCGAGCGAGCTCTTCAAGGCTTTCTTCAGAGTCACGCGCTTGCGGACCCTGAGACTGGAAAGGGCACGCATAAACTGAAACACAAGGCCAGCAAAGCAATAGTTACATCAAAGACGGACAGCGTTGCACAGCAGCATGTCGCAGTCCTACTACAACAACTTATTATGGAGAACACGTTGTCGCATCTTCCAGCACACGCCTCATGTGCAGATGATGGAGACCAATCGCTCTGGCTTGCAGTCCACTCGTCCAACGCGGCGGAACGCGACGTCGCGCTCCGGTCAATCCTTTCGAAAATTGACACCAGCCTCATTGCACCAGGGTTGGGAGAGGTGGGAATAATAGATGACCGAACGGAAGCACGAGAAGTGCTCAAAGGACTTGTGCTTGCGCGTCTGAGCGATGACAGCGTCGATGTGCTTCGCACGCTTTTTTCTGCGGAAATGAGCAGTGAGAACGTGCTGCTGAAGCTTGCCAAGCCGGAAGAAGTGCTGGAAGCCATCCTCGCAAATTTTGACCTCTTTCACACGCCTTCGTCCGTCCTCAATTTGACCAGCGAGAATGCAGCACAACGCTTTAGCACACACCTTTCGTTCATGGTCTCTCACGTCCTACCCAGCTGTGCCCGCTCGGGAGGCACACATGCTGAGGAGGCAGCGCGTAAGATCTTTGAGCGTGCAGTATTCCCACTCTTTGCCTACACTACCAATACTGCATCACTCGCACAGCGAGCGTGGTGCGCACTTGCGTCAACACCCGCCACCTCTAATGGAGGCACAAAAGCTGACAACTGGGCAACTGCTCTGCTCGTGCAGCTGCGCACGCTCTGCGGTGCGCTGGTGGCGCTCGAACGCCAAGAGGATTTGGTAAAGGCGAACGATCAGATCGCTGCGTGTATCGCGCGCGGCGCTGTAGATGCCACACCATTCTTTGTGGGCTGGGCTCGACGTATGCTGACGTCGGAGATCGCTTTATCAGCATCGTCACCGACGCAATTGGCAACTGCACCTCCAGCTGCATTGGCATGCCTCGTCCTCATCCACATTGCTCAACAGCGTCTACCGCAAAATGACGCACAACTCATCGAGCGCGAGGAAATTTTGCGCCTTGCGAGTGCAATGTTCGACTCTGCACCTGTGAGCCTTTCCGTTGAAGATGGGAAAGACGGCAGCTTCAAGGACGCTGCGCTGGCCAGTCTCGCCAACCATAGAGGCGTGGCGCCTAAAACTGTGGCGCTGCTCGCGCTTGCGCTCGTCGCTGCGCAAACGACCTCGCTAGCCGGCGACGAAGCGAGGCTTTCGCAGCAATTCTACATTGGAGACGAGAGTGTCGCCGCACGCTTCGCTGACACGTGCTATCGCAGCATCGTCACCTTTGGCAACGGCACCCACGGCGGTCTAGCCTCCATACACGCATGGCAGCTACTCGGTTCTTGGCTCGCAGGGCTCAAGCAGGCCGCGTTGCCCTGCCTTGCGCAGGTGTGGACGGACAAGGGAGTAGCGACAGCGACTAGACTTCAGGCTTTGGTTCACGCCCGCGCACTCGTGCAGGCTTTTATGCCCTCCACGACTTATGCTGGGCAGGCTCCAGCTGTTGATTTTCAAACCCTGATTCCTGCAGTGCTGCATTCGCTCGCCGACCCTGAAGAGCACATTCGACGCGCCGCCACTGCTTGCCTTCGCAGCATCCAAAATGTGCATTCCAATCATGGACGATCCCAAGACCGTGCCGTCTTTGCTTTCGATGTGATCTATGGTGCTGCCTCTTCGCAGCAACTGCAGTATTTGCACGCAAACGATGTTGCTACTTTCCTGGGCGCTGTGCTTGACACCGATGCCGGCGCTGGCACAGGGGCAGAGGCCTTCGTGCGCGATTCGCAGCACCTACACTCATTCTGCACTGTGCGTTTGACGGCTACAAAAGCGGATGGGAGGAAAGAGGCAGCATTCAAGAATGCTGTACTCTGCTGGCTCCTCTCGCACACAGTTTGCTGGCCCAACAATGCGGCAAAGGTGGCACTGCTTTCCATTTTAGAAAGTGTACGCTCGGCCCACAAACTCCAGATCCTACTCAACGGTCTTAAATCGCTTGTCGCTCAAGTCGAAGAGGTGCAAGTGATTCAAGGGAATGACCGCGAATGCCTTCGTCTGCTCTTTGGAGTCTTCGATCGGAGCACGCGGGCCAGCCTGGAAGGAGGTTCGGATGCGTGGCGCTTCCTCTTGTCTTCGCTCAAAAGCCCACAGAGTATGTCTCAAAGAGCTTACCAATGCAACCAAAGGCTGATCTTCCGATATCTTCGTTGCAGACTTGGTTCGACAATACGCTTGCGTTGCATTGGCAGCGGTTTTCCAATCCGTTCCAGCCGACCTACGCCAGCAGGCGGTACGGACATTGGCTGCGCAGATCGGTCTTGTACGCGAGTCAACTTCTGCTGCCTTGTCGACCTGCCTGCGACGCCTCCCATTGGACGCCGGCATCTTCACAGCAGCGCTTGCCCACTTCCGACACGCGACACTTGGCAACAGTGCTGCAAGCGACATGCCACCCTCCAAAAAGCTACGCCGTACCGAGGATGCCGCAGTGGATAATGGCTCAGCGGCACGCGCATTGTCGATTCTGCTTGATGTTGCGCACGACCGCAAGGTGTCCCTTTCCAGCTCTCTCGTTGGTGAGCTCTTCGAGGACATGAAGGTCATTGTTGACCAGCGCAACAGCGGCCTCTTCAACTCCGAGCTTGTTCTCCAGCACGCTCTCGGCACACTAAATGCCGGTCTCGGGCCTGATATTAACAAAGATCCAACCATTATGCAGAGCTTCCGCGTAGATGCCCTCGCCACCATCATCAAGCTACCTCTCAGCAGCTCGCTCTTGCACGCCGTACTCCGATTGATGGCCAAAGTCGCACACTATGCGCCTGAGCAGGTTGTGCACAACGTGATGCCGATTTTTACGTTTGTCGGCTCTTCCGTCTTGTCGCGTGACGATCAAGCAAGTTTCGCCATCGTCGAGTCGACAATCCGCGACATTGTGCCTGCACTGACAGCGAATGTGCGAAGCGAGCTCAAGGGCGCCGACGAATTTGCACTCTTCCTCCGCTGCCGCGACTTTTTACGCATTTTCACCGGCGCTGCCAACCATATGCCTCGCCACCGACGTACATCGGTGTTCAAGCTGCTCATCGACGTGTTAGGACCTGCAGACTTCCTTGGCCCTACACTCATGCTACTTATCGACCGGCACACCAACAAGATCCTCAAGTCGAGCCGCAGTGATGCGCGAGATGTTGCACTTGAATTACCGCTTGCCGTCTTTGCACAGTACGGCCAGGCGATGCAAGGAAAGGCGCTGACGCAGTGCTTACAAGAGGTCGAAAGACTGGTAGCTATTGGTGAAGCAGACCCGATCACTGCGGCTTCTTCAGTGTTCCTCGACCGCCTGGCAGACACGAATTCAGAGCACGCACCGGCGCTTCAGAATGGTCCGCGACAGGGGGCAGCCATCCTGTCTTTCATTGCAAGAGCTATTGCAGCGTCTGAACCATCTCAAGAAATTCTTCAGCTTGCCTCCCAGAAGGCTCTAGCGTATGCAGATACCTCACTTACACCTGTCAATACAGTTAGTGAACGGCTTCTTGAACATTGCACGACATCCATGCCATCCGACAGTCATGTTGCATTTGTCCTTGAGCTCTTGCGGGTAAAGAAGGTGAGCATTCTGTTGGAACACACTTATTCGTATTTCTTTTCTTTAACACCTGTCGTTTCTCCTCAGACTGTGCCGCGTGGTATCAACCTTTTGCTTCGCCGTTGCGAAGTGGGAAGCTTTGCTGATCGTGCGTCTATCGGCGAGCACCTTGGCGACCTGACGCCTGTCACGATTCTGGCTGCAGGAAGCGAGTCAGTTGACTTGGCCGGGAGCGCTTCACGTCTGTTGCTCCTACTCAGCGAGGACGCCAAATCACAGGATGGAGCCTCCTGGGCACCAAGCTTGCCCTCCCTCATCGCTCTTGCGCGGACCTCCAGTGCTCATCAAGGTATTCTCCTTGGCACCTTGTCCAACCTTGTGCCGAAATTGGGCCCACGCTTGATCCCACAGCTCTCACAGATGGTGTCCGTCTGCGAGGCGGCTCTTGAAAAGCGGTGCCCCGAAGGGGTCCTGCAGTCTGCCCTCCAGCTGCTCAACCGCTTGTCCAAGACCTCGCCCACATTCATGACATCCAACCTTCAAACCGTCATAAGGCTAAACATCGACTTGACCGTCGCTTCGAGGGGATCGCCGCAACCACTAGCAAGCACTTTAACTCGGTACTACCAGCCCGAGGAAATCTTGACATGCCTCAGCGCTCTATGGGACCAAAAGGTGTCTGCTGGAACTTTGCCGTTGATTGCTATCCTTGACCTACTGCGCCGGCTACTATCGCATGTCAATCGCACTACTACAGCAAGGATTTACAAGCACGTCTTCCGGTTCATTCTCAAAGTCTTCGATCTGCGCCAGGTCAACAACTCCACCACAGAAGTCGATAAGACTGAAGCAGCCTGCAGCCGTGCCTTCATCCAGATGATCCTCAAGCTAAACGAGAACACCTTCCGGCCATTATTCTTGCGCCTTTACGACTGGGCTGCAGTTGATCTGGTGGAGGAGGGGCTTCCTCTGAAGGACGCACGGGTCAGATCGCGCTGCCTGACATTCTATTGCTTCTTTACAAAGCTCCAAGATCAGCTGAAGGTTCTCGTCGCGAGCTACTACGCAATTGCGCTAGACTTTACTCTAGAGGGACTCACAGCCCTTGCCGATGGAGTCATTGACGACAGAGCTCTGTGGGCTGCGATGATGGCCAGTCTAGCTAAAAGCGCGCAACACGATGAAGGCAACTTTTGGAATACTGCGCGTGCTGGGCGTACCGTCCCAGTCCTTGTGCAGGGTCTCAATATCGCAGGAGAATATGGCGTGGACATGGTCGCTAAAGAGACAGCAACTGCGCTGTGCGCAATCGCACAAGTCGTTCCAGAAGACGCAGTGCTCCAAACATTTAACCGCGAGCTTCTCATTAAGGCGCGCTCATCGCAGACGGAGACTGTGCTTGCTGCGCTGATTGTCCTGGAGACATTCTGGAGTACCGTGGGTGAAGACCTGCTGTCTTTGGTGCCCGAGACCGCCCCCTTCCTCAGTGAGGTACTCGGCAGGGCTGATGTTGAGATTGTCGAGCACGCTCAAGATCTCGTGCGTGCAATTGAGCGCGTGCTCGGCGAGCCTCTGGATCAATACCTTTTATGAACATGGCTATAGAACCTCTCTTCTTGAATCACACATCCAATTTCACCATGCAATGCTGTGCTAAGAAAGCAAAAGAAGGGGCCAAAAGAGTGTATGAGTGTGTGCATTGTGAGAGCCCATATGTCCGTCAAGATCCACACGATCTCAGCCGAACCCATTGGGCACTGTTGGTTGTGAATGTCTGAAGAAATGCCTAAAGTCTACTACTATGGTGGGTCCAGGAGCTATCCTCCTTCTATGGTGCCACTTCTGCTTCGATCGGAGCGCATGTCGGATGGTAATGCTGCTAAAGACCCTTGAAGATGCCCGCTGCAAAGGTATTGATTGTCCAGGATGAGCGCTTTAAGGTCGAGACTGATCGCGCAAATGCCCGCAAGAGAGAAGAACTCACAACACCAGAAAATGATCGCGCGGACAGAAATCCACTGGTTGCTCTCGAAGGAAACGCAATACCAAATCCAAGCTTTCCCGCGCTTCGTCGACGCTGATCGGGCGGCCCTCCTCTGTCGATCCCGTCTGAGCGGGTGAGGAAGTCTCCATGAAGTCCCCGGCGAGTGGGCGGGCGTTGACGAGGCGCTCTGCATTCGATGAAAGCATAGTCGCGCCGTCCAAGGTCGTGCCGCTTGTCGGTGCCGGTGCTGGCGCATGCATATGTAGCGGCACTGATGCTGTTGCTGGTACTGGGTCGTGTAGGGAAGCGGATATGCCTGACACCTGCGCAATACCCTGGTGTCTCGGGGTCATCGAATCGATCCCGCGCAGATCGAGCTGGAGCGCGCCGCTCAGAGTCTCCTCCTGGTCTCGTTGCCTGCGCGGGGCCTCCTGTCGTGCTCGGCCACTGGCGGCGCGCGGGGAGGCGACCGCACCCCTGTCCATGGAGACAGATTCGGTCACCGTCGGCGAAACAGCACGGCCCGAGAGACCTTTACGTCGCTTTGCCGGCATCGAGAAGAGCTGTGTATCGCTGATCTCTGTACTGGAGAAAGAGCGCGCGAGACCAGGTTGCTGTAGCTGTTGGTGCTCGTTGACTCTACCCTCATGTGAGCGACAGTAAATGTCACTGTGGCCATCGCCAGTAATGACATTCGTGAAGCGCTGCACGCTACGCGGCGTAGCTTGCGAAGTAGCGCTGGACGACATGGCCGAATCGCTGGGATCAGATGAGTGCGAGCGCGCATCTTGAAGAGCGAGCCCGAGACCGAGCTCGCTCAGGCTAGAGGCGGTGCTGCTAACAGAGGCATTGTGTGACGAAGAGGCACCATTCCATGCAAATGGAGACGGCGCTGTGCTTGGCCCGGTGGAGGCCATGAATGAGCCACCACGGGCATCGACTGCTGGTGTTGTGCTTGTTTCTGACGGCGTTTGCGACTGCGATTGACTTTGGGTTTGTGACTGCGACTGCGAGACAGCCTCAACAGAGGCATCGAGCCTGGTTGGCAACTTTGCCCTGATCTTGAACGTCTCAATCCACGAATCGGTCGGTCTGAATTCGTGATTAGCGGCCGCATTGCCCCCGCCTCCTCCGACACCAGCGGCGGTCTGCCTCGCAAAAGCAATCGCCTGTTCGCGCAGCTGCTCGTCACCCGGCATGCTGCCGCTCTCCAGCTCGCCATGGACCCAGTCGAGCAGGCGACGCTCAATGTCCGGGTACTTGATCGAGCGGTCGCGGTTGAGGTACACGTCACCGAGGTCGATGGCGAGCCATTTGTCGCGGTTCTTGAGGATCTTACTGACGGTCGAGCGCTCAATGTCGAATACAGCGGCAATGTCGCCCTGTCGCTGGCGTGGATGCGCCGCGGCGTACTCGCAGATGCGCTTGCGGTCCGCATCGTCGATCTTCGACTTGGACCGCTTTTGCGCCGCTGCGGCCGCTGCAGCTGCAGAAGAGAGCGAGACGCTGCTGAAGTGGCTGGCTCCGGCTCCGGCGCTGTCGACGTCGATACTTCCGCTGTGCATGGAGAGGACGTCGTCCGTGTCGGGCGTGGAGCAAGCGCGGGATGCGGACGCGGACATGGACGTGTTCGACGCCGACGTACGTCCACCACCGGCACCGCCATCGATAGAGATGTCGGTCGTGGCGTAGGCCGAGGAGCCAACGCTCGAGTCGCTCATGTGGTGATGGCGCGAGGAGAAGGAGGAGAGCACGGAGGACTGGGACGAGACGGCCCGACTGTGCTGGCTCGACGAAATGGAGCCACTCGGCGAGACGGAACGCAGAGGCACCCCGCTGCCGGCGCCACCGTGCGGGTGCCCCATCGTGCCGCTCGACAGTTGCCGGCCGTGTGGCGCGCCGGTAAAGATGACCGAGTCGCGGTATCCCGGCGGGACAGGAACGAGCAGCTTGCTCTGGCTTTGGCTGATGCCGCCGCTGCTGCTGCCAGCGCCAGTGCTGCTAGCACCACCCCTGGCACCGCTACCGCGTCTTCCGCCCACACTACCAGCAGCAATGTGATGTGGCAGCAGCTGCTGGTGGTGACTCGCACCCTTCGGTAAACTGGCCGACGCATCCATGATCGGGGAGCCGCCGTTGTTCTGCTGCTGTAAGGCAGGAGGGGTGGAGGATGATGACGACATGGCAAGCGCCATCTGGCCGAGGCTGTGCGTGTGGCTCCTCACATGAACATGTGCGTTTTGGGGCGCGAGCGCTGCACGAGCCATGGCGTCGGGCGGCGAGTTCTGTCGTTTAGTTCGAGGAGCAGGTCAGAGTAAGGGAGAAGAGGACCAGTCAGGAAAGGCGATGCATCACGAACACGCGCCAGGTTTCTTTGCGCACGAGGCTCCACTCACCGGTTTACTCGTGCGGCTGCGACTGTGCAACAGCGCGCCTGGTGAGCTGCTGGGCGCGACCATCTGCGCAGAGCGGCGCGGGCTTCTCTGAGATCCTTGTCCGCTGCCTCCTCTTCCGCCGCTCCCGCTGCTGCTGTTGGCTGAAGCGGGAGCGGGAGCGCTGCGCGACACCGAGGACGCGCTGGCGGCCGGCGGCACTTCGCCGGCGGGTAGCATGCGGCTCATGCGTGCGCGCGACGAACACGCAGACGGAGCCGCAGCGGCATCAGTAGAGGTAGTAGTAGGCAGAGCAGATGTAGACGGGGGCGAGAGGCTGTATGCATGCTTTGCTGTGGGCGACTGGCTGCACGCCTCCTCGCGCGTAGCGAGCATGGCGCGCAGTTCGTCCGGGTCGCGGTTGTACAAGCTGCTGCTGTTGACGCCCGCACGCTCCTGCGGGCCTGCGCTGCTGTTGGTGTTGCTGGTGACGGCAGGCAGGTGCTGCTGATGCATCAGGCCGATGGGTGACTCGAGTCCGCCGACTGCAGCGCGCCTAATGCTCATGGACAGCTGCTGGTGGTGCAGATGGTGCTGGTTCTGGTCCTGCTGGGGGTAGTGGTGGTAGTAGGTATGCTGCTGTTGCTGTTGTTGGTGGTAGTGGTGCTGGTGACTTTGTTCCTCGCGCTGCCGGGCGTCGTCCAGGCGCAAAGTCGACACGGGCATTGCGGTGACGGAGGAAGCATACTGGTGTTGGGGCTGCTGTGATTGTGTTTGTGATTGTGAATGAGCATTTGAATGTGCATGTGACTGCGGTGCCGAGTGAGGCTGGGAATATGAATGTGAGTATGAGTGGGCATGTGACTGATCATGAGCATGGGGAAGATGTTGGTATGGTTCAGAGCTCTCCTGCGGCAACGGCTGCTGTTGCTGCTGCTGGGGATAATGGCGCTGCTGCGATTGGTGTTGTTGGGAATGCGAACGTTCGTCGTGCGGTGTGGTGGTAGTAGGTGTGAAGAAGTCTGCGGAAGGATCTGAGAGGTCCCACGGTGAATGCGATGTCTGCTGCTGGTTCTGGGTTGCCTGCTGCTGGTGCTGGAATGCACCGAGAGGCGAAGCAGGCTGGAAGCGCGCCGGCGGATGGTCGAGGCTCATGTCTTGTGAAGAAGCTCCGCGTCTTCGCCCCGTTCTTCGCTGCGGGGTCTGAAGAGGAGTATGGGTAGCTTGGGCGTCCTGCTGCTGCTGCTGCTGTTTTTGCACCTCCATCGCAACGGCTTCGATCAGCTTCTGCTCCACGGACCCAGATCCCGCATGCGGGGAAGGCGTCGACTTCGACGAGGGTGCAGAGGCAGCGGGAACAGGCGCGGAAGAGTCGAGCGTGGCTTTGATCATGTTTGCATTCGGCGGCACCTGTCGCTGTCCCCGATCTTGCGCATGTCCTTGAGCATGAACATGAGCGTAATCGTGGTCATGACCTGCATGCTGCTGCTGTTGCTGCGGCAGAATCATCTGATGTGCGCCGAGCACCGGCGACACGACAGAGGGCGACAGTCGCACGTCCGCGGGATGTGTTCGTGCCCCGTCGGGTCGGCGCACAGGATCGCCAGAGCACATGGAGCGAGGTTCGATCGGGCCGTCGTGCCGTGCGTAGCTTGACTCTCTGCCTTGACTTTCTTCTCCCTGTCTTTCTTCCACAGGCAGGCGCACCCCCACCGCACGCGCTGCACCGTCCGCTGCTGGCGAGGCGAAGCCGTCCGGACTGTTTCTTTCAGGGTGCCATGAAAGATGCAATGTATGCAGGGCGATGTAGGGAGCAGATGTTTTGCAGTAAACACGGCAGAGAACACGGTCTGTGTGTCACGAGACGGGTACACCACCCCGCCTTTGAAACCACTGGAGGTGCCCCTGATCCTGGTTCGTCCGGCGGCGGCGGCGGTGATGTCGAGGTTACGCCTTTGACGCAGCGGCCCCTCGATCGACCTGCCTAACTTTAAGGCTGTGCTACAGCACGCTTGCGGCTTTGCTGTGGGAGGGAGGACATCTCTTTCCAACCTCGGTCACGTTATAGTCAGCAGCAGCATGTCACATATTCCGTTTTGGTTATTCTGACGATTCGGGATTCTATTCAGACTGCAAAAGCTGGTCATGACGGTGCGGCACTGCAGCAGTCAAAAGGAAACTGCGAAGGCGAGCACGTAAGTCATACAGTGAGCAATCTCACACCCTACAGCCCACCCACGCAGTGCCCACAGTGCAGAGTCAGGCGAGAAAGTGTCACAGCTACTACTCTCTCGGCCGAAAGGCCTGGGCAGCTCGTGCCGCCCGATCTCGAGCATTATGACCTGTTGAGCCTACCGCTTCTATGCCAGCTTGTTCAACACCCACATCCTCCCCCCCAAAGCATCAGGGCGCCCCGAGCTGTGGCAAGCGGTAAAGCAGTGAGACCATCACTTGATTTGGCCGCCCGTTGGAAGGGCGCACTGATATTGGTGCAGAATTTGCCTCCGCCAAGCTCGCGCACTTTCGCGACAAGCTCAGTGTTTAGCGCACACGGAGGCGATCTCAGCACAATTGTCAAATGCGTATTTGCAGCGAGAAGCCAATCCAAGGGACGATCCAGGTGAGGAGTTCGATGAAGGCGTCAGTGGAGCGCTGAGGAAGTGACATGGCGAAGCCCCAACGGATGCCATAGACGAAGGCGGTGAGCAGTTATGCGTTGCCATTTACGCTGGTCTTGAGCAGTTCCACGAAGACCATGGCCCAATGCCGGAACGCTTCGCAGGGCTGGCGACCACGTGTGGGAAACCATGCATGTCATCTCTGGTGATCAGTTGGTATACTTTGCAGGGGTTGGCCGCCTGTTTTGCCAGCTTCTCTAGGAGCAGACGGTGTTGGCTTGACAATGCATACTCCTCCTGCCACTATGACCTGTGCCACAAAAGTACCTGTTTTGTAGCCCCTGCCCCCGGCACAGGCTTTTTGGCGTCAAATCACACAGAAACACCGCGAAAGCCAAGGCAGCTTGTGCAACCTACGCGTCTTAAACGGCATGGGGAAAGCCTAGGACTCTCCAGTAGTTGGAGTCGAGTTCCGTATCATTTGAAGCCCCAAGGAAGCCACGGTGACACCGTCGTTCGGCCGGTGGCAGGCCTTTATGACAGGCACTTTCGTGGCACAGCTCGTTGGTATGCACTGTCAAGCCAATATACGACTTGATCGGATTTGCATGAGTTTTTGACGAGGGTCAAATGGGTGTTCGGCTAGGACATTTTTTTATGAAGAAAGTCATCAATGGGGGTCAATGGCCCATTAGGGCTCCTTGACGAAATCGGGCTGACGTGAGACGTCGAGGACCGTCTAGGACTCTTCGCGTCACGCTAGGCACGTCGTGTTACGTCTTCGTCATCCATATGCCATACCGTGCATTTCTTGTCACAATCTTCACACAGCACCGTGTATGGAGCTCTCTACTGGACAGTTGGAAGACTTGAGGTGAAAAGCAGAACATGCCGCGAGCGAAGCATTCGTAAGATGCTGACTTGACGCTCCGGCTCGCGCCAAAGGGCTGGGCGAGCATAGTGGGACTTTGTTTGCGTCGACGCGACACAACGACAGCAAAGGAAGATGGCACCCTGCTAAATATAATCGAAATCTCAAAATGAAGGTTTAGCCCAAACTCGAGGATTCAGCCTGCATAAGGAAGTGGCTTCTACTCAAATCCCCGAGGGTCACAGGCGCGAAGGCACGCCAACCCGGACCCCTCTGTGGCACGACGCTAGGCCGCTAACCAAGCCGCACAAGCCTGCATAAGGACAAGGGCTCTGTGTTTGCGCAGCTTGCTCAGCTAGGGTAGTGGGCACTCTTGGGGTTTGGACTGTTGACAGCCTGGGGTAGTCCTGGCTTCCTAAGGCAGTTTGGAATCTGGGAACGCGCATTGATGTGTTTGCCATTCATCTCACGCATCACTGTTCAGGCCATTCAGTCATTCTGATTCCAGAGCTGAATCCAAAGCAGATCGGTACCAAGAACATCATTGTGGACGTTATCAGAAGGCCTGTGACGATCTGAACGTGATAATTTCTTTTGCCCTGCAGGGAGCCGCGCGCCAGTCTCACCCCTCATGAACACTGGGGTTTTGCTGGAATAACGATGCTCGCTGCCTTCTCAACGATTGCTAATGCAGCCCAGATACGATGCGAAAGGGTTGGAACAGGGTAGAGCGTTGAACAGTGTGAAGTATTGTGCGAAGGCACGTGTCCTCAACTCAAAAGGGGCTGGTAAGAACCCAAGATAACTATTTCCCCGCAAGGCAGCAACAAGCTCTCGGCCGACAAGTGCACCTGGTTTCGTTCAAAAGTCGCAAAGTGAAGATTTGACTCCAACAAGTGAAATCGACTTTGACACATACCGTTCAGTAACCTCCAGATTTCCACCGAACAGGCATTGTAAGTCTACAAGTTCGTCCAAAATGCGACAGTAGTTTTCGAGTAAAAAGACGCCTCAGTTCTGAACACCTTCCTAATTTGACACAAGGCAGGTGACTTCATCTGGAAATTACACAACTACTGAAAGTTCGAAACTATCTATCAGATGGCAATTACGATTGTTTTTGTTCTTACAATATGGAGCCACTCCGTAGACATGTCCACAGGCCACTTGGCCGGCTACCTGGCTTGCGTTCCAAATCTTTTCTTGAATACATGTCACTGGCTTGCAACACGATCCTCACTTATCTAACTGCCCCCCTGGTTGACCGCTCGCACCGCCCCAAATATACATGGTGCAGTCGCACAACCCCCGGCGAGGTGCACAACGTGGAGCGAGGTAGGTAGGTAGGTACATGGGTAGGTGCTGGCAATCTCAATCTCACCGTCTGCGCTGGTAGACCCGTCATACTAGCATACATCATACATTCTCTCGAGGTTCGCAGCGTGCTGCATGCATGAAACCAAATTCAAGTGCGATGGCCTGCTCATTTGCGCTTGTACAATACAGCAGCCAAAATGTGCGAGCACCAACAGAAATTGCACCCTCCCCTGTCCAGATGCTCATGCGTACTTGATCACCAGCCGGTGTGGTGGAATGACCCGCCCCACTCGCTCTGCGAGCGCCTCACTGCCTCGCGCTGCTGCTGCTGCCCATCGCGACTGCTTCCGCTGCCGCTGGTTGACAACTCGCGGCTCATGTGCGCAGACGTCTCGCTGTGTGTCCGCGTAGATGTTAGCGGCCGGATCCCACCGCCACTGAGGACCGTCTCCTTGCGCAGCACAGGCGGCGTGGAGGCACGTGCGCTCGTTGAGGACGAAAGCTGCTGCGGCTGCGGCTGCAGCTGTTTGGCGGGAGGCATCGGCACCTGGATGATGCCCAGCATGCGGTTGCGGCTCTGGCGCTCCCACAGCAGGTTCTGGCGCAGGCTCTCGCTCAGCTCGTCACGCAGCATGTTGCGGCGCGTCGTCCGTGGCGTCTGCGGCGCCGCACCTTCTGGCAGCTCAACCGGCACAGCTGCGGCGCGCAGTCGGTGGTGGTGCGCATGTACCGCCGACATCTGCCGTGGCGTCGCGGTCGACGACGACGGCGCCGACGCATCCTCTGCAGAAGCAGCAGCGCTGGTGTCGTACCAGGCACGGTTCATATCCGGCTGTGACCCAACGACCTGCAGCTGCGGCGACCACTCTTCGTGCTCCCGCTCGTGGTGCTCGTGCGCCAGCAACGACGATGGCGACGGCCCGTCCCTTTCGTGGTGGCCCGCCCGCTGGTGAGAATGGCTGCGAGGCTCGTTTGAACGCTGCCGGCGGCCGTTGACCCTGCTGCTGTGGTTGATGTTATTGTTGCTGTGCCCATTGCTCGAGCCGCGCGATCCCGCAAGCTCGTTGAGCTTGGCGAGCGCGACACTGTCACGCCAACCACCGCCACTGCTGCTGCCGTCCCGGGAAGCGCGCAATGAAGTGTACGACGAGCCGAGCACGCCATCTGCCGTGCTGAAGGAGATCGAGGTGCCTGACTCGCTCGGGTGGTGCAGGCTGCTCACGGAGCCAGTGTCCGTGTGCATGGCCGCCTCAGCGGCCGCTTGCGCCATGCTCGTCGTCGACTTGGACGATGTGATGTTGAGCAGGGGCAGCGCGACGGCCGACTTGCTGGTGCGCAGGGTGGTGTTCTCGCCGATCCCGATGAAGCCGCTGGAGTTGCGAAGGTTCGATCGCGTCCGCGGAAGGTGCATCGCGGCGGCACCGTGGCTCGTCGCTGCCGCCGAGCGCTCGAACGTCGTCTTGCCCGGCGGCGCGGACGTTAAGCTGGTCGTGGCGGAGCGGTCGACGGCGGACATGCGCAGTGAGCTCATGCCCCCCATGTTGCGCAAGTCGGCAGCAGACGCGTGAGGCCGGCCGGCCAGCTGGCCAGGCGGCGAGTGCGACGGCTCGGTCCCCGGGTGGAAAAGAGAGGAGAGCATGCCGCGCACAGGCTGCAGTGGTGGACTGGCGCTTGATGTGCTGATGCTCTGCTGCGGCTGCAGCGTGCGCATGTCCGCCGCGCTTTTGCTGCGGATCGGCACCTTCTTGAAAAGATCCTCCTCCCGCTTGCGGCTGGCCAGCCTCGCTGCCTCGGCGGCCTTGACCGCATCGTCCTCCTCTGACGAGTCGTCGCTCGACCACTCGTCATCCTCTGTGACTTCTTCGTTCACAGCAGCCGATGGCGGGGCAAGCTGTACATGCTTCTTGGTATGCGCAGGCACGGCCGCGGTGGCAGCGCTCGATGAAGCGGCGCAGCGCTGGCCGACGGAACGACTCGACTGCGAGCCCTCGGCCTCTTCGTCCGACTCGTCGCCGCCCATGGTGAACGTGACCGGCTTGCGCTTGGGGGCGGTGCTCATCGCCTGAGTGGCTTTTGTGGGAGGCGACGTCGCTGCCTGGCCTTTCGCCGGGCTTGCTGAGGGCCGTGATGGGGGTTGCACCTGCCCCAGGGCTCCAGCTGCAGCTGGCGCAGCTGTGGGCTGCGGCACGACCGTGTGCGCAGGCGCAGGTGAGCGGCTCTTGACAGTGTCAGACCTTGTCATGGCGAGGTTGCTGCCCACGGAGCCGTGGCTAGCCCTCCTCTGCTTCTCAATAGCAGGGGGAGGAGGAGGAGGAGCGCCGATGGCACCAGCATTGCTGCTCCCGTTGCTGCTAACGCTCGCATTGCTGCCTTCACGCGCATGCCTGGCCGCAAGTGACTGCTGCATCGCATACTGGTGCTGCTGGTGCCCGTGGCCGGTAAGCGCATGTGCATGCGCCAGAGTGCGGTGCGAGCGCCCACCCGCCGTGGCGCGGTGCAGGCCAAGGGAAGATTTGCTGCGGCCTTGGAGGCGGCCTGCAGTGTGTACGCGGTGGGCATGCGTGTGTGCGTTCGCATGAGCCTTGTTCGTGCCGCTCAACGCTTTGGCCGCTGTGGACGCTTTGCCTTCTATCGACACTTCGGGTGCGCCGGCTCCATCGTCGACAGCAGCAGGCGCTGAAGGTTCTGATGCCTGCTCAGCGGTTGCCTTCATTTGTACCTTCTCCCTCTGCTCCTGCTCCATGCGCTTGTCCTCCACGTCCACTCCGGCAGGCTCCTCATCTGCTGACCGCGCAGCGTCTGTGGGATCGCGCCGCGTCTCTTGTGTGGCAGGCGTAGGTGCAGGTGACGCAATCGGAGCAGGGGCAGGAAGCAGAGCGACAGCATCAATCACGACCTGAGTATTCTGCACGATGGGATCCGCGCTGCGGTTGCTCCACATGCGCGACCGTTGCTGCTCGCCTTCCTGCTCCACCGCTTGCGTCGCAGAGGAACCCGACACGAAAGCCGGCGCTGGAGCAGTGGGCACCAGCCCTTGCCCTGGCCGGTTGCCGGGCCCGACGCCGCGCGAGCGGCATGTGCAGCATCCTTCCTCCGCGGACCGAGCACGCGGGGTTCTGGCCTGCGGTTGCAGGGGTGCCGACGTGTGCGCCTGTGCCTGCTGTTTTGCAGCCGCGCCCGCACTCGCAGCCGTGGACTCTGACTCGCCCGCCATGCGCCTATCGGAACTAAGAGGCGGGCGCGAGGCGGCCGGCAGCGGCGGGATTGGCCGGCGCAGCTCGCGCAGGAAAGCTTCGCGCTCCGTCTCGCCTGCGCCTGTGGCCACGCAACCCTTGCCGCACGGGTGTGCCGCGCCGCCGTTTGCCCTCGCATGGCCGGCAGCCTCGGTGGCGGACGAAGAGGAGGCGGCGCCAACGCCGCTGCTGCTCGCGTCGGCGTGCGTACTGACGTTGGTGCCAGGTAACGCAAGGCGCTCGATGACGGCTTGGAAGCTGACGGGCCGACGGCGCTGCTGCTGCTGATGTTGATGATGGTTTCGATGCGAATGCGACTGGTCTTTGCCCCTTCTCTCCCGCTCCCGTCTCGGTGTGTCCGCCACTGCTGTCGCTGTCGCTGCAGTGTCTGCCGAGCTGGCACGCTGGCCACCGATATTACCGCCATGGACATCTGATAGTGGCGCCACTGCTGCGCAAGACGCCAATGATGGGGCTGCACGCTGGCACGCTTGCGCGGCTTGCAGACCCGCTGTCGAGCTTTCAGGCAGAGTCTGCTCGTTCGCCCGCGCCCTTGCGCTTGCGCGCCCCCGGTCGGGGCTGGCGGTGGGTGAAAGCCGCGTGGCCGTCGATGCGCTCGCGTTGTCCGCGGCGGCGTGTGGACTGTGTGAGAGCGTGCTGGACGAGCTGTAGTTGTGCTTGCCCTTGCTCCCCCTGTTCTTGTCCGCAGTAACGTCCGATGCGTATGGCCTGAACGTGTCGCCCTGTCCGCGCGCTTCGTCGCCGTCGCCTTCGTCGTCGCTGACGTCCTCGAACTCGTCCTCTGCACTTGCGCCGCCCCCCTCACCGCCACTGAGGCTGGTGACGTCCGCATCGCTCTCAGGGTCCTCGAACCCGTTGGCGCACGCCTTTTCGCGGCTGTCAATGCCGCCGCTGTTCATGTTGGCAGCTGCAGGAGCAGAAGCGGTAGTGGTGGTTCGTTGAGCGCCTGCGCCCGCAGCGGCAGCGGCCGCGCCAAAGCTCATGCTTCCCGCACGGCTGCGGCCGTAGTGCGGTGTCGGCAGCGGACTGGTCTCCATGCTGCTCGGCAGCGCAGATGCAGAGCCGAAGCTGGAGCCAGCGCGCGAGTGCGCCTGCGAGGGGTCGAAGACGAGGTGCGCCTCGCGGAACCACAGGCGCCAGGAGAGGTTTTCGAGCCTGCGGCCTGATTCGAGCATCTCTGCGCATTTGGTGAAGACTTTGCAAGGGGACGGACAAAAGGGGCAGGGCAAGGTGTCAGCGCACTCCCACTCTCCTTGCAGCAGCAGGGAGGGGCCGGCACGTCAGCGGCTCACCATGCCACAGGTCAGCGAGCTGGTCCAGTCCGAGCTGATCCATCTTCTGCACCTGGTCCATGCTCAGAACGAGTACGGGGTCTGGGATAGTGGACATCATCTTGGCTGATTACGCTGCGATGAGCAAAGAAGCAGCGGGGCGGGGCGTCTTGTGTGGAGTCGGGGTTGGTCGAGGAGAGTGCGCTGGTGGATCAGGAGCGCTTACGGCTTGGACGTGGAATGGGATGGGACCGGTCCATTCATAGAAGCGGCAAGTGTGGTGTTTCTGCAGATAGTCGAGTGGAACGATGCTGGTTCTACAATAGCTGCTGCTGCTGCTGATGGAGCGCAAAGCTATATCCATGCCTTGCGCTGCATGGCCCAAGGTTGATGCGAGAGCTGAAGGTGACGAGGATGTGTCTTCGCCGGCCGTCGCTGGTGTGCGCGGCTGCGGTCCAAGCAGTACGTGTTGGGTTGACGCCGAGATTGCGGTTGTATACGCTCTCAAAGCAAGAGGAAGCGACAGAGGAAGAAGGTGAGGTGTGCTCGCGGATGGAGATGGAGGGATGCCCGCTGTGCCAATAAGAGTTGAGGATGGAAAAGAGCAAAGCCGCTCACTCTTTCAGCCGGGTGTGGGATGGTTAGGATCCATTCAACCCTCGGTCCGCACTTGGCCTTGCGTGCAATTTTCATTTGCCTCCCTAAGCTTGTGGTGAAAATAGACAGCCCGGGCATGGCCAAGCCACACTGCCACACTGCCACGCCCACTCGCTCTGCTGCCCAACCGGGATCAAGCGGAAACGTGGCCCTCGTGGCGGCCGCCGTGCTTGATAATTCTGTGAAAATGCTCTGCCTCTGGTGTGGAGCCTGGAGACGTTCCGGTGCCCACGCACAGTTCTACCGAGCCGGCACTTTCCAGCTTGCCAGGCAGCGCGTCTCGGAGAACACGGAGAGAGAAACGAACCGCCTTCTCTCGATCCACACAGATTGCCGCGCAGCATGCAGCTCAGCTTTAGACTTGTCCATTCTCTTCTCTCTTTCTCGATTCAGTAATAGAACATGGTCGCATGGAACATATACGCCGGCCATCCTTTCCGCAGCAAGCCAATTGGGTCGTGCTCGTGCGCTTTGAAGCGAAATAGAAACGGGCGATCAACAGTATGCAGAGCAGAGCAGAGCAGAGAAAGAGAATCAAAAGACACCTCGGGTGGTTGTGCACTGTCGGCGACCCGTTGAGAGATCGCCACCTTAACTGTTTTGGACATTCTTTTTCGGTGTGCGCTCGGCTCTTTTTTTTACTTCCTTATCCCTCACGCTGTCCCCCTCTCAGAGATTATTATTATTATGTCGACGCGCGTGGCTCCCCACTCTCATCCGGCATGGCCAGAAATACAAGAGTCGGGCCGAGGCATGCTCTCGCTTTCTTACCATGCTCGCCTGCTCCCAATCACAACATCTTTTTGGTCGCATTCAATCAACCCCATCTCCCCTGTCTCCCGGCCGGTCTCGACGACCTTAGACCAGGTGCTTCGAAGCCCATGATCGTTCGTGATAGACTGCCGTTCCTCGTGTTTCCCCTTTGCGAAGAGCGTGGATGTCGCCGAGCGAGAGAAGCGACGACAAGCATGCAAGTACGTACGCATGCACGTAAATATGCACATACGTACATACATGAGGCTTGCTACCTGTAGGATACGCGCTATCCGAGCGGGCGCTCTTGCACTCGCCGCACAGCACGGCAGCATCTTGCGGAACTCCCGACGAAGAGGATCGCTTCTGAAAACGGAGGTGGGATCGTTGGGCGAGAAAGCTGACTATAGGACAGAATACATATATACCTACCCCACATTAGGCCATCAAAGGGGATCCACCGCTGCGGCCGCCAGGACTCGATCGTCGACCATCATCTACATCTCCAGGAATGCCGGCACTAACAAAGGGTCCATCCATACTCATACTTACATCGGTGTCCTTCCTTCTGCACGCTAGGTATGGACCCGGCATCTCCGTATGTACGCATGTACCAGCATTGACCTCGCCGCGTGCTGGACGGCACGCGTGATGCGAGTATGCACGAAGCCAGAGCTGCATAAAACCTCCAGGGCGTGCCGCCTGTGCATGATGCGCGCGCTTGTCGCTTTGGCCCATGATGTATGATACATGCTCCGTCGAGGCATCGCGGAGACGAGCGTCCGTCTGCATCCGGGGGTGCTACATACCATCTGGCATGCATGTCTCTGTCATGACGACACACCGACGCGACGAGAAGTGAGGTGAGGTGATCGATACCAAGAGTTTGGCAGGACAGATTGCAGCACATCCTCAAATGGGCGCCCTGTATAGTCTCTGGCATCTACTGGTATGTGCAGGCCAACGCGTGCCATGCAAGCTCGCGCGAGGTGCTGCTCCTCGCTTCTCTGTCCTCCCAGTGTCTTCATCGAGACACGCACTCGCACTTGGGACACAGCCAGCGCGGACGAATGTTGGCTGTATATACGCTATATATACGTTGCAGCACCGCGAATCTGTACATCTGATGCCCGACGAAATCGCAAAAACGCATTGCGCAACTCGATCCACCAGTCGGCGTAGTATAATACATGCGTCTCGAAAGAAGGAAAGGCTGGCTGTTTTGCGATGCTGAGGTGCGGTGTGCACTAGGCGGGGACAGAGGTCCAGGTTGCATAAGGGTCCGTCGATCAGTTATCGCGTCGAGGAGAAGAATTCGAAGACCTACCCTGACTCCTTTCAATCAGGCCTTGTAGTCGCTTTTCGACTCTTTGTCCACGCGTGCAAAGTATGGTTTCTGGGAGGCACACAGGGGGCTCGTGAGCGTCAGCAGCAGCGCTCCGCCACGTCAAGACCTTCCTCTGCACACCCGACGCACATCCTGGAAATAGACCGCCACCTCGCTGCTGATCTGCCTGTACGTAAACGTCGACGTCGCCTCTCTGTCGCCGATCATGAGCGGCTTGCCCCCCCCTTCGCGCCACAGCGACCGGGTCCGCCAGCGGCATGGCCTGACAGTGTTTCTCGCGCGCGATGAAGCAGAGCACGGCACCTTCGGCCGTGCCGCTGCAGGTGAGGATCCCGTGGTTCTGCCGGATGAGCGCCTTGTTCCGCGGCCCAAGCGCCTTTGCCACATTCGCACCCTCCTCCGATGCGAGAGGGGCACCGCCAAAGTTGTCGCAGCGCGCGATTCTGGAAGAAAAGTGCTCATGGACACTGGCGAGCATGAAAGGTAGCTAGAAACAGCGCGACGGAGGGCAGCGCAAGCAATCATTGTAGAACAAACAATTGTCCTTTGTGGTAATTGCTGATTTTCCCCCCGAGCGTGCTGAACTCCATACCGTACATTGAGTGTGAGTGCTACCGGCGTCCAAGTCAAGTGAAGCCATGTGCACCTCGTTGTGGATGGCGAACGCCACCTGGTTGTACACGAGCGAGTCGGGTCGCGACGGGTGCCGCCCATCCGCACACTCGCCGTCCAGGCCGATCAACAGTAGGTCCGACAGGAAGCCCATGTCGAACGACAGACCAAAGAGCGCGAGCAAGTAGCTATCTAAAGAGCGCGTCTCGACGCTCGTAGAGCGTGGTGCGTCATTGTCGATAGCGAAGGCAGACACGCACGGCCCGCCAGACAAGCTCATCCTTGTGAATGGGATCCCTGTATTTCAGGTGGCCAGCGACACCCACGTTGAAACCATCATTGGCAAATACGCCTGAAGCAGAAAGGTGGAGAGCGATCAATGCATCAGGCGTCAGGTAGCCCTCGTCCGCCACCGCCCGTGCGTTCCTCCTCGAGGGTGTCGTACGTCACGGTTGGCATCATCCTGAACACGGTCGCACCCCTTCGCGCTGTGTCCATGATCTTTGCCTTCAGGTCGGCGATGGCGCCCATGAGGCCGGTCGTCGAGACTGGGGGCATGTTGCAAGTGTGAGAATGTTGCCTAGTGCTTGCTGTTCAGAAATGGCGGTGTGTGACGGAGGCCCCTCTTTAATATGTCTTAAGTCGAGCAACCAAGCACAGTCAGTCTCATCAGCAGCTCGCCCCAGTCTCCCCAAGCAGTACCATATCGAATGTATCGTCTCATTCACCGGCTTGGCTAAAGCGCTCTTGCCGCCATAGCTGCGACGTGGGCTGTGCGTCTGCGGCAAAACTGTGCTATGCCCTAGGTACCGCGGAACCAATTATATCAGTGGAGTAGGGTTGCTGCAGCGGTAGACAGCCCCCCCGAACGGGAAACAACTCTCTCAGCAGAGACGAGAGCGCAATCGCTTGGTGATGAGGATGGGCCATCATAACGAATCTCGAATCGGATGTCGTCCCTCGTCTGTGACAGGCGCTTTTTGGCGTCATCGTCGAGGTGATTCCTCAGTTTCGCGGTTCACCGGGCAACTTCCGAAAGCAAAGCCCTCTGCTACACTTATCGACCAGCGCACTCTTTCTCCCGTTTGGAAGCGTCGACCAGCAGCAGTGGTGGACCGCGATCCGTGGTGCGACCGCGTGAGCCGCTGGTGGATTCATTTGCTGGCTGCTTCAGCGCTCTAGAACAAACGTAGGGACACCTGATATCCCCTTTTCGCTCTCACGCACTATCCAGTGCAGCACAAGCAGACAAAGCCAAGAAGGAAAGGAGGGCGAGCTGACTCGTCAGAGGCAGCACAATGTCGTCGATCTCTTCTCCAGCGGCAGCAGCACTCAAGGTCGAGGACACTCCGGCAACGGCCTGGGGCGGCGTTGACACGGTCGAGTCCGGCGCCGATTCTGTTTCGGCACAGATCGCGGAAAGAAACACACAGCGGGAACAGGCGCAGGATGACGCCCCCGCCAAAGTCGCCGGCGCAGTGGCCAAGAACGACAAGGAGCACAAGAGAGAAGCAGGCAAGCAGCATCAACAGCTGCATGAGCAGAATGGAAAGGTGACAGACGACGGGGAATCAGCCGAGCGTGAGGAGCAAGAGGAAAGAAGTCGGGAAGCCGATCAGGAGGAAAACGGAGAAGACGAACCCGGAACGCCAGCGAAGCGAAGTGGCAGCAGCAAGCGCACACGCGGAGGCAAGCGCGGTCGGTCATCAGGCAGCAAGAAACGCATAGGCGGCGGTGCATCGACGGATGCCAGCGCTGAGCCTGTTCAGGCAGATGCCGATCAAGAACCTTCTGCAGAGGAGGTCGAAGGCGAGCGCGAGGGCGGTGACGCAGAAGACGGAGAAGTAGAAGTCGAAGCGGAGGCCGATGAGGAGGACGGGAACGCACAATCTGCTCGCTCTAGAGGCCGCCAGCGCAAACGATCCTCCTCGTCCACATTCAAAGAGCTTTCCCAGCTGGGGCTCGGGTCCATTGGCGACGGTGAGGTTATCAGCGGTCCCAGGAGGCGCAACGCCGCGACGGGATCGAGCACAAGTGGCAGCGGTAGCGCCAGCGGCGGGAAGACGCAGGAAGGCGGAAAAAGGGGTGGTAGCTCAGATGGCCAGGAGGGAGAGGATGACGGCACGGAAGAATCACAGGGAGGCACTTCGGCTAAACATCGTCCCCACGACGCTGTCAAAGAGGAAGGCCGGCCCGCTGCTGAACCGTCAGCGATGGATTTGGATGGTAACGACCCTAACGATGCTGCTGCTGCGGCCGCAGAGGATGAAGGATTAACGAGATGCATTTGTGGAAGCGAAGGTAAGTAAGAGCTACGACACTGTCAACATGTTAACCCGATAGAGTGTTTGACGTATGCGACCATTGCGTATACGTACCCAGAGGAGACCCTCGGCCTGATGATTCAATGCGACGTCTGTCAAGCGTGGCAGCATTGCATCTGCATGGGGCTGCAGACCGAAGAAGACTGTCCGGACGTCTACTACTGTGAGCAATGTCGACCGGAGCTGCACATCCCGCTCCTGCGTGCGCTGGCTTTCCTGCCCGACCAGCAGGCGACTGCATCGGCGCGCAAGAAGGGCAGCGCATCGCAGCCGACGCAGCGCGAGCTGGAACGGGCGCGCGGGGCTGTTGCGCAGATGGCCGCGGACAACGCGACCCGACTCAAGAACCTCAGCGGCGGCGAGTGGGAAAAGAGGGAGGTTGCGCACAACTTTGCAGCCGCCAGGAAGAGCGGCAAGGCACCACGCTCTGTACTGGACGCGCTGCCGGAAGGCGGACTCGAGGCGCTGTACGCCGCTGGCAACGCACGCGACCAGCTCCAGCATCAGCAACAGCAGGAGCAGCAACATCACCAAGACCAGCATAGCGGGGCGGATCCCCTCACCCCCGGAGGCGGTGGCGACCACCTCAGGCGCAGCTCGTCGCGTATGCAAGAGGACGATCTCAGTGGCGGCAAAGGAAGTGCATCGCACTATGGCGCAGGTCCGGTTTCGGGGGGCGGGAGCGGTGGTGGTGGTGGCGTGCTGGGCTCTGCGCCGCCTAAACGGCGAAGCACGATGAATTCGCGGGACAGTGCGTATGGTTGGGAGCCGATCCCGCCCGGTCTGCTCAACGAAGACGAGCTGTGGGACGGCCATATTGGGCAGGAGATGCAGGAACAGCAGCAGCAGCAGGCGCAGCGCCGTGGTGGCGCAAAGGATCGGAAGCGGAAGCGACTCGGCGCGGAAGATGATGAAGAAGAGTGAGTCGCGATTGACGCGTCCCTTTCTTCGCCAAGCTCCTGATGTGTCCATTACGTCGCCATTTTATCCTCCACACAGGCGATCTCCACCGCCGGAAGAAGTTGAAAGCGGAGCGGACGGCTCGAAACGGCGGCGCACTGGCGCGGATGACGGTGACGTTCGGATGAGCGGCGGACGCGGACGGGGTAAAGGCAAAAGCGAGCGGTCTCGTCAGCCAAACCAATACTCTAACGCACGTAGCGGCAAGGGCGGCGACCGCGCAGGTGCACTCGGCGGCGGCAACGCGCTCGGCCTCAACAGCGCAGCAGGCGGAGGTGGAGGCAGCAGCACCAGCAGTCCCTCGCCGACCAAGCGTGGCGGTCGCGGAGGCGGCGCAGCGGCGGCGGTGGCGGCTTCCAGTGCTGCTGGCACACCCTCTCCGCAAACCCCTGCGTCGCTGTGGGGCCTGCCCGAGCACCTGTCCCACCTCGCGCCGTTCTTACCCTCAGGCGACCCGCGCGAGCTGCACGTCCAGCTCCCCTCGACCAAGGGTGTGACTTCTAAGAATCAGGTGAACGACACGTATCGACATCAGCAGAGCGCTGGCGCAGCGTGCGGAGCGAGCCCGCTGCCGTTTCAGCTGCTGGAGCTGACGGAGAGCTGCACGAAGATCCGCTTCCCGGGGCGTCGGATGACGATGGGCGAGATGAGGAAGCGCATCAGGACGATCGGCGAGTACGTCACCAGTGCGCAGCTCGAGGCGGTCGAGCGCGATCGTCGGCGCAAGAGACTCGGCTTGCCGCCACCACCGCCAGCTTCGGAATCGGGAGCGGCGTCGGCGGCGGGATCATCCTCGAACGCCTTTTCCACCGGCACGACGACGCCGGCTCAGCAAGGTCTGCAGCAGAAGGATCGGGACGGCGCTACTACTGGAGAGTTACGCGTTGCACAGGATACGGAAATGAACAATGCTTCGAATGAGGAGGCCGGTAAGGCAGACGATGGCGCCCACGCGAATGGGGAAGCAGCTGCAGCAACGAATGAAGCCGAAGCCGCTAAAGGAAAAGAAGGGGCAAAGGTCATGGAGATCACTCAGCAAGTCGTAGCAACAGCAGCAATGATAGCGGGACCAACAGGGACCACAGGGAGTGCCGAGCAGGCCACGCGGACTCCGACGGCGAGTGTGACACCTTCGATGGCGCCGATGTCGATGCCGGCGTCGATGCAGATGCTGGACGACCTGATGCGGGAGATCATTAGCTTCCAACAGCGCTTTGGCTCACTGCCAGGCTCCTTGGTCAGTGCGCTGCATGCACAAGCGCTCGCTGCGGCTCGGGGCATGACGCCTGGCACTGCTGAGGCGTAATACAGATGCAGAGCTACATATGATATGCATACAGGCCCACCTGAGCTCCAAGATAAAGTTATCAAACATCTGCCGAAGAGATTGCCAACCGCTTGTGTGAGAATTGTCACGCTGGGCACATGAATTGTATTAGTATGAAGTTCGTTGCCACATATCAGTCAACATGTCCAAGCCACATGTCTCAACGTCGATGTCGATGAAGGTTGTCCAGCGAGGATCGTCGTTCCAGCACACATGGGTCGAGGAGTCGGCACTCGGCAGACCTATAAGATAAAGCTGATGCCCGACTTTTGGCTATCACCAGACATGAGCGCATTTGCAGATTTGCGAGCAAGGGCCTGTGTGAGCAAACAGAAGTCCAGCGCGAGGGCATACAAAAGCACATTAGAGCAGATTCTAAAATAGTAGGTTTTCCTCCTCCCATTTGGTTGGCTTGGACTTTGGAGCCTTGTTGGAGCTCTGGACAAGCGTCCTTGAACATGCTCGTATTTCTGCCGCTCCCCGCGCGATGTGCTCTTCCGCGGCAGGCGGGCCACCCAGCAGATTAGGGTTAGAGTGCTAGTGTGGCACCGCGTGGTGTCCAGCTGCGCAACGCGGGATAGCGCTCTTTGCTGTTCTGGTTTGATCGCATGTCCGTGATTCCGTCATCTTCGGCATCCGAACGAGGAAAAAGCGAAATGACTGTCCAGAGCCCAAAAATATCGCTTGCCTTCTGCTCGGGCTCATACCATGTACATAGATCATAGCCTGCCATACCCCATGTGCAAGCAATGCCTTGCAGTCCTGCACTGTCTTATCATTGGCGGGATTTGGAATCTGGGCCGACTTCCTCGGCAGCAGTCTGCAGCGATCCGTTGTCTGCTCTCTTTCACGGTGCGCATTCAGCACGGCAGAATGTACTGCAAAAAGGCGCTCTCTCTCCGTTTCTGTTGAAGGGAGGCTCTCTGTGGCAGCTTTCTCACTCGCTGTTGTGACATCGACTTCATCAACACCCGTCTCGTAGAGATGTACCGCGATTGTGTGCATTCGCAGTGCATATGTATGTATTGTCGCCACTAACGACCCCACTCTACCATGTACAGGAAGGTTGTTTCATCGCAGCGAGGCCAAGAGCAACAAGCAAGCATGTACGTCTAGTTGTCTGACACAGCTCGAGCCCCCGAAGATCCTGACACTCGACAGTGCGACCGGCGGGATGCTCGCTCTGGTCGTACTTCTCTATTCCAATCATTGTCCGCCTTCGTCTCGCTTCCGCCACCGTCCCTGCTCTGTTTTACACCGCACGCCTGCCTGCCATCAGCCTGACCCTGCACAGGCGCTGGTGGGAGGAGGGCGTGCTCTTCCTCTCTATTCTCATTTATAGCTCAATACCTCCTATAGCTACCGCCGTCGCCTTCACTATTTTCATCCCTGCCTCGTCGATATCTGTGTCCCTCCCTTTATCCTTCTCCCGGCGTACCACATACGGCCGCTGGCATAAAACGTGACCTGCTCTCGGGCCTCCGTCTCGTTTATGGTTACCCGGATCCTTCTTCTTGCTCGATCCTGCATTTCTTCGACTGCTGTCGATTCCCGACCACACGACCCAGCCCGCTCGCTTCTCTACTACTCTCCTGTCCGCTTGATTGACACCTTATAGCTCCAACTCTCGTTTGACCTGACGGCGCTCGCAGCCACCGCCACGCTTGGGTCGTCCGCCCTGGCAGCTCTAATCCCGCCGCCGTCGACCCCGTACGACATGGTCCCCGTCTCAGCGCTCGCCCCTCTCCCGCGCGCGTCGAGCACGTGGCACGCTGCGCGCCGCGTCAGTGGCAACCTGCTGCAGCTGGTCGCCGACACGCTGCTCATGGGGCACACCAAGACGCTGCACATCGTCGAGGCCAAGAAAAAGTTGTACCAGGCAAGGGCAGGCGGTATGACTTCACCAGAGTCAACTCCACCCTTGGCCACGGGATCGCGTGGGTGGATGATTACAGCTACATTACCAAGATCGCGACAGTGAAAACGATTAGCTTGATACGACCACTGTGAGGCCGTGACCCTCGATGCGATGCCAAGAGTCTTCCGTAACAGCTATTTTATGTCTCCTTGTTTGGGACGAATACGCTGACTGTTTGGTCCGCTCTGGTGTCGTGCAGCCTTGATGTCGAGCATGTGTCGATTTGTGAATATTGGAGTTGCACCCATGTACCAAGAGAGCTAGCGCACGCTGATATGTGATACTTGCGATTTTGTCCCTTTCGTCGGCTGGGCACGCTCAAAACTTTCAGACTGGCGTATGGTGGAAACGAGTTCAACTCGTCCAGCTTGCCAAACTACATTATCGTACACAACGAGCCGAATATGGAAACACAAGCTAACTCGAACTACATGGACTCTGCGGACGGCTGGATGAAGTGCATCGCACCATACCACGACATGGGCGTCAAGGTCGACAGACCACAGCTCGTCTGAGGCACGGTGTAGTTGGCCAACTTCCTTAAGGATATTAAGAGCCGTGCGCGCGAGATCGACTTTGTCGCGCACGCACTGGTACGGTTCGCTGGACAAGCTAGACCAATTCGAGAGCCACGTCGAGGCCCTCCGGGGGGGGGGGGGCTTCAACAAGCCGATTTGGATCAGTGAGTTCGACACCACGCGCGCCAGCGGTACTGCCAAGGAGAATACCGCATTCAATCCGGCTGATGCGTGCTTTAAACATCGAAGCTGGCGCGAAGGCGCGCGAACCAATATCCCTCATCCTTGCCCACCCGCATCTTCCGACAGCCATGATGTTCATCCTGAACCACGCGTACGTCGAGGGCGCCGCCTGGTTTGGCTGCTTTGAACGCGCGAATGCGTCAGAGCATATCGCACCGCGCCGCGCCGCATCGCATTGCAATAGAGCGTCGCATCCATGGTGCATTCCAATCTCATTCATCCAGTCACCAGGTGCACAATCCGTCAGTCATTCCCAACCAACCCACATCCCATCGTATCTTCTGGCAGCTTCCTCCGCCTCCACTTTGGCCTCTGTCACCGGGGCCCCGACTCTCTGTCCTCTCCATCTGCAGTGCAGACACGCTGGCATCGGCTGCATCACTCGCAGCTTGCTTTCCTCTTGCCTTTTGTTTATTTTGCCTGTTTATGTCTGCTCCGCGTGTATATATAGGCTATGGTAGGCTACACGCCGTGCTATGCTTCTACTAGAATGCATAAATCATTGGGCTCACAAGGTGCTTCTGTCTTTCCTCTCATTGTCGTCGTTGTCGTCTACATTATGGTCGATTTGCATGTAATCCTGTACACATCTGCCGTCAGCTTGGGGGAAAGGGCTGGTGTTGTGTCTGTCAGCGCAGCGATGGAGCTAGCTCTCAGGGGGCAGAGAGTGGTGAGAAACGATGGATGCAAGAGCGAAACGGGTGACGCAGCTGAGCCACTGCCACAGGTGGTGCATGGGCTCGTTGTTGTGGCAAGGTTACATGTTCAGACTCAACCCCAACACTCTACTGGCAAGCAAAGTTGCAAAGTAGGGTTGCGCCCTTTGGGCGCACAGGTGACAGGGGGAGAAGCTTTAGCTGGGCATGCACTGGGCGAGTGGAGTTGTTCCATCAGCACAACACAATACCCCCCCCCCCTGAGCAAGTACGCGAAAGCACGCAACACTCCGCTTCCAACACATCCTTATAATAGTTGGACTCTCCTTCATGCAGCATGGCCCATCTCGTGTTTGTGCCTTCTATCCTTTCTAACACGTTCGCAAGGAATGGCACGGGAGGTTGCTTGATACAACTACAGCTGTTATCATCGAACTGGGCTCACTTGTGAATCAACATGGTGTGGCTTATTTGAACGGGCTCGCAAACTTGGAGTAGTGAGAAAGCCAGTGTTACTATCCTCTGGCACCCAGCTTGCCTCTCGAACCGGCGATTCTGCATACAGGCGCCTGCCTGTCGATTGGGTCTACCCTTTATCGACGAAGAGCTTAGTCGATAGCGCTCGAGCTTCGTGTAATCGTTAGCACTCTGCACCATCGCTGCGCCGCGCTCGGAGACCCAACTCGGCGAGCGACATCACCTTAACGACATTTCAGACGGCCCCGTATTGCATTGCGCAAGAGACGCATAGGGAACAGGTACATCCACCCGGACCATCTCCACCGTTCCTCGTCTCTGCAAGTTAATTTGTCGCGATGAGCAGCATGAGCAACAAAAGCAATCAAAGCGGTGCCGCAGCCGGTGCTTCCAGGCATCCCGCGACTCCACAACACGTCTCGTCCCAAGCCCCTGCGACAGCAGCAGCCGCAGGGCCTGACGAGCAGATGTCGCTCAGCTCTACCCCCACGCAATCTCAGGTCCTCCCGTCTGGCTCGACACTCAGCGCTCAGTCCAGCGCCAGCATGATCGGCGGCGCTGGTGCTAGCGGCGCTATCCATGGAGGAACCGGGACGCTCAAGGCACCTCACAACGTCAATACCTCCTTCGTTGGCAGCAGCAATCCGTCCTCGCAGTCCCAGTCGGTCGAGGCAAGTCCCGTTGCGGAAAAACCTAGAAGCGCGCCGCCGTTCCAGCAGCAGCAGCAACACCGCGCCGAGCTCTCGTCGGCTAGTATGAGCGCCAACAGTACCGCCGATGGAAGCCAGCAAAGTACCATTAGCAGCAGTGTTCTTCCGGTGAGTGTCTCGTGGCGCCTGATGCCATGCGAGGCGCATACAGCCGGGCAGACGCGCTGATACCCCACTTCTCCGTCTGAGCACCTGCTCTTGCAGCGCTCTGCCGGTTACGCGCAGCGTGCAAGCACCATCCGTCAACCACAGCCGCAATCATCACAGCAGCAGCAACAACGAGCGTACTCCCTCGCCGGTGCCCCATCCGACTTTGAGACTATATCGGGCATGTCGGCGTCGTCCGAGTTCGACTCGGGTGACGAGGATGCCGATCTTGAGGACGCGCGCAGCGTGTCGGCCGGCACTTCGCGAGCAGGAGGTGGTGGAGTAGGAGGGCGATCTGTCGGCGGGGGTGCCGGAGCTGCGGGTGCGCCTGCTAGCAGCAGGCCGGGGAGACCCTTGGCGAAGAATTTTGGCCAATCTTACAATGTAGCGGGGGGAGTGCGCAGTGGCAGCGTATCCGGCTTGACGACTGGCGGCGGTAGCGGCGGAGGAGCCGCTGCTCCTGCTGCTTCTACTACTGCTAGTCGTCGTGCCTCTGCAGCCGCTAACCAGCGGAGAGACGTCAGCAGAAAGTATCGTCAGTACAACAACCACGGCCACAACGACGATGATGATGACCGCTTCGGCCCGCTCGACGTCGAGGACGACGAGGTGCACCCGCGCGACCTCGGCGAGGAGCTAGTCAAGCGACGTATGAAGGCGCGGCAGCGTGAAAAGGCGCTGAAGAAGAAAAAGAAGGCGGAGGAGGAAGAGCAGCAGCTGTTAGCTAAACATCGAGCATCTGTACAACTGCAGCAAGGCGGAGCGCAGTGCATGCCGCCCAGCAGCCCGCTCCTCGCGAACCGCTCGTCAACGGGAACTTTCCCTTCCTCTGCGCCGCTCTCACCGGGAGGCGGCGCAACTGCTTCGACCGCAGCCCTCGAACGTGAAGGCAGGCCGATGCACATCAGCATACCCAGCAGCATCGCGCACTCGGACGCCATGTCCAGCTCGGGCGTGGGTGCCTTGCTCTCGCCTGGCTCGCAGGCGCAAATCAGCCCCGGCGCCATTCGCAGCGTCTCTGCGGCGGCGGCTGTTCCGGCGTACAATGTCTACCCCAGTCCACACGGACACATACGCCGGCCTGGCTCGATCCAGAACCTCGCCTCGGCGTACCCGCAAGGTGGATACCCCCTCGGTGGCAGCGCTGGTGCCAGCGGTGCCGGTAGTAGAAATAGCGGTACGAGCTACAGCGCACAGAGCAGTGCACACCAGTTGCAAGCGCACTCGATCGCGCACTCGCACTCCCGGTCCGCCTCTTCCAGTCATGGAGGCACAGTCGTTCTTGGCAGCGGCAGTGGACGCACCGGCAATGTCGTGGGCGGCGGGCAGCATTCCGAAGCCGGCGGTTCCACCTCGATGCATGATGTCTTTTCCGACGACGGGCGTACTCATTCTGAGCTCCGCAACGCGTTTAGCGAGCAGCAGGGACATCATACGTCGTACTACGGCGGCGAGGCCGAGGAGGACTACTTTGATGAGCGCCGCGACGCGCTCGCTGGGTTGGCGCACGAGCGCAGTGTCCGAGGCGATGGGCTACGCGCTGCTGACTTGACGCTTGAGGGCGATGTCGATGCTGGTAGTGAGTACGACAACCCGCACCATCCGGTCCTCTTCGACGACGGCGTCGATGATGGCGAGAGTCCGATCCAAGGCGGAGAGGGGCACAGCAGCGGCGACGGCGAAGACACCAGGTCTGGAGGCGGGGACGAGGATATCAACCCGGACGACGTCGAGTACACTTTGAAAGATCGTCAGGACGCCATCAACATTGAGCATCCCTTTGGTCTGCCGATCTGGAAGCCGGCGCTGTACAAGAAGAGCCGCAGCGTGACGCGCAATGCCGAGACAGCACTTCACTCAATGCCGAGTGCCGCCGCCGAGCGCCACCTGCTCCCCGGCAACATCCTTTGGACCGTCCTGTTCGGCAGCTGGCTCAGCATCCTATCCTTCATGCTCAGCATCTTCCTCAACTTTATTCCCAATGGGGGTAGCAAGTATGCACGTGTGCTCTGGGAGCTGGGCAGCTACATCTTCTGGCCGTTCGGCAAGTATGTCGAGGTCGAGCTCTCGACGCTGAGCGGCCAGCACGACTCATATGTTGGCGCCATACCGGCGGGCATCGGTGGGTTCCACGGCGACAGCGGTGCGTTTGACGCGATGACGACGGCTGGCAACACCGGCTACACCCCGGAACCCGCTGATGCCGATTGCGATGGCACGTACGAAAACGCTTTTACTCCCGTCGCCGCGCGTTTCCCGCACGACCACACGCATCAGGTCCCGTTTAACAGCCGCCCGGAGCGTGCGCGGAGCCAGCCACCGCAAGAACAGCCGGCCGAGAGCGGCTCCTCCAACTCGAACGAGGGCCGGCACTCTACGCCGCGCCAGTCGGAAGGCGAGTCGAGCAACACTTCGCACACCGCGACGCAGGCGCTGGACGAAAGCACGCCGCTGGTGCTCGTCAAGGGTAAAGGCAACGCTGCTGGCTATGGCACCATTGAGGATGGAGTGGCCTCATCCGGAGCACTCGAAGACGAGGCGGCCCGTATCGCTCGAGAGCAAGATGTCTATGGATATGTCTATGATGACGCTGGAAACGACGTTTTTGCTCGCCAGCGCTACCTCGGACGCATCGCTTACGGCATCGCCTATTGGCTGCTCGTCGCGCCACTCATGGGTGCTGTCTGCTTGCTCTGCTGGGGCGGCGTCTTCAGCGTGCCGATGGGTAAGCTGACGTGGGTGCTCCTCAAGAATCTCGCTGCGCAGCCCCTTGCGCTGCACTTCCGCAGTGCACTGTTCAACACTACCGCTGCCAAGGTCAACGAGCAAGGCGACGTCGATGAGGAAGGTCCTGATCTCTCGGGGGACCGCAAGAAGGCCGCGCTGCGTCTGCTGCAGCCTCTCAGGCCCGGCCAGCTGGCACCCCGCAGCAAGTCTTTTACCGGCACGGGTGCTGCACACCGGCGCAGCAAGATCCTACTCTGCACGTACCGCGCTGTCGGTGCACAGTACTACAAGTACACGGTTGGCGGCGTCAACATCCTCTTTGTCAACACCATCCCGCTTGTTTTCTTCACCATCTTCGACTTTTTCTTCCTCGAACCGTACGTCGAGCACCACCATGCTACCGGCCTGCTCGCACTGATTGCGAGCCAGGGCGTCATCTTCATGATGGCGCTTGGAAGCGTCATTCCGCTCTCGTACTTCATCGGCATGGCGGTCGCATCTATCTCGGCCCAGTCATCAATCGGCATGGGTGCAGTGATCAACGCCACGTTCGGGTCTATCATCGAGATCATCCTCTATAGCATCGCCCTCACCCAAAACAAAGCCAAGCTTGTGGAAGGGTCAATCATTGGGTCCATCCTTGCGGGCGTCTTGCTCATGCCGGGCCTCTCTATGTGCTCTGGCGCAACAAGGAGAAAGGAGCAGCGTTTCAATGCCCGCTCAGCTGGTGTCACTAGCACGATGCTCATTATGGCAATCATTGGTATCTTGACGCCCACGCTCTTCTACCAGATTTACGGCACTGTGAGTGTAACGCTAGCTCGTTGGAGCGCATCCCGCTCACACGCCTCTCTTGTTACGACCACAGTTCCAGTTGACTTGCGAAGGCTGTCCTCAGGACAGAGCTGCAGGAGAGACGTGGACCTGCAGGAGATGCTTCTATGAGCACGTTCCGCCGGCAACGGACCCATTCTTCCAGTCTAGCGTCAAGGGCTTGATTTACACGTGCACTGTCATTCTCGTGCTCTCGTATGCTATCGGCCTTTGGTTTAGTCTACGCACACATGCGTCGCAGATCTGGCAGAATCCGCAGCCGCAACATCACTCGCACACTTCAGCTGCCAATGCGGTTCCAGCACCGATCATGGGCGCTTCCGACATGGTCAACCTTCCGTCAGCACAGCGTTCGAGTATATACAAGCGCATCATCCCTGCCAGCGTCTACCAGCAGTTGCTGCCAACCTCGCAGCGGCCGCGCAGCCAGAGCAGCCAAGGCGCTACGATCAAAAGCGCAAGCGGTGGACGTCGCGCCTCGACTGCTGCTGATGGCAACCACCCGTCGTCGCTCCATCTTCCTGAGCGCTTCAGCGAGGAGGACTATGCGCGTGCTGTTGCCCTGACAGCAAGCGCATTCCAAAGCGCCATGGATCAGCAGCAGCAGCCACCGCAGTCTGTCAATCAGGCCATGCCCCGTAGTGCCGCGTTGCCACGCCAGTCGATGCACGAGGCGGAGGAAGACGAGGGTGGCAATGGTGGACATGACGCCCCGTCATGGTCTAGGCAGACATCCGTCTCTGTGCTGCTCGCATGCACGGTGCTGTACGCCATCATTGCCGAGGTTCTCGTCGACGTGGTGGATGTTGTCCTCGACGGTTCTGGGATCGACGAAAAGTTCCTTGGCATCACGCTTTTTGCGTTGGTGCCGAATACGACCGAGTTTATGAACGCCATGTCCTTCGCCATCAATGGTAACATTGCCCTATCCATGGAGATCGGAAGTGCCTATGCGCTGCAAGTTTGCCTGATTCAGATTCCCGCCATGGTCATCTTCAGTGGCTACTACAATGCGACGCGCGACTTCCCTGACAGCGCCATCCACCGCACGTTCACGCTTATCTTCCCTCGATGGGATGTGATCGCGATCATCTTCTCCGTCTTCCTGCTGACATACACGTACATCGAGGCGCGTAGCAACTATTACCGAGGAAGGTGAGTGAGGCCCCCCTCTGACAACCCTGTGCCAAAGCTGATTCCTTTTTTGCCATGTTCCAGCATCTGTGTCCTGTCTTACTTGGTACTTGTTGCCGGCTTCTTTTACGCGCCGGCGACTGGAGACCTCGAAATGCCGCCCGAGACGCCCAACGTGCTCAGCTTCATGAGCTTCAACGTCGCAAGTGGAGCGTTCGGCGCAGCACCGACCCCATCTTCACTCGCCGGAAATTCCGCTTTTGGCGGCCTTAAGCAATACACTGAGGTTCCGACACTGCACGGCCTTGCCTGGCTCGGCGCGCTTTTTGATAGCCTGTTCGCGCGCTAGAGCTGCAGATGCTATAGCAACAAAGCATAAATCTCACCATCCGAAACCAATAACGACACAGAAAGCATACAAAGATCAGCGCGTTCTTTCCCTTTAGAAACCTGCTCATGTTATGCCATATCACTTACGATATTTGAATACCTTTCATGACCAGCCTCTGTACGTGCAACTATGTGTGCGTGTCGCGCATATCAGCGCTAAGCGGCGTCTCTCGATCGCAGCGAGATGGCCCAGGTGTACATTCTTTGTGACGTCTTTGCCTGCTCGATGCTGAGCAGGACAGGCTTGTCGCCTGTCCCCTCCAGGAGCACATGTACGTCTCTCTCAATCCATGTCGCTTCTTTTGTTGGGTCCCGTGGTACAATGAGGACGGTCGCTATGCGTGTTGCATACCACGATAAGCCGGCGCTGTGTCCGTCACCGTCGGTAGCGGCGGCCGAAGTGGCTGACTTGACGGGAAGTCGAAGAGGAGGGACGCAAATGCTATCTTGCACATCTGCTCTTGTCTGTATTGATTGACTAGTCCGTAGCATTGCAAAAAGAGACTCGGCAATCCCCTCAGCACTGTCACCTTTCTCCTCTGACGCACTGACAGCCTCCTCCATGGCCTTCTCGCCGCTGAGAACCTTGCCCCACGGATCGTCAAGTGTCGAATTGCTCAGCCCACAGGCCAGACAGCCTTGCGCGCTGTTCCCGGCTTGGCCCGCCTGTCTTGGCCGTGACGTATCCAAGATTTTGCCGCCATGAGCAAGTTGCTTGAAGATAGGCTGCCGTCGCTCAACATTTTCCGATGAAATATCACGATTCGTCAAATAGCCAAGAGTAGCGAAAAGCTTGTTGTCCGAACCAGCATCAATGGTCCCAACGAACAGATTGAAACCTGGGTACTCCATCCGTTGAGTACCAGCAGCTTCTAAAAACTCCTCTAACCGTTCAGAGTGGGTCTTCTTGGGTTTACCTGCATCTGAAGCGCTTATCATGCCTTCTTCCTTAAGCCAACCCCGTGGTAGTGCTCCTCGAGACCGGTAGGTATCTCTTGAGGCACTCGGCGGGAGTGGTGGCGGAGCGGTTTCTGTGAAATTGGTGAGCACAGAAAATGACCCTGATGAAGTAATGCCCAGCCATGTGCCTCCTCCGGAAGGATAAGCATCGATACCGCTGAGGATAGGTTGCGTCGCTGATGGTGCGGTTGCAGAAAGAGATTCTGGCAAACTCAAGGCGAATGGCAAGCTCTCTTGCCATGAGGCGCCATGCTCGAGCGCGATCACCGACGGTGTTGGAAACGAGTGCCAGGCTGCCTTTGCCGATGGTCGCTTGAGAAATTCGTCTCTGTTTGCGGCAATGATTCTGAGTACATGAGCAGATTTCAAGTCAGTTGAAGTCCATCCTGCATGATTAGCCAAGGCCTCCAGCTGACTCACAGCGCATAGTCTGGATGAGAGGTTAGGGTGAAGATGACGCACATGGCTATTGTCAACCGCCCGGCGCCATTTTATGCCCGCTGTGTCGATCTATGTGCAAGCTTATGGCTGCTCGAAGTGAGGGATGAGCATACCTTTGCCGATCGCAACAAAGGACCGCGGCAACCTTTACCCTTGACTTCAATCCAGATGAGAGCCAGAGACAAGTAACGGCCTCTTCGCAGCCAAAAGACACCGGGGCCGCAAAGTTTAGACGCCGAGATCCTCAACATCTTTCCGAAAGTCGATGTGACTGTGCAGGCGACTCGGCACCTTGCATGTTATTGGTGCCTCTCGTTTCTTCCAAGATTGCGTTACATGGTCGGGCCATCACGGAAAGACGGCTAGCAACCCGCAAGGCAGACGGTTCGTATGGAGGTGGTTTGCTCGGGGGTGCGCACTGCCTAGATTTGCTGGCCGCGGCCACCCTTTGTGGTTGGCTACTCAACTTTCTTCAGTCGTGGCAACCGCTAGTCGCCATCGCGAGGAGCAGCAGATCAGGCAGGCATGGTCACGTGCACAGCATGAAGAGCGTCTTAAGACCATCTGGAATTCATCAACAGCATGCTGTGATATAAAAGTCTGGCTCCTATTCACTTGACTGACGGCCTCGATCTTGCGTCAAGATGCTGCTACTGGCACTCATCTTTCTCTTCGTTATCATCCTCCTGGGGCTCCTGATGCCGACGCTTTTTTTCCTATGGATATCGGCTTTTAGATCACGGAGCACTACCAACAGCGCATCTCTCAAGCGGAGTGCTGCCGTCGTTGTGCTGGGGGATATTGGCCGAAGCCCGCGCATGTGTTATCATGTAGAAAGCTTGGCACATGAGGGATGGAAAGTGGGCATTGTAGGATACGCAGGTGTGTTTCTTTTCATTTCTTCTGTGTTGCTGCACGGTATGCTGACCTACGTCCTCATTTACAGGTGTTGAACTGCCGCTGCAGCTTCATAGGGCAACGATCAAGCGGCATACGCTCCCATCGCCCCCCACATGGATCTCGAGCCTCCCCAAGGCTGCGTTCATTGCTGTTGCTCCGTTCAAAGTCCTCTGGCAGACGTTCAGCCTCTTCTGGGCCCTCTCTGTCAGCATCAACCCACCACCAGAGGTGATCCTCGTCCAAACTCCTCCGGCACTGCCCACTATTTTCGTGGTGCGCTTCGTTTCACTTCTCTTGCGGTCGCGCGTGATTATCGATTGGCATAACCTTGGCTACACTATCCTGGCACTGCGGCTTTCTCCTTCGCATCCGTTGGTGCGTCTTGCAGCGTGGCTGGAAAGAATGACGGGTCGAAGCGCCTTTGCGCATCTATTCGTCACCAAGGCAATGATGCTTCACCTCAGCCGACAATGGGGCTTGCGAGGTCGCATGCGCGTGCTGCACGACCGGCCCCCAGATCATTTCCGGAGAGCAACGATCCGCGAGACGCATGAGCTCTTCTGCCGACTCGTGGGAAGGCTCAATGCGCCGATGGCTGGTGCAGTCAAGTCCAGAAAAGACGGGTCTTCTAGCCATTCGACATCGTTTTCAGCAGCCACCAGCGCGATGCAGGTTTTCTGGCCATCTTTCAGCATGCCAGATAGCACACCGTTTACGAAGCGCATTTACCACGACGAACTGGACAAGTATGTGGATGGTACGGCTGAGGTAGACTGGAGCAGCAAGCGAACACAGGAGCTTAGACGAAGGGGTTCGGGAGTCAGCATCGAGATTGACGGGTCGAGCCCGGCTTCCCCTTCCTTACTCATCGGCCCTTGTATCGCCCGACCGAGCAGAATGTGGAGCAGCGATACGCAACAGCAACAACAGCTCTCACCTCTTTCGAGCACATCGCCTCATCACCGGTCGCACTCTCCGCCGCGGGCACCGAGTTGCCCACCTCGGCGCATAGCGGATGGCAACGAGTATACAGACTCGATGCCAGTGAGAAGCGGGCGTTCTTCTCTTAACTTTCTGCAAGCTGGAATGCGTATTGCGGGAAGAGACGACGTGGGATTTGAAGATGAAGGAGCAAGCGAGTGGTGTTGGCGGTCTGATCGACCTGCACTCGCCGTCAGCTCGACGAGCTGGACAGCCGACGAAGATTTCAGCATATTGCTTCTCGCAGCTAGCATGTATGAGCGAAGAGCTCGCGACCTGCACAACCAGGTGTGCAAGGATAACAAGAACGGCGACGGAGCTGGAAATGGTACGGTGGAAGCGCTATCGAAGGATTCTTCGCCCCTGCCACACCCATCGTGGGACAGTCAACACTCCTCATTTGGAAGCCCGCTACTACCATCATCCGAAATTGAAAGCGGGGCCAATGCAAGGCACAGGCATGGGTCGGCGCGTAGCAGGAGGCCGCGTTCTGGCAGTTTTGAAAGGCGCCTTCCTGCTTCGCCGACTTCCCACGGTCCATTTGATTCGATTGGGTCCGTTGGTGACAGGAAATTGCCAAAGCTTTTGATCATCGTGACGGGCAAGGGAGAGCTTCGCGCACATTACGAGGAACAAATCGAAAAGCTGGAGAGAGAGATGAACTGGCAATGGGTCCGTATCAGAACCGCGTGGCTCCAGTCAGAAGAATATCCCATTCTGTTGGGTGAGTTTTCTGGAAGGCCCAATCTGCAGATTCTCACCATTTAACTGATAGAACTAACTTTGTACAGGCTCCGCGGATATCGGCATCTCGCTACACAGCTCTTCGTCTGGCCTCGACCTTCCAATGAAAGTGGTCGACATGCTTGGGTGCTCCCTGCCCGTCTTAGCGCTCGACTTTCCCTGCCTGAATGAGCTGGTTATCGACGGTCTCAACGGCTTGACATTTTCTGATGCATCTGGTCTCGCTCGCGGCCTTGAGAATGTCCTTTCGGGCTTTCCAGACCATGATAACCGGCTTCGTCGAAATTTGGAAGAGCAATCCGCATTTCCAACTGAAGAGGATTCCATTCCTGGCGTTGCGGGCCGGATCGAGGACAACGAAGACGATCTGGATGAGGCAGGTGATGAGACAAGCCAAATGCTGTTCAATGCCGGATTCGGAAATCATTTTCGACCTAATCCTGCCAGCAGAGAAGCTTCAATACCTTTGTCTCCAGCGTTGGCAAGCTTTTCCAGGCTCACAAGCCCTACCCTGCCGAGCTTTTTTATGTCCACTTTGGACGAGAGCCATCCGTTCCGCGCAGTAGCGAGTGCCCATCTTGGCAAGGGACAAGTCCACCAGGAATCCAGTTCAACCGCGCGTGTGAAAAAGCGCGACAGAAATGCGACCTGGCGCGGCAATTGGAAGCGTGTCGTTCTACCTCTGCTGCTCCTCGAAGAACATGAAGAAGACGCAAAGAAAAAGACTTCAAGGCCGGGCAAGTCAGGCTTGCTGCTCTGGGTCACGCCGCAAGGCAAGCACGACAAATTACGCGCGCTATTGAATCATGGGGAAGCGCCCAAGACGCGAACGAGCGAAGAGAGCATCCGCAATCCTTTTCTGCTTGCGAAAGAGCCTGAGCAAAGGAAGGAAGGCCTTGGTGGTCATGTGCCAAATGCTGCAATATCAGCAGTGAGACACGGCGCGGACAGTGCAGACAGGAGTCATCAGCCGTTCCCCAAGCATGGGAGACATCGCACAGGTAGTCTACGACGTAGGAAGAAGAGCGAGTTTGATGGTTTCGGTACCGCGTTGGACCAACGTGCGCAAGTTGGAATTGACAAGGAAGGCGATGTCTCTGCCATCCCCCATATCCGAGTCTCGGGTACCGAGAGCTTGGGCGAATAGTCAGAAGAGGATAAACACCCTTGTGGAGACATTAGCAAATGCAACAGCTTCCTGCTACATATGCCCAGCCTTTCTGTTAAGCGTCTGCTCGGCAATGCCCGCCGATCAAGCGTGCACAGTGTTGCACATCTGTACGCCAGAAATTTGAGATTCAATTCGACCTGGAAGTAAGCATGGAGATGGGAGAAAATCGATATTGTACAAGCTAAGAACTACATGCGCTTTCCACAAGCAAAGATCAGTGAATTGCGACGCATATGATCGGGCGGAAGGGAGGAGCGGTGGTTGGAAGAGTCCTGTGAGCGAAGCGACGCACGAAGCGTAGTGGAGCTAGAGGCAGCAGGACCGCCTGTAGCCATGGGGTGAGCAGATTTATAAAACGACACTTTGGTTGTTGGGCTTGTAAATTCTGATTTGGGATGGTTGTCTGTTAGCGCAGGAAGAGAACTACGGCGGAAGATGTTGGTAAGAAGACCTTGTTTCATGTTGCATTACCCTAGCAAGGCGCTTAAAGTGATGCAGCCTGCATCATAAGTGGCTTTGGGTGGTGATGATCGAGGAAGGGCAGAATGAGTGAGCCTCCTAAATAACATCGTTAATCGCCCCACACTCACTAGCTGCCGGTGCCTTGTTGTATAAGACACTCTTTTCCATGATTTGATAATGGTTCCCTTTGCGTTATTGCAATCAACTCTTTTGGCCGAGCAATGGGATCAGCGCTGCGAGGCCGGGGCTAGCTCCTGCAGCGAATGCCGGAAGGGCGATGAATGCACCGACATCGACGGGTTCCGCATCCCGCTTCAGGTCTTCTGGTTCGGTTTCTTCATCTGTTTCACAATCTACTGTGCTAAGCTGCTGGACGGAAAGTTTGGCGCCCATAAAAGCTGGGTGAGCAAGCATCTCCCGACGGCGGGGTGAGGGCCCACTGGCGCAACGGCAGCATTCCTCTTGGGGGCTTCAAGCCCTAATGACATCTTTCGATACCCCTACCTGGAATTGCTGTGCCACGAACTTGTTGTACCCTTCGTTCCAATCCATCTTTGCCGTTGCTTTGGCGCTGCCCGGTAGCGTCAAGTCGCTAAACGAGGGGCAGGATCTGAGGATCCTGGCTGTCCAGCCACCGGCACTGGAGGTAGGGGAGCCTTGCAGTTATTATAACATTGGTTGACAGGACCGCTGTTTGAAGTAGGCTCGTCCACGAGAGGCCAGACACTGTCAAGACTGCGAGGCTAACAGCAGGCGGCACGGGTCGACTCAAATCAGGACAGCAGGAAGCGTGAGGATAGATGTGCTTGTGGACTCACTGACTGGACATCTGCCGATCAGCTTGAGCCTTACCTTCCCAATCTGATTTTCTTAGCCCCTTTGTGATAACGGCATCGTAATATGATCGTTGAAAGTAAGGAAGCGCTTCGCGAAAATGGTAAGCATCAGGGACGGTGCCGATTGCATGAGCGTTCCGATACCTGAAAGTATTTTTGTAAATTGACCCTAATCGTGATCAGCTCCTGCTTGACATTGAACTGGAAACTCACGTTTTCAATGCTCTTTTTGCTTTGTTGGGATTGTATCCCATCGCGTTATGTGTTCGGACGTGCAGCTAAGTGTCATCCCTTTCCGTTCATTGAGCTCCACTTGAATCCTTTTTGACTAAGCGGTTCTTGACCAAGTTGACAGTGTTGGGGACAGCATGCATGTTAAGAAAGGGGTTGAATACTTCTTTCATGCGCTTTAGACCGTTGCGCACCAAGGGGAGATGGGCGCAAATCTGTTCAAAGGATAGCTTCACGTTGCAGCCGTGGCTGGTGATGTCAACTTGCTTCAGACGTTCTGAAATCCACCGCTGTTTCCTGAAATACAATCCATTTGTCAGCGTCGTAACTTGTATCTGGAGACTGGAGGTGTTGCAGTAGCAATCGTTTTTTAAATGTGAACTCGCTGCAGCCTCTGCAGCGCAAGCGTGGAATGAATTGCAGGACAACAAGCCAACAATTTCTTTATGACTCCCCTTGGCGAAGTATTCATGTAGCAAATTTTCGACAATAGATATCTTTGATTGTGGAGAAGGAAAGCTCGCCAGAACTCACCCACCGCTCGCCGAAGCAGCCCCTCCGGCTATCTTAAAAGGCACGGAACATGATATTCATCATGATCTCACCGCTCATACAGCTCCACATTTACTTTTACATCCGTCCCCGTGCAGTATCACCGGCATTTACTGCACGATGCAAGGATGTTGTCTAAATGAGCTTGTCAATGTTGTCTTGCTACGAATAGTGGGCAAAAGACGTAAGGCGCCAATTCCTTCTTCGAGTTTCATTAGTTCTTAAGTGTATCTTGTAACAACCGGGGACTAGAGGTTGTATACACTTGTACATCTTGCTAGCCTCCCAAAGACAGTCCGTATCAGTGTCAGCACACACTCGTATTTGTTATAGATGGATCACAGATCGTCATGTGTCAAGTCTGAGAAATACTTCGCCACTCAATATTGGGGATCAAGGACTGCATCCACATCGCAGTGAATCAGCTCGATAATAAATATGAATGTGCATTCGATTGACCCCATTAGCTCCCTAATTTCCATCAATTCCACCATATGAATTCTACGGAGGTTCACAGGTCATCAGCATCCGATGAGTCTGCAGTTGCGCGAGCATGTTGAGAATAGGCACCCAATTGCTGTTCAGAATACTTGATGCAGGGGGTGATGATTGGCTTGCGGCACGCAGTCGTCCAAATTTGTTCATGAGTGACGAATTTGACAATATATACAAGAATCCTGGCACCAACCAGCCTATTGTGAGCGCATTTACAGCGCTGAGGATCGCTCAAACGCTAGGCACAAGTTTCGCAGTTGTGGTGCGGCGCCATTCAACGTAGACGCTAAAATGGCAACAGTGCGTCAGTACAAGATTCTAACTAATGCGGGAGAGTATTCATCGTGATTCATGCAATCTATCTCGGTTGATGACTGGAACGTTACTTATGGGAGACCTAGGTGATGAAACTGCTCGCCGCTGTTTCCGATTTGATAAAAAGGAAAGGAATTGCGAGATTACGTTGGACGATATGGGCTTGAGTAGAGCTGTCGGAAGCCCCATGGTGATGATTGCGCCTATTGCGCCATCCTCGCTTGTATGGAGTGGCGCAATGCGGTCCGTCTTCAAACACCGAACGCCGTTCGCAGTTGACTCCTCTGTGCAACTTTGCGAGGGCGCGCTAAAATTTATGTACATCCTGGTATGTACAATGTCTCCGCCTAGACAGGAGTAAAATATCGTGGCGCCTGGCGCCCGGCTACCCACAGGTGCCTGCATAGGCGCATACAGCTATTGCATATACATACTGCCAGCGCCGAGCAAATAAGAATGTAGAGAAGGTGGCGAGGTAGGCCCTGCTTGGCCGCCTTGATCACGGACCAACACAACGTTTTGCGCCGTGTGGCACAGCTTTACGCTTCGGGTATGCTGATGATCATGGCGACGACAGGGATTGATCACACCTTGGTTTTGATCGTGCTGCAATTTTCCCTTTTACAACATGCACCCAGGTTCTCTGTACTCGTCCGCACTCCAGGCACATACTGAGCCCACTACAATGCAGGCTGTGATATTCGGTCGTCCTTCGTCCTTGAAGCCTGGAGCCCCAAGTCTTTAAGCCAAATGCCATGATGTCACCCGGCCATAAGCGTCTGTACCTTAAAGCCTCGGTTTCAATAACGCACGCTGTCACACTAATAGCGTCCAGGTTGTTGCAGCCGTTCGAGATCATCACAAGCAGCAAGCAGCATTGGAAGTCGGATCTCAGCGAACCTTCGGGAGAAACGAATTGCTCTATCTCTGCAAGCGCGTTCCCCTTTTCAGGCTTCCATCTATATAATTTCCATCATCTCAGAGAAAGATCCCATCATGCTCCCGCGAGTATCTGCAATCTGCACTACCGGGGAGGGAGGGGGGCAAAATATTGGTAGGCCTGGGCAATGCCCAGACATAGTAAGCAGGTAATGATATAAATTATACAGATGCGCGAAACTTGTCGGTCAAGTTGAAAAAGAAAGGCTGTGTCAAGCACAACGTCCACAAGAGATTGACCATGTGACAATAGAGTGCCGAGTGCTAGAGATCTGATCAGGGCATCAGCAGTCGATACCAAAGAAACCATTGATATCTTGTTGTCTGTTGCTTTTGCCATAGTTGGACTACCTCAGCATGTTTGACGCGATGTGCAGTTCACTACGACATAGAATATCCGCGCAACCGAGCCTTCACACTTGGTCTTATAGCCAGTACAGACCTTGAATGAAAATCTCTTTTTATCTCTATTTTTCTACGCTCAAAGCGTGTCTGCTCTTGGGCTATGGTATGTCCATTGGAAGCCCGCCACATTGCTTCGCTCCGCGACGTGTCGAAGTCATGATGTTAGCAATACGCGCTTTATGCGAGGGCTCAGCCGCCGCCCCCGCCCCCGACGCCGTCACGGCGACTTTCACGGCGGAACAAGACTATGTCAGCAAGCAACCCATGCGCCTCTCTCCTTATCTATCTGGATGTCATCTGGGCTACCGCGAGCATTATTGCTTTCGCCGTCGTTGCAGTGGTCGTGGTTGTCGCCGGGCTTCAGCTCGCCCTTTTCGGAAGCGATACCAGGAAAAAAGGCGCGCGGCCCAACAGCAGGCGATCGTGTCGCCCCCGGTGGGCGAGAGCGGCAATTCGGCCGCGATAGCGCACCCAGGCAACCGATATGCCGCCAAAGCCATTGCGCATAATTGGCATGAAGAGGGAAGAAGAGGCACTCGCCGTCAGCGAAACATCAACGTGAAGCGCAGCAAGTCTACGTTCCTGCCCTAACCCTGCCACTCGCAGCATGGCAGGGCGACCCCAAAGCGCTCCAGTTTCCATACTGAAGACATACCCCACATGCCTAGACTCTTACCCTCCGGCCACGTAGTGATCCTGTCCAAGCTCAGGTCCGACACCCTGCTTGGATGGCCTGCGCCGCCTTAAGCACGAGGCTGCGCGCACTTTTTGCCTTTAAGTGAACATGACACGCGAGTGCACGTCGCCGTTCAATTCGAGGGGTAAATGACGTGCAGGGTTTACTCTCCTCACGTTTATTGCAGTCTCATTTGTGGGAAACGAATCTGACTTCCTTTACTCTTGCGGACCGGCGAGCAAAAATTGGATATGGATCTTGATGAGAGGCATGACAGTGAAACTTTGATATTCTTTTAGGCGAGAATCAAGTAGTGAGGACGAAACGCGTCGCGTGAAAGACTGGGAGCAGGGCCCTGAGATGGTGTGCAGGTCTTAATCCGCCGCAGGCTCGCACCTACCAAGTAAAATCCTTGTCAACGACGCCCACGATTCCTTCCAGTGGATTAATTTGCAACGCCGTCAATTTAAACTCTGTGCTACAGGTCCGCAATCGCGAGAATCTAAAGGGCTATCCAACGATTGTCAAAAAGAGGAACCTCGTCACCTTTACGCTCGCCAGGCGCGAGCGACGCTTTCGCCTGCGAGAAAGTACCATGGTAGTGGAAGTGGTGACTTTAAACTCTTGTCCTTGACCGCGTAGCTTCGCATGCTTATATATGTAGTGAATCACCCTGCTTTTGAATAAAGGCGCTGACGCGCTGATACTTTTCTGAAGACCATATTCGCGATGTGCCTATTTCCGGAAGGAAAGATAAGCGTAGCGCTCGACGTCATTGTCCTGCAGAAACAATCCTGCATTTCGTCTGCCAACAGCCAAGTGCCCGGCAGGGATCATCGTCGACTGAGGCCCAGCGGGGCCCATGTTATTATCGGGGACAAGCATGCTGCGATGCTATGCTGTTAACGCCGCATTCGCGTCCATCAGAGCGGGATAGTGTTTGTTTCTTCTGCCTCGGTCATCCTGGTCGTCGCGTGCGTGACGCGTTCGACGCGTGATACGACCACGCACTTGACTGTACTACGCGTCTAAGGTGTTTTTGCGTGGCATGGCAGCAGTGTTCTCCGATGGCGCGCTTACGGCGGAACGTAAAGTAGCCAACACCCTTTCCGTTTTCCTCGTCGCGTTCCATCCTCCTCCTTCTCTCCATCCATCCTTACCCCCTTTCACCCTTCTCAACAATACCACACATCATCGCGAATTGGAGCTGTACATCATCAAAGCGAAGGGAAGATCGACTCATCACGACTTGGTCCTGGAACAGAAAGGCCGCCGATACGCGCAACGCAACGCCACTTCACCTACACGCACCACCCCGTCGCCGCCAAAAGCGGTCTCACCCGACGCGGCGCGCTTTTTCAACATCGCTCAGCTTGTTACTTGTTCATATCAACTGAGAATAGCTGTCGGCCATCATGATCTACGTCTACAAACGAGGTGAGCGTTCGTGTGGGCTCAGACAGATGAAGATGACGCGCTGGCCTGCCGGCACTCACGCGTGGCAATTGAGGATTCCTCTTTGATGTGCGACGCGTCTTATCAGTCAAATGGCTATGGATTGACGTGACGCGTTTTGGCGTATAAAAACGGTTGTGTGAATCGTGTCCGGTCCTGTCGATGAGTATTGCATCCACAAGCGCGACTGGCCTGGTTAGAAGCGCATGGGCGCATGCAACCTCAGCTCTCTTGATTTTGCCAACGACATTTATGCTGACTTTCGCGTCGTGCTTCTTCCCTTGGCAGACGGTCGCAAGGAGACTGTCAAGTTCGACAAGGTCACAGCTCGCATCTCCAAGCTGTGCTATGGTCTGGACGCAAACTATGTCGACCCGATTGAGATCACCCGCAAGGTCAGTCCTTCCCTTCCGACTGCAAAAATTTGTCGAGATGTTCTTGCTCATCACTTCAAATATTCTTTGAAACAGGTTATCGATGGCATCTACGATGGCGTGACCACCGTTGAGCTTGACAACCTCGCCGCCGAGACAGCAGCGTACAAGACGACCACGCATCCTGACTACGCCGTCCTTGCTGCGCGCATTGCCATCAGCAACTTGCACAAGGAGACGCGAAAGACATTCAGCAGCGTCATCCAAGACCTCTACGACTATGTCAACCCAAAGAACAACAAACACAGCCCAATGATATCCAAACAGACGTACGATGACATTATGGCCAACAGGGACCAGCTTGACTCGGCCATCATTTACGAGCGTGACTTCCACTACGTGAGTAACAACGGGGAGCACCAGGGCTGCGAGCGGTGGCCACATCATATTCGGAAAGTTGACGCTGCATCATTGCCACATTTATAACCTCAGAATTTTTTTGGCTTCAAGACCCTTGAGCGATCATATCTGCTGCGCATCAATGGCAAGGTGGCCGAGAGGCCGCAGCACATGCTCATGCGTGTCGCCGTAGGCATCCACGGCAGAGACGTCGAATCCGCCATCGAGACGTACAACCTCATGTCGGAGCGCTTCTTTACCCACGCCTCGCCCACGCTCTTCAATGCTGGAACACCTCATCCGCAAATGTCCTCTTGCTTTCTCGTCACCATGAAGGACGACTCGATTGAGGGCATCTACGACACGCTTAAGACCTGCGCCATGATTTCCAAGACGGCCGGTGGTATCGGCCTCAACGTGCACTGCATCCGCGGCACGGGCTCGTACATTGCCGGCACAAACGGCGTCAGCAACGGTATCGTCCCGATGCTTCGCGTCTTCAACAACACCGCTCGCTACGTTGACCAGGGTGGCAACAAGCGTCCCGGCGCGTTCGCCATCTACATTGAGCCATGGCATTCAGACGTATTCGAGTTCCTCGATCTGCGCAAGAATCATGGCAAGGAGGAGGTCCGCGCGCGCGAGCTCTTCTACGCCCTCTGGATCCCCGACTTGTTCATGAAGCGCGTTGAACAAGGCGGCAACTGGAGTCTGATGTGCCCAAATGAATGCCCAGGTCTCGCCGAGGTCTACGGCGACGAATTTGAGACGCTCTACGAAAAGTACGAGCAGGAAGGTCGCGTCAAGAAGACTGTCAAGGCTCAGAAGCTGTGGTACGCCATTCTTGAGGCTCAGACGGAGACCGGTAACCCTTTCATGCTCTACAAAGATGCCGCCAACCGCAAGAGCAACCAGAAGAACCTTGGCACCATTAAGTGCTCCAACTTGTGCACCGAGATCATTGAGTACAGTGCGCCGGACGAGGTTGCCGTCTGCAACCTTGCATCGATTGCGTTGCCCACCTTTGTCAACCAGCATACTAAGGAATACGATTTCGCCAAACTGCACGACGTTGCTAAGGTCATCTGCGCTAACCTGAACAAAATCATCGACATCAATTACTACCCCGTCGAGGAGGCTCGCAGATCGAACTTCCGTCACCGGCCCATCGGTATTGGTGTGCAGGGCCTCGCTGATACATTCATGATCATGGGCATGCCCTTCGACAGCCAGGAGGCGCGCAAGCTCAACGTTCAAATCTTCGAGACCATCTACCACGCTGCACTCGAGCGCTCCTGTGAGCTTGCCGCTGAGGTTGGCCAGTATGAAACGTACCAGGGTAGCCCTGCCTCTAAGGGTGAGCTACAGTATGACATGTGGGGCGTGACGCCCTCTGAGCTCTGGGATTGGTCCAGCCTCAAGACCAAGATTGCCAAACATGGCCTTCGCAATTCGCTTCTCCTTGCTCCGATGCCGACCGCGTCGACGAGCCAGATCCTCGGCTTTAACGAGTGCTTTGAGCCGTACACGAGCAACATCTACACGCGCCGTGTCCTCGCTGGCGAGTTCCAGGTTGTCAACCCGTGGCTCCTGCGCGAGCTCGTCGAGCAGGGTCTTTGGAACGACACAATGAAAAACAGAATCATTGCGCACGGCGGCTCGATCCAGAACGTCCCCGGTATTCCCGACCGTATCAAGGCGCTGTATAAGACCGTCTGGGAGATTTCGCAGAAGGTTATCATCGATATGGCTGCCGACCGTGGTGCATTCATCTGCCAGTCCCAGTCGCTGAACATCCACCTGTCAGCGCCAACGTTTGGCCAGCTGACCAGCATGCACTTTTATGGGTGGAAGAAGGGTCTGAAGACTGGCACGTACTACCTGCGCACCCGTCCCGCGGCCAACGCCATCCAGTTCACCGTTTCGGCCGAGGAGCAGGCAGCGGCCAAGGCCGCGAACAAGGGCGCCGCGCCGAGCAAGAAGGTTATCGCTTCTGCTAGCGCCGTCAGCAGCGCTGCCGCTGCTTCTGCTGCTGCTTCGCCTGCGTCTGCTGCTGTGGCCTCGGGGTCTACTACACCCGACAAGGGCGAGGCCGCGCCATCAGCGACACTTGTAAAGAAATCCGCAACGCCCGCGGCTGGCTCGACGGACGACGTCGCTGCCATCACACGCAGCGTCGGCGGGCTCAATGTTGATGGAAACATCACCGAAGACGGACCTGGGTCCATGGACAAGGCGGCCGCAGCTGCTGCTGCCCCCGTCTCCGACGAGGGATTCGAGGCAGCAAAGGAACGCGCGCGTTTACGGCAGCTGGAGAATGACAAGCTCATGTGCTCACTCGAGAACAAGGAAAACTGCCTTATGTGCGGGAGCTGAAAGTGTATTCCCTGAGTTGAGCTCATGGCGACGGTGATCACGCCGCGACACGCAACAGTCATGCATACCACATGTTTCTTTGTACATCATTTGAATTGTATTTCATGTCTTCTGTGGACCCCCTTGTCTCCATATTTTTTGCCCCATTTGCACCTCTGGAGTCAACAATGACACTGGCTCTGCCGGTTAGCTCTCTGCAATGTGCTTAGGGTTATCTTCGGCTGATGAGAGGGGCGCATTCTGGAGGAACGACTCCAGCCCTTGCTTGGTCCACCATCTTTCCGCACGGGATTGCCGGCCAGCGCGCACCAGCTCTCGAGGCCTGGCGGGGTTGGCAATGTGTAACAATTATTCTACACCTGGGCGGCAAAGTCGTCTTGTCTTTAAAGGCGGCGAAGGATGGATGTTGGATCTGATATTGGGAGTGTGCGTAAGACAACTAGGCACACATCTCGCGAAAAAGAAATAAAAAGAAAGCGAAACAAAGAAAGAAAAACGTGACATCAATGCTTCAACGCAAAAGATCACTCCCGTGTTCTGATTTTTATGCAGCACGACTAAAAGGTGGTCGATTTCACAAGGCTGCTGTCACCAATGCTTTACGCGGACTTGCAGTGAACCTCATGGAGATCACCATCCTGATCCTTTCTGCTCGCTCATGAAGGGTTGAAACGATTTGAGGTACTGGAAAGCGCATGTGACACGATGGAGGCGGCGTCGGCGTCTTCGTCGACGCGGTCAGCAGGTCTGATCGGCGCTGCTCCTTCGACGCCTACGAACCGGATAGACGAAGAGACCGGCCGTCCCATAAGCCCCATCGCTGGGCTCACTAGCAACGGGCGGCGTAACTATGAAAGTTCGGCTGCGATTTTGACGGATACAGATCAGGATGCCAACGGTGTGACCCTCGAAGATGCGCTCGAGCAGCTCGTTGACGATGCTCTCGCCAACCCACGCAACACTAAGCCTTATTCGAGGCTCATTCCCGAGGCCTCAAAATTACTCAACGCGAATTTTCAAGCCAGCACATCCTCGTCCACATCTCCCTTGGCGTCATCCGGCACACATATGTTCTGTGCAAAAGCTGGCGCCTTACACAATCGCAAGCTGCATGCTGCGATGATGCGCATTTTCTCCTTCAAGCTGGCATCAATAATGGAGCAATGGATTCAAACACTATGGAAGAGCATTTTTAGCTGCAAGGACTGCTATATGGAATACCTGGAAGCAAAAGAACGGCTCAACGAAACGTCAGTCTCGGATTGCGAAACAACTAGCGAGTAGGCACATGTGCTGAACTACTCTTATTTTGGGCGCAGCATTTCCAAGGTTTATCCTCGCACAAATGTCGAGCAGCTGTTGGAGCATATTGAATCATCTGAAGCTGACTATGCGTTGCATCAGATGGACGAAGCCGAAGCCGCTGGGTCGAATCCATTGGAGAGCTTCTCGGCAGACCAGATTTTTGCTCTTGGCCACATTCTCGCTACCACCTCAACAAAAGCCTCTTCGCTCTTACAGAAGCTCAAGAATGCGATACTCGGTCTGGCGGGCCCGTCATCTTTGCAGAGCTCGGCAAGCTTGCACCGGTATCCGCAAATAGCGCACGAGCTCACACCAGGCTTGTTATCTTTGTTACTCGTCGATGACGACACACACACACTGCAGAGCTGGGCTCAGGCACAGCTCCACGGGCTGTCAACCACGACTATCTCGACAGAGCGATCCGAAAAATTCATACGCCGGAATCCGATGTTTGAAGCTTTTATTCGGTCTCTTCTCGTAAGAGTCGGCAGCACAGACGGAGTCAACGTGACTGGAGAAAAGAGACAAGCAATTTGGCAGGTAGTCACGCACATTCTCCACTTCATCCCAAACGCTGCGTCTTCATTTGCTTCGCACGTCGCTGGCAGCCTCAGCACAACTGGTGCATTTTTCTCCGACGTCCTTAAGTGCTACCGACTCGTGCTAGATGCGCTTGGCCCAGGCTTTTGGCGTCTGGCCGGAGCAAATAAGGACGCCGAATACCCGCATGTTCTTCTCGCCATCATTCTAGACAACACACAGCTGCTCCCTGCCATTGAACATTGCGCTACCTCACAAGTCTTTGTCAGAGCAAACTCTAGCCAGACTAATGGGGGCAAGGCGAGGGACGGGGGCGGAGGAGCGCAAAATCCAGCACTGATGTGGATGCTCGTACATGCAAGGTCGTTGCAAGAAGAAGGGTGCGAACACGCCTTTAAGGATGCTCTTAAGATCTTGGCAAACTTTTTGCTCGAGAAGCTTCAGCAGGCGCACTTTGCCGTGTCGATCCGGACGCAGGCAATGTTTGCTGGCATCTCTGTGCTCAGCACGCTGCTCTCTGAGTCCGTCAGCAATGCTCGAGTGCCTTCCTTTACTAGGAATGCACACACTCTCGCCATCCTTGATGCTGCGAACATGTATGCACCGACGCTAGTGGGTATAGGCTTGCGCGGTCGGATGCCGAATTCGCAAGAACGACTCGGAATCCAGTCCTCCCTGTGCTCATCCGCTCGCAAACTGCTGCGGATGCTGCTTGAGATGGATGCGCGCAAGATCAAGAAAGATATCGGGGTGTTGTCTCAGATTGCGCAGGACCATCTCAAAGCATGGAAAGGGCGATATAAGGAGCGAGCAGACGGCAGCATCATGAATGCCCAGGGACCTTCCGCCAAAGATGTGCTCAGCGAAGCAGCAGAGGGAAGCAGCCGGTACAAGTATCCGCATGCGAGTATTTGCAAGGGTCTTTGGGACGAGTGCTACGCTACCGTAGCCAACGGCAGCGTCGGGATGCTCGCGCTGGAGACTTTGCTGCCACCGCTAGCCCTCTTGGCGCCCTTCATTGAACCGACGCCGGCTACGCTGGTCGCGCTGCAGGAAGGGCAGGCATTGCCCGAGTACAAGGTCTACAGGTTGGCGATTCGAACGGCCATCGAACGCGTATCCTCCGCATTACTTGCCGTCCGCCAAGGCTTTTCGAATGCTGTCGAAGAGCTCTCGATGATGATGAGCGAGGATAACCTCACTGCTCTTTGCACATCGCTGGCCGAGAGCCTTATCATGCTCAATCTCTCACCCGATGATGGTATGCACCTGAGTGCGCAGAACCTTGTTCGCGCCGCTTTCACCAACGCAACGATGCGCGTCGATTGTTTTCGCTCTCTCTTGCACTCCAACCCCGACGGGGCATTCAAGGGCATTTGCAAGTTTCTTGAAGCCTTTATCCAGGCGGCAGAAGAGTCTGTCGAAGCGAATGCGCTTGCCAAGTGGGTCATCAGAAGCTTGGCCGACGTTCTCGACGTGCTCTGCGAGACCAACGATGGTCTACTTAGGGACGATACGGACATGTCGCTTCTCAGCGACGTATCTCCACGTGCGGCGGTTGCCGCGTACCTGCCCAGACTTTGGAGTCTCATGTGCAAGAGCGTATCTGTCATCTTTCAGAGGACGCCAAAATGGTCTGCCACGATCAGTAAATCGGAGATGGTCGCTTGGTTCAGAGACGTCACTCTGTTCGCGACTGAGGTGGTGGAACAGGTCAAGACAGTGCAAGATGCGTTGGCTTCGGCAGAGATGAGGCAGGGCGAGGAAGGGCCCAACGAGAATGTCGATGCATTGACTCTTGAGCTCGTCCTACCTCTGGAGAAAGCCATGGCGTGGCTTCGACTAAATGATGAGGAGATCATGCACGAGACCCTCAATTTTGTTATCAAAGCGCTTGCTTGCTTCAGCGGGAAGACGGTTGAGCTCCCAGCGGACACAAGGGGCAAGATGCTTGAATTTGTCAATTCGCAGATGCAGATTGAGGATGCGAACAAGAGAATGACGCTACTATCCATCAACGAGCTTTCCAATCTCAAGCACCACATTGACCCCAGAAGCAAGCCAGTCGAAATAATAGCCATCGAATCGGATTCAGATTCGGATTCTGGTGACGCGCAGCCTCGCCTTTTGAAGAGCAAAGACGTTTCATCCGCATTGAAGAAGCAGAAGGGCCTCAAGCAGAGCTCGCTCAAGGACTCCACATGGTGGGGAGCGGCTACGGCTGTTGGTGCGCGTTCCAAGGCCGTAATCGTTGCGAAACCCAAGGTGTGTTCAGAGCAGCAATCCAAACTCGACTTCAAGCAAACACTGGCTCTGAGAGCCCGCGAGGGGCGACTAGACACTCCATCTGTGTACCATCGGCCGACGTCTTCACATCAGTCTCAGGCGCATGTTAACAAGCTCAAAGCCGTGTCTGCTCTACGCGTCCCATCCAACCTCCGCGACGCAGACGAAGCGCCCAGTAGCAAGATTTCCCAGTTGCGACAAGAGTTCCGATCTTCTAATGCAGCTCGCCCGACCACTGCCACATTTGGACGAAACAAACGACCGATCGCACCACCAACAACTGGCCCGGCTTGGGAAGTGCCAACGAAAGGACCTAAGGCCTCGTCTGCGGTCCCCTCTGTCGCAACAGTGGCCTCTGGTAGCAAATCTGGCGCCAAAGGGCAGGGTGATTCAGAGTCTTCATCGGACGAAAGTCAAGGTGACGATGGGGAGGAGGTCAAAGGTCTGGCTTCTCTCAGGGCTAGCATCATCAAGAAGACATTCATTCCCAAAAAGGCCCCCGAAGTCAAAGTCAAGCTTCTAGAAGATGACCGACTCCGCCAGACAATAAGGGAGCAGGAGGAGCTCGAACGGAAGCGCCGTCTTCGTGCGCCTCCAGACTTTTCTTCCCTGCACCAGTCGCTGCTATCATGGGACTTTCATGAGACGGCAGATGCACCACCGAGGAATGGACGCCCGAGAGCCATCCCATCAACATTCTCATCCGCAGAGGAGTACATGACGGTGTTTGGACCTCTTTTGCTCATGGAGTGTTGGGCGCAACTGCAGCAAGCCAAAGAAGAAATGAACGCGTCTCGCACTGTCGCGATTGAAGTCACTTCCAGATCAAATGTGGACGCATTTGCCGACATTAACGCCATCTACACCAATCGCAATTCCAAGCTGGATCTCCGCGAAAATGACATTGTCTTCCTCCGCGAGCTGCAATCGGAGACGGGCCGGCAGCGCATCGTTCTCGCCAAAGTTCAAAGCTATCGCAAGCATAATCTTGGGCATCAAGTCGTCTTGCGCGCGTGCTTGCGACACAACACAGCAGGGATGAACTCAGCTGTCGCAGCAAGGACCAGATGGGAGGTCGGCCCGCTGTTCTCACTCGCCACTATCCATCGCGAGTGTGCTGCTTTGCTTTGTGCGCCTTACCTGGATCTTCGCCAGCAGATTTTCAGAGGCCTCCTTGCACCCAAGCCAGTCCTGGATGACGACGAGCTGCGCCGAACCATGGAGGTCTACGACCTCAATAGCCCTCAAGCGACGGCAATTCTTGGCTCGCTGCATGCTGAAGGGTTCTCTCTGATTCAAGGGCCGCCTGGAACGGGCAAGACCAAGACCATTTGCGGGCTCATCGCCAAATTCATTTCAGACCGAGCCCCTGCACGGCACAGCGTCTCAATAGATCCTATGATGAGAAGCACACTTGGCCCTAATGCAAAGATTCTGATCTGTGCACCTTCCAACGCCGCGATTGATGAATTGGTCAAGCGTGTCAAAATGGGGTTGCCTTCCGAGAGCGGACAGCTTTTACGACCAAAAATCATCCGCTTGGGCCGCGATGAGAGCATGAACGTCGAGGTCAAGGATGTGTCTCTGGAATTTTTGCTGGATCAAGCAGTATCAGGTATTAAAGACGGAGGTACGGACGCATTGGCATTGCAGGAAGATATTCGTAACCTGCAAACGCAACGGCAAGTAAAGCAGGCCGAATTGGAAGAAGCGCGGATGAGCGGAGATACCGTCAAGGTCAATGCGCTGCAGGCACATGTGCGACTGCTCATGAGCAAGCGCACTACCTTGATGTCCAAGCTGGACGAGGTCAAAGACCAGCAGAAGGCTGACGCCAGACAAAGAGAGGCAGAGCGGCGCAAGATTCGCCAGCAGATTGTCATGGAGGCCGACATCATCTGCAGTACGCTCTCTGCAGCCGGTCACGAGATATTGTCGTCGCTGGGTGTAGATTTTGAGACTGTTGTCATTGACGAAGCAGCTCAAGCCGTCGAGCTCAGCACACTCATCCCACTCCGATACGGCTGCAAGAGGTGCATTCTGGTTGGTGACCCGAACCAATTGCCACCAACAGTCTTGTCAAAGCCTGCAGAGCGTCTCCACTATAACCAGTCTCTCTTTGTTCGTCTCTTCCGCCCACATGCCGTATACCTTCTTTCGTGAGTGTCGCCTGCTAATATTGACTGATAAGCATTATCTGATGCTTTGATGCGACTTCGAACAGGATCCAATATCGTATGCATCCCAGCATCTCTCGCTTTCCTTCATCGAGGTTCTATAATGACGAGCTCCAAGATGGGCCGGATATGGCGATCAAGACGATGCAACCGTGGCACCAAGACTCGCTCACCCCGCCCTACTGCTTCTTTGATGTGCGCGGGAATGAGACCAAGGGAAAGTTTCACTCTCTGATGAATGTCAAAGAAGCTCAAGTCGCGCAGGCTACCTACGAACGGCTGCGATCGACATGGCCACAAGAAGATTTTTCCTTCCGCATTGGCATCGTCAGTATGTATAAGGCTCAGGTGGAAGAGTTGCGCAGAGTTTTTGCGACTCGATATGGCGCTGGCATTCTCTCAAAGATCGACTTCAACACTGTAGACGGCTTTCAGGGGCAAGAGAAGGACATCATCATCCTCTCATGTGTACGTGGGGGTCCTCAAGCAACCATTGGCTTCTTGAATGACATCCGACGTGTCAATGTTGCCATCACGAGAGCTCGGAGCAGCTTGTTCATCCTTGGCAATACCGAGCTTCTCCGCCAGAATGACACGTGGGCAGCGCTGATCGAACGCAGCGCTCAAGCTGGTTTGCTAAAATCCGTCACGCCAGGATACTTCTCGCAACATTTTATCCCACCGCCTGTCACGGGCTCCATACAAGTCCCGGCTCGCAAGCGATCGCCAACGAAGAAAGATTCGGCGAAATCATCAAGCACAGTGAAGCAAGTCGTTCCAGCGAGAGTCCAGAGAGCTGCTGCAGCACTTGCGTTTCAAAGCAAGGTTTCGAGTGCAAGTCATGGAACCCAAGCCAAGGCGGAACTGGCGCTGGAGAAGAATGCTCGTAAAACCATGCGCTCCGAAGAAGGGGAGATCGACGAATCTGAGCTCTATATCCCCCAGAAAAAAGCACGCCTTGAAAGTGCCTCCGACCGTGTCCCTCAAGCAGCCCAGCAGCAGCCATTCCCTGACACTTCTGCAAAGCCTGCCATTCCGCCGCGCAACATCAAGCCAAGGGTGCTTCCACGCGACGTACAGCCAAGATCACCGCCACGGGACGCAAAGCCAAAATCACCGCCCTGCAACGACACCAGATCAGCCCAATTACGCGTTCGCCCTGATGATCTTCAGTCAAAGCCGGCCGTAAATGGAAACGCAGTTATGCCTCCTGCCATTGCAAGAGCGGAAAGGCCTCATCATCCCGGCCATATGGACAGCAGGCTGAAGCCCTTGACACTTCCGCCCACCGTGAATGCTCGGATTCCTATGTTGACGCACCGACCCTCCGCTCCAGCGTCCTCCACGCCGATCCAACCGCATTTAGCCGCGCCGCAAGGTTCGACCAGTTCATTCCCGACCATTCCAGTGAGCGTCCGTCCACCTACCGCAGCGCATGGGCAAACTTCCCAAAATCGGGCTTCAGCAGCCAGTCGGAAGGCGCTCTTTGCCCCTTCTCGCCGAAGTTTCCCACCGCGTCCTCAGCACCAATAGACACATTTGCATATTTTGCTGGCTTCATAAGCATTACATGACACCAGTTGCATCTCGCAGTATGTAGCATACAAATTTGCGCGCAACGCCGTTCGTCGAATGGTGGCCACCCCCCTCAGTCCATGGTCGGTCTGCTATGTTGACCCGTGCAAGCTCCCAAGTCGAATTTCGTTTCCTAACCTCTCTTTATTGCTGGAAGCAGTTTGCGGCTCGGAGGCTCCGACCTTCCAGTTTTATCACATTCCGTGACTAAGGTTCAATTTAAAAGTAGCCGAGCTTCGTCGGCGTTCTTTGAAAGCCATAATCTGAAAGCAAGCTTTCAGCAACGACCCAACATCTCAAGGCCGCCTAATCGAGCAATCCAGAGAAGCTCCAGTCTATTTACGGTCACATCTTATCCAGATTTGTAGTTTGAACTCCCAAGCGAAAGCTTCTGATCGCTTTGCCTAGCCTTGTATCATCGCCTCCATCGGCAACCCTAAGCCTATATGATCCTGGTTCCACTTTGCCTGAAAGTGCGGTTCAAGGGCTTGTCTAGTCCATGCGCTTCGTCCAGAGCTGTGATCGCCCAGTTGGGAGTCTATTTTGCTCTCAGCGCGGTCACAATTCCTATCAAGGTTGTTAGCCACAACTCTTTGGTCTTCGTTGAGGTGATAGCCTCGAAATTGCTGAACCGTTTTCAACAATCTGTGATTGTGCACCACATGGACATCAGACAGGACTCCATCTTGACACTTCGAGTCTGCACTTCTGATACTAGTCGAGCATTTCCTACCCAGTGTGAAACGCATGCCTCGAGGGCGCTGGTCATAAGCAACGTGCCGTAAGATGACGTCCGACGGCAAGGATTCGGGTTCCCTTCAGGGGTTCCAGCTCGACCGTGTCTTGTCTGAAGGTGAGTCTCTGCGGATTATCCCCTGTCCGACTTTGTCGTGCTATAGTACCGACACCCGTGCCAATGCTGCAAAAATACGCTTGCAGACCCCAAGACGCATGCTGCAGCCTTGCTTGGCCACTTTTCTGCGATCATCGACGGCAAGGACTCAAAAGAACAGGCGATCGTCCTAGTAGAGAAGACGCACTTTGAGCAGCGATTCTATGCGGGTCTGGGGAATGCTGAGTTGAAAGACGCCGTCGAGACCGGTGCACCTGAAGAACGAGCGACCAAAGTAGCAAAAACGGTGGACAGTCCAAAGGGCGCTGCGGCTGTTTCCACTCTGTCGTTCCATCGGAATGCGTTTGCGCTAGAACGGACGCAGAGCTTGGGCCAGAATGACATTTACACGTGGCTTCTAGGCTGGACAGCAAGCGAGTCCACAAGCCCGGCTGACATCAAGATCACATTGATCCGGCCTGCCTCTGAGGCTGTGAGTATCAGGTGCCCGATTTTCTACGTTCAGGACTCATTCCTGCAGCTGACTGTCGGAGCGAGCATGCGTGGCTCTTCACCCAGCATGTTGCCAAGCATAGCTCTCAGCCGATCTACGTAGTGACCGGTGGGTCGCCTGTCATGCGCATGCATTATATGGTTGAATCGGGCTGATCGACTTTGCGTCGTCTCGCTAGAGACTCCGGAGATGTACAAGGAAAATGTAGAACCGTGGATTCTCGCTCAGCCTCCATCCCGGATCCAATGGTACGTACGGGATGGCGAACGATACCATTCTGCAGACTAAACACCTTGACCACGCTTCTTCTCACTCAATCCGGTCAGGGTGTACAACATCCTGGAGAAGAAGAAAGAGAAAGATTCGATCCTGTATGAGAACCCAGATCCGCACACCGGCTTTGTCGTGAGTCTGAGCCAGTCGCTACGAAGATGCTGGCACACGTATCGACTAAGCCGTGTTAAACAATCGTCGCTTTTCTCTCTCTCTCCCCTCTCCCCTCTCCCGCGAGCAGATCCTGCCGGACCTGAAGTGGGACCAGAAAACGCTGTCATCGCTGCACCTGACGGCCATCGTGCACGACCGCTCACTGCGGTCACTGCGCGATCTGCGCCCGGAGTCCGAGGAGCCGCGGCACGTAGAGCTGCTTCGCGCGATCCGCGCCGCTGGGGCGCACGTCGCTTCCGTGCGCTTTGGGCTGCGTGCGCTCACTCGGTTGAAGGGCGACGATACGGAGCACGAGATGGGCGGCAGCGCTCTGAGGTGCTATCTGCACTACCACCCGACATATTAGTGAGTACCCGCCAGACGTGGCTGCAGCAGAACCTGTGTGTGTGACGGGATGCGAACCCTCACCCTTTCCAAATTTCTCTCCACGGGCAGCCACCTACACGTGCACATCACCGCAGCGGACAACGCGCTGCAGCCGGGCGCGCTGGTCGGTAAGGCGCACCTAGTCGACGACGTGATCGACCTGCTGCAGCTCGGCGTCGATCTGCGGCGGCGCAGCATCGGCGTCGCACTGGGAGCTGGCAACGAGCTGTGGGACGTGCTGTACGGGGTGCGCGCATGAGCGGGGGCGCGAGAAAGGGAGCAAGCAAGCGCTCATCGGCCTTAACACGCCGTCACGTAGTCGGGAAACCCTGCACCGTAAGCGCTGATGCCATGCCATGCGCTCCACGAAGGGAAAAAAAGCTCGTCTCGCATCGTCATTCGAGTACATTTCCACGGCGTCGTAGTCATGTGATGTATAGGTGTGTGCGGGCGCGGCGCGACGCACGTGATGCATAGTGCTCAGTTGCTCTGCCCGCTTCTGCCTATGCTGCCTATGCTGCCTATGCTTGTACCCCCTCCTGCGGACATGCGCGCGAGCACAGCCGAAATGTGGTGAATCACTCTCTCCTTCCTACTTGCTTCCTTCCTTCTTGCTTTCTTTCGTTCCGTCGTGCTTTCTTTTTTCTTTTTCTTCTTTTTTTCTTTCTTTGTTTCCTGCCATTCCTTCCATGCCGTGCGGTACCGCGCCCAACCGTGCCACCGCTCGCTCTCGCTCGCCGGAATAGTCTCGGGCTGCCCGCAGGCACGTCCTGGGACGTGCAGACCGCCCATTCTCATGACGACGCTGCCGTTGTCGCTGCAATGGCCGGCCCTTTGGGCGACGCTGCAGCCGTGGCGTCGTCCAATGATGGCGCCGGCTCGCTGGCTGCGGCCGTATGTACGGGTTGTTGTTGCTTCGCTGCATTCTGCGCGCTGACCTCGTTCCCCGCGAGAGCAGCGGCCGCCTGCTGCTGCTCCTCGTCGTCATTGTAAAAGCGCCTGAGCGCCTTCTCGGCCTCTTTATACTGCACCTTGACGTCGCGCAGCGTCTCGGTGAGCTTGTGGAGCGCGACAGGGCGCGGGAGCTCGGCGAGGGCCTTCTCGTCTTTCTGCTTGCCATAGTGCTGCATGTACTCGCAGCTGTCACGTACTTTGATGACGCCGCAGGCTGCACTCGAGCCCTTCAGGAAGTGACCAAGGGTGGACAGCTCGGAGAGGTCCTCTTGCTCTCTGCATAGGTGCGGGGAGGGGTTTGGGGGTGTCAGCCAAGAGGAGGAAGAGAAGAGGGGGGAGGTAGAGGAGGGCTCACAGTGCCTTTTCCATCTGTTCAAAGGTGGTCTTGGCCTGATCAAAGTAGTTCCAGACGATGCTTTTGCTGAACTCGTGGTCGTCTTCCTCGTCCATCTCTAGCAGCTGGCCAAAGATGTCCATGTCGATAATGTCTGGCGGCAGCTCGGCCTCTGACAACGTCGACGCCTGAGGAGGGGCAGCAAAGCAGCGTAGCGCCAGTGAAGGGGAAGATCAATGGGGGTTTTTGGGTCAAAGGACGGGCGTGCGGTAGCAAGGCGCAGGCGAATGACTCACCTCTGGTTCAGTGGATGCCATCGTTGCACAGAAAGGTATGCGCTGCCGGATCGCCTCGCCTGCGTCTCGTCGGCTGGTCCTTGTGCTGGGGTTCGCCAGCGTACTTCTTTTCTGCACTCTAAGCAGCAGCACCTTCCCCCGACTCGTACCCTTGTAGGGTTTTTGGGGTGCAGGTAAACTTACACCAGCCCCTTCCCTTCCCCGGCGACGGGAGCTGTACTGCGAGCGGGATGCGTCGATGTGCGCCTGCCGAGAGCAGAAGGCGTCGCTGCGGCGCGGAAAGAGAAGCAGGAGAGGAAGGAAGGCTTGTCTGCCTGCCTGCTTGCTTGCTTTACGAGGGGACGTTGCAAGAGGACGAAAGCAAGTTGATTGAACGAGCTAGGTGCACGCTTTGCCCTCGCTTTTGCTGTTTGCTCTCCCTGCTGCTGTCTTGCTACGCCGAGCTTATTCGCACTTCTGCTGTCGCTGTATGGCTGACGGATGGAGAAGGGGTGCGATTGGACCTGTGTAGAGGAGGGGGCGCAGCTGAGCTAAGCTGAGCTAGCTGGCAGAAGAAAAAGGGGGGTATAGAAGCAAAGGAACGCAGGCAGAAGAAAGAAGCGAACAATGCGCAACAGAAAGAAGGAGAATGAGAAGGGGGGCGATGCCAGTCTTCACTTTAGACTGTACCCCACGGGATGACGTCCGAGGTGAGAGGATGGAGAGTGTGTATGAAAGTGTGCCCGTGCGCCCAAACAACACATTATGTCAGCTCCCCAGGCACTGTACCGCACTGCAACTTGCAATACAATCAAGTCACGACACAGCAGCAGCAGCAGCAGCAAGTGGCGGCTCACAATAGATGGGCTCCTACTCATACGTCATTCACATACACCTTTCCCCCCCCTTTTTTGGACCTGCTCGCGTGAGCCAGACTCGAGCGACTATGGATAGACAGGTAGGCTCTTGTCTGGATGGATGGGGTGCAAGGAGATTGGGCATCGCTGCTGCTGCTGTGCGAACAACCAGACGGAAGGACGGATTGACTCGAGAGGCATTGCTCGCGCCAATTGATCCATTGATCGATTCGTCACTGCAGTTATGACTGCAGCGGCCCTTGACGCGCAGGTGCCCTTCCCGCGTTAATTTTGTACTATCCATGTCTCCATGTACGCCCCCACGCAACACGCAGCACGCCGTGGTTGCCCCGCTACAGCTTTGTTACAAGCTTGTACGACCGCGCCGTTGCGCGATGCACCGACGCGCACCGTCTCGCCTCTCCCCGTACCCATCCCATTCGTTCGATACGAGTAGCGTCGGGACAATAACATACAATGACCAGTGATGACCATGCATGCATGCGCACCGCAGGTGTCGCGATCGATAACAAGGTCCTGCGTGACCTGGCTCATGAGCCAAAGCGGTCCTCGCATTGCTTCGGCGCGTTGGCCGAGCCATATAAATGCTCCTCCAGCGGACACGCGCGCACTGCATGTACATACTCCTGGGGGTTTGTGGCATAGCAGCCAGTCCGTCGGTTGCAACTTTGTGCACTTCTGTTCTGAACGGGCATACATACCATCATGCAGTAAAGTAGGCAGGCAGACACTGCATCCACTCAATCTCAACGTCAACCTTAACAGGGCGGGGTCACTTGCGCTGGCACATTTCCTTCTTCGCCCCTACCCGCATTGCGACTTGCGCCTTGCTCTGCAAGAGTGATGCCCACACCCCCTTGCAAAAACTCCCCTGACGCAAGCTCAAGTGGCATGGAAGGCTGTCTGGATGTCCTAGGCGTGTGCATCGACGGATTCATTACACTTGGTCTCTGTCTCTCTCTGTGATGATTGGTTTTTTTCATCGGCGCACGCTGCACCGCACCGCTTCACAGCCCGCCTGCTTCGCTCTGCCAGCTGCCGTCCGACGCCGCGTCGGCAGGCGCCGCTCACGACTCGAACACGAGACTGGCGCCGACCTTGTGCGCGGCGCCACCTGGGGCGGCCGCATCGTTGCCCTGCAGCTTCTTCGTGTCGAGTGCGAGGCCGAGCGACGCCTTGACGCCGGGGCGGAGCGCCTGCGTGTAACCGAGGCAGAGAATTCCGTCGTTGTTGATCTTGGCCTTGACGAATGCTGCATTGTCGAGGTAGCTGTGGATGTAAAAAAAACAAGGGATATGCATGCGTCAGCGCCCGTTTGTATGTCTAGCCATGCCAAGAACGCCAAGTGCGCCCGCTTTTGCTCACGCCTTGGTGCCGACCTCGAGCTTGACGTTGGCGTCAGACTTTGCCTTGTCGTACGTGGCCCTGGCGCTGGTCTCAATGTCGTTGTTGACGCGATGGTAGTACGAAGCGACAAAGGCCTTGAGGTTGCCGAGCGCCTGCAGCGTCACCGCGTACTCGGGCGCGTGGAAGCCGGCGGCGAGGTTGTAGCGCGTGACGCTGGCGTCCTTGACGCTGTATGCCGCCTCACCACCAACAAGGAAGCCGTCCTTGCCGACGACAGCGTCGGCCGTGACGAGCGGGCCCTTGAAGACGTCAATGTAGTTGCGCGTGTGGACGCCCGGTTGCTTGTACAGCGACGCCAGCACCAGCGTCTTGGCGCTCTTCTCCGGCTGCAGTGTCGAGACGGCCTCAAACTTGAGGCCCTTGGCCAGGTGGTTGTCCAGCTCGACGTGGTTGCGCAGGATGTTCGACGTCGTCCAAGCAGTCGTCACCGCCGTGCCGCGCTTCTTGTCGTCGTACTTGACCTCCAGATCACCGCCGATGCTGCCATTGGCATTGTCACGCAGGCCGAGTACGCGGAAGGTGACGCCGTTGGGCGCCTTGGTCTTGACCTCGAGGGTGGACCCCTGGATTGGGCTGCCCCGAGCAACGATGAAGAAAAACACAGTTATTTGTTAGACCATCGGGCATCGGCGCAGCACCGCATGAAAATGGAGTGACTGCAGGCAACTCACTAGTCCTTGGTGAGGAGGTCGTTGGCAGCCTTGCCAAGATCCTTCCACGACGGGGGAATAGGAGCAGCCATTTTCTTTTCTTGTGAAATGCCAAGGCTTTGGGGGATGGATGGGAAGCGGTAAAGCAAGTACCGAAGCAGAAGAAGGATGAGAGGATGGACTGACTCGAGACCAAAGCACGAGGGAAGCAAGAGGGGAGAAGGAGAAGGGGAGCTGGCAGAAGGAAGGTGTTGATGGTGCGGTCGGTGATCGAGAGGTCGAAATGTGTGCGAGAGAGATGGAGAGGGGAGAGACTGCGACTGAGACCGACAGCGACAGCGAGAGCTGAGAGAAGGCGGCTCGTGCGTGCGCCATGCAGACTGACTGCTGCGTGCAGCGTGGGCGGGCGAGCGAGCGTGTTTGGGTCGGGAACGAGGGCTGCGTGCGCCAGCCGGCTAGCACTGTGACAGTCTTCCCGCTCAGTCTTGCCTCGGAGACTTGCGGAACGACTCTAGCCGCAGCTGCTTGTCTTCTTCGTTCGTCTGCTACTAGTAGGCGACGACGCCAACCCTAACCTACCCAGAGTGTGCCCTCGCCTGCGCTCCCTTGATGGCGGCGCGCTAGCGACTCCAGTGCACGCCGGCATGCATATCCGCGTCGCGACCACGCTGGGCCATCTGAGCACTCAGCACCCAGAGAGCCATGTACGGATCGTGCCCCCACCCCCGTGGGTCGCCCGCGTCCGGCAGAATATACACCTTGCCCATGCCACATGTTACATGTTATGCCATACCATGTCATCTCCCCCGCATATGTGAAACATCCGTGCGCCGAACGACATCCTCCCTAGGGCATAGTCATTGACCGCAAGTACAACTTGGCTCTCTCGGTCGGCGACCTCTCCTTCAACCGTGACCGACACCAGACATCTCCGGGATAGCCCCGTCTCCTCCGATGCGCCGTCCAGCCAGCGGGCAACGGGACCGGCTGCATCATCGCGTGCTTCTGAAGGAGAACGAGACGAACTTGACAGCATCCCGGGGACACCAGTGCCGTCCTGAGCGCACATGCTCGACAGCAGCATCGACCACGGTCACGGTTAGCGCCACGCCTCGGCTTACAGATCCGTCGCTGCAGAGCTGCATCCGCGACCACGCATGGCCACGACGACACGAGACCGCTATCGGGTGCCTGACTGTTCGCGTTCACTGTCGCAATGTATGCCGGCGCAGCGCTCAAGGTGCTCATGCAGAGGCATGTGCGCTGCAAGCAAGAGCGAGCCAAGCAGACTCGCCGTGCGCTTGACCATATATAGGATGCAGGGAATGCTGATGATTCTGCACGGTTGGAGCCTCCGCTCTTCCTGCCTTTATGTTGAACAAGAAAACGGTGTGTATGCGGATCAAAAAGAAATATCTGCGTGCGGATTATATGACACAACATGAGCTCGCTCGCATTTTCAGTCCTTAAAGCCTCCGTTCGCCTTTTGCTTCCTCCTTTCTCGGAGAGCTTCGACAGGCCAGCCATTGACCTCCCAGAGCGCCTCTCGACGACTCCGGCCTTCGGTTCCGTCGGGAAGGTACAGGCTAGGGATCTCTCCCGTGGCAGCGAAGCGGATCGCGTGCCGGCGGCAGCTGCGATCCGGCGTCCAATGGTCGTACGTGGCTGAGTGCACCGTCGAATCGTTCGCCCAGAGGACAAGCGTGCCCTCCTGCCATTTGACGCGCAGCGTCAAGTCTGAATTGACTATCATCATCTCGTAGAGCATGCGCAGCACCGCGTCGCTTTCGGACTTGGGCACGCCGACAATCTCCCGCGTGAACGCCGGGTTGACAAAGATCGACTTCCACCCAGTCACCGGGTTGGTGCGCACGAGCGGGTGCACCGTCTTGATGCCGGGCCGCCGCAGGTGCACACCAGCCGCTGCAGCGCCCTCCGCCTGCTCCAGGCCCGAGTGCACGGCGGACAGCGACGAGAGGTAAGTCTGCATCTCGGGCGAGAAGGCGTCATAAAGGCCGTAGCAGCTGCTGAAGAGAGTGTCGCCGCCACCATTGGCTGAGAGCAACACAATCCCAGGAGTCAGCATTTTGCGGTCTGCGCTGAGCATGCGTCCTTGCATCCTCACCTGGGTTCAAAATGTTGTATAACCCAGTGATGCCCGGTGGGTTGACCTCGTACGTTACGTCCGAGTGCCAAATGTCGGTGCGCGAGTACGATGCTTCGCTAGGGCGCATGGTCTCCTCGTGCCAGACCACGTGCAGCTCGTCAAGCCCGCGCTGCTTGGGCACGCCGCTGGACGGGTGCTGGTGAAGCGGCCGCTCGGGCGGACCGAAGTAGCGGCCCCAATCGCGCAGCTGCTCGCCGGTCAGCTTTTGGTTGCGCAGCACGACGACACCGCGCTCGGCGACGAGCAGCGCCAGCTCGTCCTTTTGCGCCGGCGAGAGCGACAGGACGTCGACACCGTGCAGCTCCGTGCCAATATTTACCGTCAGGTCTGTGACGTCCGAGCAGGCTTTGAGCAGGCTCGCTTTGCTGCGGTCCGCAAAGAGCCCGCGGTCTCGCACGCCGTGGATCGGTTCGTACGGCTCGTAGACGAGGTCCTTGGGGAAAGCTGGTTTCAACCCGGCGTGCTTGTAGTCTTCCTCCTCGTCTGGTATGTCATCGGCGCCGGCGTTGTGGTATGGGCTGTATGCGCAGAGCAAAGCACACCGTGTCAACAAGGCAAGCGTTTCAACCGCTCAGGCGGCGTCTTCGACTCACTTGAAGGACTGGAAGAGCGACGCCTTGCCTTCGGTTCCCTTGAGGTCTGCCGCCTTGCTCCCTTCTTCTGGGTTCGGGCGCGGGTTGCCCCCGCGCCGCGAGGGCGAGGTAGAAATCGGCGCCATGGTCAACGCTTGTGTGGCTCTGGCGGTCTTCCCTTTCGTGTATTGACTAGCTACGTGATACCTAAGAATAAAAACACGTTCGCCAGACGCAGCATTATCTAGCGTCTGAGCGGGCAAATGTGAGGAGGTTGATGGGGAACAGCGATTGGACGGGCGGCAGAGGAGGCCAGCTTGGGACAGGGGCCAACAACCCGCACGCTGCTATGTTTATACAACGGAGAGTACAACGATCTGAGAGGAAGAAAGCGCCGACATGTATGTTGAGATTAAACACACGGTTCATTGTAGATGGTAACAACGAACGAATCTATCCAGGCGCCGCAGGGCCTGCGGAGCGGTGAGGGAGTGGGAACGCCTCATCGCCGCCGTCAACGTCTAAAGGGCCGGATGGCGTGTTTCCCTGCGCTGCGCAGGATGGCGCTGCCGATGACCCCACAGTTTTGCGCATTGCTGATGTGCGGACATAGAGCAAGAGAGTATAGACGCGGGGCAGCAATGTGTGCCACTTGATCATCCATCCATCGCCTCTGGTGTAAGGACATTAGCCACAACGCTGATGTGAAAGCCTACCCCTCGTGTTTTCCTCTCCCTCTGGCAGAGGTGAAAAGAGACACGACACCATCATTGGCCTGCCTTGCCTGCTGATCACGCCATCTGTTGTTCGAGCGGCTTGACGATAATCACGGCATGTTCCGCAGCCGATGGCGTGACTTGACTGCATCCTCAATCTTTGCCGCTGCGGCCAGTGGACGAAGATTCTATCTGACCCATTTCCCGGCCGACAGAACGAGCATACGATGATCCAACAGCTGTTTCGTGTATATATAGGTTGCACCGATTACGACACGCGCCGGACCACTGGAGGCCTTCGCATAAGTACGCAGGAACGCGAGCCTTTCAATCGGCATTCGGCCAAGAGCGAAAATCTGCCCATGATGTAAGGATGAGATCACATGCCAAGCGCGCAACTGCACACGAGAGGACATCGAAGAGCCAAGTGCTTCCTTCACCTCCCCTTCTCGCATACCCGCATTTGGAGCACACGATGCCGGCATACGCTCTTGGCATCTGCTGGTCGCCATGTACAGAGGTTAATGGAAAGCAGTCAAACAACAGATGGATCTGAGACAAGAACAGGCTGTGTTATTCTGTGTAAGCTTCTGAACGATTTGAAGAGTCGCCGACGTCGTGTCGTACACACCTCGCGGGCTCTGGGATGTGGAATTGAAACGTAGCCGGTGAGCCGTGAGAAGCGTTGAGCTGTTGCGCCACGAGGCGATGAAGGGCGGCGTACGCCGTATTATCGGTATGTGACGCAACAATTGCCAACCTCGGACTTGCCAAGGGGAAAAGCTGGCGCAAGCGAACATGCAAGCCACGAGGGCCAAAGCATCTTGCTCCTCCATGACACCTCCAAGGCCCTTAATACTATAGGGTTATAATCGACATACGCAGATGATACGTACAGTTGCACTACGCATGGTAGTCAGGAATTCGACCGGAAGCGCCGAGTGCGTTTTCCCTTTGCTTCCCTCACTGTGAATCACCCACTGGTCAGTTTTCCGACAAGCGCACAGCTTACCGCTACGGCGTTCAAATTCCGCTGACATGTTGACAGCTATGTACAGGCGGCTCGAGCGTCGGCTTCGTTGTAACCACGCACCACATAAGCCAGAAACCGCCCCCCCTGGCTACATACCTGTGTGCACATGCAGCGCTTCAGGCATACTCGAGACTTTTGGAAAGAGGCTTGGCAGCTCGCCGCGTAAAATCTCTAGGCGCTTTTTGAGGTTGACTTCAGTCGCTTCCTCCACACACGGCCCCATTCCGACCGTCATGCTTCCAGCTTCCATCGCACACAAGACTGGTTGAGCAGGAAGAGCACTGCCCAAGCCGCCAGTGTGCTATCTACCAAGCTGACATGCTGACGACAGTGACGTAAGGTCAGCATGCCCCCGTCCTACGCCCTTGAGGTCGATAATCTGAGCACTGACCCTGATCATCGGAACGTGGAGTTTCTCACGAGAATATGATGTGCAATGGCATACCTTGACTCAAAGATCGTGGATGGGCGGTACAGGTGACATGGCTTTACCTTATAAGACTTACCAACAGCCCAACTTCTCTTCATCGGACTTCGTTTCCTCCTCATAACCCCTCGAGCTTCCATTCGTACCCATTTTGCATCTCCGCTGTAGTCGTGCTCACACCGTCTAGCTGTCCAAGATGAAGTACACCATCCCCATCGCGCTCGCCTTCGTGTCTGCGACCCTTTCGTACGCGCAGAACAGCGCTTCGTACGCACAAGGACTGCTCCAGGCACTGCAAAGTGCCAACTTGACAATGCTTGCGTCTGCCGCTGGGAACTCTTCGGATCTGGTACGTGGCCGACTGTATCCCCGCTAGGGGCAAGCAGCTGTACTGAGACTGCGTTGTTTTCCTTTTGACAGGTCGCCGCGCTGCAGAGCGGAGGCAACAAAACGGTGCTGGCACCGACGAACGATGCGTTCGCCGCGCTCGGCGCGACACCCTCGGAGGATTTGCTGCACGCCATCATCACCTATCACGTCATCAATAGCACGGTGTCCGTCGCCGATGTCAGCGCGGCCGGCAATAATGTGTCGTCGACGCTCTTGAAGGACGACGACTTCGTCTCGCTGCCCAACGACCGCGCGCAGGTCGTCGTGCTCAGCAAAGATGCCGGGAACGGGACCGTGCTGATCAAGGAAGCGAGCCGTAACGTCACATTTAACCTTACAAGCGATGGCCCCACGTACGACAACCTGCTTGTGCAGCCAATCAATACTGTCCTCTCGATTCCTGGAAATCTGAGCACTGTCGCGTCCAGCCTCGGCTACTCGTCCTTCGCTGATGCAGCGAGCGGCGCGCAGCTCATCCAGACGCTCTCCGACGCCGAAACCGGCCTGACGATCTTTGTGCCGAACAACGACGCGTTCCAGGCTGCGAAGTCTGAGATGGCTAGCGCCGACCGGAGCGCCGTACAAAACATCTTGCGCAACCACGTCATTAACGGCACCGTCGCGTACTCTACCCTCCGTGAGTGCAAGCTTAAGCTTTTTGTGCGCATGCTGGCATGACTGGAGGCTGACTGAGACCGTGTTGCACACCTCACAGTCACCGGTCCGAATGCAGTTGCATCCGTCGTATCTGCCAGCGGCAACAGCCTCACCTTTGGCGCCGGCAGCAACGGAGGACTGACGGTGACGAGCGGCAATGTGACCGCGAACATCATCCGCACGGACGTCCTACTGTCCAACGGCGTGATCCATGTCATCGACAGTGTCCTCGCAACCACGACGACCAACCCGGAGGCGGCGGCCAGCGCATTCCACAGCGCCACTTCAGCTGCTGCCGCGAGGCCTAGCGCTGGCATCTCGGGATCCTCGGCAGGCAGCAACGGCGCCGTCGGTGGCGCAGTCGGAAGCGTCGCGCTCGTCGCTGCAGCCGCGGTAGCCGGTGCGCTGGCGCTCATGTCCTGAGCGAATTGTTACGGTGCAGACCGTGCGGGCACGGACGAACGCGGCACGCAGCGAACAGCTCCGCTCTTACTATGTTAAAGTAGAGGAGGAAGGGCTCAGTTATGCACTGTCTGAAAATATTGCTACATGCTACATGCCACATGCTGCGAGGTGGAGAGTGTGTTTAGTTTACATTTATAAAAGGAGTCTGAGCGATCTCATAAGGGGCATTTCGGTATTCGTGTCGAATATCGATCGCTGGTGCTGCGTGTGATTCATATCAAAATGCGTATGCATGCAGCAGTTCGTGCGCATGCCGCCCTAGCGCTGAAAGCCAGCCTTGGGGGAACCGCGTGCTGCCGGAAGCGGGTCCAGGGTGTGGCGGTTGCTGGGGCACAACACGCTCGACGGTGAGAACTGCCGTACGGCCGTCCTGCGTAACATGGTGGTTGATGCCGTGCTTTCCAGCCGGAAGAAGCCCCTCGACCCACTCGGTCGTCGCGCGCCACTCATACTCGCGCCACTTGCCGCCGGCCTCGGCGTTGGCGACGAGAAGGTCGCGCCCAACGTTGTAACCGTCCTTGTCGATCGTGTGCTGGTGGCGAAGGTCCTTCTCCTTCGAGACGGCCAGGAACCACGCTCCTGTCTTGGTGGCGGGGCCGTATTGCTTCCAGACTGCGGATCCATACCAGTGTAACCTGGTTGAGCCAGAGGGTTCAACCAAAGAGATGCTCATCGAGGAGTACACGCTCACCTCTAAAATGATTGCCGCCAAAGAGAGACTCAGTACAGCTTCCCACCCAGCGGCCAGGATCCCACATGTTGGTCTGCCTGTACTCGAACATCTCCGTCTTCCAGCCCCTGCCGTCTCCGAGATCAGCGCGCTGCAGGTCGCCGACGTGCAGGTCGAGGCACTCGAAGCTGAAGCCGATGCTGCGGATGTAGTCGCGCAGGCCGGCGTCAGAGAGGATGTACGGATCAGAGCGTCCGGAGATGATCACATTGATCGGCTCGCGCATGCCGTTCGCAACGAGGTCGAGCATCGAGCCGCCATGGATGCGCGGGTCGAGCCAGCCGGGTGCTGATGCGTCGCGCGGGCCATTGCTGTAGTCGAGCGCCCGGGCGTCCGAGAAGGCTGATGCACCTTCATCTTCGCCGATCTTCGCACGAAGAGGGGCGACGGAATCCGCCGGTGAGCTGGGACACTGCGATCTGGCGGCAGAAGCCGGTGTCGGGATAGCCGCGACGGCGAGCGGGACAAGCAGCGTCGGCACGATGATCGAGAGCCTCATACCTGGTTCCTTGTGCTTTCGCTTTGTGCGGTTTAGCGCAGGGTGCGAGGTGGCGAGGGTAGAGGCTTCCGCTGTATGCTTTCCTGTTTATAAGGAGTCGGTCGTGTGCCAGGTAGTTGTCCGTCAAGTTGCAGATACGAAACAAGAGGGAAAGCCGCGAGGTAGTGGAGATATGCTCAATCCGCAACTGAGAAACGCGGAGGTCGTGTGGCAAGTAACCGACAAGCGCGCGCCCAACCACAGAGAAGTCGCCGACAGAGAACAGGATGTCGCGGCAGAGTCTCTCTTATCTCTTCACCTCAATACTGCTTCCCATCTGTGGCTCTGGACGAAGAACAGATGGAAGAGCCCATGTTCCAACTCACTTCAGAGCAACTCTGCGTACCCTAAGGGTCAAAATTTTACAACCCTTCGTCGAAGAAGACATGTCTGCGTAACCTTCGTCTTGAGTACCCTCCTGCTTCAGCTTGCAAGAGTTAGGTGGATTCCCCACTGAGGTTGGAACGGAGTAGAGCATGGAACAACAAGTGCAAGAGCTGGGGGAGCACCTGCAGGCGAAATTGAAAAAGTGACATCTAAGTGCAGCCTGAGGCATAAAGACAAAGGACGGCTCGACTGACCAACCCGCTGCTTCTTTGCGCTCACGGCATTGCCTTCCCCACCGCTTCATGTATGTTGGGAAGCCTTCCGGCAGGGCGGCGCTACCTTGTCTCCATCTGCGGCGTACCCGGTTCAGGCAAGTCGTCGCTGGCCAAGCACGTCGTCGCATACGTCAACCGTGTCGATCGCTCATCGTCAGGAGTAGCTTTGTCTCCCCAAACCGAGGCGCGGCCCCCAGGTAATGAACTCGCCCCGGCGATCGTCGTGGGCATGGACGGCTGGCACTTGACGCGCGAGCAGCTGGATCAGATGCCAGACCCAAAGACAGCACATGCTCGCAGAGGTGCCGCGTTCACTTTTGACGGAGAGGTGTGTTGCCAGCTTGGAACCATGTATCCTATTTGCACGGGCATACAGCTACTAAAATCTCTCACACACACTCTCTACACCGTCTCCTGACATATGCATGCAGGCATTCTCCGCATTCGTCCTTTCCCTCCGCGAGCAGCCCCTGTCAGCGCGCGTGACCGCGCCGAGCTTTTCGCACGCGGCCAAGGACCCGGTCGCGCACGGACTGAGCGTGCTGCCGCAACACACGCTCATCGTGATCGAGGGGCTCTACTGTAACGTCGATGCACCGCCGTGGCGCGCGGCGGCGCGCGCGTTCGACGAGCGCTGGGTGGTTCAGGTCGAGCGCGCCGTCGCAAAAAGGCGCCTAGTCGCGAGGCATGTCCTCACGGGCGTCGCGAGGGACGAGCTGGAGGCTCTTTGGAGGGGTGAGTGCAGCGCATACTTTTCGCTCTTTAGGGCCATACACCTGATGATTTTCGCTCACTCCTGATGTTTCGGTCGGGCAGCCGAAAATAACGACCTTCCAAACGGTGATTGGCTCCTGGAGCACATTGTTGAGCCGGCTCGACGGTTGCCGTCATTAGAGGACGGATCATGGAGCGGGAATGCATGATAGATCGTCGATCCATAGGTCTAGACGTTTTTGTGGTCGCAGAAGGCGTCCGAGAGGGCCCAATGTCCACAGTAGATTGACCGTATACATCAACCCTGGCTTCAGATGATTTGCACCGTCCGCGGCTCCTGTTGTTTCGCATCTGATAGCAACAGCCACTTGCTTCCCTCCCCCTACCCCCCTCTGCATTTACCAGCGGAGGCGGCGGGCTCTCCCAGCTGTAGCATACACGTATAAGCATATACATGTGTCCACTCGTTGCAATGCAATGTTCTTTGGACGTACGCTGACCGCCTGAGCTGATAGTGTCTTCCAACCAGCGATGTTGTTGTCTGCTGCGTTGCGCGGGCGGAGACTTGGAGAGTCTGAGACTGTGCGCCAGTGCGGAGGATGCTAGGGCCCTCGCGCTGTGCTGTGTCGCCTCGTGGGGGCTCGCATGGTGCCACTGGCGCTGAGGTCGCTCACTGGCTGTGCGCAGTCAGATCGAGAGTGTGTCATCCGGCACCGCGCGCGCGCGCCCGCTGGCAAAGTCGCTCTCATCTCTCCAACCACAAACCACCACCATAACCAAGCAGACTGTCACCTATGCACTCACTCACTCCCATCTTGCACACATCCCACCTCGCCACCCTCCCTCCCTCTCCGCTGAGGGAATAGCACCGCGCAACTCAGCACAGCAGCAGAAGCGCACACGCAGAACAGGTCACGCCAGATTCCAAACCAAGATGGTGAGTAGACGCAAGACGCGCCAGAGCGTCCAGGCGCGTCCGCCCTTAGGATCGCCAGATGAGAACCCCCACATCCGACTCGCGTCGTGCTTCTCGCGCTGAAGCCAAGCCTGTCCTGGCAAATGCATCGCGCGGCACGACGTGCGGGGTGGGAAAGGGATGGGAAATTAAATTTGCGTAGATGGCCTTTAGATTTAATCACCTCCCCGCTCTCGGGGGCAAGGCCCGGCCTCGTGACATAACACCATGCAAGTGAGATAATAGCAGCTCGCATGGGCATTGCACCACCAGCGAAGGTGCCTCGAGATTGCCCAATGTGCGCTCCTAGTGTCACGAAGTGCGGATGCTTGGAGGCGGGGGCTTGGATTGGCGCCGCCTCATTGCCTGCCCATAGATAGGGAATTTACTAGGAATCGTGCGAGGAAGACGAATGATTATGGGCAAGATGGCGTTGGCGTACTGACCTGTCTCTCGTATTTACTTCTCGTCTCGATCATGCCTTTGGCCTTGCCTCTCTGTTGTAGTCTTCGGGAGTCAAGGTCCACACTGACTGCCTGGAGCAGTTTCAGAGCCTCAAGCTCGGGAAGAAGCACAAGTTCATCATCTACTCTCTGAGCAGCGACAACACGCAGATCGTTGTGTCCAAGACTTCCGCCTCTGCCTCGTACGATGACTTTGTTGCCGAGCTCCCACCGACAGACTGCCGCTACGCGGTGTACGACCTGGAGTACGATTCGGATGAGGGCAAGAGGAACAAGATCTGCTTCTTTGCCTGGTCCCCCGACGACGCTAAGATCAAGCAGAAGATGCTCTACGCCTCGTCCAAGGATGCCATTCGGAAATCCCTCACCGGCATCCAGACAGAGATCCAGGGCACCGACTTTAGCGAGGTCGCGTATGATGCCGGTGAGTTCCCGCATCACGAACGAATCGTGGGGTTTCTGATCGACGCAGGCAGTGGCGGGAGCCCAAGCTCACGGGCACAACGCACCGGCGGCAGTGGTGGCAACCGAGATTAGCTATGTTGCTGGGTGATCGTGCTGGAGTTGCATCGGGAGAAACTCGTGGAACGACGGGACGTGTCACGGAGCAAGATCTCCCATTAGGCATTGGTTGTGGACGAAGTAGGACTGCGGCCGCGACTACAGAAGATTTTGACATGCGCTACGCAGCAGTCCAGTTGGCCCGCCTGCCAGTCTGCGGTTCACCAGTGCCGCTGCATTTCCCTCGGGTCTTTTGACCTGACTTTTTCCTGTGCACTTCAAATGCTAAATGCGCTGACTTTGTACTTCATGTCGGACCCCGTTTTATCTTCTGGCTACAGTTCTCGACAAGGCACAGCGCCGCTGAGTGGAGCGCCCATTCTTCATCTTCGATAGAGGCAGGATGCAAACGCAGATGCAGGTGCAGAAAGAGACAAAACGCAACGCACAAAAACATACAAACGCATACCTGCGCCCCATTTCTTCCCCCTATTCCTGCGCACAAGCAGTGCGAGCGTAGCGCAGGACTCGCCGCATCGCAATAGCGCCACCGCCTACTCAGCACAATACGCGAGCAGTCTTTCCCCCTTCCCTTCCTCCCTCTATGTAATTGGTGCAGACAGACAATCAGAATGGCAGGCAGGCGGCAGCCAGGGAACGCCAACGGCAATTCCAACCACTGGCGCGCTGGAATAGCGCACCGCTCTTCACTGAGCCCCCTTCGCCTCGCTCATTGCTTGTGATCGCATGCTCTTGGACTTCCGTTTCTGGGAGGCCACACTTGCCGCGCTCCGCCACACTGCGGGGGCTTGACGATTTGCGGGAGGATATTGCGCATCGGAGACTCATCTGCTGCTGTTTGCGGAACTTGCATACGTATGGAACTTCCTGCAGAGCAATCGTCCAGTCTTGCAACCGTCCTCAGACGGAGTAGCGAGGACGAGATTCGCTCCGAGGCGAAAGACACAGGCTGGAGGGTACCAAAGGTATGGTGTGGTACAACGCGGATCGCTATTCATTTCTTTTCCTTTTCTTCTGGGGTTTATTTTGTTCTTTTTTTCTTTCTTGTTGCTTTGCTTTGTTCGTTCCTGCAATGCCTGATCGTACTGATTATCTGCCACGTCGCTGATGCTTGTGTCGCGTACTGACGTTCTTCCCATCATCTTTGCGTTAGTGCTGATTGTCTGGGTGGCGGCGAGGGCGATGGCCGCGCTGCAGGTGTCCCTGCTCGCCGCTTGCGTGTTCGTCTTATGCTTATGCTCGTGCTTGATGACGTTCATGATTGTACAGTGGCGCCCATAGCCCTGGCGGTGAACGTGGCGGCGGTCGGGGATGTGTGCACTTTTCCGGTGCGTTCCATGCTGACACCGTGCTCATATCAAGCGTGGCGATGGTGATGGCCTGGGCCGTGGCGATGATGAGTGTGTTGGTTCTGGTGCTGCTGATGACTTCAACCGCGCTGTTGAGCTTCCACATCTGCGCTGCTTTTTTGCGGTTCTTGTGCTGCTCATCCTCAGCTGCGCCTTGGCCGACAAGCCCAGCCATAGCAGGAGCAGCAGTAGCGGTGGCTGTGGCGGCACCAAGCGAGGCGGCATTCCGGACGAGCAACCCCTCTTCGTCCGAATGTAGACTTCCATGCTCGTCGCCATCCCTGACCTCTTCGTCGGCCAGGTATGAAGACGTGGACGCGGAAACACTGCGGCCAGTGACTGTGCTACCGCCCTCATGCTCTTCTGCCATGAGGAACTCCTTACATCGAACACAATCCCGATCCTGCTCTTGATTTGGTTCTTGCTGCCGCTGCCGCTGCTATTGCTGCTATTGTTGCGGCAGCGTCATCATGTCCATGCCACGTGGCTTTTGAAGGACCCGGCAGTTAAGCGTCGGTGGCAGTCATGACGCTGATCCTGTGAACCGTGACGTTGTTCGTGTTCGTGTAGGATGAAGATCATGTCGCCGCGGTGATAACCGCAAAATATATCCTCGCCACATCAACGTCTTGGGAATCCGAAGCCAAATCCGTGGCCGAGATCCTTGCTCAATGGGGGTTGCTGGCGCATACCGTGGGTGTGATGGTGGCCGTGGTGATCATCACCCGCAAAGGCAAGTGGGAACGAAAGGAAAAAGTGCCTCCACAGCCGGGGCGGAAGGCGAAGCTGCCACAACTACCGTCAGATAGCACGGCATCGCGGACATTGAGGTAGTCGGAGGGCGTCTGTGCACCAACCTCTGTTCGCGCTGACATGGTTTTGGCGGGAAGCGGGACGAAAGAGAGGATGGTTTGGGGTAACGTTGCGCTCTAGCCTTCCAATGCGGCTGATCACGGCAGGCTGCATGTAGCAGAGAGGTCCAAGCGTGAAAGTATTCATAAGGAGCAACGCTTGTTTTCCAATCCGGCGGTGATGTGAATGACCGACGATGGGTGGCTCCAAGAGGTGACTGGAGGGTTCTGATCTCCATCTACTTCTCCCTTCGGATCCGTCGGCCGACTGCTGGGCTGCCCCGTCCCTGCTGGCTTTCGGTCTGGTTGCCTTCCGGCCGAGAGACATCCCGCCGCAGACAAGACTCGATCAATCCCCAGGATTGTTACTGCCTAGCCTTGCATCTGTTACTCT